CGTCCTTCTGTAAAATTGCCTCGCGCTCGTTCTCTCCCGCGATAGCCGTGCGCGCGAAAGAAGCCGCTCCCCGGCTTGATAATCTTCGAAAAGTAACGACCACCTCGACTCGCGCGACGCGGCGCGATCGTGGAGGAAGCGCGGCCGAGCGCGCGCAGCCGCGGAATTTCCCTCAAGAGGCGAAGTACGTACGGACAACTCGCACACCTGCGCGCGCGCGCGCGCTCGTGTCATTTACTCTCTTGCTCTTGACCTCTTGCGAACTCGGGTTCCAAGACCGCTCACTCGCGCGCGCGCGCTTATCCTGCTTACGCACGCTGACGCGGCGCGAGTTGACCGCCGCGGCGCGCGGCGGGGCATATCAATCCTTATTAACAGGGGAATAACGCCCTCTCGGCGGGACTTCGCGCTCGCGGCGCAACCTCTCCGCGGCTATCACTTTATCTAATGCGGCGTTACGTTACGTTACGTTACGTTACGTTACGTTACGTTACGTTAAGTTACGTTACGTTACGTCGGCGGTCACGCCAGCGAACGATCGAGCGATATCTGGCGCGTAATAGTATCTCCACGCTGGAGCGTCACTTTAGACGTAATCTAGACGGATAATGAGAAGCGCGATACGGATCACGCGGCTGCTCGCACGAAATGACGCGCCGCGCCCGGAGAAAGTCCCGGACGTGCGCGACCGCGACTCGTCACGTTCTCTCTGATTTTTCAGATGTCCTGGTATCTCGATCTGATGCTCCTCGTCACGGCCCTCACGCATGTGTCCGGCGCCAAGAAGTGCGAGGGCAACGGTCTAGGTCTGAAGTACGTGTGGGGCGACGCGCTCACTGACCCTGATGACTGCATAGGGCCCAATAACATGCAATATCCCTCGTAAGTGAACTCGCTAGAGAAACCAAAGTGTCGCTAAATACCATGTTTAAAATAAATATAACAAAACATCATATTTTTTTCTTTAAATCTGTTTCTTATGTTTTAACCCTTGAAAGCTACTATATTATCAAATATCACTCCAAGCTAACTTTCTTGTTATTGTTTATAGTGAAGTATATGCGAGAATTGATCTGTTTTATCAGAATGTTGTCACTATACTATACTGATAATGAATATCCATAAAATTAGTATTGTCAGTATGTTTATGTTTTTTAATAAGAAAATTCGCATGGGGTGAAATTTTACCCATGGTAGACTATAAAGGTTAAATATGTTTTAAACATACATATATTTGATTATTAGCACAGTTCAAACATTTGATTTTTGCAATTTAGAGTGTAATCTGTAATTTATTAAGAAAACTTATTTTAATCATTTCATTTAAATAAATTATAAAAAGAAAATAACTATAAAAAGGAAATATGTCTATAAGATATGAATTATTGAGTAAATAGATATAATATATATATATATATAATAATTATTTTCTTAACAATTGTGCAATAATGTATACATTTAATAATTTTACATTCAAAACTTATATTAAACCAAAAAGACATATGTTTAAAAAAAAATGTGTATTTAAAACTCTCAAATGTTTAAGACATATTTAAAATTTTTGTTTGAACCAAAATATTTGAAACATGCCAACCTTACGCGACATATGTTGACTGCTTGGACATCAATTGGCTGCAATAATGAAAATTCGGAACCAATAAAAATCGCGATTGTGTATAATTGTCTCAATCATTTTGATTTTATTAATTATACACACATTATTGTACACAAATTAACGGTTTATTTAATCAATCAAATTAATTAATAATTACATACAGAAGTTTTTTGCGTATTGTTCAACATTCGAGGAGTTAATATTTTTTAAGTAATGCTTTCTTTAAGAAAAGTTTTTGATCGAATTGATTGATTGATTTGAACGTATGATCGGAAGGCATTTTTTAAAAATGACATTATTGTGTTCATGTAAAAATTGGGGTAATATTGTCCGGTCTATTTATCGAGCCGAGCTTGAAAAAGAAATCTTTTTCGTTCAAGGGCCGTTGGGAAGAAACGATAATTCTATAAAATTTTTAACACTTTGTAATATTCTGAAACGAGAGCTTTGCGAGGCATTGAAAAATGTTCATATGAACTTTTCTTCGTAAAATGATCTCGAAAATTATTTCGTAAAATATTGAACAGTACTTTCCAAGAAATATCCCGTACGACGATCGGTTATTTTTGTCTATCAATTTGCTGATTATTTTAATCGACCAAGTTTTTAATCTACTAACTAACTATTAATTGATCAACCAAGATCTTCATCGATTAATCTTCAACGCTGTTGACTGTCACGCTGATTTCCACTGATTAGCTGCTTAACTCAAGTTTGAATCATATGAAAAATATGTGATAAATAATTGCAATTCGCGATATATTATGTGTATACTAGTTGGTTAAACTAATTGTCTCTCTTTCGCCAATATATTCAATTTGTTATGCGCAATTACGTTCTACATTAATGAGACGATATTACATACAGCATCCGCCATTGGTGGCCACCGTGGCAATCAACGTTTTAAACGATCCACCTTTTGGATAATAATTTTGACAATTTTTACATTACTCGACGGATTATCGAGACATAGTTCGAGTACTTTATAATCTTGACGAAATATTCCTTAGGTGATAATTAGCACTTGGTGGGTGAAGTTCTAAACAACCGCTTAATTGATTTACTATAAATTCATCACCGTTATTGATAATTTGGCGCAGAAACCAAACTCTTATCACTCGAAGCACCTGACGTATAAGTTCGACTTCTTATTTGCGCGTTTTTTCATTCTGTTCTATCCGTTCTCCGGGCGGAAAGCGTTCCTAAAAAAAAAAAGTTAAAATTATTACATTATATAAAGTAAATGTCCTAAATAACAATATTGTTCCAAGTTGTAACAATTGCACCTGTTTTCCCCAACCAATCAGCTAATACGGATTCATATTTATCTTAAACATATGTTTTTATTCTAAATTTTATACATTACCGATTGTAATAAATTTCAATAGAAATTAAAGTTTATAGTAAATGCTGAAACATGATAATTATAAGTCTGCTGACGGCGGAAGTTCGAATGGTTGACATCTTAGAAAATAATTAATAGCTGATAATATCAGATGTTTGTTAGATCAGAGTGCATATTCTCCAACCTCTTCAAAACTAAACTGTCCTGTCACTGAATTATCGGTTATTTCTGAGAAAGTATCACAAATAAATTAAAATGTTTTTGCAAGTTGAAAGAATAGAATTCAACTCTCAAACTTCTCAACAAAATCAACTTTGTACAATTAGTTTCACACATATAATAATATTAATTTATTTTTACTAATTAATTACTTACTAATTATTTACTAATTTTTTAAATCAATTTTAAATTAATTTTAAACTAATTTTAAACTAATTTTAAAATTAATTATTTACTAATTAATTTATTTTAACTCGGTCACTAATTGGAAGTGAGTGTGTGAGTGAGACACATAATAAATATGAATGAAAGTTAAAATCGAGGTGATCAATCTCCAGTTGAATACAGACGTGTCGACTGAATAAACCAATAGGCTGAATAATCATATCAATGCAATGCATTGTTAAGAAAAATGTCATGAACCAAGAAGATTATGCAAGCAGAGTAATTACGCAATCCTCGCTGTAGCAGAAAGTTCTAAAAATCTGTTTTGTGAATTCTTTTATACTTTCTTAGTTTTCTTAGTTTAGAAAAATAGAGAGAGAGAGAGAGAGAGAGAGAGAGAGAGACAGGAAAAGAACGAGAAAAACGGATAAAGTATATCGTTCTTGCAGAGCCGCGATATCAAGGAGCTTTAAGAATCTCTGGGCGGGCAGTAGTCGAACCGCGCGATCGCATCCGCCACGGACGATTGATCCTGAACTGACGAGGCAGGCGCTTCTGCACAACTACAAAGCGGTCCATGGGGACTACTCCATCGCCGGAAACTCCCGGAACGGTGAGTTTAGCCGCATTTCCTGCCACCGCCGCCGCGCCGTTACGAAGCGCGAAAGAGAGTTCATCGCGGCGGATCGATTTATCGCGATCGGACCACCGCCGTGCCGGGTCGGTCGAATCACTCGCGAGTTATGATTCCTTCCTCTCGTTCGATTAAAAGACGCCGCCTGATGGGAGGATTAAGTATCCATGGTACGTGGAAGTAGCTGAAAGTTGTTTGCCAATCTCGTTAACCCCGCGTTAACCGGTTCCACATCTGCGCGTGCAACGTTCGTTTCTGTTTCCCTCCTGCAATCTTCGTCGGGGTTTATCTTAATTATATGTTTTGCGGGCTACACACAATCAGATTCGCCGCGCGATGGCGATAACATCAATCGCCGCTTCTCTTGATTCAACTTAAACGAATGTAAGTACAAAGTCGGAAGGCAGCTCCCGAAGCCGTCACGTTGCAATTTCCCTGGCGCAGGATTTGCCGTCGACCGCGCGACCTCGTGGTTGAGCCTTCGTTCGTTTAATCCTCCAGTAGCCACGTTTTTTCGGTATTGCAAATGGTCGCAATATATTTTACGGTATACAAATCAATTTTTCTTGTAAATACGTTCGTATCGTGGCCGTTGTCCAGCAAGGAACATTACGTTACGTTCAACACAAAAGTTTTTTATTGACTATGCATTATTTAAGATAATTTTAGATAATATGTAGCCACACAATAAAATCTTTTATGTACATAATGTTCCTGAGCTGAAAAACGCCCTATAATTTTTAATGTAATTTAATTCTTAATGTAGGGCAAGGTTGCCTATATTGGACCAGTTCTTAACTTCTTTTTCATAATTTGCAAATACTTAATAAAGATGGGATAAAGATTAATTAGAAATTATTCTTGATCTGTTTATAACATTTTATAATTTTTCGAGATTTTTGTACATCTTTCACAGATACATCTTTTTTAAAAACTCTGCAAGTGATAGAATTTTGGCAATTAGTTGCTTAAATTGTACCACGAAGTTTAAATTGCTTCCTTTTGTCCGATGTACTTAATTTAAAAACTATAAAGAGATAAAAACGAAATACAACTTAAATAAATATATGTTTAATTGAAATTATAGTTTGTATAAAAAACTAAAAGAAAATATTTTTTAATTAAAAAAGTAAACATTAAAATTACAAAGATAAAATATTTTTTGTTTTTAGAACTTAACTAAGAAATTAATTAAAGTCAGAATTTGTATGAAAAACTGAAAAAAAACTTTTTTAATTATAAAAATAAACATTAAAATTATTTATTAAAATAATTATTAAAATTATATCCATTTTTATGTGAAGTATTTTATATAAAAATTGACTTTTTACATTTATAAAATCATTCTTTGAATTCATTCGCGTAAAAATTATGGCGAGATGAAGTCGCATAATAACTAAATTTAGAAGCCTAAAAATATACAAAAGAAATTTGCAGGAAAATTGCCATATGTAAGTGATTAGGTTTCTCGCTAAATATAAGGTATATTCTTTATCGTTAAACGAATTCGAAACTTAAAAAGAAATAGATGTACAATTGAAGCTTGACAAATGAGCGATGGCAAGGTTTATCGTCGTGTATTCGTAGATAAGACGAAACCGAACAAAAAAGTCCTATATTATTTTGCAAACAACCACGTAAAATTCTGAATTATTAATTAAAAAAAGATCGCGCTATTTTGGTAAGTTGCTAAATGAGCTGCCACGGCGCCGCCTGCCGTCATATGTTCGTAAATTACATTAAACGAGCAAAAAATCCTCCTGTACGCATCAGTTTGCGCGAACAACTACGCAAATTTTTAAGTTATTAATTAAAGAAGCTTGGGATAAAAATGAGGCGACGCGACGCCTCGAGCGGCTCTACTCGGCATCGGGCGAAGAGCAACGTTCTTTCTTATTCAATTTCACCTGATCCACAAGCACGCGACGGCAGACGTCGACATCGCAACTCATTAATCGTGTCAATAACCGCGATCATTGACCTTCTTTAGCTAATAACTTCTCCCTCTAATAGCTCAAAATCTGATGATAAAAATTTTCATAAAATGGCAAAGTCTATCGTCGCGTATTCGTTGATGAGATCGAACTGAGCAAAAAATTCTACGTCACTTTGCAAACCCTAACAGAAATTTATTACTGGCTGCAATAAATTGACCAGAGATAACAAATAATTTTATTACTTGTGCGAGTAATTGTATTACTCATAGTAATAAAATTACTTATTACTGGCCAATTTATTAATAATAAAGCTAGTATATAAATTTCCGTAAGAGGACAACCACGTACTGAATTCTGAATTATTAATTCCAAATTTAATCAAATTTAATTTAATTATTAAAAAAACTCGCGCGTTGGGTTTAACCCGATCTTGCAATCCTGTGCAACGCCTTCGCAGCCGACACGCCGCGACGAATACCACGGAAATCTCTCGGCAGCTCGAAATACGAAGTTGCATCCGCGGTCGTTGGAGGGTTAAAAAATGCCTCGGCTGCCACCGACTAGACGAATTGCCTGCTCGAGTGCGATCATTCCCTCCGTTCGTTCCCTCCCTCATTCCGGCACCGCCAATTTCTATAAAACGACCTTGTTCCCACGCGGCCGAAGACCTCGGCAAGGATTCGCGCGCGGCCCGAAGCTCGCGCAGACCCACGAAAATTGGAACGGCCGGTCGCCGGGTACGAGGTGGCCGTTTACGATCGCGCCTACTCGCCCTGCAGCCTTGAGTTATGCAGCTGTCCTTATGACACGAAAACCCGCTTATATGCGAGCGTGTAAGCGTCGTTTCCGACCGGTCGCGCCGGTCGGCGTTTCTGCGAAATCCGCGCGCGCGACCGGAGAATTTTCCGAGCTGGCTGTTCGATCCTGCCGATAATGGCCGGTCGGTGGCGCACCAGCGCGGTAATAAGGCACCGTGTTATCCGGCCAATACAGTTATCGCTCGTTGTGCTCATAACGGGACCCGCCGCGGCGGCGACCCACTCGTCGTTTCGTTTCGAACGTACGCGGCTTGTCGCGCGGGATAGCCGCCGCGAAGGCCGCTGATTCCGAGAGCGAATTCTGAGCTGGCTGCGTGCGAGGAAGAGGAGGAGGGAAGGCTGCCCGTCGTCGGGTGAGGTGTACCCGGTTGCGAATGAACCGCAGCGATCGATCGGGTTTCTCTGACTCGTCTCGGCTCCTCGCGAGCGAGTTGGGCGAGTGTGACGAATCGTGCACTTTAGGAGGACGAGGCGCTTTAATCTTTGTGATCCTCCGCGAGAGCAGCTCACACGTGAATCCCGTACTATTACGGGACTATCGTATACAGTAGCACTGTGTTACGTGTGTGACGCTTTGCTCCTGTCGATAAGCCGCAATAACGCCGTATAGCTTCGCGTATATGTTAAAAACAGCGGGACCAATTCATTGTTAATGCATTGTTGCATACGCGGTGAAAGAGTCTCGATTCATGTAGCGAAATGAACAGACCAGACGGGAACTCGGTGACGAGGGATAAACGATATCTTTGTTGCCGCGATCGAAGACGTACATCTGCGAGCAGTCTTATAGAAAAGTATTATTGGCTGTAGTAAATTGGCCAGTGATAAATTATTGTTGCTCAGCAATTTTAACTTGTATGAATAACAAAATCATGTAATTTATGTAATTTAAATTACGAGTAATTTTATTTAAAAATATTTGATTCGTATAAGTAATAAAATTACTTGTAATTAAATTATATAAATTACAAGTAATTTTATTTCTCATACGAATACTAAAACAACAATAATTTATCATTGGCTAATTTATTACAGCTAATAATACTTTCGTCTGAATAATAAAATTATATAATTTACGAAATTTAAATTACTCGTAATTTAATTACGAATAATTTTATTTAAAAGTATTTAATTCGTATGAGTAATAAAATTACTCGTAATTAAATTACATAAATTACTCATAATTTTATTTAAAAGTATTTAATTCGTATGAATAATAAAATTACTCGTAATTAAATTACGTAAATTACAAGTAATTTTATTACTCGTACAAATACTAAAATTATCAATCAACAATAATTTATTTATCAACCATAATTATTTATCAATAATAATTGGCCAATTTACTATAGCCAATAATACTTTTTTACCGTACGAAAATCCATAGAATTTTTCAATGAGATGATTACGTGTTAAAGTCGCATGAAAATGGAGACGTTTGCGAACATTGGCTGAGCGAAAGAAGATTCCTACAGGAATCATCCTTGTCATCAGGTCTTCGCCCGATCTGCAAACGGGAAATTCGGTCACGCTAACGGACTTGTTTTTTCCGCGTATAACATCACACGAAGCAAAAAACAATTCCGTTAGTGCAACTGAATTTTCCGTTCTCTAAGGAGGATAAGGATCAAACGGAGAATTTGGAATATGTGAGACGACGTCATTTTTCGTCGTCGAATTTCGCGCGTTCGATTCCTTTCGGTCAAACCAGCCGAAGTTATGTTTCCCCGCGGTGCCGACGAAAATTGTCCGGAGAAGATGATCGTCACTGGGTTTTCAGGCCGTGCGTTTTCCGCGAAGGAAAGTTGCGGCTCGCCTGCCCGGCTCTGCAAAACGAGGTACAATACCACGGCGCCTATGTACGGCATCAGCCTCACCAGCGGGCAGCCGGTAACGATCGTTCAGAAATTTCCCGATCTTCTGCAGCAAGTGGTCTTCGAGGTCTGCGAGTGAGTATCGAGAACGAAATCTGAAATAAGGTTTGCTTTGAGTATTAATCTCACTCCTTCACCGCTGCTTCGCGAGAGCTTGCCAATTAACGCATTCTCCATTACGCTCACTTAATCAACTAAGATTTTCATCGATTAATATCCAACACGCCGATTCCCACTGAGCATTTCAATGTTCAACTGAAGTTTCCATCACCGAGGATGAAGCGCGAAATTTTGCCGAAACAAAAGTCGCTCTAAAATTAGCCGAGGCGCGAGTACCGCTCGTTCGTTCGCCGCTTGAATTCGATACCTGAGGAAGAACTTCCCGTTTTCAAAGATATCTTCGCACACTTGAGGATTTTGGCGAAAGCAACAACTCGCTTCTAAATTTAACCGCATGCCCATGGTGTGTCCGGTAATCTCGAGACATCCATCGTGCACGTGCCTCGTTAGACACATAACACGGTTTCCGCGGCCAATTTATGTAAATGGCATTCACGAGTGGCTGGTGTTTATCGACGTGATATATCGCACGAAATTTCGGCCGGGGTGATTTATAAAAGCGGCCACGGGACACTGTTTGGATGGAAATTCGCCCGAGTCGCCTGTGCTCGCTGAATTAATTCGAATGTGGCGCAGTAGGGCGAACTGGTTTACCACTGTGTATCCGTGATCGACATACGCCTACTTTTCAAAGACTTTTTCCAAATGAAATTCCATCCCGCTGACTATTCCCGTAACCTCGCGTCGCGCAAAGCCGTGGCCGAAGTGGCCGAAGATCATCCCGAGGATTCTTGCCCGCGCCCGAGAATTCGCGCGAAGAAGAACGTGCGCGAATTCTTCGCGCGTTTCGCAAAGCAGCGATATCGTGCCGCACGCGAAGTTATATCGGTCGCGAATTCATTTACCGGTTAGTCATTCATTAGCGGGTTACGCAGTTCCTCCGGTAAAAATCTGACCTCGTGGACGTCCAGTCAATAAATTTGTATCTAACATCTCGCTATTTGCCAGCGAGGTAACGCTTGCCTCTCCTAGCAGCTGAATAACCAAACTAATTGCAAGAGAAACGACAATTATGAGGTGAAGAAATGTAACTAGTTGCGCTGACTAGTATAATAATAATACACGCTCACTTTTGCTTACTTTTTGCTAAGATTTTTACGAAATGACATAACCTCAAATTTAACTTACTATAATTTTGAATTACTGCTGGCGGCATACAGGCTGCACAGGTCCAATACCCATTGCTTTCGTACTGAAAATCTACACTTTACGTTACGTATACTATGGCTTCCCAGTACTGGCAATGGATATCGAAACGTAGTCGCAATAACTGGGCTGTACATTGGATTGGCTAAAAAATAATGTCGGAACAAGTAATTGTATGGAACCCAAACATCACATCTGGAAACCAGATCAAGTTGATACGAATGGTTCTCAACGTTGGATTTCGATATTCCTAACATTTCAGCAATCTCTCGTGTGCTATAATGTGGATTATTTTCAATTAGATTGGAAATTTGATTGTTATATCAATCTCGATAGCAATCTCTGCCAGAACGTTTATCATCGGTAAGACTAAAATCCCGATCACCACACTTTTTGGGCCATACTCTTTGCAGCATTCTTTCATTCGCCGTGCACATCAGAAACGTCTTTTGCTGTTTATACCATATTTTTATCTCTGCAAAAATAAAAAAGCATAATCGCATGAAATAAAAATACATCTTCTCGTTATCCAATTTCAAGTCAAAATTTTTAAAAGTTTAATAAGATATAATGAACTTCTTTTAAATTACATGTTAACATTTCAGCTTTTAGACTATATGTACGTTTTATAGGTTACGAGTAATCTTGTTCTAAAAACAGCAGAAACGACCTCTTAAAATGCAACATTATTTATTGGCCAACCCAATAGTTTAAAACGGGCAGTACCATCTATCATATTTCGTGCGCAATGGCTAGATTGCGACTAGTTTTCGAAAGCGACTCCACGCATTTCCCATACATTTCCGTGAATAAACTAATAACGAGCTAAGAAACTTCGTGCAGTCTGTGCTTCCGAGCTGTTTTGTAACTTAGACCGACTAGTGTTGCACTTCCACCTGGCTCGTAAACAGCTCTCCCTGTTCCGGTGAACGAACCCAGCAGCATCTCCCTCATCGCTTGTTGTTTCAGATCGAAGGAATGCGACGTGGTCCACGGTGAGTGCACGCAGACCTATGTACCATACCTGTTTCTGGTGATTCCTCTGGGTCCAGTGACCTTGACCGGTCAGGATTACGTGCTGGTGGAGAGCGGTTGCGTCTGCAAGCCGAGAAATTCGGCGAGTGCGTCCGCCGACCCGCCGGCCGTCCCGAGCTTTTAGCCAGACCGTCGCCATCTCGGATCAGACAAGAGCGTCTCGCGACATCTCGGATCGGATTTCGCCTCCCGTTCGCTCTTCGCGAGACGAAAGGACTCATTATGAAAGCGCGTGTTTGCTCTCGGGCGTCCTTCGGACGCAGGGAGTGACTTCCAACGCCGGTGTCCTCGGCAGCACCGCGACACCGAGAAAACACTCTCCGAGTGCTACTCCCGATAAGTGAGCCGAATCAGTCTCTCTCTGTCTGTTTATCCTACTCGAGCCATATTTACTCTCTTCGGAGCTGTTCTTTTACTTCCGCCAAGGTGAATGTCCCGGTGAGCGAGGACAAGTAACCTCGTTGAGGAAACTAATTAATAAATTGCTAACACGCGTGTTGAAAGCCAAGCACGAAAGCGACGTTGCTTTTCGCTGGAGAGCTCTTTAACTTCTGTCACAGGAATCGTGTTTTCCTAATTTACGGGACGATTTTCTCGTTTGTTTCGTCAGAGATGAGTGAAATAAAATTTAATGGCGGATCTAAAAAATGTAGACATCTGACATCACGAGATCAAGATATCGGCGAGCAACTGGTTCGGATCATCGCCGTCTGTAATCATGACGTTATTGGCTTTGAATTCCGCTCGAAACTTGCGTAGCCGATAATGCTAAAATTTAGAGCGTAAATTTTAGAGCGGGAATACATGTTTAAAGTGAATATACGAAGCCGTATTAGCCGATTTATAAAGGAGAGCAGGTGCAATTGTCACGGATCGGGATATTCAACTTATTTTCTTCTTTCTTCAATCACCGCTCATTCTCAACGCGCCGTTCTACGGTCCGCTTGATAACTCGATTCCGCATTCGCAGCGGGAGAGTCAGGCCGCTCTCGCTTACGAATCCTCGCGCGATATCGCGGCGATTTATCGATACCCCCGCGAACAAACGACGAGCCTCGAACTCTACCGAGCGGCCGTTTTCTGCACCGAAACCAGCTCCGGTACGCGTCGAAGCGCAAACACGGCTCGAGCATCTCTCTCTCGCAGCATCCTCTCCCTACTCTCTCTCACACCTTCCTCTCTTCCTTTCCTTCCTCCTCGTGCCAAAAGCCCCGGCGGGACATATTCCGCCGGCGTGAAGAAGCAAATCGGGCCAGTGGTCGCGGCCGTTTCGCGGAATCCGGTCTCGGAATTCGATCGAGTTCGCTAGACTCGCCTCGAGCCGGTTTCGTGCAGATGCAACAGCACACCTCAGCCTGAGCCCCGTGTCCACACCGGCAGGATCATCCGCGGGGCTCCTTCGGGCGCTATCACCGTCGTAAAATTATATCACGCGCCTGCGAGTCACGATTAAATAAAAACGTGTCCTGCGGAATTGCGCGGCGACAACTGAATCGAACGAACGGACGATCGTTGCCGCGTTAGCTTATCTCTACGGCGGAGATTGTCCTGTCGCCCGACGATACCGACGGAGCCGGAATCCGTGTCCCGTGGAAAATCGAAGCAGCGGCGACATTTTCGCTCCAGCAGTCGGGGCGAACGCGACGAGGTGCCCCTTGTTGGTATGCAAACGCGAAGCACTAAGACGCGCATCTTCAAGGTGTTACCGGAGGAATTCCCACGCAGCGTGAACACGTCCCGCGCCATTCTCCAGGCATTTCGGACGCGTTGAGCGTGCTACTACCGGGATGTCCCGGCGCTATTTGGGTTAACATGTCCGAAGGATCTCTCGTATTTCCATGCGTCTTCCATGCGTTGCCCGCGGCTGTAACGATTGCAGCGCCGACGATGAGCGCTCCCCGTTCGCCTCGTACATCATCGTCATCGTGTCGCCGGCACGACGTCGGCTCCAGCCTGCTACTGACCCAGAGAGAACGAAAGAGAGAGAGAGAGAGAGAGAGAGAGAGAGAGAGAGAGAGAGAGAGAGAGAGAGAGAGAAAGGGTCAAGATCACCAGGACGACGGGGGCACAAAGGCAGAGGCGCGCGTTTCCTGTCCCGCTTATGTTACGCGCGAGTCTCCCCTGCGATACGCCAGTGGCCCGCTTGCACGCTCCACAGAAACCGGACCTTGTTCGCAGTAGACCTGCATCGGGACGGAATTGCGTGCGTGCGTGCATATGTACATACGCACGCACGCAAGGCTCGTAGAGAGAGACACGTCGAGAATAGAGCGCAGCGTGAATTCCGATGAGCGTGATGTACCGTTAGCCGCTTTGCGGGATCGCCGTCGCGTCTCCGCGCTGCTTCTCACCTGCTCGTCATCTCACGGCGGTGAGATGCGCGGCGCAGCAGCCGAAAGTCGACGCGAGCGACCGAACTGTCGGGAGGACGATCGCGTTTCCGTCGACGACGACGGACAGCGCGTACGTAACGAGAGCACGGCTTGGTCACTAAGAGTGAATTTTCAGGGCCGCGCGAAAGGAGTAGAGCAATGTCTCGCGGAAGGATAATCGTCGATTCCAACAGTCGATTCTTAGTGATCGAAAGTCACTCCGAGAGCCTTTGGTCAATCGCTTCGGTCGACCTTTCCGTTTTCCCGGCTCTCCCGCGAGACGGCAGTCCGCACGTCGAACGATCGCCCGGATCTCCTCGTTTCGAAAAGGAGGCTATTTCGAGCGCAAACGTACGCGTTAGATGGGTACTTCCTCATTTCCGCATTTGTCACCTTTTGTATTTATAGCTGTAACATGCATTCCCATGCGTATTTATAATTTATTATTAGATTATTATACATTGTGTAAGAATCGAGTATGTAAACACTTCTTTGTCCCCTCCATTCGCCCAAGCGTGTGTTGCGAGTTTCTCGATTAACTTTTTTTTTTCGGTAAACCTTTACATCAAAGAGCTCATGACTTTGACCATGACTTATATTATGAAGATCACTCTCTTCTAAATAATCTTCAGGTTTTAGCTGTCGCTCATTGTTTATTAAAAAGCTATTACTAAAAAAATGTTTCATAAACAAGATGTAGTTTTATTTCCGATACTGTGTACATTTAAGGGCAATACGCCTAGTACGTGTAAAAAAATATCTTTTTGAATAGCATTTAAAAAACTTTTAGAAAAGTTTCATAAATAAGATGCCTACATTTGTGACACCGTATAAATGGTTAGATTAGGTTTTGTAACACTAAAGCATCCACAGTCTAACCTAATCTAACTATATATATAGTGTCAAAAAGATACGTTTTATTTATAAAACTTTTCTCGTTAATAACATTTTAATAAACGGCAATTAATGACTGGAATTTTTTAATATTTATATGCAGTATATATTACGTATTTGTTTCTTTAATATATACGATGTCAGTAAACCACGTTCTGTTTATAAAATCTCCTTTGTTAATAACTTTTTAATAAACACTGTGGCTGATGGCTAAAACCCAAAGGCTATTCAGAAAAATGATCCTTATAGCATAAGTCAAGATCTATTTACAAAACTTTTTTCGTTAATAACTTTTTAATAAACAAAGATAGATGAAACTGTCTTAGCCGTCCCTCATTGTTTAAGAAATACTCAAAATACTTAAGAAATAATCAAGAAGTTCTCAGAAGAATGGTCCCTATAATACAAGCCAAGATCAAAGCCATAGGAGATAGACCCTAATATAAAGATTCTTTTCCCATTTTTTTTATTAAGTAAGCGATACCCGCCGCACCTATTTCCAAATCGGTTTCGGAAATTTTGCTTTTAGTTATAAGGCCGATAGGCCTTAAACTGAAACTTATAGATACGTTCCGTAATTGATCAGCTGATCACACTTGGACGTTCACAGCTATGTACTATTTCTGTATACAAACTTGATTTTAGCTATTAATTTCGTAATATTAAATAGAGAAGTGGATAGATTTTTTTATTACTTATCCTGATAACTGATTAGCTGATCAATTACGGAACGTATCCGAGTTAGCTTAAGGTCAACCTTACGACTAAAACCAAAGTCCGAAACCGATTTCGGAACAAATCTACGAGCTCGGCGACACGCTCCGTCGCAGCGCGCGCATACGCATCGCGAGATGATCATCGTGCGATTAATTATCAGCTCACTTTGCACTGTAAATCACGTCGGTGTGGTTTCTCTCGTCTGCGTGCTCGTTATTATCACATTTTCCTTAATTGATTTTGCCGTTGCGCACGGCAACTGGTAGCCGCATAGTATAACGCGCGATGATCGTCGAATGATTTATGACATGCGAAAGAAATACGCGCAGGATTCCCGGCGCATCGAAAGACGCACACACATACACGCACGAACAAGCGGAAAACGTTCGCTCTAGCCCGCTTCGGCATCCTCCATTTTCAGCGCATAACGGTACCGGAAGACTCGCGTATGTGCAAATAGGACAAACTTTATTGCTCTCCTCTCGTGCTCTCGAGCCAGCAAATCAAGCTGGCCGGGTCGTAAATGTAAATACAGGAGCGTTAAACAGACTCGTACAACGTGCGCGCGCGATGAGAACGTAAGCGTGAAAAATAGTCTCGACACCTTGCAGTTCGCTGTTCACACTTCACTGCGCGAGCTGACGGAGGAAATGATCGTAAAACCGTCGACTCGCGGAAAAATATCCTCCGCGCCTTCAACACTCGTAAACGCAATCAGCTTACTTCACAGGTGCGTCCGTTTTCCACTCAACAGGCTTGCTTCTTCTTAAATTAGTATACACTTCCAGAACTTGAAGATAAACGGACATACACTTGAGACCCGATGATGAAAAAATGGCAAAAGAGGACAAGCGCCAGATAGTGTAGAAAAAACAGACCTGTTTTCGAGCAGTATAGTGATGAAAACATAGGCGAAAAATAGCCCCGACATCTTATAGTTTAGTCTTCACACTTCACTGCGCGAGCTGACGGAGCAGATGATCGCAACACCATTCATTCGTCGAAAAACATCCTTTTCACGCCTTCAACACCTATAAATCCGCTTACTTCAGGTGCGTTCGTTTTTCACTCATTGTCCAAGTTGAAGACATGTTACTATCAATCCACTAACAGCACCATTGTCCACGTCTTCCTCCCAACGCAGCTATGTTTCAACTGACTGCTGAAAACGACCCTGCACAGCTCTAGAGACTCATCCATAATGCAGCGTCCAAGTGCTCCCTCGACTCCATAGCAACTCCACTTGTCAACGCGGGCGAACTGTTCAACAATAACAAAAAACACCAATGAGCTCTCTACAGTCCTCGTTTCACCCTCCTCCTAAAGTTTCCTCACCGATTCGTGTTTCATCGGTTAAAAGATGTTAAATGCACATGATCGCAACCCTTAGAAGTGCAAGATAGCAACGGTAGTAAGGAGAAAAAAAACAAAAGTGGGAGATCCCCCTCCTGATTGACAGCGCACACAGTTTGTACGTTCCTACGATAATAATTTATTCATTCGCTGCTTTCAATATTCAATCAACAAGGCGATAATAAATGATCGTACGTGCGTCATGCTCGTTCCGTTGCTGAAATATTCACGATCGTATTGCCAATTTCCGTCACGAGAGAATTTCTTCCCGAGGGCAAGTCTTCTGTCGAGAAAGAGGGGGATGATTTCTATCCTCGGGAGAAAACAGAGTCCTTTTGATCCCAGGCATGGAACGTTCGAGCGAATATAATGGTTCTCCTTCCCGTTATCGGTTTACGGTTTTTATTCAGAAACAGACACTTTTTTATTTAAAAGTATCATACCATTATTGTCATATTTATGTACTTTTTTTCGAGAGATTTGTCAGTGCACGATCTCAATACGAAATTAATTTATACTTAATATACTGCTTAGGAAGGAATTGTCCACGAGAGAGAAAAAGAGGGAATATAATGAGAAAGAGAGAATATGACTGTTTGTTTCATACCACGAGCGTTGCTCGTCTCCATCTTGTTGATATTTTGTCACTTTCAAATGATATTTTATTACCGATTACCGCGTAATTTTTTTTTACTTAGGGAAGTCGGTACGCCTGTGCAGTCTATTTAAAGTCAATATATTTGAGCATGGAAATGGCACATATATAAAATGATAGCTTGTAGCGTAAAATGGAACTCAAGTGGAAATTTGCGGCAACAGATTTCGAATGGGCGGTCAGCCTGAATCGGCATATGTTGAAAATCGTCGGTTTGTGGCCGCCGGACAATCGTGACGCTCGCGAGATCGTAAAGTCCAAGCTTCGACGGCTGTACAACATTGTCACGTTGTTTTTCATACTGACAATACCAATTTTAATGGCGCTAATGAGGGTATGGGGTGACATGATTTTAATGGTAGAAAATATGCAATACGCTCTACCGATATTATGTGCAGTATTTAAAGTCTGCATTCTTTGGTACAAACAAAAAGGTACAGGTTGTACTAAAGCTATTTGATAAGTTTCCAGCCTAACGATGAAGCAATTTATATTTTTGGGCAAAATGAGTTTTATTTTTCAATATAATTTCCTTTTAACTTCATACACTTCGTCCATCTTTTTTCTAGACTTTTTTCATTCCATCAAAGCAAAGTAGGTTGAATCAAATTCTGCAAAATACTCGTTTACGGTGACAATCACTTTCTTACTGGTCGTGAATTTTTTTCCACCCAACCATTTCTTCATGTTCGGGAATAAAAAGAAGTCGCGAGAGACTAAAGAAGGGAATCAATTTGTAGAGCGTGATTCATTTAGTCCTGACCTTTAGTCTCTGAACATTTAATATGATTTGGTGCACTTTATCGGCTATTTTCTCAGTCGTTGCAGTTTTGAACGATTGTTTTGGACGATCCAGGCGATCGTCATCAAACACACTTGTACGACCACGCTGGAACGGCAACCTAAACTTTCATTATTGAAAAACGAAGAAACAGAGTCACCGTAAACAGAATCCAACTTAGTTTTGATTTCCGTTCTGATTTTCCCTTTTAGATTCAAGTTTTTAGTCACAGAACGATATTCGATTTTTTCTATCGTTAAACAAACATACTAACATACTAGCATACCACAACTAACTGTCAAAATAAAACTAAGCGTCGTATATGGCCGAACATTTAGGAGTAGTTATTGAAAAGATGTAGCTTTCTTATAGCAGTTATCTTAAGCAGTTTCCGACCAGTAACGACATCTTCATGTTCAGGTTCGAAACTTATCAAACAATCCACGTTATACAAGTGATTGCCCCCTAATGCCTACTTCAATGTTGCGTATAATCGGCGAACATTGAACGTTAAAGCGTAGCTGCTTTTTATAGATTTACTGTCCCTTATCGACATGATCGAGATAGACTGGACGAAATCGAAGACGAAGAAGGAGCGAGACGTTATGCTGAGACGCGCGAGAATCACTCGCGCGATCGTTATGTCCGGATGGGTCATAACGATTTTGACATTAATCATTACTTTCGGCCTGCCGTGTTTCGGATTAACGGCCAGGCACACGACGAACCTGACCGACTTCGGAAGACCGTTGCCGATACAGTCGTACTACTTGTACAATATTTCCACGAGTCCGCGGTTCGAGCTGACACTTTTGGCTCAAGGATTCACGATGATCACGACTAGTCTTTCTTATTGCGGCTTCGACCACTTCCTGGGATTGTTGATTTTGCATGTGTGCGGTCAACTGGAGAATTTGCACTTGAGACTAATGCACATGGAAATGTATTCAAATTTCAATGTAGCTTTGAAATACAACGTCCAGGATCATATCCGCCTGATCAGGTAGGTCCGGTTAAAATGTCCGAATAAACTGTCTTGGTGGAAGATATGGAAACCATTTGAACATTTATCAATATATAATTGCATCGTTTTCTATGAGGCAATGAATGTTGCAGATCGGTCGAGCTCATCGATAATATATTCGGTTTAATGCTACTTGTTATAGTGATTTTCTTCAGCATAATGTTCTGCCTACAAGGATTTCTCCTTGTTAATGTAAGTTGATAATTAATGCACAAGATTAGACGGGGTTAAAAATTTGTTTTGTATTAAAAAATTGCTTCCATTCGTATAGAAACAAAATAGCACGACTTTCTTATCAGCCTGATATAAGCCATGTTCATTTGTGAACACAAGCTGCAAGATGCACTTTGTTACTAAACAATTCGGTCACAACAATTTTCTTCACATAGATGATACCTTTCGAATGTAACACAACAAATTTCAGAGGATATATTATTTGGACCTTTTTGACCTATTAGGTTGTCCATCAAAAAAGCCAAGTATCGCCAATACAATTGATTTGGTTCGTCACAGCGCTAGTGTATCCTTTCCTGCACATGTTTCTTTGTTGCGTCGTTGGTGAAATTCTCGTGACACAAGTAAGTGAATCAATACATGACAGTGATTTTAACGCCATTCCAGACAGCGAGACTCGTGCAATTTTAGAATTATGAATAACATTACGCGATTCTGTAACAACCTGGAATTATTGCATCGGTACTATATTAACTTAGCAAAATAAGGATATTTCTATCACTAACGTTAATTTATATATCGGGAGATTGGTTCTTTTGAATCAGATCGCATATATAAATTGCATTTCTCTAGTCCGAGAAAATACATCGCGCCACATATGAATACGCATGGTACGATACGGATCCGAAAGCAGCAAAGAACTTAATAATGATCACGCTTCGCGCTAATAAGACACTTTGCATCACGGCTGGGAAAATGTTTCCTATGACGATGGCATCGTTTTGCAATGTAAGTTATATGTGATACAGAGAATGCATTACTGTATTTCGTCAGTTACTTAAAATTTTATTCCTGAATGAAAATTCTTTCATGTTCGTTATTTCATATTTACATTACGACGGATCAAAACTGAACAAGCACAACAATTTGGATCATAAATTTCCCAAACTGCCAATATTTATTGTAGATTTACATATTATTTAGTAAGAGTAAGTTTTTCCTCACTTCTTACTTACCATTAATAAAATGTTACAGTTATTGAAAACATCAGCAGGTTACATATCTGTGTTACTTGCCAAGCAAAATTGATGGCATATTGTGAATTCAAGATTTAGGTGATTCTTTAGAGACATTAAAGTACATAATTGATAAATTGATTTCTTATATATATTCCTTGCGACAAAAAGAAAATGTAGATACCATATTAAAGATGTATTATATATTTAAAAGACATAAGAAAATAAATAAGGGAAAGTTTAATAAGACAATATTACAAACTTATAAGCATCCATAATCACATTTTTAATTAATGGTATATAGTTTGAGAATGTCAAAACCTAAAAACTGTTTGAACTTTCTTGATTATCTAATATTTTAGAACAGAAGGGGATATTATATACAATTAACATTTGGATTTTATAATCAATGCCCGATATCGAGGTAATAGTATTCAACTAGTATTATACAAAAGTCCTACAGCTTGTGCACAACAGATATGCTTACATCGCTCAGGCAAACCTCAAAAAACAAACCTCTATATTTATAACCAAATTCACGCTGAACACTCTATATAATACCTCAAATTGCAAAAATTAATTAATTATTTAAACACAGTGATTTATAAAAAAATATTTTCGCAAGAGGATTTACATATTACGAGAATTGTCTTTTACTCGAAGAATGCTCTAATTATTTATTTCAACACAAGTCTGCATTTTAGAGATATTTTCCCGGTTGAAGGTACATTATAGCAAAACCGGCATAGACACTGTCAACCTCGTCCTTTCAGCTATGTGGTCATATTCTTGACTGTCGGTTAGAAGTACTGTTGCAGCTAAAGATTCATTAATAATGTATCGTCTATCACTGGGAATTTTCCCATACCGTGGATGAACTTGTCAGCAAAGTGAAAAATTGGCCAATTTTTTATGACTACCTCACTTTTCTTTCAAAGTTTTTTGCAGTCTATGGTTCAGCATTGTGACATAAGAAATTCTACACCTGCGTGATCGTGCAACCATTCATTACAGGTGTATAGTGACGAAGAGGTAAAAGAAGACACGAAATAACGAAAGCGGTGTACTCTCTTGCCGATAGACAATACTTATTTTCGTGCACCACAGCAATATTTTATTCATTAATTTCTTTCGCCAGTGCAACATGTCAGAAAACGCTAATATACAACTACGTCTACATACAGCGCGTTTTCTAGTTTTTATAATATTCACGAAGTGCTACAAACTTCAGCCATATGAGAATATTTTTTCGAGGTAATATTAATAGATTGCAAAAGTGCGGATGACTTGTTTTTCACAAACAGATACATTGGGAGACAGTGTCCATTAGACCTTAGATATGGAATGTTCGAGCGGATATAATGGTGCTCTTTTCCGTTATCAGTTTACAGTTTTTATTCAGAAGCAGTCACTTTCCTATTTAAAAGTATTATACTAGATTTAAAAGTATCATACCATTTTTATGTACTTTTTTTCGAGAGATTTGTCAGTGCACGATCGCGATACCTCGATGCGAAATTAATTTATACTCAATATACTGCTTAGGAAGGAATTGTCCACGAGAGAGAAAGAAAGAGAATATAATGGCTGTTTGTTTCATACCACGAGCGTTGCTCGTCTCTGTTTTGTTGATATTTTGTCACTTTCAAATGATATTTTATTACTAATTACTGCGTAATTTTTTTTTTTACTTAGGAAAGTCGGTACGCCTGTGCAGTCTATTTAAAGTCAATATATTTGCGCATAGAAATGGCACATATATAAAATGATAGCTTGTAGCGTAAAATGAAACTCAAGTGGGAATTTGCGGCAACAGATTTCAAATGGGCGGTCAACCTGAATCGGCATATGTTGAAAATCATCGGTTTGTGGCCGCCGGACAATCGTGACGCTCGCGAGATCGTAAAGTCCAAGTTTCGACGGCTGTACAACATTGTCACGTTGCTTTTCGTATTGACAATACCAGTTTTAACGGCGCTAACTAGGGTATGGGGTGATATGATTTTAATGGTAGAAAATATACAATACGCTCTACCGATATTATGTACAGTATTTAAAGTCTTCATTCTTTGGTACAAACAAGAAGGTACAGGTTGTACTAAGGCTGTTTGATAAGTTTCCAGCCTATTTTGATTGTTCCTCATGTTCAGGTGGTGGTGAATCACTGTTTTGCCAACAGTTACGAATTGACGTGAGAAATCCTTTATATCTTGCTTGAATCGGTCCAAAGACTCTTTCGGAATGTGTTTCAATGTCAGTAAATGTAGCACTTATCGCGCAGTCAGCTTTCTCATACCCAAATCTTCATATAATATTTTGAACATACGTGTTTAGAAGATATACATCTGCTATCTCTCTGACCTTTAGTCTCCGATTATCCAGTACGATTTGATGCACTTTGTCGACTATTTCCTCAGTCGTTGCAGTTTTTAAGTGACCTGGGCGCTCATCGTCAACACTTTTACAGCAAGCTTTAACTCGGTGACTCAAACTTTCACCGTTGAAAAAGAAAGAGCAGAGTCACCGTAAACAGAATCCAACTCGGTCTTGATTTCTGTTGGGATTTTCCCTTTTAGATTCAAGTATTTAATCACAGAACGATATTCGATTTTTTCTATCGTTAAACAAACATACTAGCAAGCATACCACAACTAGCTGTCAAAACAAAACTAAGCGTCGCATATGGCCGAACATTTAGGAGCAGTTATTGAAAATATATAACTTTCACATTTTATGGCACTTTGCGAGCAGTAACATCATCTTCATGTTCAGGCTCGAAACTTATCAAACAATTCACGTTATACAAGTGATCGTCCTCTAATGCCTAGCTCAATGTTGCATATAATCAGCGAACGTTAAGCGTTAAAGCGTCGCTGCTCCTTATAGATTTACTATCCCTCATCGACATGATCAAGATAGACTGGACGAAATCGAAGACGAAGGAGGAGCGAGACGTTATGCTGAGACGAGCGAGAATCACTCGCGCGATCGTTATGTCCGGATGGGTCATAACGATTTTGACATTAATCATTACTTTCGGCCTGCCGTGTTTCGGATTAACGACCAGGCACACGACGAACCTGACCGACTTCGGAAGACCGTTGCCGATACAGTCGTACTACTTATACGATATTTCCACGAGTCCGCGGTTCGAGCTGACACTTCTGGCTCAAGGATTCACGATGATCACGACTACTCTTTCTTATTGCGGTTTCGATCACTTTCTAGGACTGTTGATTTTGCACGTGTGCAGTCAACTGGAGAATCTGCATTTGAGATTGACGCACATGGGAATGTATTCAGATTTCAATGTAGCTTTAAAATACAACGTCCAGGATCACATCCGCTTGATCAGGTAGGTCCAGTCAGATTGTCGGAATAAACTGTCTAAATGAAAAATGTGGGAACGATTTGAGCATTTATCAACACGGTGCAAAATTACATCGTTTTCTATGAGGCAATGAATGTTGCAGATCGGTCGAGCTCATCGATAATATATTCGGTTTAATGCTACTCGTTATAGTGACTTTCTTCAGCATAATGTTCTGCCTGCAAGGATTTCTCTTTGTTAATGTAAGTTGATAGCAATTCATGCACAAAATTAGACAGGGTTAAAAAGGCACTTATCCACGCGGTTAATTATTAGAAGCGTGATTAAGTTTTGAGGATTTTGTAAGAGAAAAGGGTTCTAGAACTAAAAGATACATACTTTCTTAACTTCAAGCAAGTGCGAAAATTTGTTAAAAATTGGATCAACTCTAAAAAAAAATCTTTTAATTGTCGCAGAATCCATCTCTTGTCAGAAAGATGGAAAGAAGTTGTAAAAAACGAAGGAAAATATTTTGATTAAGGTATTCGTTTATTATCATGTTTAAGTAAATCAGTTTTTGAAGGAAACCCCCAGAATTAAATCACACTCCTAATATAATGCGCCTTGTTCACTTGTGAACACAAGTTATAAGATGCACTTTGTTATTAAACAATTCAATTAGCAATTTTCCTCACATAGATGATACCTTTCGAATGTAACATAACAAATTTCGGAGGATATATATTATTTGGACCTTTTTGACCTATTAGGTTGTCCACCAAAAAAGTCAAGTATCGTCAATACAATTGATTTGGTTCGTCACGGCGCTAGTGTATCCTTTCCTGCACATGTGTCTTTGTTGCGTCGTTGGTGAAATTCTCGTGACACAAGTAAGTGAAACAATATACTACAAATTTTAAATTATAAATAACATTACGCGATTCTCTAACGACTACCGCGCTCTCGATATTTTTCTCTCTTCGAAACGAAAATAAGATGCAGGTCCCGAATGCACGGTGTCCCGTCGCCACCTAGTATGCCCTCCTTCTTTCATGGTCTTTATGAAACAATATACTACAATTTTTAAATTATAAGTAACATCACGTGATTCTGTAACAATCTGATGGAATTATTGCATCGTTACTGTATTAACTTTGCAAAATAAGGGTATTTCTATCACTAGCATTAATTTATATATCGGGAGATTGGCTCCTTTGAACCAGATCGCATATATAAATTGCATTTCTCTAATCTGAAAACCAAATTTCTCTAGTCTGAAAAAATACATTGCGCCACGTACGAATACGCATGGTACAATATAGATCCGAAAGCTGCAAAAAACTTAATAATGATCACGCTTCGCGCTAATAAAACACTTTGCATCATGGCTGGGAAAATGTTTCCTATGACGATGGCATCGTTTTGTAATGTAAGTTATATGTAATATGTGATATAAAGAATGCTTTATTGTATTCCGTCAGTTACTTAAACTTCTATTTTTGAATATCAATTTAATTATTTCATTTTCACATTATAACGCGTCGAAACTGAATAAACACACCAATTTGGACCATAAATTTCTCAAATTGCCAATATTTATTGTAGATTTATATATTATTTAGTAAGAGTAAATTTTTCCTCACTTCTTACTTACCATTAATAAAATGTTACAGTTATTGAAAACATCAGCAGGTTACATATCTGTGTTACTTGCCAAGCAAAATTGACGGCATATTGTGAATTCAAGATTTAGGTGATTCTTTAGAGACATTAAAGTACATAATTAATAAATTAATTTCTTGTATATATCCCTTGCGACAAAACGAAAATGTAGATATAGTATTAAAGATGTATTATATATTTAAAAGACATAAGAAAATAAATAAAAGAAAATTTAATGAGACAATATTACACACATTTATAAGCATCCATAACCGCATATTTAACTGATAGTGTGTAGTTTAAGAATGTCGAAACTCAGAAACGGTACGAACTTTCTTGGTTACCTAATATTTTAGAATAGAAGAGAGATATTATAATTAATATTTGGATATTATGATCAGTGCTTAATAATATCGGAATGGATATTTAACTAGTACAAAAGTCCTACAACTTGTACACAACGAATATGCTTACACCGCTCAGGGAAACCTCAAAAAACAAACTTGTATATTTATGACTAAATATTTATGACTAAATTTACGCTGTACACTTTGTATAATATCTCAAATTGCAAAAACTAATTAATTATTAAAATACAGTAATTTATAAAATAATGTTGCCGCAAGAGAATTTACGTATTATGTGAATTGACCTTTACTCGAAGAATGCGATAACGTCCTAATTACTTATTTCAATACAAGTCTGTATTTTCAAGATATTTTCCCGGTTGAAGATACATTATAGCAAAACTGGCACAGACAGACAAAACTATCAACCTTGTCATTTCAGCTGTGCAGTTATATTCTGACTGTCCGCTAGAAGTATTGTTGCAGCTAAAGATTCATTAATAATGCATCGTCTATCATTGGGAATTCTCCCATACCGCGGATGAACTTGTCAGCAAAGTGAAAAACTAGTCAATTTTCTATGACTACCTCATTTTCCTTCCAAAGTTTTTGCAGTCTATGGCTCAGTATTGTGACATAAAAAATTCTACACCTGCGTGATCGTGCAACCATTCATTACAGGTATGTGGTGACGAAGAGGTAAAAAAAAAAAAAACACGAAACAACGAAAGCGGTGTATTCTCTTGCCGATAGACAGTACTCATTTTCGTGCAGCACAGCGATATTTTATTCACTAATTTCTTTCGCAGCATGTCAGAAAACGCTAATATATAACCACATGTATATAGCGCGTTTTCTAGTTTCTATAATATTCACGAAGTGCTACAAACTTCGGCCATATGAGAATATTTCTTGCAGGTAATATTAATAGGTTACGAAAGTGGGGATGACTTGTTTTTCACAAACAGATACATTGGGAGACAGTGTCCATTAGACTTTAGACATGGAACATTCAAGTAGACATAATGGTGCTCATTTCTGTTATTGGTTCACGGTTTTTATTCTGTGCAGGCATCTTCCCGTTTAATTATTATGATCAATATGATAGTTAATTTCATCTATTTTCCCTCCGATAGGTTTTTAGTACACACTCGCGATCTCACTTATAAAATATTGTTATTATAATTATGTATCGTTTTAACAAAGGAAAAGGAGAAAGAGAGGAGAAGAAAAAAATAACTATTTATTTCATCCTACGTTAACAAAAATTACCCTTTTTTTTTTGATAACGGTGGGGAAATCCTCATGGATACCCCCGCCCCTCAAGGAGAGCGGGGGTTATGTCGGACTTTTATCTACTAAAACCTCACCGGGGTATTTACCTTTCGGATTGGTATGGGAGGAGTCAGGGAACTACTTTCGTATTCCCTCCCCGACAACAAAAATTACCTATCAAGTTTTTGATGTTTCATAATTTTAAAATGAAATTATATCGATTTATAATTCTTTTTACTTAAGAAATGACACTGTAGTATGCGCAGCATGTTTTAATCCCTCACGTCGAAATATTTATATTTTATTATTTATATTGTATACATATGCAAATATCATATATAAAATTATATATTATTGTCTGCAAAATAAAGCCAAAGTGGAAAATCTCAAATAGAAACTTCTATAATGACAGATTTCGAATGGGCGATCAGTCTTAATCAGTTAATGCTAAAAATCATTGGTTTGTGGCCACCTGACAACCATATAATCCGTAAGAAGATGAAATCGAAAATTCGGCTATTCTACAGCATCACTACGATACTTTTTATACTTATAATACCGGCTTTAATATCGCTGATGAGAGTATGGGGAGATATGATTTTGATGATAGAAAATATGCAATACAGTTTACCACTCCTGGCTACGATATCGAAACTCATCATTATTTGGTACAAACAAGCAGGTACGAATTACATAATAAAGATTGCATAACACTGATCGAATTGTAATTGCTTGCTTATTCTTTTATTCGACTGACAAAACATGACAATGTATTGAAACGTTAACACGTCTCTTTGCTCCATATAGACTTACTATCCGTAATTCACATGATCGAGGAAGACTGGACGAAACCGAAGATGAAAGAGGAGCGGGACGTTATGCTGAAACGTGCAATAAATACACGCACAATCGCGATGTGGGGATTGTTTGTAGCAATTTTCACAATAGTAATTACTTTCGGTTTCTCATATTTCGGGCTGATACTCAGGCACGTGACTAACCTGACCGATTCCGGAAAACCAATGTTGATACCATCGTATTATTTCCACGATGTTTCCAAGAGCCCACAGTTCGAGCTAACATTCCTGGCACAAGGAATCACTTTGATCGCAAGTGGTTGTTCTTACACTGCGGTCGACCACCTTCTCGGACTGTTAGTTTTGCACGTATGCGGTCAACTGGAAAATCTACATTTCAGATTGGCGTATATGAGAAAATACCCAAATTTCTTAGCAAATTTGAAGTACAACGTGCTGGATCACATTCGACTGATAAGGTAAGATAGTTAAATCAAAACTGCTCGAGCTATTGTGTTCTTAAGTATAATAAAAAGTGTATCATTTCTACAATATAGTGAATATTGCAGATCTATCGAAATCATCGACAATACATTTGACTCACTGCTCCTTGTTGTGATGCTTTATTTCGGCATAATATTCTGTCTAAAAGGTTTTCTCATCGTTGAGGTAAGTGAAGAAATCAACTTTGCACTTGTGTGTTTGATTAAAGCGTTCGCGACCCAAACAGTTAACAATTAATAATTTGTCATGTACACTTGCAAACAAGTTGCAAGACGCAGCTTTCAAAGTTACTTAACAATTTGATTTTCAATTTTTCCCATGAGCGATACAATTGAATATAACGTAACGAGTTTCAGAGAATATATAATTTGGATCTGTGACAATCTAGGTTGTTAATAGAGGGGGCAAATTGTCATTGATGCAACTGCTTTGGTTTGCCGCAGCAATAATATATATTTTATTGCACATGTGTCTTTATAGTGCTGTTGGAGAAATCCTTGTAACACAAGTAAGTATAACAATACGATGACGATTTTGGCGGAGAAATAAACAGCGTGAAATAAATGATTTTATAATTTTCGGGTGCATTTCTCGCAAATATATTTGGAAAACCAGAATTTACTTTATCATCATTCTGTTAGCTTCGGCATGTAAAGCTATTTCAATTAATTTGTGAAGAAGCCGAGATCATTTCCATTAATCCAGAGTAAATTTATCGGGCGATTGACTCTTTTAATCTACATATATATATAACATTTCCTTTAGTCTGAGAAAATACATCAGGCCACGTACAAATATCCGTGGTATAATGTGGAACCAAAAGCGGCAAAAAGTTTAATGCTAATCATGCTTCGTGCGAGTAAACCACTTCACATCACAGCCGGAAAGATATTTCCTATGACGATGGCAACGTTTGGCAACGTAAGTTATGTGTAATGCAAAAAATTAGTTACGTGTTTTCAGAGTGATTCGGAATTCTTTCTTCGTCAAATTCTAATCATCTTTCTAATCGTCAAATTTTAATTATTTTATGTCCACATTATGACGTGTTACATATTATATTTCGTGTTCACATTATGACTGAATAAGCACAGAAATTTGAATTATGAGTTATCAGTTTCCCAATTTGCCAATATTTATTATAAAGTTATGTATATTTAATAAGCGTAATATTTCCTCACTTCTTACTCATCGTTAAAAACATATTGCAGTTATTGAAAACATCAGCAGGTTATATATCTGTGTTACTTGCCAAGCAAAATTCATAATAATATTGTGAACTCAAGAGTAAGCCGATTCTTTAATGACACTAATATATGTTGTTGATCATTTGATTTCTTGTATATGTTCGTAGCAAAATGAAAATGTAGATATGTGGATATGTAGGTATTATATGTTTAGAAGACATAAGAAAGTAAATAAGAGAAAATAATGAAACAATTAAAAATTTATAAATAATTTAAAAAAAAACATATCGACTTTAATATAATTTTAGATGTTCGTTAAAATAATCTCTATGTTAAGAATCTAAATATTACTCGTGAAACATGTTTACTTCGCTATATACACCATTTGGAATAAAACCTATATTGCGCTTTATATTTCGCTTATAATTACTATGTATTAGATAACCGAGAATGTTTATGCCGTTTTAATCAATAGAGATAAATAATGATTTTCTGTAGGTATTATACATCGGTAAACTCTCTGTTAAATAATGTTTGTTTAAGCATATATAACCAGACTTTTAATTGCTAGAGTGCGCATGTATAGTTTGAGAATGTCAAGACTCAGAAATGGTACGAACATTCTTGGTTACCTACATATTTTAGAATACAAGGAGCGTATTACAATTAACATTTGGATTTTATGATTAGTGCTCGATAGTATACATTCAGAGCTGGTCAATTTTGCAGAACATAAATTCTTTTTTACGTCGTTTACGTTTAAGTTTACGTCATACTTGAAGCACAAAATTGCGCAAAACTGCAAGTGTTTTTATACATAATAAAAATACATACAACAGTGAATTGATGCATTACTGAATATTTGGTAAAAATGACAAAATATGTTAAAGTTGATATCTCAAGCTATTACACAGTCGAGATGGATATTTAATTGGTACAAAAGTTCTACAGCTTGCGCACATCGAATGTGCTTACATCATTCAAAAAAAACTCAAAACACTAATCGGCATGTTTACAACTATATGTATTTTTATTTAAGAAAATAAAAAAGAGTTCTCTAAAAGCCGGAGCTTTGGCAGATACTCTTGCTACTTTATATCGATAACATCGATGAATTTAAAATTTAAAAACATTCTGCCGCTCCCTTCAGCAATTCAAGAGAAATCAGTTTATAGCACTTTACATAACGTACTGTATATTATTTACAAAACAAAATATAATATTGGAAATATATCACATATCTAGTTACAATGACTAAATAAATAATACGCAATACAATCGAAAATTTGTTAATGGTTTACAAAGCATAAGTATCTGTATTAATATATTTTATGTCTCAAATAAATAAAGAGATCTGTCATGCGCTACCAAGTACAAAAGGATTGTATGCATAATATATATTATTTATTCATTTATTACATTGAAAAATTTATTGCATTAGTTTTGTTGAAATGCAAATGTACTTCGCACATGCGACACGTTACTAATTACAAATGTAATATTAGCTTCAATCTCTTATGTTTATCGGTTGATATCTTTTCCTTTCTTCCATATGCTATTCTTCCATATTCTAAATTTTCTTCAGCGTACGCAACATTGCTTCGATTATATCGCAGTATGTTCCAGTACAATAAATACGATTTCGTTATTTCTTACAAAAGTGTCTTCTTAATCATTGAATTTCGCATAAAATACTTACCGCCTTTTTTATAGTAACATTATTGTCCACATTGTATACCTCCACAGAAAGAAATACTTAACAACTAATTTTCCGAACTGAAGATGCTTTATAATAAAACTAACGCATCACTGTCTATCACGAGTCCTTTCAGTTACGTGGCTGCATTCTGAGTGTCTACTGAAACTAACGCTGTAACTACAGATTCATTAATAATGCAGCGTCCACATGGCTACCGATCCATCCAGCCCCCCTTTGATAGACGCCCTTTATTCTAGTAAACTTTTTAATAAAGTAAAAAGCGTCGCCTAACTATAGCCTCTCCATCATTATCGCTAAATTTTTTTCATGTATCTATAGCTTGTTTCGTATGGAAATTTAAGAAGTTTAACATATGCATAAACGTAACTTTTCATTATACTTCAACTCATGTTTATAGGATGTGAACGATAATATGTGTACTAAAAAAAAAGAGAAAAACACGAAAGCAGGAGATATTTCTGCCCATAGGCAATAGACACTTTGTGTGTGTTCTCACGATAATAATTTACTGACTCATATCATTTGACAGCGAAGCGCCTCAACACAACACCATACTCGTGTGTGTGTCATGCTCCTTCTAATACTTATGACATTGTTACAAACATTGGCTAAGCGACAGTTTTTTACAAAGCATGCACGATAACACGTTGCGAACGTGGGGATGAGTTTTCTCTCTGCGGCAGTGTGCTTTAGACTTTAGACATGAAACATTCAAGCGGAAATGAAGGTGCTCCTTTTCGTTAATAATACACGTTTATTGAATGCACTTGTCCTACTATTTAATTGTTATAATTATTATGGTCGTTAATTTCGCCATTTTTCTTTTAATAGAATTTAAATGCATGATAACTATCTCACATTTAAATTAATCAAAACATCGTTCGAAGGAAATTAAAATTCAACGTAACAGCTCTTTTGAAATTACTCGTCAATTTCATTGACAGTTTATCACTTTCATATAAAAATTGATCACTATATTATTTTTTATTTAGAGAAATTAATATACTTAAATGTGACTTTGTAACATATTTTAATCTCTCACGTTTATATATTCATATTTTCTTTTACATATTACACGTTTGAATATTATATAGAAAATTATGGTTTGTATGAAATCAAACTCAAGTAGCAACTTCTAATGTCAGATTTCGAATGGGCAGTCAACCTTTTTTTTACATATTGTACGTTCGAATATTATATAGAAAATTGTAATTTGTAACATAAAGTGAAACTCAAGTAGCAACTTTTAATGACAGATCTCGAATGGACCATCAACTTAAATCGGTTCATGTTAAGAATCGCTGGTTTATGGCCGCCAGACCACCATGACGCTAGTGAGGCAGTTAAATCGAAAATACAACTACTGTATAACTTTATCACAATATTGATCGTACTGGCAATACCGTCTTTACTATCACTGATACGAGTATGGGGTGACACGATTTTAATGATAGAAAATATGCAATACAGTATACCATATCTGAGCACGATATTCAAAATCTGCATTATTTGGTACAGACAAGCAGGTACAGCCCAAACAGCACAAGGACGTCCTCAGGACATCCTCAGGACGTCCAAGATAGGATGTAGGAATGTTTTGAGGATATCCCATGGTAGTCTAGGGACGTCTTCAGGACGTCCTGTGGTACAGCAAATGAGCATCTCAGCGGGTCCTCAGGAGATCCCGAGAACGTCCTTCGGACGCCCTTCATATGGTTCAGAGGACATAATCAGGATAACACAAGAACGTCTTCGAGATAGTCACAGGACGTCGGTGGAGGTGTTTAGGAAGTCCCAAAAATATTCATGCAGGATATTTTTAGGATCTCTGCTGGAAATTGTTATATATGTTTGATGTATACAAATTCCATCCATTCTGTTCTATTTCCTAGCATAGTTTATAATTTGTAGTCAGATATGTGATATTAGACATTTTTGGAATTAGCACATCGTTAAAGAATTTAGTCATTCTATACAAATATTTCAATAATGCATCTAACTAGAAAGAAATTTTAAAATATTGTGCTAGAGAATGAGACAGTGCTAATGAAATTTGTTGTATACTTCAAATAGAAAATAAAAAATAAATTGCAGAAAAAATGCTTTTATTGCTCAATAACCCAGGCAGAATAGAAAATCACAATGACATCAAAATGACGAAAAAATAATTGAATCATGATGAAGAAATAAGTTTTCCTCATCATTTTGACGTCATTTTGATGTCATCATGATTTTCTGTTCTGTCTGGGATATGTATATGTGTGTGTATGTATGTGTGTCTATACAGGGTGTCTCATAATTGTAATACACCAACTCCATAGGAACGTAGAGCTAAGCGAGAGGAACGAAAAAGTCCTGTTCCATTTAACAATATTTCGTATAATTTTTTAATAATAACCGCGTAAAGTTTGGCGTTTGTCACGTCCATTGCGGCCTATAGACGCTCCGCGGTGAGCTGTGTGTGTTGAAGCTAAGCGATAACGCTAACCGTCGCGCGGCATCAACGCGCCAAAACGTCATTTCAGAGCGTCTCAAAGTAAAGGGATAAGCCTTGCACAACTTGTTTGATTATATGCAGAGTCGTATTAAACGGGGGTGCAACTTGCAAGGAGTGCGCCGCACTCGGATAACAAAAGGCCGTCAGTAATATATTAGTATAAAAAAGAGATTTATAAGTCGAATGACGGAGATATTTTGAAAGTCTTGGGTGGTCACTCTACAAAAAAGGTCGTCCAAAATTCCGCGGGATTATTTGTGGAAAAATGTCATAAAAAACGTTGCCTCAGGGCGGCGATGAATAGTTTCACACCCGGACAGAAGCAACCCTTGGTACGGCTCTAATTAAGGAAGACTTAAAAACGTTGTTCTCCTATCCTTCTTAAGCTGTTCTCCTATTAGATATCGGATCGTCGATACGTCGGACGTCCAATGCAGTGTAAATCCTCCGTAAAATTATTTTTACGTTTGATTTAAGCTCCAAAGAGCTTGAAAATTATTTTATTACGCACTATTTTTGTGATAGAACAAGTATAAGTTTATTTATTTATAGTTTATTGTATTACAAAGATTATATTGCAAAGATTTATGTTCAGTTAGCAACTTGATATTATTTATAACAAATGTATATATACCAGAAAAATAACATGTACAGCTTATTTATAATTGGAACCGATGAAATTTCTGTATACGCATATACACAAGTACGACTGTACTAAACTGTCCTATGACTCACTCAACAATGTCTTTGCGTTGCCCTGAATTTGTCTTGAAGATTTCCTAAAAGCGTTCCGAAAACATTCTTGTTCTCTCCTAAATATGACCTGCGAATGTTATAAAGGTGTCCTGTAAATCCGATCCACAGAACGTCCTTAGGATGTTCATAGCATCTCACATTGAACATCTTTGTACTCTTCTGAATATTCATCCTGTGGCTGTCCCGAGAACATCCTCGTGCTTTCCTGAGTATGTCCTGAGAATGTCCCAAAAGTGTCTTGAATGGGACGTTCTTTGGACATCATCAAGATGACCCATGGATATAACAATGTCCCCACCTGGTCCCAGGATGTTCTAGGATATATTCAGGATAATCCTGAGGACGTCATATGCTATTTGGGAGATTATATAACAAAGTAACATTCATAATTCGCTTATCAACCCGTCAACTTAAATGACGAAACTTATAAAGATTATGTACAAAATATTAATACAACTTTCTGATCCTTTTAGATTTACTACCTCTGATTCACATGATCGAGAAAGACTGGGCGAAGCCGAAGATGAAAGAGGAACGAAATATCATGCTAAAGTATGCAAGGACTATACGTTTGATCGCCATGTGTGGCTTATCTTCGACATTATTGGCATTAATATCTACTTGCGGTTATTCATGCTTTGAGATAATATTCAGGCACGTGGCGAACCTGACTAATCCCACAAAATTGCCCTTACCGGTACACTATTTGCACGATGTATCTAAGAGCCCGCAGTACGAATTGACGTTATTAGCACAAATAACCACGTTGTTCATATGTGGTTTTTCTTATACTGCGGTCGACCAACTTTTCGGACTATTGGTTTTGCACGTATGCGGCCAGCTAGAGAGCCTAAATTTGAGATTAACACGTATGGAACAGTATACGAACTTCGACGCAACTTTAAAGTACAACGTCCAAGATCACGTCCGCCTAATAAAGTACGCATAACAGATTGTTAAGATAGGCTGCCGGGACAGAAATTGTACCCGACATTATGCCCTTAAATATAATGTAAAATTACGTCGTTTTCCGTAAAGCAATGAATTCTGCAGATCTATCGAAATTATTGATGATGCATTTGATTTAATGTTGCTTGTTCTCATATTCTACTTTGCCATAATATTCTGCCTTGAAGGATTTCTTATAGTTAACGTAAGTTAAAAGTAGTCTGTCTACGAGATGACATGATAATAAAAAGTTCAAACCCAAACAGTTATTGATAATCCGCCATGTTCACTTGTGGACAAGTTGAAAGGCGCAACTTCTTGATGTATTTCGTTATTCGAAAATGTAGTTGTCATGTTTTCTCGTAGACAATAATATTGAACGTAACTTGACGAGTTTCAGATGATATATATATAATTAGGATCTGTGACAACTTAGATTATTAATCGAAAAGATCAATTGCCGTTGAAACAATTTATTTGGTTCATCACTGGGATCGTATATATTTTAATACACACGTGCCTTTATTGCGCTATCGGCGAAATTATCGTGACACAAGTAAGTGGAAAAATATCAAAGTGGCGAAGCAAACAATGTAAATCGTATGATTTTATAACTCGGAGCACTGCACGTAATTATACCTGAAAAACTAGAAATTACTACATTATCATCCTATTTTATGTGGAACGTAAGACTATTTCTATTAAATTCTGAAACAGAAAATTTTATTTTCATCAATAGCATAAATTTATCGGGCGATTGATTCTTTTGATCCAATAACATGTCGCATTTCTTCAGTCTGAGAAAATATCCCAGGCCACGTACGAACATCCGTGGTATAATTTAAAACCGAGAGCAGCAAAAAACTTGATGCTAATCATGCATCGCGCAAGTAAACCACTTCAAATCACAGCCGGGAAGATATTTCCTATGACGATGATAATGTTTAGCAACGTAAGTCATATTGTACAATTTGTATGTAATACAAAAAATAATTTACGTTTTACAATTTGTTAGAAATTCTATTCATCAAATTCAATTATTTCACATATTATATATTATTTGGCAACGTAATTGAATGAGTAACAGAAGTTTGCACCATAAACTTTCCAAATTTATATGTTCAGATTATATGTTTCATGACTTTCTGTGTTAAACGTAAATATTTCGTCCGATTACAATATGTAACTTAAAAATGTTTCAGCTATTGAAAACTTCAGCAAGCTACATATCGGTCCTACTTGCCATTCAAGACTAATGAATATATCTTATACTCAAAGAGCATGTTTTTTCAATAATTCTTCAATAACAACACAATATATAATTGACGATGGACTAATAATATATAAAATGGTCCCATAAAGTGCTTATACAAACTGATTTCCTATAAACCGTTATACAGGGTGTCCGGTAATTAGTTGCCAATCCGAAATGCGAAGGTAGATTGGGTTAAGACAAACGGTGAGATAAAACAACGAATAGCGGTGCGTTACAAAAGTGACTCCTTAAGTATTCATTGAATTCCACTGCATAAAATACTCCTCGCCTTTTCCAATTATATTGTTCCAATATTGTTCACATACACTCCCATAGAAAGAAACATTTAATAACTAATTTTCCGGATTAAAGGAAGATGCGTTCGAATAAAACTGACGCAGGAATTGTCCATCTAGTCCTTTCAGTTGCGTATCTGCATTCTGACTGTCCGCTGAAACTAACGCTGCAACTAGAGACTCATTAATAATGCAGCGTCCACATGACTACAGATCCATGCAGTCCCATTTGACAGATGCTCTTTCTTCAAAACAAACTTTTCCACGAAGTAAAAAACGTCGCCTAACTACAGCCTCGCCACCATTATCGCTAAATTTTTTTTAAATATCTATATCTTGTTTTGTATGGAAATTTAAGAACTTCAACATATGCATGAACGAAACTTCTCATTATAGTTCAACTCCTGTGTATATGAACGATAATACGTCCACTAGAGGAAGAGAGAAAAACATGAAAGCAGTGGATATTTCTGTCGATAGCCAATAGACGTTTTGTGTGCGTTCTCACGATAATCATTTATTTACTCGTTCCTTTCGCCATCGAAGCGAGTCAACAATATAATAATATATACTCGTGTACGCGTCATGCTCGTTCTAGTTCTTCTAATATTCACGACATTGTTACGAACATTGGCTAAGCGGCAGTTTTTTACAAGGCATGCACAATAAGACGTTGCAAAAGTGGAGGTGAATTTTCCGTCAGAGAGAGCGACAGTGTCATATAAACCTTAGGCATGAAATGTTCAAGCAGAAATCATGGTGCTCCTTTTTGTTAACAGTATACGGTTTTTATTTAACGCACTCATTCTGCTATTTAACTGTTATAATTATCATTATCGTTGGTTTCGTCTATTCTTTTTTTTCATTAGAATTTTAATGTATGATTACTATCGCAAATTGATTAAGACATATCATTCGAGGAAAATGAGTAAAATTAAACGTCATAGCTCTTTGTTTCGTGGAAATTGCTCGCCAATTGATAAATTATCATTTTCAAATGAGATTTGATTACTGTATCATTTTTATATTTAGGAAAATTAATGCACTTAAATATGACTTTGTAGCACATTTTAAATTCTTACGTTGATATTATATATTTATGTTTCTTTACATATTATACGGTCGAACACTATATAGAAAAATGTAGTTTGTAGCATAAAGTCAAATTCAAGTAGAAGCTTTTAATGACAGATTTCGAATGGGCGATCAGTCTTAATCGGTTCATGCTAAAAATCGTTGGTTTATGGCCGCCAGACAATCGTCACGCTCGTGGGGCAATAAAATCAAAAATTCGACTATTGTACAGTATTATCACCATGCTCTTCATACTCACAATACCGACCTTAATATCACTGACAAGGGTATGGGGAGATATGATGTTAATGATAGAAAATATGCAATACAGTATACCATTTCTGATTACGATACTCAAAGTCTGCATTATTTGGTACAAACAAGCAGGTACAGATTATAGAACAAAGTAAAGCTCTCGTAATTCGCTTATTAATCCGTCAATACAACTGACGATATTTGTACAGATAACCAGGCATACGATATTTTGATCCTTTTAGATCTACTACCTTTAATTTACATGATCGAGAGAGACTGGATGAAACCGAAGATGAAAGAGGAGCGAGACGTCATGCTGAGGCGCGCCAAGACTGTACGCGCAATCGCCATGTGCGGAATGTTCAATTCAATTTTATTATCAATAATCACTTTCGGTTTTCCATGCTTTGGTCTAGTGCTCAGGCACGTGACGAACTTGACCGACCCTGGAGGAAAACCATTGCTGGTACCATCGTACTATTTACACGATGTTTCGGGGAGTCCGCAGTTCGAGTTAACGTACCTGACACAAGGAATCACCTTATTCGCATGTGGTTTTTCTTATACTGCGGTCGACCAATTTCTCGGACTATTGATTTTGCACGTATGCGGCCAACTGGAGGGTCTACATTTGAGATTGACACGTATGGAACAGTATACGAACTTCAATGCAGCTTTGGAGTACAACATCCAGGATCATGTTCGCCTAATCAGGTACACATAATAGATTGTTAAGCTTGGCTGCCGGGACAGAAATTGTCCCAGTCATTGTGTCTTTAAATATAACGTAAATTACCTCATTTTCTGTAATGCAATGAATTCTGCAGATCTATCGAAATCATTGATGATGTATTTGATTCAATGCTGCTCGTCCTGGTGCTCTACTTTGCCATAATATTCTGTCTTCAAGGATTTCTCATAGTTGACGTAAGTTAAAAGTAGTTTGTCTACGAGATGACATTATAATAAAGAGTCCAAACCCAAACAGTTATTGATAATCTGTTGTGTTCACTTGTGGGCAAGTTGAAAGACGCGACTTCCTCACGCACTTCGTCATTTAAAAATGTGGTTGACAGGTTTCCTCATAGATAGTAATATTGAATGTAATTTGACGAGTTTCAGATGATATATAATTTGGATGTGTGACAATTTAGGTTATTAATCGAAAGGGCCAATTGCCGTTGACACAATTGATTTGGTTCGTCGTAGCGACCGCATATGTTTTATTACACATGTGTCTTTACTGCGCTGTTGGGGAAATTCTTGTGACGCAGGTAAGTGAAACATCATGATAGTGGCCCTTACGAAATAAACAACGTAAATCATATTGTTCTATAACTCAGAGTACGTAATTATATCTGAAAAACCGGAAATTACCTCATTATTATTTTATTAACTTGGAATGTAAGACTATATTTTTTCTATATCGTTTCTGAGGAAGTAAATCTTATTTCCATTAATAACGTAGATAGATCAGGCGATTGATTCTTTTGATCAAATAACATATTGCATTTGTTTAGTCAGAGAAAATACATGAGGCCACGTACGAATATTCGTGGTACAACAAGGAGCCAAAAGTAGCAAAAAGTTTAATGTTAATTATGCTTCGCGCGAGTAAACCACTTCACATCACAGCCGGGAAGACATTTCCTATGACGATGGCAACGTTTTGCAATGTAAGTCATGTGTAATACAAAAAATGAAATGCGTTTTTCAAGTTGTTAGAAATTCTATTCTTCGTTATCAAATTCAATTGTTTTACATATATATTATGTAACATCATAATTAAATGAGCAATAGATGTTTGCACCATAAGCTTAAATCAAGATTATATTTTTAATGACTTTCTGTATGAAGTGCAAATATTTCATCCGATTACAACTCGTAATTAAAAAATGTTGCAGTTGTTGAAAACTTCAGCAGGTTACATATCGGTGCTACTTGCCAATCAAGATTAATGTCTATACTGTGTATTCAGACATTAAATTCTTCAATAACGATCTTCATTTAATTGGGTTTCCGATTATAGATTATTAATAAAATATATATAAAATAGAAATTATAAAGTATTTTACGGACTGAATCGACATGAATGTCCATTGAGTTCCATTGCATAAGATCTTTCTCTTCCCCTTATCTTTTTCAACACATTGTTCATACACTAATACAAAAATAAACAATTATCGATAGAATTTTTCGGCTTGAAGATGCGTTACAATAAAACGGACGTAGCACTAGTCGATCCAGTCCTTTCAATTGTGTGGCTGCATTCTGACTGTCCGCTCAGACTAACGCTGCTCAGACTAAAGGCTCATTAATTATGCACCGTCCATGTGGCTCCCGATCAAGGCGGTTCCACATATTCAATGGCCATATTTTCTTCTAGCGAACAAACTTCTCAGCAAAATAAAAAGTGTTAACAAGCTACAGCCATTTCACCATTATTGTAAATTTCTTTGCAAAACTCTAGCTCGTCTCTTATAGACGCTCAAGAAATTTTATACTTGTGTAATCGCAATTCTTCAATATTCTTCAATTCACGCGTACGTGGATATAGTGTAAGCGGTACATAGGAAATATGTAATAGAAAAAAGCCGAAAACATGAACAAACGATGGTGGTGGATACTTCTGCCAATGGACAATCAATAATCATTTGTGCTCTCCCGCGATAATAATTTATTTACACGCTTTTTTGTCATTGAAGCGCTTCAACAATATGATAATATATGCGTGTACATCTTGCTCTTGTTCTCGTTCTAATATTCATGATTCTAATATTCACGAACATTAGCTACAGAGTTATTTACGTAGCATGCACGATAACATCTTGCAAACGTGGAGGTGAGTTTTCCTTCAGGGAGAGCGACAGTGTCCTTTAGACCTTAGATATGAAACGTTCAAGCGGATATAATGGTGCTGCTTTTCGTTAACAATCCGCGATTTTTTCTCAATGCTTTCATTTTCCATTTTATTTATTATAATTGTTATAATTATTAAGTTTATTATTTTTTTGCTGATAGATTTCAGTACACATCGCGGACTCTCATATAAAATAATTCATGGTTTACTGCTCGAGAAAAGTAATCGTGAGAAGAAGAGAATTTTATAACTTTCTGTTTCATACAATGCCACGGAAATTATTCGCGAACTTCGTTGACATTTTATCACTTTGAACTGCAATAATATTATTATACATTTTATTACATAAAATAGTCAATACGCTTTAGTACACTCATGCAGCATATTTTAGATTCTAACATTGATATAATTATATTATTGCATACTTGTACATATAAAATTCTGATTAGCTTAAAGTAAAACTCTAGCAGAATCTTCTAATGATAGATTTCGAATGGGCCGTCCGTATAAATCGGTTTATATTAAGAATCGTCGGTTTATGGCCGTCAGACAATCATGGTGCTCGTGCAGCAGTGGACTCGAAGTTTCGGCTACTGTGCAGTTTTATCACCTTATTCATCGTATTGACAATACCGGCATTAATGTCATTGATAAAAGTATGGGGAAACATGATTTTAATGATAGAAAATATGCAATACACTCTACCAATTCTGGGTGCGGTATTTAAAATTTGCATTATCTCGCAAAAACAAGCAGGTATAGCTTGTATAATAAATTCTCTAAACTGCTCCGTCATTTATTTATTAATCAGCTAATTAAATTGACGGAATCTGTGAAAATAACAATGTAAAAGATATTAATACGATATTCTGATTTTTCTAGATTTATTACCCTTAATTGAAATGATGGAAAGAGACTGGGTGAAATCGAAGTCAGAAGAGGAGCGAAGCGTGATGCTGAAGCGTGCAAGGATTGTACGCACGATTGCCATGTGCGGCTTGTCCTCGACAATATTGTCAATAATAAGTGCCTTTAGCTTTACATGCTTTGAGCTGATATTTAGGCACGTGACGAACCTGACTAATTCCGAAAAATCATTGCCTTTACCATTGTACTATTTCCACAATGTTTCCAAGAGCCCGCAATATGAATTGACGCTAGTGGCGCAAATATTCGCGAGTGTTACATGTGGTTGTTCTTATACAGGAGTTGATCACTTTCTCGGATTGTTAGTTTTGCACGTATGTGGGCAACTCGAGAACTTACATTCGAGACTGATATACATGGATAAATATCCGAATTTTATGGCTGCTTTGCAGTACAACGTTCAGGATCACGTCCGCTTAATCAGGCACGTAAGTGGTAGTGTTAGGATAAATTATCTGAACATAATTTATTCGAAATATTGTGTTCTTAAATATAATGTATAATTACCTCATTTTCTATAAAATAATGAATTCTGTAGATCTATCGAAATTATTGATAATGCATTTGATTCAATGCTGCTCGTTCTGGTGCTCTACTTTGCCATAATATTCTGCCTTCAAGGATTTCTCATAGTTGACGTAAGTCAAAAGTAATCTATGTGCGAGATTATATTGTTGTAAAAAGTCCAAGCAGTTATTGATAATTTGCCATGTTTACTCGTGAATCGCCGTTGACGAGCGAAACTTCCTGCATATGCATTTCGTTATTTGAGAATGTGGTTGACAGGTTTCTTGTTAGACAATAATACCGAATATAACTTGACGAGTTTCAGAGGATGTATAATTTGGATCTGTGACAATTTAGGTTGTTAATCGAAAGGGCCAATTGTCAATGATTGAACTGCTTTGGTTCATCGCAGCAATAGTATATGTTTTGTTTAATATGTGCCTTTACTGTGTTGTTGGAGAAATTCTTGTAACACAAGTAAGTGAAACAATATGATAGTGGCTTTTACGGTGAAGCAAACAACGTATATCATATGATTTTATAATACAGAGTACTTTATGTAATAATACCTAATAAACCAGAAATTACTCTATCTATCATTATTATTCTATTAGTTTTGGAATGTAGTACTATCCTATTTATCATTATTTATTCTAGTAGCTTTCGAATGTAATAATATTTCTATTAATTTCTGAAAAATTATATCAAGCTCATTTCCATTAATAGCGTAAATTTACTAGGCGATTGATTCTTTTAATCAAGTAACATATCGCATTTCTGCAGTCTGAGAAAATATATCATGCTACCTACGAATATCCGTGGTATAATAAAGAATCAAAAGTAGCGAAAAGCTTAATGCTAATTATGCTTCGCGCGAGTAAACCACTTCAAATTACAGCTGGAAAAACATTCCCTATGACAATGCCAATGTTTTGCAACGTAAGTTATGTGCAGTAAACATGAATTTTGTTTTTCGACTTATTGGAAATTCTATTCTTCATCAACAAAAATTATTTCACTTACATATTATGTAGCACCATAATTAAATGAGCAGTGGAAATTTACACCATGAGCTTTCCAAATTGAGTTTATATTTTTAATGACGTTTTGCATAAAGAGTAAAAATATTTCGTCTGTCTACAATACGTAATTTAAAAATGTTGCAGTTGTTGAAAACTTCAGCAGGTTATATATCGGTGCTACTTGCCAATCAAAACTGACGAATATATGTTGTGCTGAGAGCATAATTCCTCAATAATGATGCGACATATGATTAAGAATTGAAATAGTAATATATCAGATGGCCCCAGAATAAAGTATTTTGCAAACAGATTTTTTATGGATTCCTATAGTGGACGGCGAAATATAACATGGTTCCAATGGATTTACTCAATAGTACAAAAATAATGTGCATATTTATTTAAGAAAAAAATGTCTCACAGAGCCCTTTGATGCCTCTGATAGACAATCTTACTTCTTTATATAAAAAACATCAATGCACTTAAAAAGCATTTCGCTTCTTTCTCCAGAAGTTTATAAAAAATAAGTTTATAATACTTTATATTGCACGCTTTGTATATCACGTACAGAACAACAAAGTGAATACGGTTTTAGAAATATATATATATCTTGTTACAATGTCCAAATAAATAGTATTCAATAGTTATACAATTGAGAATTTGTTTATGTTCCAAAAAAGCATGTTAAACATTAATACCGATGTACTAATGTATTTCATGTTTTTACAAATATATTACGGAATCTATCCAACTACTAGATATGAAACTCCTTGAATATATAAATGATACTATCCAATATTATCTCATTTCATTTATTGCATTAGAAAGCTTATATTATTAAGATATAAATATATTTCGCGCATATAACATAATACCAACCATATATGTAATTTTAGTTTCAATATTTTACATTTATCGGTTAATAGCTTTTTTTTCTTCACGTGCGTTCTAATTTTTCTTTCACTACGTTCAATATCGCTTTGATCGCATTGCAATATATTTCAGTACAATAATATAGTTTCATTATTCCGTACAAAAGCTTCACGAGTATTCATTGAGTTCCACTTCTTTCTCTTCTCCTTATCTTTTTCAACACATTGTTCATACACTAGTACAAAAATAAACAATTATCAACAGAATTTTTCGGCTTGAAGATGCGTTACAACAAAACGGACATAGCACTAGTCAATCCGGTCCTTTCAGTTGCGTGGCTGCATTCTGACTGTCCGCTCAGACTAACGCTGCTCAGATTAAAGGTTCATTAATTATGCACCGTCCATGTGGCTTCCGATCAAGGCGGTTCCACATATTCAATGGATATATTTTTTTCTAGCGAGCAAACTTTTCAGCAAAATGAAAAGTATTAACAAGTTACAGCCGTTTCACCATTATCGTAACTTTTTTTTGTGGAGTTCTAGCTCTTCTCTTATAGACCCTTAAGAAATTTTACACACATGTCGCAGTCGCAATTCTTCATCAATTTACGCATACGTGGACGTAGTATAAGCGATAGTGTATGCAATAGAAAAGAGACAGAAACACGTACAAACGAAGGCGGTAGATATTTCTGCTGATGGATATGGATAGTCATTTGTGCGTTCCCGCGATAATAATTTATTTAATCGCTTCTTTCGGCATTAAAACGCTCCAACAATATGATAATACATGTGTGCGCATCATGTTCTTGTTCTCGTTCTAATATTCACGAGCATTAGCTAAACAAGAGTTTTCTTTACATGGCATGCACGATAACTTGTTGCAGACGTGGGAGTGAGTTTTCCTTCAGAAAGAGACACAGTATCCTTTAGACCTTAGACATGAAACGTTCAAGCGGGTATAATGGTGCTGCTTTTCGTTAATAATTTGCGATTTTTACTCAGTGCTCTCATCTTCCATTCCCATTATTATAATTGTGATGATTGTTAATTTTATCATTTTTTTGCCAAAAGATTTCAGTGCACACATCGCGGACTCTCATAAAATAATTCGTAGTTTACTGCTCGAGAGAAATAATCGTGAGAGAAGGAGAGAATGTTGTAACTCTCTGCTTCATGCAATGTCATGAAAATTATTCGCGAATTTCGTTAACATTTTATCACTTTGGACTACAATAATATTATTATACATTTTATTACTTAGAATAGTCGATACGCAAGTACACTCATGCAGCATATTTAGCTTCTAACATTGATATATTTATGTTATTGCATAGTTGCACATAGTGTATATAAAATTCTGATTAGCATAAAGTCAAATTCTAGCAGTATCTTTTAATGACAGATTTCGAATGGGCCGTCGGTATAAATCGGTTTATGTTAAGAGTCGTCGGTTTATGGCCGCCAGACAATCATGGCGCTCGTGCAACAGTGGACTCGAAGTTTCGGATACTGTGCAGTTTTATCACCTTATTTATCGTATTGACAATACCGGCTTTAATATCACTGATAAAAGTATGGGGTGACATGACTTTAATGATAGAAAATATGCAATACACTCTACCAATTCTGGGTGCGGTATTTAAAATTTGCATTATCTCGCAAAAACAAGCAGGTATAGTTTGTACAACAAATTCTCTAAACCGCTTCGTCATTTATTTAATTAATCTGCTAATTGAATTGACAAAACCTGTAAAAATAACAATGTAAAAGATATTAATATGACATCCTGATTTTTCTAGATTTACTACCCTTAGTTGAAATGATTGAAAGAGACTGGGTAAAACCGAAGTCGGAAGAGGAGCGAGGCGTGATGCTGAGGCGTGCAAGGACTGTACGCGCGATTGCCATGTGTGGTTTGTTCTCGACAATTTTGACAATAATAAGTGTCTTTAGTTTTACGTGTTTTGAACTGATATTCAAGCACGTGACGAACCTAACTAATTCCGGAAGGTCTTTGCCCATACCATTAGACTATTTGCACGATATTTCCAAGAGCCCGCAATACGAATTGACGCTGGCGGCGCAACTATTCGCGGTTGTTACAAGTTGTTGTTCTTATACGGCAGTCGATTATTTTCTTGGATTGTTAGTTTTGCACGTATGCGGCCAACTGGAGAACTTATATTTGAGACTGACACGTATGGAAAAGTACACGGACTTCAGTACAGCTTTAAAGCACAACGTCCAGGATCATGTCCGCTTAATCAGGTGTGCAAGATACATTTTTAAGATAGACTGAATGGAAATGGACAGAAATTGTTTGAGACATTGTGCTATTAAATGTAAGATAAAATTGCAATGAATTCTGCAGATCTATCAAAATTATTGATCATACATTTGATTCAATGCTTCTTGTACTACTACTCCATTTTGCCATATTATTCTGCTTTCAAGGATTTCTCATAGTTGACGTAAGTAAAAAGTAGTCCATGTGCGGGATTACATGATTATAAAGAGTGTCCAATATAATGTTAATTATTCAGTTATTAATCTAATTATTAATAATTTACCATGTTTATTTGCGGTCAAGTTGAAATGTGCAACTTCCTAATACACTTCGTTATTTGAAAATGTGGTTGCCAGGTTTCCTCGTAGACAATATTCTATGTAACTTGAGTTTCAAAGGATATATAATTTCGATTTATAACAATCTAGGTTGTTAATCGAAAGGGCCAATTATCAATGATACAATTAATTTGGTTCGTCGCAGCTATCGTGTATGCTCTGATACATATGTGCCTTTATTGCGTTGTCGGCGAAATACTCGTAATACAAGTAAGTGAAATAATATGATAGCGGCTTTTACAACAAAGCGAACTATGTAAACTGTATGACTTTATAATTCAGTGTTCTTTACATAATTATACCTGGTAAACTGGAAATTATTTCATTATCGTTCTATTAATTCTTCGTAATGTAAGACTATTTCTGAGGATGTAAAGTTTACTCCCTTTAATAGCGTAAATTTATCGAATGATTGACTCTTTTTATCAAATAATATGTCGCATTTTTCAGTATGAGAAAATACATCAGGCCACATACGAATATCCGTGGTATAATAAGGAATCAAAAGTAGCAAAAAACTTGATACTAATCATGCTTTGCGCGAGTAAACCACTTCTCATCACTGCCGGAAAGATATTTCCTATGACGATGGCGACGTTTTGCAACGTGAGTCATCTGTAATGGAAAATATGAAATATATTTCTTTTCTTATTAAAAATTCTTTTCTTAATCGTCAGAAATCATTTTACATAAATATTATGTAACAGCATAATTAAATAAACAATAGAGGTTTGCGCCATAAACATTCTAACTTGAAATTATATTTTTAATAACTTTATGATATTAAGCTCAAATGATTTATCTGATTTGTCAATGTATAATTTCAAAATGTTGCAGTTGTTGAAAACTTCAGCAGGTTACATATCGATTTTACTTGCCAATCAAAACTGATAAATATATTTTGTGCTGAGAGTACAATTCTTTAGTAATAATATAGTATATAGTATAGTATGTATATGTAATAATATAGTATAGTATATGTAATAATATAGTATGTATATGACAATTTAATTAATAATATGCAAGACAGGTCCATTATAAAATACTTTACAAACTGATTTACTGCAAACTGCTATGGAAAACGACAAAATATAACATATTTCCACCAAATTTGTTCAAACATGTATAAATATTCTCATCATGTATAATAATCTATATTATTATACGTGTATAAAGTAAGTTATTGTTCAAACGTGTATAAAGTAGTAATGTATAAATAATAATACGTATTCTCATTGAAGAAAATTAAAATGATGTCCCACAGTCCTCTGGAGGCACCAATAGACGAACTTACTCTTTTATATAAAAGACACCCATGTATTTAAAAACATTTTGCTGTCTTCTCCAACAGTTCATAAAAAATAAATTTATAATATTTCATATTTCATGTCCTGTATACTAGCCACATAATTTTAATTTCAGTCTTTTACATTCATCGGTTAAGAGCTTTTCCTTTCCTCCACGTTCTAATTTTTTCCTAGCTGTACGTAACACCGCTTCGACCACCATTGCAATATATTCCAGTACAATAAATACAGTTTCGTTATTCCTTACAAAAGTATCTTCCTGAATATTCATCGAATTCCACTGCACATAGTCTTCCCCGCACCTTTCAACATATTGTTCATATACCGACACAAAAATATATAGTTATCAACTAATTTTCCGACTTGTAGGTGCGTTATAGTAAGACTGACGCAGCACTTATCGGTATAGTCCTTTCAGTTGCACGGTTGCATTCTGACTGCCCACTCAAACTAACGCTGCGACTAAAGCCTCATTAATTATGCACCGTCCATGTAGCTTCCAACCCAAGCGGTTTCATATATTCGACAGACATATTTTTTTCTAGCGAATAAACTTTCCAACAAAGTAAAAAATATTAACAAGCTACAGCCGCTTCACCATTATTATTAAATTTTTTTACGGAGCTCTAGCTCGTCTCTTATAGGCACTTAAGAAATTTTACACATGTGTAATAGTAATTCTTGATCTTCATATTCACGTGCGTTTATGGGCGTAATGTAAGCTGTAGTATATGCAATAGAAAAGAGACAAAAATACGAATAAACGAAGACGATCAATATTTTTGCCGACGGATCTATGCAACATGACATGAGTAGTCATTTGTCCGCTCTCACGATAATTTATTTACTCGCTCCTTTCGCCATCGAAGCGCATCAACAATATGATATTACATACTTGTATGCACATCATGTTCGTTCTGGTTCTTTTAATATTCACAACATTGGTACAAACTTTGGCTGAACAAGAATTTTTTTTATAAAAAATGCACGATAACATGTTATAAATATGGGGATGAATTTTCCCTCAGAAGTAGAGACAAAGATAGAGGACAGTATCCTTTAAACCTTAGGCATGAAACGTTCAAGCGGACATAACGGTGCTTCTTTTTCGTTAACAGTTCACAGTTTATTCACAAGGAAACATATAGAAGGTGTCTTCCTCCGACTTTGATAAGCTCCAAATATGTAACATGTATGTATAATCTAGACAAAAATAAGAAATACAAATTTTTTTCATACATGTCTAATCGACCCTTTAAGGAATGAGACGCCTTTCTAGAAAGAATCGATATTTTTCTTTCTTAGTCGGTATTTTTTTTGGGGGACATGCGTCATTAAAACTTTAAGAGACAAAAAGATTTTCTAATAAAAATTTTATGCAGTTCGAAGAATATTTTATAACAACATATTCAGTTTTTTAAAAAAATGTTTAAATTTTAATCATACCGCTACCACTTATGAATCTTTTACAATCTAAAAATTCTGTTCCAAATGAAAAGATGTTTTATGCCGAATTCAATCATGTATAATAATGTTATTTTTTGACATACGGACTTTTTGAAAAATAGATAGGAACATTTTTATATACCCATAACACTATACGTAGTCGCCCCGCTTTGCTCACTCAATACGCAACACGTCCTCTTCAAACTTCACAATAAGAGACGACCTTCATAATAAGAGACGATTAGTACTGATATGCAGAATATATAATCATAAAACATTTCAATACATAACAACAACAATAATAATACTAATTATGCCCAATGTCTCGTCCGGATGAAAACTATGTAGTCGTGCTCCTGCACGCACTTCGATAATATATTTTAAAGCCCACTAAAACAAAAGCGAGCTAACACCAATCCCCTTTCCGCGCTTCCTGCGCAACCCATCGCCACCCGGCGATCGTCCGCGCGTCCACTCTTCAATGTGTTCTGTTCGCTCGTTTCGACACAGTCTCTTGGTGCGCGTTTCGTTAGGGAGTGTGTGAATACGGGCCTAGGTGTTATGCCAAAGAGTTCTTCCTCGAGACACTGGAGGGAAAGAAAGTCTCCCCAGTCCCGTCGATCGCGGGGTCAGGCGTGTTGTCCTTCTCCAATCATCCAGCTCATTCGTCAGATTTCTGTAATGAATAACTCGATAATTATTGCGAATCTCGCAAAACGGTATGGGACTTTTATGTTTGTCTTAACTCAATCTACCTTCACACTTCGAGTTGGCAGCTAATTACCGGACACCCTATATACGCTCTCTGAAAATGAAATTTTATTCATAAATGATGTGTGTCTGATTTGTAGTATGTAACGTAACTACCACGATGGAAGCAATACACGGAGTTGCAGGATTGCTCGAGTACTCTTGAACCCATTAAATTTTTATTTGGAAAGTTTCTTCTTATTTCTTATAATTTTGATGATGCATGGACCGAAAGAAAAATGCAGATTATTTTTAAAAAAGAGTCCCACTCCTTAAAAGGTCGATTAAAGATATACAAAAAAAATGTATCTTTTATTTTGGTTCAGATTGCTACATGAGAAATCGAAAGGAGACACTTTCATATGTTTCCTTGTTAGTGCATTAATCTTTCTTTTCGATTACTTTAATCGTCATAATTATTATTATTGTCATGATTAATTTCATCTATTTTTATGATAGATTTCAGTGCAAATCGCGATCTCTTATGTAAAATAATTCATAGTTTACTGCACGGAAAAATTAAACATAAAAAGAGAGAACTTCGTTTCATACAAAGCCACGGGAATTATTCGCTAATTTTGTTCATATTTTATCTCTTTGAACTGAAATAATATTACTACATAATTTTTTAGTTAAAATAGCCGATACGCGCAAGTACACCTATGCAGCATATTTTAGATTCTAACATTGATATATGTATTTATTGCACACCTTAGTTTTTGCACACTTGCACGTAGTGTATAATTATGATAAGCACAAAGTCAAACTTTAGCAGAATCTTCTAATAATAGATTTCGAATGGGCCGTCAGTATAAATCGGCTCATGTTAAGAATCGCTGGTTTATGGCCGCCAGACAACCATGACACTCGTGAGGCAATAAAATCGAAAATACGATTACTGTACAGTTTTATCATGGTAATTATCATACTGGCAATACCGGCTTTAATATCACTGATAAGGGTTTGGGGTGACATGATTTTAATGATAGAAAATTTACAATACACTCTACCAATTATGGGAACGATATTCAAAATCTGCATTCTTTGGCAAAAACAAAAAGGTACAGGTTATGTGACAATTGAGTCCCAACATCTCACTTAATAAAATATACCTTCTGCTTAAATAGTATCCGGAATCGGCCAATAAAACACAAAATATTCAATTATTCAGATAAATTTATATTTCGTCGCCTTCAAAATAGTTACCATTCTGTGCAACACACATGTATCAATGCTTATCTTCATGCTATGCCAATCTTCAAAACACTTTTCATAAGCTGATTTTGGCATGGCTTCGAGTTTCTCCAGCGAATTTTCTTTTATTGCCTCAGTTGTCTCAAAACGCTTACTACGAAACGGTAATTTCAGTTTTGAGAAGAAAAAAGTCACAGAATGCCATATCTGGCGAGTACGGTATTTGCGGAATGATGGTAGTCGAGTGTTTGACCAAATAGTCAAGTAGAAGCGATGTGTGCAATAGTGCAACATCGTGGCGCAAAATCCATGAGTTGTTTTTCCACAAATTGGACCTTCTCCTACAGATTTGCTCTCTCAAACGCTGCATAACGCTCAAATAATAATATTTATTAACCATTTTGCCCTCCGGGAGGAATTCTGAATGCACGACGCCGCGATAATAAAAAAAAAAACGATCAATATTGCCTTAATTTTTAATCAGCTTTAACGTGGTTTTTTGGATTTTGCCTCATTTTCGCAGCGCCACTCCGAAGATCCTTGAATGCTTTTTATAACATTTTCAACGCGTCGGCACAAGAAATTTTGCTGAAAACACACAATTTAAGACAAACTCTTTGCTCCACAATATTCGACATCGTAAAAATCGCAAATCGACTGAGATAAATAGCTGTCACGAACAAACTAATAGACAGATCGCGCTCTAATTCTATATGGAAATTAAGTACAGTGGTATCAACTTCAGCACAAAAGGATTTTGAAATATCATAAACGCGTGTCATTTAATAAACAATTCCGGATACTTCTTGAGCAAAAGGTACATTGGCAAATTATACGATAAACACGACGTACTGAAATATTTATACATCACTCTGTGCCTCATAGATTTACAAACCATAGTTGATATGATCGCTACAGACTGGTTGAAACCGAAGACAGAAGTGGAAAAAGCCGTAATGTTAAAACGTGCAAGGATTATACGCATAATGGCCATGTGCGGATTTTCCGGCGCACTTTTGACAATAGTAATTGCTTTCGGTTTTACGTGTTTCGAGCTGATATTCAAGGACATGACAAACTTGACTGATTCTGGAAAATCATTGCCCCTACCATTGCATTACTTGTACGATGTTTCCAAGAGCCCGCAGTATGAATTGACACTACTGGCGCAAGGATTCACGACTGTCACATGTGGTTGTTCTTATACGGGAGTCGATCAGTTTCTCGGATTATTAGTTTTGCACGTATGTGGTCAACTGGAAAACCTACATTTTAGATTGACACATATGGATAAGTATGCAAATTTCATGGCTGCTTTGCAGTACAACGTCCAGGACCACGTCCGCTTAATCAGGTACGCGAGATAAATTGTTAAGATAGTCTGAATGGACATAAATTGTTCGAGATATTATGCCCTTAAATATAATGTAAATGACCTCACTTTCCGTAAAACAATGAATTCTGCAGATCTATCGAAATTATTGATCATACCTTTGATTCAATGCTGCTCATCCTGCTACTTTATTTCGCCATATTATTCTGCTTTCAAGGATTCCTCATAGTTGACGTAAGTAAAAAGTCGTGTACAATATTACATGGTTATAAAGAGTTTCCAGCTCAAACAATTATTAATAATTTGCTATATGCACAAGCTGAAAAGCGTAACTTCAAGAATGCACTTCATTCTTGGAGAATGTGGTTGGCAGATTTTCTCACAGACAACAATATTGAATATAACTTAACAAGTTTCAGAAGATATATATAATTTGGATGTGTAACAATTTAGGTTGTTAATCAAAAGGGCCAATTGTCATTGAAACAATTGATTTGGATCGTTGCTGCGATCGTATATATTTTGATGCACATGTGCCTTTATTGCGTTGTTGGAGAAATTCTCGTGATACAAGTAAGTGAAACAATGTGATAATGTCTTTTATGGCGAAACGAACAACGTAACAACCATATGATTCAACCATATGATAATATAAAATACATAATATAATTATAATTGAAAAAACCGGAAATTATTCCATCATCATTCTAGTCGTTATGGAATGTAATATTATTTCTATTAATTTCTAAGGAAGTATATCAAGCTTATTTCCATCAATAGCGCAAATTTATCGAGCAATTGATTCTTTTGATCAAATATTATATCGTATTTTTACATTTCTGCAGTCTGAGAAAATATATCAAGCTACGTACGAATATCCGTGGTATAATAAGGAACCAAAAGTAGCGAAAAGCTTAATGCTAATTATGCTTCGCGCGAGTAAACCACTTCAAATTACAGCCGGGAAAACATTCCCTATGACAATGGCAACGTTTTGCAACGTAAGTTATGTGTAACACTAAACATGAATTTTGTTTTCTAAGTCATTAGAAATTCTTTCTTAATCGCCATATTAAATTATTTAACATATACATGACGTTATACCACAATAAATGAGAATGAAAAATTTCAATCATGAACACACAAAATTGAAATAATTTCTTTGATAACTTTTTGTATCAAGTGTAAAAATGTCTCGTTCGATTACAATGCATAATTTAAAAATATTACAGTTATTGAAAACTTCAGCAGGATATATATCGGTGCTACTTGCCAATCAAGACTGATAGATATATTTTATACTCAGAACATAATCTTTCAGTAATAACACAATAAATAATTAACAATCTAATAAGTAACATACAATGTAGGCCCATTATAAAAGACTTTAGACACTGATTTCCTATGAACTATTATAGAGAGCGGCAAAATGTAACATGTTTTTAATAGAATGTATCAAAAATATAAAACAATGTGCGTTATCATTTAAGAAAATAAAGAAAATGCCTCACGGCCGTCTCGAGGCTCTGACAGTCGCATTTACTATTTTATATAAAAAACATCGATGTTTTTAAAAAGCAGTTTGCTTCTTTCTCCAGGAATCCAAAAAATGAGTTTATAACATTTCATGTTGCGCGCCCTGTCAATCACCTATAAAACAACAATATAAATAAAGTGTAAGCATTTCAATAAAAGCATGCTAGCATCAATACGGATATATTAATATAATATTTTATGTTTTCACACATATATGATGGGTTTTGTCCAATAATTATGTACGAATCTATTCGATTGTACGTATACAAGTATTATCTTCTTTCATTTATTATATTAGAATGCACATTTTATTGAGTTGTAAATATATTTCGCGCGCGCGATGTTAGTCACAGATGAAAATTTTGGGTACAGTCTTTTACGTTTATCAATTGATAGCATTTTCTTTCTTCTACATACGTTCTAATTTTTCCTCGCTGCACGCAACATCGCTTCGATCACATTGCAATATATTCCACTACCACAAATAAGGTTTCGTTATTCCGTACAAAATGTCTGTTTAGTTCATCAAATTCTACCGCCTGCTCGCCTCTGCCAATATATTGTTCATACCAACACAGAAATAAACAGTTATTAATCACTTTTACTTGAAGATGCGTTGTAATAAAACTGATACAGGACTTGTCGATCTAGTCCTTTCAGTTGCATGGCTACATTCAGACTAACTGCTGAAACTAACGTCGCGACTAGAAACTCATAAATTATGCACCGTCCATATGGCTCCTGACCAAGACGGTTCCACATATTCCACGGACATATTTTCTTCTAGCAAACAAAATTCCCAACAAAATAAAAAACTACTACAGCCGCTTCACCATTATCGTTAAATTTTTTCGCAAAGTTCTAGCATGTCTCGTATAGACACATTAGAATTTCTACACATTTATAACCACAATTCTTTCCTCCAATAATAACCCTCCAACTCATGCGTAATGTGAGCACTAGTATGTGTAATAAAGAAGAGACAAAAACACGAACGAAACGAAGGCGGTGGATATTTCTGCCAATGAACAGCGTCATTTGTGCGCTCTCGCGATAATCATTTATTTACTCGCTTCTTTCACCACCCAAGTGCATAACAATACGATAATACATACCCGTGTTCGCGTGCACGTTCTGGTTCTTCTAATATTCATGACGTTGCCACGATCATTAACTAAACGAAAGTTTTTTTTTTACAAGGCATACACAATAACATGTTGTGAACATAGGAGTAGATTTTCCATCAGACGGAGACCCTTTAGACGTAATGGCCTTTAGACCTTAGACATGAAACGTTCAAGCGGACAGAATGGTCCTCCTTCTCGTTAACAGTTCATGGTTTTTTCTCAGTGCACTCATTTTCCTATTCAATTATTATAATTGTTATAACTGTTAATATCATTTACTTTTTTGCCGATACATTTCAGTACACATCGCCGTCACTCATGTATAATAATTCATAGTTTGCTGCTCGGGAGAAATAATATTGAAAATAAGGGAACGTGATAACTCATTGTTCCATGCAATGCTACTAAAATTATCCGCGAATTTCGTTCATGTCTTTACACTAAAGTAATATTATTATTATAGTAATATTATTACAATAATATTATTATATACTTTTTTTGTTAGAATAGTCAATATGCGCAAACATACTCGTGTAGCGTTTCAGACTCATTGTAGTATTTTAGACTCCAACGTTGAAATATTTATTTTTGCACACTTGTACATAACGTATATAAAATTTTGATTAGCATAAAATCAAACTCTAGCAGAATCTTTTAATGACAGATTTCGAATGGGCCGTCAGTAGAAATCGACTCATGTTAAGAATCGCTGGTTTATGGCCGCCGGACAATTATGACGCTCGTAAAGCAGTAAAGTCGAAAATACGACTACTCTACAATTTTAGCATAGTATTTATCGTACTGGCAATGCCGGCTTTAATATCGCTGATAAGGGTATGGGGTGACATGATTTTAATGATAGAAAACATGCAATACACTTTACCAATTATGGGAACGTTATTCAAAATCTGCATTCTTTGGCAAAAACAAAAAGGTACGGATTGCGTGACAATGTAATTGGATCCCAACATTTATCTTAATGATATATACATCGAAAAATTGTACGACAGAGACAACAGAGACCGAAACATTTATGCGTCACTATGTACTTCATAGATTTACAAACCATAGTTGATATGGTTGCCAGTGACTGGTTGAAATCGAAAACGAATGAGGAGAGAGAAGTGATGCTGAAGCGTGCAAGAATTGTACGCACGATTGCCATGTACGGCTTGTTTTCGACAATTTTGACAGTAACAACTGCTTTCAGTTTTACCTGTTTTGAGCTGATATTCAGGCATTTGACAAACCGGACTGATGCCGGGAAATCATTGCCCATACCATTGGACTACTTGTACGATGTTACCAAGAGCCCGCAATACGAATTGACGCTAGTGGCGCAAATATTCGCGAGTGTTACATGTGGTTGTTCTTATATAGGAGTCGATCACTTTCTCGGATTGTTAGTTTTGCACGTATGTGGACAACTCGAGAACCTACATTCGAGATTGACATACATGGATAAATATCCAAACTTTACGGCTGCTTTGCAGCACAACGTTCAGGATCACGTCCGCTTAATCAGGCACGCAAGTAGTAGTAGTGTTAGGATAAATTATCTGAACATAAATTATTCGAGACATTGTGTCCTTAAATATAATGTATAATTACCTCATTTTCTATAAAATAATGAATTCTATCGTAGATCTATCGAAATTATTGATAATGCATTTGATTCAATGCTGCTCATCCTGGTGCTCTACTTTGCCATAATATTCTGCCTTCAAGGATTTCTCATAGTTGACGTAAGTCAAAAGTAATCTATGTGCGAGATTATGTTATTGTAAAAAGACTCTAGTCCAAGCAATTATTGATTTGCCATGTTTACTCGTGAGTCGCCGTTGACGAGCGAAACTTCCTGCAGATGCATTTCGTTATTTGAGAATATGGTTGACAGGCTTCCTGTTAGACAATAATACCGAATATAACTTGACGAGTTTCAGAGGATGTATAATTTGGATCTGTGACAATTTAGGTTGTTAATCGAAAGGGCCAATTGTCAATGATTCAACTACTTTGGTTCGTCGTCGCGACCCTGTATGTTTTGTTGCACATGTGTTTTTACTGTATTGTTGGAGAAATTCTTGTAATACAAGTAAGTGAAACAATATGATAATGTATTTACGGTTTTTACGGCGAAGCATGCAAAGTTAATCATATAATTTTGTAAGTTAGAGTATTTTACATAATTATATCATTTACATCATTCTATTAACTTTGTCATATAAAACTATTTCAATTAATTTCTGAAGAAGTAAATCTTATTTCCATTAATAACATAAATGTATCGAGTGATCTTTTGATCAAGTAACATGTCGCATTTCTTCAGTCTGAGAAAATATATCAAGCTACGTACGAATATCCATGGTATAATAAGGAACCGGAAGTAGCAAAAAGCTTAATTCTAATCATGCTTCGCGCAAGTAAACCGCTTCAAATCACAGCCGGAAAGACATTTCCTATGACGATGGCGACGTTTTGCAACGTAAGTTATGTATAATGCAAAACAAGAATTACATTTTGCGAGTTATTAGAAATTCTATATTTAATTGTCAAATTCAATTATTTTACGTACATATTATATAGCACCATAATTAAGTGAGCAATAAAGATTTATACCATGAGCTTTTCAAATTCATATAGTATTTTTAATAACTTTCTAAATCATGCGTAAATATTTTGTTTCTGTTTACAATGGGTAATTTAAAAATGTTGCAGTTGTTAAAAACTTCAGCAGGTTATATATCGGTGCTACTTGCCAATCAAAATTGATATATCTTGGGCTCAGAGTATAATCCTTCAATAACAATATGATATGTAATTAACAATAGAATTTGTAATATACAAAATGGGCTCAATATAAAGTATTTTATAAACTGATTTTCTATAAATCACTGTAGAAAGTGGCAAACTAATATGTTTTCAATAGATTTGCTTAAAAGTATAAAAATAAATGGGAGTTTTCCATTTAAGAAAATAAAGAGAATGTCCCACAGCCGTCTGGAAACTCTGGCACATACTTTTACTATTTTATACAAAGGATATTGATGCACTTAAAAAACATGTTGCTGCTTTCATCGGGATATCAGTCATGAATCATTTCCTCCAGCGTAAACTTGTGAAAGTGAAAAATTTTCAATATAAAAACATATAGGAATGTTGTATGAGTTTACCCTAGAGAAAAAATTCATAATTAATATCTAGCAATTCATAAAAAATGAGTTTAGAATACTTTATATTGTACGCCTTATGTATCATTAGCAAAACAACAATATAAATATAGTATTAAAAATATTTACGTATATTATTATTATAGAATGTATAATAGAAATGATCAAATAAATAATAAGCAATAATGACACAATCGAAAATGTGTTAGTCATTTAAAGAAAAAAACACGTTAACATTAGTACCTATATTTTATATTCTTCAAAATATATGCAGAAATTTGTCCAACTTGCAGGTACAAAACTCCGATTATATACATCACCCAAACAATATCTTATTTCATTCATTGTACTAAAAATGTTATTTTCTTAATATGTAAATATATTTCGTATGCACAACACAATATTAACCGTATATGTTATTTTGATCGTTTACGTTTATCGGTTGATAGATTTTCCTTTCTTCCATGTACGTCCCAATTTTTCTCTCACTATATGCAACATCCTTTCGATTCACGTTGCAATATGTTCCAGTAAGATATGTACGTTTTCATTATTCCATACTAATATCTTCTTAAGTATCCATTAAGTTCTGCTGCATAAGCTCCATCTCGTCCACTCAAATATATTGTCCAGACACCTGCGCAGAAATAAACACTTATTAACTAATTTTCCGGTCTTAAGATGCGTTATAATAAAATTGCCGAACTGTCAATATAGTCTTTCCAGTTGCGTGGTTACATTCTAACTAACCGCTGAAACTAACACTGCGACTAAAGACTCATTAATTATGCACCGTCCATGTGAATTCGGACCCATGCGGTTCCATATATCCCATGGATATATTGTCTTATAGCGAACAAACTTTTCAGCAAAGTAAAAAATGTTACAAGCTACAGCCGCTTTGCCATTATCGTTAAATTTTTTTGCAGAGCTCCAGCACGTTTCATATAGACACAGAATTTCTACACATACTTATAACCGCAATTTTCTATAACTCTCCAATTTATGCGTACGTGATCATAATGTGAACATCAGTAATATCTGTAGTAAAAAGGAGACAAAAACACGAACAAACGAAGGCGGTGGATATTTTAGCCGACAGTAGTCATCTGTACGATCCCATGATAATGATTTATTCACTCGCTTCTTTCGCCATCGAAGCACGTCAATAATATGGTAATACATACTTGTGAGCGCATCATGCTCGTTCGGATTCTAATATTCACGATATTGCTGCGAACATTGGCTAAACGAGACTTTTTTTCTTTTTCTTACAAGGCATGCATAATAACATGTTGCAGACATAGAAATGAATTTTCTCTCAGAGAGAGACGCACTGTCCTTTAGACTTTCGACATGAAACGTTCAAACGGATACGATGGTGCTCCTCTTCGTTAACAGTTCACGGTTTTTACTCAGTGTAGAATTCCTATTCAATTCCATAAAATTTATCGTCCTACTCAATTATTATAATTGATTGTTATAATTGTTATTATCGTGCAATTTTTTCCAATAGATTTTTAAAGATATCGTCCCGATCTCTCTAAATTAAATTCTTAAATTAATCGTATATCATGCTCGAGAGAATTAGTCATAAAAAGAAAAGAACGTAATAACTATTTGCAACATTTAATGTCAGTGTTGATATTTCATCATATTAAAATCGAAATTTTATTACCGTCTACATTGTCTGTATCATCTACAACTTTTTTATTCATAGAAAAACGCTGAAATATGCCGTGAACATATTTTAATCTCCCACTTTCATATATTTCTTTTTACATACACATACAAATTATATATATCAATTATAATTCGTAGCATAAAGTCGAACTCAAGTAGCAGCTTCTACTGACAGATTTCGAATGGGCGGTCAGTCTTAATCGGTCCATGTTAAGAGTCGTGGGTTTATGGCCGCCAGACAACTGCGACACTCGTGAGGCAATAAAATCGAAAATACGGCTACTATACAACTTTATGACAATGTTTTTTATACTTACAATACCGATTTTAATATCGCTGATAAGGGTATGGGGTGATATGACTTTAATGATAGAAAATATGCAATTCAGTATACCATTTGTAAATACAACATTCAAAATCAGCGTTATTTGGTACAAACAAGCAGGTACAAATTGTATAACAAAATAACTGTCTTGTAATTGTCTGCTTGCTTCTTTGTACAATTGAGTAACTTGTATGGAAGACCATATATTGAAACATCAAGAAGAAACTGATCTTTCTAGATTTATTACCCCTAATTAACATGATTGAGAGAGACTGGATGAAACCGAAGATGAAAGAAGAGCGAGACGTTATGCTGAGACACGCAAGGATTATACGTGCAATCGCCATGTGCGGAATGTTTGGAGCAGTTTTTGCAATAATAGTTATTTCCGGTTTTCCGTCTCTCGGTCTGCAACTCAGGCAGGTGACGAACTTAACCGATTCCGGAAAACCATTGCCCATACCATCGTACTACTTGCACGATGTTTCCAAAAGTCCTCAGTACGAATTGTCGTTCCTCGCGCAAGTATTCGCAATGATCGCATGTGGTTGTTTCTATACTGCGATCGATCATTTTCTCGGACTATTGGTTTTGCACGTATGCGGCCAACTGGAAAATTTGTATTTGCGACTGTCACGCATGGAAAAGTATTCGAACATCAATGCAGCTCTTGAGTATAACGTGCAGGATCACGTCCGCATAATCAGGTATACAAAATAAATTGTCAAGGTAAGCTGTCTGAAGAGGAATTATTCGAGACATTATGTCCAAAAATGCGAGATAAATTTATATTATCTTCTTTAAATCATCATATTCTGCAGGTCCGTCGAAATCATAGACGTTACGTTCAATTGGATGCTACTTATTCTGGTGCTTTACTTCGGCGTATTATTCTGCCTCCAAGCGTTTCTCATAGTTAAAGTAAGTAAGAAATAAATTTTGTGTGCCGAAGTATATGCTTGAAGAACCTCTGACCCAAACAGTTGTTCATAACTTACCAAGTTCATTTGTGAACAAGTTGTAAAGTACACTTCTCGATCAATTGTATTACTTAAGTATTTGGTTGTCAATGTTCGTTGTATACTATATAATTAAATGCAACTTGACAAATTTCAGAGAATATATCATTTGAATCTGTAACAATCTAGGTTATTAATGAAAAGGGCCAAATATCCTTGACACAATTGATTTGGTACGTCGCAGCTACCGTATATGTTTTAATGCACATGTGCATTTATTGCGCTGTCGGCGAAATACTCGTGATACAAGTAAATTGAACAATATGATAGTTGTTTTAATAGAAAACAGGCAATATACGTGGATTATTTGATAAGTTTTGACACTGAACATGAAAATGTCGTTATTACTCGTCATTGATCGGAAACTGTTGTAAACGTATGAAAACACTGCATCTCTTTAATAATTGCTCCCATATGGTCAGCCATATATGACTCTTTCTTTTGTTTTGACAATCATTTGTAGTACTACTGTTAGTATGTTTGTTTAACGATAGAAAAAATAGAATATTGTTTCATGATTAAATCTGAAAGGAAAAATCCCAACGGAAATAAAAACTGGGGTGGATTCTATTTACGGTGATTCTACTCCTTCGTTTTCAACGGTAAAAGTTTGGATTGCCTAGTTTAAGCGTGGCCGTACAAATGTGTTTGATGACGAATGCCTGGGTACCCAAAAACTGCAACAACTGAGGAAATGGTCGACAAAGTGCATCAAATCGTACTGAATGATCGTAAACTGAAAATCACAGTGATAACAGATGCATATCTTCGGAACATGTATGTTCAAAATTTAGCATGAAGATTTGGATATGAAAAAGCTGGCTGTGCGATAGGTGCGATATTTGCTGACGTTGGACAAAAACGCAACATTTCAACATAACATTTCAAATGAGTGTTTGGACCTATTCATGCCAGATACAAAGAATTTCTTGCATCCATTCGTGACTGTTGGTGAAACATAAATTCACCACTACATACCTGAAAGCAAAAGTCAGTCAACAAAAAGTGAACTTCATCAGGCGGACCTGTTCCAGTGAAGGCAAAGATGTTCTATTTGGCCGGAAAAGTTATGGCGTATATTCTTTGGGATAATCGCTCATCGATTATCTTCAAAAAGGAAAAGCTATCATTGGCGGATATTATGCATCATTATTAGAACATTTGAAGGAGGAAATCGCGAAAAAATACATTTAAAGAAGAAAAAGATGCTTTTTCATCTTAGGATAACACGCCAGCTCACACATTTGCAACCATTATGGCCAAAGCATGAATTATGCTTTACAAATTGATTCACCTTCTTCGACCTCTTCAACTTCTTTTTATTTCCGAAGAAATAAAGAAATGATTGGGTGAAAAAAATCCACGATCAATAAGGATGTGATTGACACCATAAACGGATATTGCAGGACTTGACCTAATCTATAATACTTTGCCATCGAAATAGAAGACTGGAAAAGAGGTGGACAAATTATATCCAGCTAAAAGAAGACTGTATCGAAAAATAAAATTTTGCCCATTTTGCCCAAAAATATAAGCACTCCATTGTTAGACTCGAAACTTATCAAAAAACCCACGTGTATCCTATAATTTTATAACTCATAGTATTTTCCGTAACTATAATTCTATAATTCGTTTCTTTTCTATAATCACTGTGTTGGTTTAGAAAACGGACGATATTAATTTTACTAACATGAATTTATTTAGCAGATTATTTCTTCGAATATTAGAAATGTCGCAATTTTTCAGTCTGAAAAAATACATCAAGCAGCGTACGAATATTCGTGGTACAACAAAGAACCAAAAGTAGCAAAAAACTTAATGCTGATCATGCTGCGTGCCAATAAACCACTTTATATCACAGCGGGGAAAACATTTCCCATGACGATGTCAACCTTTTGCAACGTAAGTTATTTACGATACAAGGAATGCATTATCATGATATTTCAAACTTTTCATTGTGCACTTACAAGGATCATCCGCGAAGTGTGTGTCTCCGATTTTGACAAAACTTGACATATTTATAGAGTAGCCAATAAAAGACCCATATTCTTTTATCGACAAAGGCTCAGATTTAAGAGATAAAACTGCTCCTCAAAATGTCATCCCCTTTAAGCTATCTCAATAATCATTACAGATAAGAAACAACTTTTTAAACAAAAATTATTCGGTTTTTTAATGCTGTACAATTTCTGTTTAAAAAATGTTTAAATTATGTCCTTTTTTAATTGCCATTATTTAAAATGAATTTACATATTTATTATATATTACATATTACATACGTAAAATTTTAGTCTTTTCTCTATACGATATTAAACAAATGTTTCAGCTGTTGAAAACTTCGGCGGGTTACGTATCGGTATTACTTACCAAGCAAGGTTAATGACGACATTGTGAATTTCCAACTTAAAATTTTTTGTACTAATATATCATACAGCTGGTAATTAAATTAGTTATATGTAATCAATAACATGATGGACAATATATGAAGTTTTATAAATTATTCTCTCATGAATTACTAGAAATAGCGACAGAATGTTATGCGATTTTAGTAGAAAGAAATAGCGTGCAAAAGAGGTAGGGGGTGCAGAGAGAAAGAAGAAGTTACTCAAAAATAAAAAATTATTCTCTCATATTTACTACTAATAAACTGCTAAATTATTATACGTACAATATGTATTACGAAGTGTTCTTAATGCCCAACCGAAATATATTCTCAACCAAATTTCCGCATCATAGATGAGTTTTAGTAACACTGACACAGAAACTGTTCACCTCATCCTTCCAATCGCGTGGCTACATTCCGACTGTTCGTTCAAGCTAACGCTGCATCTAAAGATTCATTAATTATGCACCGTCCATGTGACTCCCAAACCAGGTGGGGCTCTACATACTCGAGGGACGTATTTTCTTCTAGTGAACAAACTTTTCAGCAAAGTAAAAAGTGATAACAAGCTACAGCCGCTACACCATTATCGTTAAAATTTTTTGCAAAGCTCTAACATGTCTCGTAGAGACATAAGAATTTCTACGTACATTTATAACCACAATTCTTCATAATGTATGCGTACGTAGCTGTAATGTGAGCATTAATATATGTAGCAAAAAAGAAACAAGAAAACGAACAAACGAAGACATATTCTGCCGAAAGACACTAGTCATATGTGCGATCCCGCTATAATAATTTATTCACTAGCTTTTGTTATCGAACAGCGTCAGCAATATAATAATACGTACTGGTGAGCGCATCTTGCTCATTTGTGTTCTAATATTCACGACATAGTTGCAAACGTTAGCTAAACGAGAGTTTTTTTGCAAACATGCATAATGACATATTGCAAACCTAGTGAATTTTTTCCCGGAGGGAACGACAGTATCCTTTAAGTCTTAGACATGAAACATTCAAGAAAACATAATGGTGCTTCTCTTCGTTAGCGAATTATGATTTCTACCCCGTGCACTTATCCTCCTATTTATTTATTATAATTGTCATAATTGTTAATATCGTGTAATTTTTTCCAATAGATTTTTAGAGATCTCGTTACGAACCCTCTTACAAAATTAATCATAGTATATCATGTTCGAGAGAATTAATCATAAAAAGAAGAGAACATTCCCACAGCACAGAAGTTGCAGCAACATTGCTGGAACATTGTAACAATATTGCAATGTTGCAGCAACGTTGCAGCAACATTTTTTTCAACTTTGTATGCTGTATAGGTAATAACTATTTGCTGCATTCAATGTCACTGATATTGTTTGGCAAATCCGTTGATATCTTTTCACCTTAAAATGAAAATTTCATTATTGTCTATGTTGTCTCTATCATCTATATTGTTTTTATAATTTATTTACTCATAGAAAAAACGATATGCTCAAATACGCTGTCCACATATTTTAATCCCCAACGTTCATATAAATATTTATTTTTATATATACATGTAAATTATACATATATATATATATATATATATATATATATATATCAAATTATAATTCGTAGCATAAAGTCGAACTCAAGTAGCAGCTTCTACTGACAGATTTCAAATGGGCGATCAGTCTTGATCGGTTCATGTTAAGAGTCGTGGGTTTATGGCCGCCAGACAATTACGACACTCGTGAGGCAGTGAAATCGAAAATACGGCTACTATACAATATTATAACAATGCTCTTCGTACTTATAATACCGACTTTAATATCGCTAATAAGGGTATGGGGTGATATGATTTTAATGATAGAAAACATGCAATACAGTTTGCCATTTATGAGTACAATATTCAAAATCAGCATTATTTGGTACAAACAAGCAGGTACATATTGTATAACAAAATAAGTGTCTAGTAATTATTGCTTCCACCTTTATACAATTAGCATAACTTATAAGGCAAACTATATGTTGAAATACCAATATAAAACTCTAATCTTTCTAGATTTATTACCTCTAATTAACATGATGGAGAGAGACTGGATGAAACCGAAAACAAAAGAGGAGCGAGATGTTATGCTGAATCGTGCAAGGATTATACGCGTAATTGCCATTTGCGGAATATCCTGGGCACTTTGTGGAATAACAATTACTTTCAGTTTTCCATATTTTGGTCTAAGACTCAGGCAGGTGACGAACCTAACCGATTTTGGAAAACCATTGCCCATACCATCGTATTACTTGCACAATGTTTCCAAAAGTCCGCAGTACGAATTGACACTACTGATGCAAAGCATTACGGCTACCGCATGTGGTTGTTCCTATACTACGATCGACCACTTTCTCGGACTATTAGTTTTGCACATATGCGGCCAACTGGAAAATCTACATTTGCGATTGTCACGCATGGAAAAGTATTCGAACTTTAATGCGGCTCTTGAATACAACGTACAGGATCACATCCGCATAATCAGGTATACAAAGTAAATTGTCAAGGCAAGCCGTCTGAAGAAGAATGATTCGAAACGTTATGTTTAAAAGCGCGAAATAAATTTATATCAGTTTTTAAATGAGCCTATTTTGCAGGTCCGTCGACATTATCGACCATACGTTTAATTCAATGTTACTTGTACTGGTGCTCTATTTCGGCGTATTATTCTGCTTCCAAGCGTTTCTTATAGTTGAAGTAAGTAAGAAATAATTTTTATGCCGAAATGTATGCTCGAAGAATCTCTGACCCAAACAGTTATTCGTAACTTACCAAGTTCATTTGTGAACAAGTTTCAAAATGTATATTTTGATCAATTGCATTACTTAAGAACTACTTTTGGTTATCAATTTTCATCATACACAATATAATTAAATGCAACTTGACAAATTTCAGAGAATATATAATTTGAATCTATAACAATCTAGGTTGTGAATCGAAAGGGCCAATTATCCTTGACCCAAATGATTTGGTTCGTCGCAGCTATCATATATATTCTGATGCACATGTGCCTTTATTGTATTGTCGGCGAAATACTCGTCATGCAAGTAAATTGAATAATATAATAGTTACTTTAATGGAAAAGGGGGAACATACGTTGGTTGATGTTTGATAAGGTTCGAACCAATAAAGATGATGTCTGAACATGAAGATGATGTTACCTGTCGAAATTTGTTGTAAAGTGTGAAAGCTCTACATCTTTTTAATAGCTGCTTCCAAATGGTCAGCCATATACGGGGTTTAGTTTTGTTTTGACAATTAATTGTGGTACGTCTGTTTGTTTAACGGTAAAAATCGAATATCGTTCCATAATTAAGTCTGAAAGGGAAAATCTCAACAGAAATCAAGATCGAGTTGGATTTTATTTACGATGACTCTGCCCATTCGTTTTCAATTTATGAAATTTTTCAATTTAATGAAATTTTGGGGTGCCGAGTTGAAGCGAGCCGTAAAAGTATAATTGATGATGAGAGGTTAGGTCGCCTAAAAACTACAACGACAATGAGGAAATGGTCGGCAAAGTGCATCAAATCGTATTGAATGATCGGAGACTGAAGGCCAAAGAGATAGCAGATGCATATTTTCGGAACATGTGTGTTCAAAATTTAATATATAGATTTAGGTATGAGGAAGCTGACTGTGCGATGGGTGCCGCATTTGCTGACATTGGACCAAAAACGCATTTGACAAAACATTTCAAAGGAATCTTTGAACCAGTTCAAGCAGGATGCAAAGGATTTGTGTCCGTTCATAACTGTTGGTGAAATATGGATTTACCATTACACAGAAGAACGGCCAAAACAGTGGATTTCACCAACTGAAGCTGCACCGAAGAAGGCAAAGATGTTTCATTCGGCTGAAAAAGTTATGGGGATGTTTTTGGGATAAAACAGCATATTGCTCATCGATTATCTTCAAAAAGGAAAAACTATCACTGGCGTTATTATATGGGTTGCTGCAAAAGTTTCGCGAAAACTTCTGTGAAACTGTTCTGTGTTGAAAATTCTAGCGTTGCCAGCTTACAGGCAACAATATTTTCATAAAATTTGATACGATGTTTTTTCACGCTAAAAAGTATTGATTAAACAAAAAAATGTCAATTGGTTTCGTTTTTAAAACGTGTCAAAGTTAAGAAATGAAGTGAAAAAATGGATTTTAAACGAGAACATCTTCGTGCGATAATTTTCCATGATTTTTAGAGTAATTTAACTCTAGAACAGTATATGGAACGGCTTGCGGTTTTTGATGATGGAGCACCATCAAAAAACAATAATTTATCGATAGTTTCAAAAGTTCAAAAGTAGACAGCAATCATAATGATGATTTTCGTGAAGGTTGCTGATGGAATGAGAGGACTAGAAAAGAAACAGACAAAGTATATCAAGCTAATATCGAAAAATAGAACCCATTTTACTCAAAAATATAAGTGTTTCATTGTTAGGCTCGAAACTTATCAAACAAATCACGTGTATCATATAATTTTATAACTCATAGTATTTTCCGTAAGTATGATTCTACAACTCGTTTTTTCCTATTACTATTAATTTAGAAAACTATTGTTAGTTTAAAAAAATGATGATGATTTATCTTGCTAACATTTTAGCAGCAGATTATTTCTTTTGTACGAATAACACAAATGTCGCAATTTCCAGTCTGAGAAAATACATCAAGCCACGTACAAATATCCGTGGTATAATAAAGATCCAAAAGTAGCAAAAAGTTTAATGCTGATTATGCTGCGCGCTAGTAAACCACTTTATATCACAGCCGGGAAGACATTTCCCATGACAATGGCAACGTTTTGCAACGTAAGTTATTTGCCATACAAAAAGCGCGTTATTATGATATTTTCATTGGCTTTTCATTGTGCACTTAGTACGAATTCGAAAACCAGATCAATTAATGCGCTAGTATGTTTTTCAAGTTATTTGAAACTCTATTCTTAATACGTTATGTTTAATTATTTTGTTTATATTGAACATATTATCTAGCATCGCACCTCTAGCTGAAAATGCTTGTTTAAATCATGTACTTTTTAAATTGTCATTATTTAAAATGAATTTATGTATTATATGTAAAATTTTTGTCTTTTCTCTATACGATATTAAACAAATGTTTCAGTTGTTGAAAACTTCGGCGGGTTATGTATCGGTGCTACTCGCGAATCATAGTTAATGGCCATATTGTGAATTTCCAGCTTAGATCCTTTTTGTACTAACATATCATATAGGTGATAATTAAACTAGTTACATGTAGTCAGTAAACATAATGGACGACATACAAAATGTTTTACAAGCTATTCTCCTTACAAGTTGAATGACTAAAGATAGAGCGACGGAATGTTACGCGATTTTAATGGAAAGAAAGAGGGAGTGAGGAAGAGAGATAGAGAGAAGAAGAGAGATAGAGAGAAAGAGAGAAGATGGGAGAAAAAGGGAAAAAGAGAGTTATTCAAGAATAAAAAATTATTCTTTTACAATTACTACTAAATTAATAAACTAACAATATTAAGTTACTATGCGTACTATTATATATTATATATGTATATTACGATATATTATATGTATATTACGTATGAAGTGATTTTAATCCTCAACCAAAATATACTCTTAACCAAATTTTCACATTAAAGGATGTGTCCTAATAACACTGACACAGAAATTGTTCACTTCATCCTTCCAGTCGCGTGGCTATATTGCAACTGTTCGTTCAAGCTAACACTGCATCTAAAGATTCATTAATTATACACCGTCCATGTGGCTTCCAACCCAGGCGAGGCTCTACATACTCGAGGGACGTATTTTCTTCTAGCGAACTTTTCAGCAAAGTAAAAAGTGATAACAAGTTACAGCCGCTACACCATTATCGTTAAAATTTTTTGCAGAGCTCTAACATGTCTCGTAGACACATAAGAATTTGTACGTACATTTATAACCACAATTCTTCATAACCCTCCAATGTATGCGTACGTAGCTGTAATGTGAGCTTTGTAATGTGTAAAAAGAGGACAAAAACACAAACGAAGGCGGTGGATATTTCTGCCGATGGCACAATAGTCATTTGTGCGATCCCGCGGTAATAATTTATTCATTCGCTTCTTTCGCCATCGAAGCGGATTAACAATATAATACAATAATACATATTTGTGAGCGCATATTGCTCGTTCGTGTTCTAATATTCACGATATTGTTACGAATAATGGCTAAACGAAAGTTCTTGCTATTTTTTTATAAGCATGCATGTTTTATAAGCAACATGTTACAAACATGATGAATTTTTTCCCGGAGGGAACGACAGTATTCTATAAGTCTTAGATATGAAAGGTTCAAGAGAACATAATGGTGCTCCTTTTTATTAACAAATCACGGTTTTTATTCAATGCAGGCCTCATATTCAATCTTATACGGTTTACCCTCCCTAATTATTATGATTATCATAATTGTCAATAACGTCAATAAATTTTTTCCGATAGATTTTTACAAATCTGGTCACGATCTCTCTAAAGTAAATTGTTAAATTAATCATAATATATCATGCTCAAAAAAACTGATCATGAAATGAAGAGAGCGTAATAACTATTTGGTGCATTCAATGTCACGGGAATTATTTGGCAAATCCGTTGATATTTTATTACTTTTAAATTACCTTAAAATGAAACCTTAATTTTATTTTTAAATGATACCTTAATTTTATTACCTTAAAATGAAAATATTATTGTCTCTATCGTCTATAATTTTTTTATTTGTAAAAGAAACTATAGGCTCAAGAACGCTGCGCACATACTTTAATCCCCCACGTCATATATTTGTTTTTATATATATATACGTAAATTATATACATCAAATTATAATTTGTAGCATAAAGTCGAACTCAAGTAGCAGCTTCTAATGACAGATTTTGAATGGGCGGTCAGTCTGAATCGGTTCATATTAAGAATCGTGGGTTTATGGCCGCCAGACAATTGCGACACTCGTGAGGCGGTAAAATCGAAAATACGCCTACTATACAACTTTATGACAATGCTTTTTATACTTACAATACCGACTATAATATCGCTGATAAGGATATGGGGGGACATGACTTTAATGATAGAAAATATGCAATACAGTTTACCGTTTATAAGTACAATATTCAAAGTCAGCATTATTTGGTATAAACAAGCAGGTACAAGTTCTATAACAAAACAACTGTCTTGTGATTGTCTGCTTATTCCTTTATACAATTGTAACGAAATTTGTAGGAAAGATCAATATTGAAACATCAAGATGAAACTCTAATCTTTCTAGATTTATTACCTCTAATTAACATGATGGAGAGAGACTGGATGAAACCGAAGATAAAAGAGGAGCGAGACGTTATGCTAAGTCGTGCAAGGATTATACGCGCAATCACCATATGCGGAATGTCAGGGGCAATTTTTGCAATAATAATTATTTTCGGTTTTCCATGTCTCGGTCTAAGACTCAGACAGGTGACGAACTTAACCGATTCCGGAAAACCATTGCCCATACCATCGTACTACTTGCATAATGTTTCTAAGAGTCCGCAGTTCGAATTGTCGTTCCTCGCGCAAGTATTCACAATGACCGCATGTGGATGTTCCTATACTGCGATCGACCAATTTCTCGGGCTATTGGTTTTGCACATATGCGGTCAACTGGAAAATCTACATTTGCGACTGTCACGTATGGAAAAGTATTCAAACTTCAATGCAGCTCTTGAGTATAACGTGCAGGACCACGTCCGCATAATCAGGTACACAAAATAAATTGTCAAGGTAAGCCGTCTGAAGAGGAATTATTCGAGACATTATGTCCATAAACGCGAAATAAATTTATATCATCTTCATTAAATCATCGTATTCTGCAGGTCCGTCGAAATCATCGACCATACGTTTAATTGGATGCTACTTATTCTGATGCTCTACTTCGGCGTATTATTCTGCCTACAAGCGTTTCTCATAGTTCAAGTAAGTAAAAAATAATTTTTGCGCGCCGAAGTATATGCTTGAAGAACCTCCAACCAAAACAGACATTTGTAATTTACCGAATTTATTTGTGAACAAATTGCAAAGCGCACTTCTTGATCAATTGCATTACTTAAGTATGGTTGTCAATTTTCGTCATATACAATATAATTAAATGCAACTTGACAAATTTCAGAGAATATATAATTTGAATCTATAACAATCTAGGTTGTTAATGAAAAGGGCCAATTATCCTTAACACAATTGATTTGGTACGTCACAGCTACCGTATATGTTTTAATGCACATGTGCATTTATTGCGCTGTCGGCGAAATACTCGTGATACAAGTAAATTGAATCATATGATAGTTACTTTAATGGAAAACAGGCAACATGCGTGAGTTATTTGATAAATTTCAAGCCTGAACATGAAAATGGCGTTACCAGTCGGAAACTATAAAGTATGAAAGCACTGCATCTCTTTAATAACTGTTCCCAAATGGTCAGCCATATATGACTCTTTATTTTGTTTTGACAATCATTTGTGGTATGCCTGTTTAGCCTGTTGGTATGTTTGTTTAACGATAGAAAAAATAGAATATTGTTCCATGATTAAATCTGAAAGGAAAAATCCCAATGGAAATCAAAACCGAATTAGAATCTGTTTACAGTGATTCTGCTCCTTTGTTTTCAACGGTGTTTAGGTAGCCGAGTTTAAGCGTGGCCATACGAATATGTTTCATGACGAGCGTTCGTCCAAAAACTGCAACGACTAAGGAAATGGTCGACAAAGTGCATCAAATCGTACTGAATAATCGGAAATTGAAAGTCAGAGTGATAACAGATGCATATCTTCGGAACATGTATGTTCAAAATTTAGCATGGAAATTTGGACATGAGAAAGCTGGCTGCGCAATAAGTGCGACGTTTGCTGACGCTGGACAAAAACGCATTCAACATAACATTTCAAAGCAATGTTTGAACCTATTCATGCGAGATACAAAGAATTTCTGCATCCATTCGTGACTGTTGGCGAAACATGAATTCACCACTACATACCTGAAAGCAAGGGTCAGTTAACAAAAAGTGAACTTCATCAGGCGAACCTGCTCCAATTAAGGCAAAGATGTTTTATTTGGCCGGAAAAGTTATGGCGTATGTTCTTTGGAATAGCTCATCGATTATCTTCGAAAAGGAAAAGCTATCACTGGCGGATATTATGCATCATTATTAGAACATTTGAAGGAGGAAATCGCGAAAAATACATTTAAAGAAGAAAAAGATGCTTTTTCATCTTAGGATAACGCGCCAGCTCACACATTTGCAACCATTATGGCCAAAGCATGAATTATGCTTTACAAATTGATTCACCCTCTTCGACCTCTTCAACTTCTTTTTATTTCCGAAGAAATAAAGAAATGATTGGGTGAAAAAAATCCACGATCAATAAGGACATGATTGACACCGTAAACGGATATTGCAGGACTTGACCTAATCTATAATACTTTGCCATCGAAATAGAAGACTGGAAAAGAGGTGGACAAATTATATCCAGCTAAAAGAAGACTGTATCGAAAAATAAAATTTTGCCCATTTTGCCCAAAAATATAAGCACTCCATTGTTAGACTCGAAACTTATCAAAAAACCCACGTGTATCCTATAATTTTATAACTCATAGTATTTTCCGTAACTATAATTCTATAATTCGTTTCTTTTCTATAATCACTGTGTTGGTTTAGAAAACGGACGATATTAATTTTACTAACATGAATTTATTTAGCAGATTATTTCTTCGAATATTAGAAATGTCGCAATTTTTCAGTCTGAAAAAATACATCAAGCAGCATACGAATTTTCGTGGTACAACAAAGAACCAAAAGTAGCAAAAAGCTTAATGCTGATTATGCTGCGTGCCAGCAAACCACTTTATATCACAGCGGGGAAAATATTTCCCATGACGATGTCAACGTTTTGCAACGTAAGTTATTTCGGATACAAGGAATACATTTTCATGATATTTTAGACTTTTCATTGTGCACTTACAAGGAACATCCGCGAAGTGGGTGTCTCCGATTTGGCGAAATATACGACGTATACCAGAACGTTCGCACTGCGCACGTACACTTGCGGACAATAAACGATCTGTAAAAATCTTTATCGTTCAAATTTCGGCTTGACATTTTGGAAATATGTTTTTGACATCAAATTCTGTTTATTAAGCGAAAAAAAATTGACTATTTTTGACCCAATAAACGGTTGTCCCCCCTTAGAAGATAAAACTGCTCCTCAAAATATCATCCCCTTTAAGCTATATCAATAATCATTGCAGATAAGAAACAACTTTTTAAACAAAATGTTCGGTTTTTTATGCTATACAATTCTTATTTAAAAAATTTTTAAATTATGTACTTTTTTAATTGCCATTATTTAAAATGAATTTACATATTATATGTAAAATTTTTGTCTTTTCTCTATATAATATTAAAAAAATGTTTCAGCTGTTGAAAACTTCGGCGGGTTACGTATCGGTGCTACTTACCAAGCAAGGTTAATGGCGATATTGTGAATTTCCAACTTAAAATTTTTTGTATTAATATATCATATAGCTGGTAATTAAACTAGTTATATGTAATCAATAACATGATGGACAATATATAAAGTGTCTTATAAACTATTCTCTCATGAATTACTAGAAATAGCAACAGAATGTTATGCGATTTTAATAGAAAGAAATGGCGAGCGAGGAGGGGCAAAGAGAAAAAGAGAAAGTTACTCAAAAGTAAAAAATTATTCTCTCATATTTATTACTAATAAACTTCTAAGTTATTATACGTACTATATTATTATACGTACTATATGTATTACGAAGTGTTCTTAATATTCAACCGAAATATATTCTTAACCTAATTTCCGCATCCAAAATGAGTTCTAGTAACACTGACACAGAAACTGTTCATCTCATCCTTCCAGTCGCGTGGCTACATTCCAACTGTTCGTTCAAGCTAACGCTACATCTAAAGATTCATTAATTATACACCGTCCATGTGGCTTCCAACCCAGGCGAGGCTCTACATACTCGAGGGCCGTATTTTCTTCTAGCGAACAAACTTTTCAACAAAGTAAAAAGTGATAACAAGTTACAGCCGCTACACCATTATCGTTAAAATTTTTTGCAGAGCTCTAACATGTCTCGTAGACACATAAGAATTTCTACGTACATTTATAACCACAATTTTTCATAACCCTCCAATGTATGCGTACGTAGCTGTAATGTGAGCATTAATATATGTTGCATAAAAGAAACAAGAAAACGAACAAACGAAGATATATTTTGCCGACGGACACTAGTCATATGTGCGATCCCGCTATAATAATTTATTCATTAGCTGCTTTTGTCATCGAAGAGCGTCAGCAATATAATAATACGTACTGGTGAGCGTATCTTGCTCATTTATGTTCTAATATTCACGACATAATTGTAAATGTTGGCTAAACGAGAGTTTTCTTGCAAACATGCATAATGACATATTGCAAACGTGATGAATTTTTTCCCGGAGAGAACGACAGTATCCCTTAAGTCTTAGACATGAAACGTTCAAGAGAACATAATGGTGCTTCTCTTCGTTAGCGAATTATGATTTCTACTCAGTGCACTTATCCTCCTCTTTATTTATTATGATTGTCATAATTGTTAATATCGTGCAATTCTTTCCAATAGATTTTTAGTGATCTCGTTACGTACTCTTTTACAAAATTAATCATAGTATATCATGCTCGAGAGAATTAATCATAAAAAGAAGAGAACGTTCCCACAGCACAGAAGTTGCAGCAACATTGCTGCAACGTTGCATCAATATTGCAATGTTGCGGCAACGTTGCAGCAACATTTTTTCAACTTTGTGTGCTGTATAGGTAATAACTATTTGCTGCATTCAATGTCACGGATATTGTTTGGCAAATCCGTTGATATCTTATCACCTTAAAATGGAAATTTCATTATTGTCTATGTTTTCTCTGTCATCTATATTGTTTCTATAATTTGTTTATTCATAGAAAAAATGATACGCTCAAATACGCTGTGCACATATTTTAATCCCCCACGTTTATATAAATATTTATTTTTATATATACATATAAATTATATATATAAATTATACATATATATATATATAAAATTATAATTCGTAGCATAAAGTCGAACTCAAGTAGCAGCTTCTAATCACAGATTTCGAATGGGCACTCAGTGTAAATCGGTTCATATTAAGAATCGCTGGCTTATGGCCGCCAGACAACTACGACACTCGTGAGGCACTAAAGTCGAAAATATGGCTGCTATACAACTTTTTGACAATTCTTTTCATACTTACAATACCAATGTTAATATCGTTGATAAGGGTATGGGGGGATATGATTTTAATGATAGAAAATATGCAATACAGTTTGCCGTGTATAGGTACAATATTCAAAATCTGCATTATTTGGTACAAACAAGCAGGTACAAATGATGTAACAAAATAATTTGTCTTGTAATTATATTTTAATTTTTTTATATAATTGACTTATAACGAACCCGTACACAACCCGAACACAAAAAGTTGCAGCAACATTGCTGCAACGTTGCAACAATGTTACAATGTTGCAACAATGTTACAATGTTACAACAATGTGGCAGCAATGTTGTTGCAACTTTGGTGCTATATGGCGAAGATATATATTGAAACATCCATATAAAACTCTGATCTTTCTAGATTTACTACCTCTAATTAACATGATCGAGAGAGACTGGATGAAACCAAAGATGAAAGAGGAGCGAGATGTTATGCTGAATCGTGCAAGGATTGTACGCGTAATTGCCATTTGCGGAATCTCCGGGGCACTTTGTGGAATAATAATTACTTTCAGTTTTCCATATCTCGGTTTGAGACTCAGGCAAGTGACGAACCTAACCGATTCTGGAAAACCGTTGCCCGTACCATCATATTTCTTGCACGATGTTTCCAAAAGTCCGCAGTACGAATTAACACTACTGATGCAAAGTATCACGGCTGTCGCATGTGGTTGTTCCTATACTGCGGTCGACCACTTTCTCGGACTATTGATTTTGCACATATGCGGCCAACTGGAAAATCTACATTTGCGACTGTCACGTATGAAAAAGTATCCGAATTTCAATGCGGCTCTTGAATACAATGTCCAGGATCACATCCGTATAATCAGGTACACAAAATAAATTGTCAAGGTAAGCCGTCTGAAGAAGAATTATTCAAATCATTATATTCATAAGCGCGAAATAAATTTATATTATTTTATTTAAATCAGCCTATTTTGCAGGTCCGTCGACATCATCGACCGTACGTTTAATTCAATGTTACTTGTTCTGGTGCTCTACTTCGGCGTATTATTCTGCTTCCAAGCGTTTCTCATAGTTGAAGTAAGTAAGAAATAATTTTTGTGCCGAAATGTTCGAAGAACCTCTGACCCAAACAGTTAGTCGTAGCTTTCCAAGTTCATTTGTGAACAAGTTTAAAAAAACGCACATTTTGATCAATTGCATTACTTAAGAATTTGGTTGCATAATTTTCATCGTATACAATATCATTAAATGCAACTTGACAAATTTCAGAGAATATACAATAATTTGAATCTGTAACGATCTAGGTTGTGAATCGAAAGGGCCAATTATCCTTGACCCAAATGATTTGGTTCGTCGCAGATACCGTATATATTTTGATGCACATGTGTCTTTATTGTGTTGTCGGCGAAATACTCATCATGCAAGTAAATTGAATAATATAATAATTGCTTCAATGAGAAGCAGGGGACATACGTTGGTTCTTTAATAAGTTTCGAGACTGAACATGAAGATGATGTCACTGGTCGAAAACTGTTATAAAGCTGACTAAACTGTTAAAGAGCGTGAAAGCTCTACACCTTTTTAATTTAATAGCTGCTCCCAAATGATCATCCATATGTGGGGTTTAGTTTTGTTTTTACAGTCAGTTGTGGTACGTCTGTTTGTTTAACGGTAAAAATCGAATATCGTTCCATGATTAAGTTTGAAAGAGAAAATCTCCACGGAAATCAAGATCGAGTTGGATTTTGTTTACGGTGGCTCTGTTCATTTGTTTTCAACAATGAAAATTTGGGGTGCCGGGTTGAAGCAAACCATAAAAGTATGATTGATGATGAGAGCCCAGGTCGTTTAAAAACTACAACAACTGAGGAAATAGTTGACAAAATGCATCAAATCGTACTGAATGGTCGGAGACTGAATGTCAAAGAGATAGCAGATGCATATTTTCGGAACATATATGTTCAAAATTTAATATGAAGATTTGGATATGAGGAAGCTCACTGCGCGATGAGTGTCGCATTTACTGACATTGAACCAGAAACGCATTTGACAAAACATTTTAAAGGGGTCTTTGGACCAATTCAAGCGGAATACAAAAGATTTTTTGTGTTCATTCGTAACTATTGATGAAACCTGGATTCACCATTACACATCTGAAAACTAAGAACAGCCAAAACAGTGAATTTCACCAAGTGAACCTGCTCCGAAGAAGGCAAAGATATTTCATTCGACTGAAAAAGTTAAAGGGACTATTTTTAAGATAAAATGGCATATTGCTCGTCGGCTATCTTCAAAAAGGAAAAACTATCATTGGCGCATATTATGTGTCATTACGTAGGTTACTGCAAACGTTTCGCGAAAATTTCTATGAAATTGTTCTGTGTTGAAAATTCTAGCATTGCCAACTTACCGACAACAATATTTTTATAAAATTTAATAATTTTCACGCTAATAGGCATTGATTAAACAAAAAAATGTCAATTGGTTTCGTTTTTATAACATGTCAAAGTTGAGAAATGAAGTGAAAAAAATGGATTTAAATCGAGAATATCTTCCTGCGATAATTTTCTATGATTTTTAGAATAATTTAACTCTACAACAATATATGGAACGGCTTGTTGCGGCTTTTGGTGATGAAGTACCATCAAAAACAATAATTTATCGATAGTTTCAAAAGTTCAAAAGTAGACATAGCAATCTTAATAACGATTTTCGTGAAGGTTGCTGACAGAATGAAAGGACTAAAAAAGAAACGGACAAAGTGTATCAAACTAAAAGGAAACTATATCGAAAAATAAGACCCATTTTACTCAAAAATATAAGGGCTTCATTGTTAGGCTCGAAATTTATTAAACAAGCCACATGTATCCTATAATTTTGTAACTCATAATGTTTTCCGTAACTACAATACTACAACTCGTTTCTTTTGTATAATCGCTGTGTTGGTTTAGAAAAATGTCGATATTTATTTTGCTAATATTAATTTAGTAGTGGATTATTTCTTTTGTTCGGATAACAAAAACGTCGCAATTTTTCAGTCTGAGAAAATATATCAAGTCGCGTACGAATATCCGTGGTATAACAAAGAACCAAAAGTAGCAAAAAGCTTAATGCTGATCATGCTGCGCGCCAGTAAACCACTTTATATCACAGCCGGGAGGACATTTCCCATGACGATGACAACGTTTTGCAACGTAAGTTATTTGTCATACAAAAAGTGCGTTATTATGATATTTAGTCTTTTCATTGTGCAAGGAGATGACAAGATATGTAATATCGATAATTCAATTATCCTTCAATTATCAATTTTACATGTCTTGCCATCTCCTTGTTAATACGAATCCCAGAGCCAGATCAATCTATACTCTAAGATGTTTCCCGAGTTTTTGGAAATTCTATTTTTAATACGTTATGTTTAATTATTTTGTTTATCTTGAATATTATTTAGTATCGCATCTCTAGCTGAAAATGCAAATTTAAATCATGTACTTTTTGCCAATATTTAAAATAAATTTATGTATTATACGTAAAATTTTTGTTTCTTATCCATACAATATTAAAAAAATGTTTCAGTTGTTGAAAACTTCGGCGGGTTATGTATCGGTGCTACTCGCCAATCATGGTTAATGGCCATATTTGAATTTCCAGCTTAGATTTTTTTTGTAATAATACATTGTACAGCTGGTAATTAAACTAGTTACATGTAGTCAGTAAACATAATGGACAATGTATAAAGTGCCTTACAAACTATTCTCTGTACAACTTCTAACGATAGCGACAGAATGTTGCGTGATATTAATAGAATGAAATAGAGAAAGAGAGAGAGAGAGAGAGAGAGAGAGAGAGAGAGAGAGAACAAATTATTCAAAAGTAAAAAAATTATTCTTTTTCATTTACTACTAAATAAATTAATAAACCTACTAATTAATAAACCATTAAGTTACTATGCCTTCCATTATATATATATTATGAAGTGTTCTTGACCCTTAAACGAAATATAATTTTAACCAATTTTTCGGGTTAAAGATGTATTTTAGTAACACTGACACAGAAACTGTTCACCTCATCCTTCCAGTCGCGTAGCTATATTTCAACTGTTCATTGGAGTGAACGTTACATCTAAAGATTCATTAATAATGCATTGTCCATGTGGTTCTCGATCCGTGTAGTTTTACATGTTTGGTAGACGTACTTTCTTCTACGGGACAAACTTTTTCGCAGAGCTCTAGCTCGTCTTCTATCGACATGTAAGAAATTTTCTACCTATGAATAATTGTAACTTTACATTACTTTTCAACACGTATGTACGATGATGTGGATGATAGTATGTGCGACAACAAAGAGACATAAATTAAAAAGTAAGGAAAGCGGTGGATATTTCTGCCGATAGAAAATAGTCATTTTATGCGCACTCACGATAATAATTTATTCGCTTATTTCGTTTAGCACCAAAGCGTGACCACAATACGATATGGTATATTCGCGTGTGCGACATGCTCGTTTTGGTTGTTACAATATTCACGACGTTGCTAAGAACGTTGGCTAAATGAAAGTTTTTCTCTTTTTTTACAAGATATGCACGCGATGACACGTAATAAATATGTGGGTAAATTTTTCGCCCGAGGATGAGGCAGTGTCTTTCATACCTTGGACATGAAAAGATCAAGCGGACATAATGGTACTTCTTTTCGTTACGATTTCACGGTTTTTACTCGGTGCATTCATTTTGCTATTCGAAAATTATGATTGTCATGATTGTTAATTTTATCTATTTTTCTGCTGATGGATGTCAGTCCACATCGTGGTCTGTCGCGTAAGATTATTCATAGCTTACTGCTTGAAAAATGTAACCGTAAAAAAAGAAAACGTAATAACTCTTTTTTCATGCAATATTACAGAAATTATCCACAGAACTTATTGGTATTTTATCACTTTGAACAGAAATGATATTATTCTATAATTTTTTTTTTGTTAAAAATATCAAACGCATGTATATACGCTTGCGCAACATACTTTCTACTATGTAACGTTAATATATTTATATTTTTACATATATGGATGCACAGAGTGTTCTATGGAAGTTGCTAAAATTAATCAGGTATTATTTTCGAATGTATTCAGTTATTGTAAAAGCAAAAATTGCGTTGGAAAAAGAGAACTCTATAGTTTTTAATAGGTATAAATAAAATTTTTAAAAATATATAAAATTTTAGAAAAAGTTAGTGTATCAGTGTACAAGTTTATTTTGTTGATAAAAAATGATGAAAAATGTAATAATGATCAAATAGTAAGTGATAAAGCTAGTGATAAACAATAAGTTTCGAAGTGCGCACCATCTGAATTTGTACAAAACTCAATTCTTTTACGAAAACTCGTAAAAGCTTTTTCTAACGTGTCGTGTTTAATATTACTGACGACCTTTTTAATAGCTGCTAGTAAATCTGGCACTGTTGTTGAATTTCCGATATAGTAATTGTTTTTAATGTCATTTAGCCAGAAGTGTGCTTTATCCACGTAAGTTATTAATTTTTCATCAAAATCTCCATCTTCAAACATTGCATTTATTATCTTGCAAAATTCTACACGTTTAGTCCTAGCGCGTTCGGTTAGCAATTAATAAGATGTTATTTTATGCGGACGTATGTTAAGAAATGTTTTAAAATCTTACGTACCATTGATTTTAATATTTGAAAGGCTTGGACAGCTTTCCGAATGGAAATATTTAGATTTTGTTCAAAATAATTTTTAATTTTTTTAATATTTTTTTCTACAGATATGGGCACAGAAGGATCTAGCAAATCGTGTCTACGATTTTAGATAGTTCCATATGGCATAAAATTATCGATAATTTTATTAGAAAAAGATAAGAAATTATTTTAACACAGATTTATCGCGAAAAAATGAAGTGATAACGCCTAAGTTTAAATAATTAATAAATTCTAACCTTTTGAGTATGTTTTTGTTCGTAATTTTATTTGTTCCATATTTAGTACAAAACCTCCTATGAGCATTACTATATATTTTCCCTTCAGAAAAGAAGCACTCGAAGATAAACCTTTTCTTCCGTCGTCAAATTATTCATTTTGATGCACACAGACTTGTTTCTACCACACGAAAATAAAACTGCTGACCCTCAGGCGGACGACCAACTTTAAGACTCGTTCTAAAGTCATGGAGGAAAGAACCAATCGTTTAATTTCAGCAACTTCCCGTGGGATACTCTGTACATATATAATTATAGTATACAGCATAAAATCAAACTCTAGTAGAATCCTCTAACGACAGATTTTGAACGGGTCGTTAGTATAAATCGGCTCATGTTAAGAATTATTGGTTTATGGCCGCCAGACAACCAAGACACCCGTCAAGTCATGAAATCGAAACTTCGACTACTCTGCAGCTTTAACATGGTATTTTTCGTATTGACAATACCGGCTTTAATATCACTGATAAGAGTATGGGGTGACATGATTTTAATGATAGAAAATATGCAATATAGTATACCACTTTTGAATACGATATTTAAGTTCTACATTATTTGGCAGAAACAAACAGGTACACATTTTATAATAAAATAAAATATCTATCATACTTGTCTATTTACGCGTCTAAACAATTGACTAAAAAAACCGATTGATCATTAACATGCCATTCCGATACTTTTAGATTTACTGCCCTTAATTGACATGATCAAGAGAGACTGGGTGAAACCAAAAGCGAAGGAAGAGCGAGACGTTATGCTGAGACGTGCAAGGATTACACGCGCAATCGCTATGTACGGATTGTTCGCGGCAGCTGGGACAATAATAATTACTCTTGGCTTTCCGTGTTTCGGTCTGATTCTCAGGCAAGTAACGAATCTGACCGATTCTGGGAAACCTTTGCCGATACCATCGTATTACTTGCACGATATTTCCCAAAGTCCTCAGTTCGAGTTGACATTCCTGGCACAAGGATTCGCGCTTATTGCATGTGGTTGTTCCTATACTGGGACCGATCACTTTCTCGGTCTATTAGTTTTGCATGTATGTGGACAACTGGAGAATCTATATTTGAGATTGATACATATGGGAAAGTATGAAAATTTCGATATAGCTTTGAAATATAACGTCCAGGATCACATTCGCCTGATCAGGTACATGAAACAAATTGTCCGGTTATCCTGTCTAAAAAGAAATTTTTCTAACCGTTAGACACTTAAACACGATATAAATTTATATAATTTTTCTATAAAGCAATGAATTTTGCAGATCCGTCGAAATTATCGATCATACATTTGATTCAATGCTACTTGTTTTGGTGCTCTATTTCGGTATATTATTTTGCCTTCAAGCTTTTCTCATAGTTGATGTAAGTTAAAAATAATTTATGTGAAAAATGGCATAATTAAAGAGCCTCAGACTCAAGCGGTTATTGGTAATTTTCTAAATATTTCATTTGTGAACAAGTAACAAAGTACATGTCTTGATCATTTATTATTTAAAATTGAATGTCGCTACTTAAGAATTTGGTTGTCAACTTTCCTTATATATAATTTAATCGAATGCAACTTGACAAGTTTTAAAAGATATATAATTTGGATCTGTGATAATCTAGGTTGTTAACCAAAAGGATCAATTGTCGCTGATACAACTAGTATGGTTCGTTTCAGCGATTATATATGTTTCATTGCACATGTTTCTTTATTGTGCTGTTGGCGAAATTCTCATGACACAAGTAAATTAAATAATATGATAGTGGCTTGAATTGCAAAACAGGCAGCATGTATCGTAAATTTGTATAACTCATAGTTCTTTCTGTAACAAAATATCTATACATATTCTTCATCCTCACAGTGTTGGTTTAGAATCATGACTATATTTATTTTACTCGCATAAATATATCTGGAAACTATTTTTTTTTGGTCGGGTAACATATATGTTGTATTTTTTCAGTCTGAAAAAATACATCAGGCTACGTATGAATATTCGTGGTACAACAAGAAGCCAAAAGTAGCAAAAAATTTAATGCTGATCATGCTTTGCGCTAATAAACCACTTCATATCACAGCCGGAAAGACATTTCCTATGACGATGTCAACGTTTTGCAATGTAAGTTATATGCACTTTAAGAAATGCATTATGAAATATTAAGCTGTTCGTCGTGGATGTAGCATAAATTCAAAAGCCAAATCAATCAATATGCCCTAAAATATTTCTTTAGTTGCTTGAAATATTGTTCTTTTAATAATCAAGTTTAATAATGTTGTACACACGCGGATTATTTTGCATCGTAACTAAATGAGCACATAACGAAATAAACCCCATTATAATAGTAACTTTCTAAATTGTCATTATTTATGATGGATTTATTTATCGAACGTGAAATTTTCCTCTTGTTTCAATTTGATATTTTAAAAATATTCCAGTTGTTGAAAACTTCAGCGGGTTACGTGTCGGTTCTACTCACCAATCAAGGTTGATGGCTGTATTGTAAATTTCGAGATTAGATTCTTTTGTACCAAGATGGACAATATGTAGTGTGTAGACAATATTAGTAATAAGTAGTATTTGAATTAATAATACATATGATAGACAATTTATAATATATAAGAAGTTTTATAAATCACTCTTTTTTTTCTTTTTGAACTGCTGGAGACAGCAACAAATTATTGCATACTTTTAATAGATTTACTCAAAAATAAGAAATTATCCTTATTTATTTATTACTAACTTAATAAACTGCTAAATTACCATGTGTACTATATATATTATATTACCAAGTATTCGTAATTTTCAACTGAGATATATTCTCAACCAATTTTCCGAATTGAAGATGCGTTCTAGTAACACTGACACCGAAACTGTTCACTACATCCTTCCAGTCGCGTAGCTATATTGCAACTGTTGTCGTTGGAGCTAATACTGCGTCTAAAGGCTCATTAATAATGTGCCGTCCATATGCCTCCCTATGCCTCCCAACCCATGCGTTTGCACATATTCGATGGATGTATCGTCTTTTAGTGGACAAACTTTCAGCAAAATAAAAACTATAAACAAGTTACAACCGCTTCACCATTACCGTTAAGTTTTTTTCAGAGCACTAGCTTGTCTCCTATAAACATGTAAGAAACTTTATATATGCATAATCGGAACTCTACATTACCCTTTAGTATGTGCATACGATAATATGAATGTACGATAGTATGCGTGCCAGCAAAAAGACATAAAATACGAACCAACAAAAGCGAAGAATATTTCTATTGAAAGAAAATAGTCATTTGTGCGCTCTCGCGATAATAATTTATTTACCCATTTCTTTTAGCAGCATAGCGCGACTACAATACAATATGGTATATTCGCAACATACGTGTGCAACATGCTCGTTTTGGTTGTTGCAATATTCACGACATTGCTACGAACATTGACTAACGAAAGTTTCTTTTCTTTTCTTTTTTTCTTTTAAACGGAATGCAAGATGAAATGTAGCTAACATGTGAGTGAAGCTTCTCCCCAAAGCAGAGGCAGTATCTTTCAAACCTTAAACATGAAACATTTAAGAGGACATTATGGTGCTTCTTTTCACAGTCCACGGTTTTCAGTGCACTCATTTTCCTATTCAATTATTATGATTATCATGATTGTTAATTTCATCCATTTTTTTGCCGATGGATATTAATATACGTTGAGATCTCTCATGTAAAATTATTCATAGTTTATCCGAAAGAAATATTCATAAGGAGGGAAAAACGTTATAACTATTTGTCGCAATGCTACTTCAATTATATTCAGATTTTATTGTATCACTTTGAATGGAAATGGTATTACTGTATAATTTTTTTAGATAAAAAATCATTGCGTGCAAAAATACGCATATGTAACATATTTTCAATCTTAACGTTTATATATTTATATTTTTACAAATATGCACATATATACACGTACATATATATATATATATATATATATATATATATATACATCTTACATACATATATATGTGTATATATATATATATATGTATATAATTATAGTTTATAGCGTAATATAAAACTCTAATAGAACCTTCTAATAACAGATTTCGAACGCGTCGTTAGTATAATTCGGCTCATGTTAAGAATCATTGGATTATGGCCGCCAGACAACCAAAAAGATCATACAGTCATAAAATCGAAAATTCGACTACTGTATAGCTTTAGCATGGTACTTTTCGTATTGGCAATACCGGCTTTAGTATCATTGATAAGAGTATGGGGTGACATGGTTTTAATGATAGAAAATTTGCAATTCACTCTACCAATTATGGGTGCAACATTAAAAATCTTTATTCTTTCGCGAAAACAAGCAGGTAAAGATTGTGTAACAAAATAATTGTCTCGTCGTTCGCTTATTAATTTGCTAATTCAATTAACGGAACTTGTAAAAATAACCAAGTATAAAACATTAATATGTCGCTCTGATTTTTGTAGATTTACTACCCTTAATTGAAATGATCAAAAGAGACTGGATAAAACTGAAGATGAAAGAAGAGCGGGACATTATGCTGAAACGAGCAAGGATTATACGCGCACTTACCATATGCGGATTATTATGCGGGGTAGTTTTGACAATAATAATTATTTTCACTTTTCCCTGTTTCGGTCTGATGCTTCGGCAGGTGACGAACCTGACCGATTCTGGAAAGCCTTTACCGATACCATCGTACTATTTGCATGATGTTTCCAAGAGTCCGCAATTCGAGTTGACGTTCTTGGCACAAGGAATCGCGGTTATCGTATGTGCTTGTTCCTATACTGGGACTGATCACTTGCTCAGTCTACTAATTTTGCACATATGTGGTCAACTGGAAAATCTATATTTGAGATTGACACACTTGGAAAAGTATGGAAGCTTCGACGTAGCTTTGAAATACAACGTCCAAGATCACATCCGCCTGATCAGGTACAAAAGATAAATTGTTCGATCATTCTGTCTAAAAAGAAATGTTTAAGGCCATTGTACACTTAAATACGATATAAACTTTCGTAATTTTTTTATAAAATAATGAATTTTGCAGATCCGTCGAAATCATCGATCACACATTTGACTTAATGCTACTTGTTCTGGTGCTCTATTTTGGCATATTATTCTGTCTTCAAGCTTTTCTCCTAGTTGATGTAAGTAAAAAACAATATATATATACATATAAAATTTTATATGTATATATAAAATTTTATGATTAAAGAGTTTCCGACAAAGTTGTGGATAAATTGCCATGTTTAGCTATGAACAAGACGCAAGACATATTTCTCGATCAATCACGGTACTTAAATATTTGATGGCTAATTTCTTTCGTAAACAATATAATCAAATGCAACTTGACAAGTTTCAGAGGATATATAATTTGGATCTGTGACAATCTAGGTTATTAACCAAGAGGGTCAACTGTCATTGACACAATTGATATGGTTCACCTCAGCGATTGTATATGTTTCGTTGCACATGTTCCTTTATTGTGCTGTTGGCGAAATTCTTGTGATACAAGTAAATTGAATAACATGACAAAGGCTGTAATGTAAAACAAAGAGCATGTGTCGTATATTTTTATAACACATAATATTTTCCGTAATTATATTTATATGTAAACGATACTTGTACAAACCGATATTTTATATTCTTATACTGTGTTAATTAAAAAAAAATTGCCGATATTTATTTTGCTAGCATTAATTTATCGGACGATTATTTTTTTTTTCTTGTTCGAATAACATATATGTCGCATTTCCTCAGTCTGAGAACATACATCAGGCCACATATGAATATCCGTGGTATAACAAGGAAGCGAAAGTAGCAAGAAGCTTGATGCCAATCATGCTTTGCGCCAGTAAACCACTTTATATCACAGCTGGGAAAATATTTCCCATGACGATGTCAACATTTTGCAATGTAAGTTATTTGTCATACAAAAAGTGCATTATTACGATATTTTAAGTATTTTATTGTGCACTTAGTAGAATCCGAGAGCCAGATTAATCCATACTCTAGTATGTTTTTTCAGTTACTTGAAATTCTATTCTTAATATGTTATGTTTAATTATTTTGTATATATCGAACATATTATCTAGCAGCGCATCTCTAGCTGAAAATGCAAGTTTCAATCATATACTTTTTAAATTGCCATTATTTAAAATGAATTTATGTATTATACAAAAAATGTTCGTCTTACCTCAATTCGATATTTAAAAAATGTTCCAGTTGTTGAAAACTTCGGCGGGTTACGTATCGGTTCTACTCACCAATCAAGGTTGATGGCTGTATTGTAAATTTCTAGATTAGATTCTTTTGTAACAAGACAATATGTGTAGATAGTATTCAATGAATAATACATATGATAGGCGATATATAGGAAGAGTTTTATAAAAGCGGTTTTTTTTTTTTTTTGGAACTTCTGGAAACAGCGAAAAAATATTGCACATTTTTAATAGAGTTATTCAAAAGTAAAAAATTATTCTTATTTATTTATTACTAACTTAATAAGCTGCTACTGCTAATTTATTATGTTTATTATATAATTATGAAATGTTTTTAATTCTCCATCGAAATTTACACTCAACTAATTTTTCGTATTAAAAATACGTAACACTGACACAGAAACTGTTCACCTAATCCTTCCAGTAGCACAGCTACATTTTAACTGTTCATTCAAGCTAACGCTGCATCTAAAGATTCATTAATAATGCATCGTCCATGTGGCACTCGACCCATGCGGTTTGATATAAACGATGGGCGTATTTTCTTCTAGCGAACAAACTTTCCAGCAAAGTAAAAAATGCCAATAAGCTACAGCTGCTTCACTATTATCGTTCAGTTTTTTTTCAGCTCTAACACGTCTTTTATGGACAAGTAAGAAATTATACACATCCATGACCGCAACTTTTCATTTCTCTTCAATATGCGTACGATAATGCATGCGGTAGAATGTACGTCAACAAAGAGATATAAAATACGAACCAGCAAAAGCGATGAATATTTTTCTATCGACAAAAATAGTCATTTTGTGTTCTCTCACGATAATAATTTATTCACACATTTCGTTTGGCAGCAAAGCGCATCGACAATATCATAATGTATACTCGTATGTACGTCATGCTCGTTCTGGTTATTCTAATATTCACGAACATTAGCTAAACGAAAGTTTCTTTCGTTATACGATGACATGTAAGAAACATGTGGCTAATTTTTCCCCAGAGAGAGAGAGAGAGAGAGCCAGTGTTCTTTAGACCTTAGACATGAAACCTTCAAGCGGTTATGATGGTGCTCCTTTTCGTTAACAGTTCGCGGTTTTTATTCAGTGCACTCATTTCCCTGTTCAAATATTATGATTGATAATTTCATCTATTTTTTTTGCCGAAATATTTTAGTGTACATCACGGACTCTTATGTAAATTTAGGTTTAGTTTATCGCTCGAGACAACTAATTAATAAAAAGAAAAGAACATAATACTTCTTTGCCCCATGCAATATCACGGAACTTATTCGCCAATGCATTTCATATCTTACCATTTTGAAATGAAAGAGTATTATCACACAATTTTTTCAGTTATTAATGTAGATACCGTGTAACATATTTTCGACTCTAACATTCATATACTTAAGTTCTTACACACATATACATATATATACATAAATGTGTGTATATGTAAAATATTATAGTTTATCATGCAATTCCATGGAAATTATCCGCGAATTCCGTTTATGTTTTATTATTTTAAAACGAAATAGTATTATTACATAATTTTTTAAGCTGAGAAAGTCGATACGCGCAAATATGCTCGTACAACATATTTTTAACCCTAACATCAATATTCATGCATTTTACATACGCACATACATATGTACATAATTTATAGCAGAAATGAGAACTCTAGTATACTCTTCCAATGACAGATTTTGAACGAGTTATTAATATAAATCGATTCATGTTAAGAACCGTTGGTCTATGGCCGCCAGACAACCGAAGCAGCCGTGAAGTTATGAAATCGAAAATTCGATTACTGCATACTTTTAGCATGGTATTTTTCGTACTGACAATACCTGCTTTAATATCACTGATAAGAGTATGGGGTGACATAATTTTAATGATAGAAAATATGCAATACAGTTTACCGCTTTTGGGTGCGATATCCAAAATTTGCATTCTTTCCCAGAAACAAGCAGGTACAGGTTGTGTAACAAAGTAACTGTCTCGCTTGCTTATTAATCTGCTAATTCAATCGACGAATTCATAAAAATAACAGTGTATAAGACATTAACACGTCTGATTTTTCTATTTAGATTTACTACCCTTAATTGAAATGATCGAAAACGACTGGGTGAAACCGAAGATGAAGGAGGAGCAAGACGTTATGCTGAGACGTGCAAGAATTATACGCGTGATCACTATATGCGGATTTTTCACGGGAATTTTAACGATTATTATTACATTTGGTTTCCCATGCTTTGGTCTAATGCTCAGGCAAGTGACGAACCTGACCGACTCCGGAAAACCATTGCTGATACCATCGTATTATTTCCACGATGTTTCCAAGAGTCCGCAATTCGAGTTGACATTATTGGCACAAGGAATCTCTATGATCGCATGTGGCTGTTCTCATATTGGGGTCGACCATTTACTCGGACTACTGGTTTTGCACGTATGTGGTCAGCTGGAAAATTTACATTTGAGACTGTCACGCCTGGAAAAGTATTCGGACTTCAACGCAGCTCTGGAGTACAACGTTCAAGATCATGTCCGCTTAATCAGGTACGCAAAATAAATCGTTAAGATAGGCTGCCTGAATTGTGTTGGGAGTAAGTAGATTTCATTTATTTTATGTCATTGTAAGATCTTTTTTATATTTTCTTTTATTTCTCCCGCACGCTAAAGCGTTGAGGCTTCGTTCCTTCTCCCGTTTCTCGTTTAGAGAAGTCTCCACAGTGGCGCTTAAGTAGTAATTTGTTAGAAAAAAGAGACAATTTTGGCATTGACCCGTCCTCTGCCGTTTTTGTACTTCACACCAAGAAAATATAATTATAATATATAATTCTTCTTTCATCATTTTTCTACAATTGTTTAAGACATTGTGCCTTTAAACATACGATAAATTTACATCATTTTCTGTAAATCACTAAATTTTGTACAGATCTATCGAAATCATCGATCATACGTTTAACTTATTACTTCTTATTCTGGTGCTCTACTTTGGCATATTATTCTGTGTTCAAGCATTTCTCATAGTTCAAGTAAGTAAACAAGAATTTTTTAATAATTTACGGAATTGCAATTTACGGAATAATTTACACAATTGCAATGATCAAAGGACCGAATAATCCGAACAGTCGCCAAAAGTTATTAGTAATTTTCCAAATTCTTTATGAACCAATTGCAAAGCACACTTCTTCCTTAAATTCGTTACTTAAGGATTTGTTTGCCAATTTTCTTTGTGTACAATATAATTGAATGCAACTTGACAAGTTTCAGAGGATATATAATTTGGATCTATGACAATCTAGGTTGTTAATCAAAAGGGACAATTGTCGTTGACACAATTAATTTGGTTCATCTCAGCGATTGTATATGTTTCGTTGCACATGTTTCTTTATTGTGCGGTCGGCGAAATTCTCGTGATACAAGTAAATTAAATAATATAATAGTGGCTTTAATGGCAAAACAGGCAGCATGTATCGTATATTTTTATAAATCATAGTACTTTCCGCAACTATACTTGTGTTACGTCCTGGAAGAGGAACGTAACTGGATGCTTACATTAGCAAGCTCCGGCGTACTCGCAACTCGCAAGTTTGCGGTGCCGATCAAGGATCGGAATGATCCTTTTATACAGCGCGGACGTACGTCGGAGGTCCTTTATTTAGGTCAAGGAACTGAATCCTTTTACCTAGGATAGGACCGTAAGCGCTAGTTGAAGGAGGTGGGCTAGTAAGGTTATTTTAAAATCAATTATATAAAAAAATTGAACAATTAACAAAATTTATTGAAATTAAGATAACAGGCAGTACAGTACAACGGCGCGATTTTAAAAGTGATGGATTACAGTTACACGATGCATGTGTATGCGTGTGTGTGTGTGTGTGTGTGTGTGTGTGTGTGTGTGTGTGTGTGTGTGTGTGTGTGTGTGTGTGTGTGTGTGTGTGTGTGTGTGTGTGTGTGTGTGTGTGTGTGTGTGGTGTGTGTTTTTTTTTTTTTTTTTTTTTTTTTTGTGTTGTGTTGTGTGTGTGTGTGTGTGTGTGTGTGTGTGTGTGTGTGTGTGTGTGTGTGATGTTCTGAATGAAGAGAAACAGAAAGGGAAGGAAAACGAATATAGAAAATTAGTCGGGTGAGGGGGAGCGAGAGCGGTCTGGCGAGTTAAGGGGAGTGGACAGTTCAGAAAAAGAGATAGGAGAATAAGATATCGAGGGGAAAAGAGGGGTGGATGAACGTGTAGGGGAGAAGGAAAGTGTGATTGGGGAAGAACGTTGTGGGACGATGTATGGAGGTATGAATAGGAGAGTCGGATCTGGTTGGAAATCAATATCTAATGAGATGTTAATGATGGCTCGGAGGTACTGAATATTAGCTTCAAATGCTTCGGGATCTCTCGTTTCGAAGATCGATTATCGAAGATCGACTCGAGTAAGTTGAGAATTTTTTGCAAGGTGATATAGTTATAATAATTATGGCCCACTGCAATTGGATTTCAATAAAAAGTGGAATTAATAAAATGGGGGTACGGAAGGTAGAGAATAATGAAAATAAAACTTACTACTGATTTCGGGTGTTTCACACAAGAAAAAGAACCATTTATGATAGACTGCGTGGGTGTGCCGCTTCCGAATGTCCAATATATATTTAATTGCGTAAGGTTAGCGAGATCTCACTCACAGAGTGGTATTCGTAGAAAAACGCCGAGCACTTGAGTCACGCTCTATTATATTTGTCAAGAGAGAAAAAACACAGAGGTGTCAAAGTGTCTCTATACTCGTTGAAAAAAGGAACAAGGTCCAGGAGTAGCAGAAGTAGTGGACCGGAGACGAAAATCCGGAGACGAAGAAAGACGCGGTTTTTATACGGATGATCGGAGGCAGGAGCCACCAGGCTGAACCTATCAGAGAAAAAAATGGGCTTTGGAAACGGGGTGGAACCCTGGGAGAAACCCAATTTGTTAGCGCAGAGTTTCAAATTTTATAGCTAGACCGACGGACACATTCGATGAACATTACCCAGATGTAAACTCTGAACAGAGACGTGTAGATTTTCACAACAGGGTACTGTTTTCTGTTATGGAATTTTTCTGTATCGCCTTCGATTTGACGCGACGGATGTTCGCCAGATGTGTCTGTTTCCTATGACCCTTGTTATTAGGAGAACAGAAGTTTGAGAGAAAAGAAAAAAAATTTTTAATTGCTCGGAGTCCGCAGGACGTAACACTTGTACAACCAAATATTGTCTATTCTCACTGTTAGTTTATAAAAATGACGATACTTATTTTGCTAGCGTAAATATATTTGGAGATTATTATTTCCGTTTTTTTTTTGTTAAATAACATATATGTCATTTTTCCAGTCTGAGAAAATACATCAGGCCACGTACGAATATTCATGGTACAACAAGCATCCAAAAGTAGTAAAAGGTTTAATGCTAATCATGCTTCGTGCCAATAAACCACTTCATATCACAGCCGGAAAAACATTTCCCATGACGATGTCAACGTTTTGCAACGTAAGTTATTTGCGATACAAGAAATGCATTATTATGCCGAATTGACGAAAAAGTGGTCCCATTTGACGAAGAAAAAAATTCTCTTTCACCACGACAATGTACTAGCTTACACATCTGCAATTGCCATAGCCAAAATTGTCGAATTACACCATGAACTGCTCCTTCATCTGCCCTATTCTCTAAATTTGGCTCTTCACGACTTCTTTTCTGTTCAAACATAAAGAAATGGCTCGGTAGAACAAGATTCGCGTCAAATGAGAAGGTCAACATTGAAACGCCTATTTTGCAGAGTTTGAGAAATCATATTTTTTGGAAGACTTAAAGAAATTGAAAAACCGTTGGGCAAAAGAAGGACGAACTAAAAGGAGACTATATGAAAAAATAAATCGAATTTTGGTCAAAAAAATTTTTTATTTTAAAGTCACTGACTTATCAAACAGCACTTGTATTTATTAAGGAACAAAATTCTTGCTTTTTCTTAACATGATATTTAAAAAAATATTTCAGTTGTTGAAAACCTCGGCAGGATATGTATCGGTGCTACTTACCACTCAAGGTTGATGGCCATATTATAAATTTCCAGCTCAGATTGTTCTTAACAATACAACATGTAGCTAGTAATTGAATTAGTTATATACAATATTAATAACATGATGAGCGATATATAAAGTATTTTACAAGCTATTTTCCCATAAACTATCAGAGGTGGCGAGAGAATGTTACACGTTTTTAATAAGAAGAGAGAGAGAGAAAGAGAGTTACTCAAAAGTAAAAAATTACTATTTTACATTTACTAAATTAATAAACTACTAAATTACTATGTATACTATATATATATTACAAAATGTAATTTTCAACCGAGATATATTCTCAACTAGTTTTTCAGGTTGAAGATGCGTTCTAGTACTGACATTGACAGAGAAACTGTTCATCTCATCCTTCCAGTCACGTAGCTATATTGCAACTGTTCATTCAAGCTAACGCTGCATCTAAAGATTCATTAATAATGCACCGTCCTTGTAGTTCCTAACCTCGGCGGTTCCACATATTCAATGAACGTATTTTCTTCTAGCAAACAAACTTTCAGCAAAGTAAAAACTGTGAACAAGCTACAGCCGCTTCACCATTATTGTTAAGTTTTTTGCAAAGCACTAGCTTGTCTCCTACGGACATGTAAAAAATTCTACACATATATGATCGCAACTCTACCTTCAGTGTGTACGATAATATGAATGGTAATATGTGTGGCAGCAAAGAAACTAAATATAAAATACGAAGCAACGAAAGCGGTGGATATATATTTCTGCCGATAGAAAATAGTCATTTTGTACGGCCATGTTAATATAATGTTTCACGTCCTAAAAATATCACATATCGCGCAACCGAATCAGACTTCTTCAATTATAAATATCGTACAAAATTATCGTGAGATCCCACTTATATTCTCCTTACTTTAAAACTGTATACTTCCGTACAATTTCCCGCATTGAAGATTCATTCTATCAAAACTGGCACAGCAGGCACTTTCGATCTGGTCCATCTCGTCGACTTTGTGGGTCGTGTGCTTTCAATTGTGCGGTTATATTCCGACTACCCGCTCAAATGAACTCTGCGCCTAAAGGCTTATTAATAATGCAACATACATGTAGCCTCCGATCTATGTGGCTCTATTTGGTGGAAATTTTTTTCTTCTAGCAAGCAAACTTTAGAGCAAGGCAGGGAACGTCAACAAGACCTATAGCCGCTTCACTCGGGCACCAAAGTCGCTATGTTCTGACTGTCCACCCAAACTACAGCTACAGGTTCATTAATAATACACCGCCAATGTGAACAACGACCCGTATGCTTCCATTAGATGGAAATTTCTTCTTTTAGAGAACAAACTTACAGAGTGAAATAAAATACGTCGACAAGGTGTCCCCCTTCTCCTTCCCTCTCTCTTCTCTCTTTCTGCTAAACTTTTCTGCAACTGCTGATTCTTTTCGTATTGCCGTGTAAGAAGTTGTACGTATACGCATGATGTGATCTCTTTGTTACATCTAAGCGGCAACAAAAAAAGCATAAAATAATGAAAGCAGTTGACCCTCCTGCCAATGAACAGTGTGCCTTTTGGATGTGCGTTCTCACGGTAATAAATTGTTTACTCCTTTGATGTGCATAAGTGCCAGCAGAGCACATCAACAAGACGATGATACGTATTCGTATGCACGTCATGCTCGTTCTAGTTGATATAATATTTATGACAGTGCTATGAACTTTGGTGATACGACAATTTTTTTTCGAGAACATACGTGATAATCATACGTCGCTAAAGTACGAATGATTTCGTTCGACAATGAAAGGCAGTATTTTTTTAACCATGGACATGGATAGTTCAAACGGACATAATGGTGCTCTTTTCCATTATCGGTTCACGTTCTTTGTTTAAAGATCTGACTGCTTTCTATCGAAAACCATTATATCATGTCTGTTTTCTTTTTACACGCTTTTCTTCCAATAGATTTTTCATATCATGATCTATCTTATGAAATTGATCAAAATATAGAGAAGAATCAGAGAATTAATCATGAATGAATATTGTAGTTGTTTGTTTCTTGTAATACCACAAGAAAGACAGAGAGAGAGAGAGAGAGAGAGAGAGAGAGAGAGAGAATTATACGTCAATCCACTTGATACTATATACTCTTAAATAAAATATTATTATGATATAATCTTTTATTTAAGAAAACTTACATATTAAGTACTCCTACAATATACTTTCAACTCATATTTTAATATATTTATTAAACAAATATATTTATACTTTAATATATTTTTTTTGTTTATACCTTAATATATTTAAAAAAGAACTTTATTTATTATAGGTTTTTTATTAGATTGAGAGTATATAGAAGGTATCTGGCAACAAGTGAAAAAACGTCTATGTACGAATCTAAGTTAGCTTAACCTTGACACAAATAATTGTTTTACAAATAACCCCTAAAATTTTTAATAAAAATTCTCCCTGTCCCTCTATTGTCAAACATTCTGTGTAAAATTATATCTCGTAAAGTGAAGTAAAGGTTGAATTGAATCTCTAATGACAGATTTTGAATGGGCAATCGGTCTAAATCGAATCATGTTAAAAACCGTCGGGTTATGGCCGCCAGACACCCGAGACACTCGTGAAAATATAAGAGCGAAGATTCGATTGACATACAACTTGATCACGCTGCTCTTTATCCTAACGATACCATCATTAATAGCTCTGATAAGGGTATGGGGTGACATGATTTTAATGATAGAAAATATGATGTACAGTATACCACTTCTGACTACGGTATTCAAAGTCTGTATTATTTGGTACAAACAAGAAGGTACAAGTTGCATAACAAAGTAAAATTGTCTCTTAATAACATGCTTAATCTTCCATACAATTGGCAAAAGATGGAATAGGAGTCATTTGTTGAAATGTCAGAGCGTCACTTTGCGTCTTATAGATTTACTACCTCTGATTGATATGATCGAGAGAGATTGGACGAAACCGAAGATGAAAGAGGAGCGAGACGTTATGCTGAGACGTGCTAAAATTATTCGTGCGATCGCCACGTGTGGATGGATCGTAACATCGTTCACAATAATCTTCACATTCGGCTTGCCGTCTGTCGGAATGACCATCCGACATGTGACAAACCTGACCGACCCAGGAAAACCATTGCCAATACAATCGTACTACTTGCACGACGTGTCCAAGAGCCCACAGTTCGAGCTGACGCTTCTGGCGCAGCTACTCACGTTGATCACAACTGGTTTTTCATATACCGGGATCGACCATTTCCTCGGATTATTGGTTTTGCACGTATGCGGTCAACTCGAGAATCTATGTTTGAGATTGACGCACATGAAAATGTATTCGGACTTCGATGCGGCTTTGATATACAACATCAAGGATCACATTCGCTTGATCAGGTATTCAAGTAACTATAAGCTGTCTAAATGTAAATAACACAAGCAACTATACACTTAACCGATTTACTGGTAAATGATAATGACTCATACATGAACGGAAAAAAGATGTGCCAAAGCCCATATAATAACTCGTATAAGAGCAACATAAATAGCTCGGCTAATTTTCAACAGATTTGCATGAAATTTGGTACACCCATGTTTTTTGGGTTATTGACTATGAATCCAGAATCAAATTTGAGAAATTCATAACAGCGGACCTAATATGGTGACTGCAAGTGACTAATTTTGTTATTACATTACGGAGAAGATTATATTCGATATGTTCATGTTTTTTGAGTCTTTAATGACGAATTTAGAATCGAAATTGCAAAATTTAACATAACAGATCCAATAGCAGCTCCAAGTGACTATGAGACTATTTGACGTATCAAATCCATTTTGGTCGCAGATAACAAATTGTCTCAAGACATTCATTTTGTTATTTTATTTTGAGTATACACTTAAGACTGATATCATTTGAATAAGACTGATATCTTTTGAATCATTCATTACGAATCCAGAGTCAAATTTTTTCTGAAGTCAGTTCTAAATATTTTTGTGTTGTCTGATACATAATTTATAATAATAAGTTCTGTTGAAAAACGAGGGTTATATCTGTCATAGAACGTACGTTGAAAATTTATTCATCAACAAGTGAGAAGACAGACCTGTTCTTCATTATTACGATAGTGTCAACTTTCCGGTGATAATCATAAATCCAAAGTTTTTACCAGAGCCGTTTAGTAAACAAATAGTTTTCTTCAACATATTTCATCCGCTAACGATGAAGGTAAGAGTATCCATAATGGAATACCGTTAGTCACTAAAAATCATCATACTCGGTCCGCCATTTTAGAAATTGCAATTTCTATTTAGATTCATCAGCAATCCAAAAATGTCTTTATAAGTAAGATTTCTTGTAAAATACGAAATTTCGGTCTCACCAGTTTTTATACAAAATGTTGATTTCGGACCACTAGTGAACTGGTTAAGCACGACACAAAATTACATTATTTTTTACGAAGCACTGATTTATTGCAGGTCAGTCGAAATCATTGATGATACATTCAACGTAATGCTACTTTTTCTGGTGCTTTATTTGGGCATAGTATTCTGCTTGCAAGGATTCCTTCTAATTAATGTAAGTTGAAGGAAATTTTGCACAAGATTCATAATTAAATCTTAACGAACGAATTGAAACAAACACAAGTTATTTATAATTCACCATGTCCACTTATGAAAAAATTGCATGATACACTTATTGATCCACTTCGTTACTTCATAATTTTCCATTAAATAAAACGTTGTGAGTGTGATACGTAACAAGTTACAGAGGATATAGCGTTTCAAAAGGAATATAATTTGGATATATGATAATTTAGGTTGTTAATCAAACAGGTCAATTGTCATATGTGCATGTGGGTTGGTACGCCACAGCAATTGTATATATTTCATTGCATATGTGTCTTTACTGTGTCGTTGGTGAAGTTCTCGTGACGCAAGTAAGTGATATAATATGACCGTGTCTTTAGCAACAAAACAGACAGCGCGAATTATGTAATTTTATAACTCGGAATACTTTTTTTTCGTAACTTTCCTATGACAAGCAAAAATTACACTATCGTCAATATATTGGTTCAGAAGAATGACATTTTTTATATCATTAGCATAAGTTTATCAGAAGATTGATTCTTTTCGTCAGATCACATATAAATCGCATTTCCTCAGTCTGAAAAAATACATCACGCCACATACAAATATCCATGGTATAATATAGATCCAAAGACATCAAAGAACTTAATGCTGACCATGCTTCGCGCGAGTAAACCACTCTACATCACGGCTGGAAGAACATTTCCCATGACGATGTCAACATTTTGCAATGTAAGTGTAATCAGTGTGATACAAGAAATGTATTATTATATTTTTCAAATTATCAGAAATTCTACATCTTTATTATCAAATTTAATTATCTTACGTTTATTTAAAACGCAATTAAAGTTAGAAAATCATGATATTTGCAAATTACCATTATTTATTATTACTTATTTATTAAGCATAAGTGTTCGCTTTCTTTTAAACTTTACTTTTAAAATGTTTCAGTTACTAAAAACATCGGCAGGTTATATTTCAGTGTTACACGCCAATCAAGATTGACGACTATATTATGAATTCGGGACTTATAGTCGCGTCCTTAGTAATACTACAATTTAGATAGTTGACAATTAATATGTAACAATTGAATTTTATATACAGGGTGTCTCATAACTAATGTTGCAGAGTTCGTGGAGACATAGAGCGGGTTAAGGCAAATATAAAAGTCTCATACCGTTTTGCGAGATTCGCAATAATTATCGAGTTAATTCTAAAAATCTAATGAATGAGCGCGCGCTAAGATGAAGATTGGAGACGCGTCGCAGCCTCTCGGGTTACAACGCGGCCCACTCGATCCAGCAATTGTTGGCAACAAGTTCTGTTTGCGAAGAAGTCGCAGATTAGAAAGATACATTGTCATTGAAAATATTGTAAACACAATTGCAGCAGAAATTTACCAATGTTAGTCAGTAGATTACATAACAAAGTGACAGTGGAAGACGAGCAAGTTCGTCAAAAGCGTTGACGCTAGATTAACGTTAAAAAATTTGTTAATGTTAATGTCTAAGCAGTGTCAGGAAATTATCTGTATAACAAATGCAACAGCATCTGTCTGTCAGAATACGCAACAGATTGATAAATTGCAAGATGCGATGGTCCCATGTTTGCAACGATGCAAAAGGAAGCAAAAGGGTTAACTATAATTTCACTAAAAACGATTATTCATCCTCCCAACTAATAGCCATTATAATACTATATTGTCTCTGGTGTATTATATATCGAGATATTTGAACGTCATAAAATTGAATTCCATTTTTACAGTTTTACTATCATCTTCATCTCAAATTTCGGAAATATCCATTACCAGCCTACTTTCTAAGTTAAGGAGGCGATTACAGTAAATTTTCACGGGGATCGTCGAGCATGTCCTCCTCGTTTAATAACTATACTCCAACCGCCTGTTGACAATGGTTATGCACCTAAAGATTCATTAATAATGTACCAAGTGCTTTACACATCTATCAAAAATTCCCCCTTTCGCAGGACTAACCTCCTTCTCCCTCAAAAGAAATTAACAAGCTCTAGACGTTCCACGTTTTACAAAGTTCTCGACAACTTCTAACTCGTGCTGTATAGCCAAATAAAAAATTTTGTGTGCGTGATCGCAACTAGTAACGTACAAGCCTATATTGACAAGAGTACAAGAAAAAAAGGACACGAAATAATAAAAGCGTGGACCCCTTCGTCATTTGACATTGAACATTTTGTACATTCTCACTGTCATAATTTATTTACTCACCCTTTTATCCTACGGAGTACATCAACAAGACGATAATACATCCCCGTGCGCTTCACATACTGTCTGGTTACTGAAATAATTTACGACAATCGAACTACGACTATCGAACTTTTGCTTTTGGAGAATTACGTCTCGAATATGCGTCGTAATAATGTCTCGTACAAATCGGAACGTTCTTTATGGATGATAAAAAACAGTGTTCTCTTGATCTTAGACATGGAACGTTTGGACGGATATAACGGTGCCACAATCGACTATTTATAATTTAATACACAGTTTGCAATTTTTTTTAATTAGATCAATTACATCCCAATTTGAAACTGCTAAGTCATATTTTATGTTTTATTTATTTCTTCACCGATTGATCTTAAAATGCACGTTTATGATTCCGCATATAAATTTTATCGATACAACTCGTTCGATGATATTGAGCTGGACTGGACTGGAGAATTAATAACTAATTGATTTGTGCAATATTATAGAAATTGTTATAAAGACCTGTCATCAATTTTGTAGAACGAAATAATCTTTTATTACTTTATTATTTTTCATTGAAAGATTTTCAGAATTACGTAATTTGGTTCGTGCGTCCCATTTTCTACTATTCCAATATGAACAATATATTTTGAATTTTACATTAAAGTAGCATATATACTATAGCGTATTATGAAAGAAACTGAAAGATGCTGTATTTCCGGACCGGTTGAGGTACAAACGAAATGCAAAGTGATACAAACGGATACAAACGATTCTCTATCGAACCCCGTTGTCCGTTTTAAGATATCTTAAAAAATAGCGGAAGTACCATTTTATTTTACTATAAGATTATTGTTTCTATAATAATGAGAAGTTTAAAGTAAAAGTTTTTAATAATAGATTTAGAATGGGCGATTGGTATAAATCGGCTCATGTTGAAAATCGTTGGTTTGTGACCACCAGACAATCGGGATGCTCGTAAGGCCATAAAATCGAAAATTCGACTGCTGTGTAACATTATCATGATACTCTTCATATTAGCAATATCGACTTTCGTATCACTGATAAAAGTATGGGGCGATATGACTTTAATGGTAGATAATTTGATATACAGTTTACCTGTGTTGATTACTCTATTCAAAATTTTCATTATTTGGCACAAACAAGAAGGTATGTTTAATACAATAATATGCTCGAGGAATTTAGCTTAATTTTTCATTCAATTAGCAACACCCATGAAATTAACCAAAATATTAACATATCATTGCACATTAAAGCTTTAGCGCCTCTAATGATATGATCTAATGATATGATCTAATGATGATCTTGATATGATAATTATCAGCCCTAGATATAATTATAATTTTACACGTATACGGTTAAATGCAGAACCTGCATAAGCGACTGACACATATGGGACGATATACTAACTTTAATGCAATTTTGAAATACAACGTTCAGGATCATATCCGCTTAATCAGGTATCTAAGTTAGATTTTTGTGCTTGTATGTCTAATTAGAAATTGTGTGCACAATTGTAAATTTTCGTACCGCGTAAAATTGTATTTTAAGACTCAGAAACTGTTGCAGATCCATTGAAATCATCGATGATTCATTCGATTTATTGCTGCTTGGCATAGTATTATATTTCGGCATAATATTCTGCCTACTAGGGTTCCTCATAGTTAACGTAAGTAGAACACAATTGTATGCAAAATTATATGATTAACAGGATTCTTATACAAACAGTTATCCCTTAATTGTTATATTCATTCATAGACATTTTACACTACTTGTGGATAATTTGCGCGCTATAGGTCGTTACCTAACAATCTTGTTGGTAATTTTCTCCTAACATAATAAATAATAAATATATACTTCATATAACGCAAATTTCAAACGAAATATAATTAAAGGCTACAAAATTTACTATTCATTTGTTACAAGTTATTTTTTCGAGATAACAACTCGTAACGAATCGATTGACTCAAACTGTACAATTTGCAATTGTAACCATCTAAGTTTTTAGTGACGACAGTCAATTGTCATTTGTACAATTAGTTTGGTTCACCTCAGTAACTGCATGCATTCTGTTACATATGTGCCTTTATTGTGCCGTTGGTGAAATTTTCGGAACGCAAATAAGTAAAACCATAAGATAATGCCCTTTAGAAAGTGCTTTAATGGCAATACCGGCATAATTCGACTCCTTTTATAATCAAATATTATTTTCATAATATTATATACATAAGGCAGGATACACAATTACCATTATAATGTTGTCAAAAATCGATATTACTTAAATATTTCGCTTAAATGTTTCGGAAAGTAGAATTATATAATAGGCCTTATATATATGTACATATGTATAAACTATTGCATTTCTCCAGTGTGAAAAGATTTATCGCGCCACATATGAAAACACATGGTATACTTTAGATCCAGAAACATCGAGGAACTTAATTTTTATCTTGCTGCGTGCAAGCAAACCGCTCCAGATTACGGCTGGGAAAATATTTCCCATGACGATGGCAACGTTTTGCAACGTAAGTCCTTTATGACAAATGTAATACGTTATTATCCTTTATGAATTATTTGGGACCCTTATCATAATAATTAGGTTCCATTAATTCCTGATCATTTTACAAAGTATCATAATTTTATAATATTAAAACAATGGAACCATCAATTTATAACAAACGCTAGCATATATTACAATTTCATTTAATGTGCGCGAATATTATTATATCTCTTTATCTATATGTCATTAAAAAATGTTACAGTTATTAAAAACATCAGCAGGTTATATATCTGTTTTACTTGCCAATCAAGATTAACGGCGATGTTATGAATTCTGGACTCAGAGTTGAACAATTATTTAGTTGCAAAATTTAATAATATCAATTAATATACTCCCAGTCAGTACAGATCTCCAAAGGACGTCCCAACGTTCTATAAACGTTCCCAAGACAACCCCAGACGCCCTTTGAAGATTTTGTGTTGTGTGGATTGTCAATTGAATTGTACACACACATACACACGTGCACACTATATTATATGACGAAGCACACATGTACATACAGTGTTACTGACTTGTTATATATCTCGGAAAAAGTAAAAAAATAAAAGACAAAAAACAATGAAGATATTAAAGACTAAATAATTAAATAATTAAATTTTGTTCCTTTTTAAAAAGGTCATTTAATGAAGTATATTTTGAAAAATCAAAGTCTCTCAACCTAAGAACAAATATTAATACGACGTTACGTCTACTTATATACATATAAATATCGGAAGAGTGCAATAGTTTAAATAGATTTCATGTTAGAAAAATGTGACCTATGACGGAACGTAGGTTCACAACCATATCCCAGAGAACAAGAGGTTGAGCAATACATGTGTAATTGGCTGTTGAAGCGCTCTTCTTTTTTTGATGAAGGGATCAAGAAGCTACCTATCCGGTGGAGAAAATGCATTTCCGTTAAAGGGAGCTATGTAGAAAAATAATATATCACTTTTATAATTTCATCTGTTACCAATAAATTTGTAAAAAAAATCCGGTTTATATTTGAATGGCTCTCGTATCTCACTAACTATTTTCATGAAGGCAAATGTAGGCAACGAAGTACATTTTCGGAGAACCCGCATATTAGAGATATATTTTGTTATTGAAAATACTATGAACACAATTATCAAGATCATATAAAAATCTAAAATTTAAAAATTTGAAGATTATCCTGATATGAATGTGATGACAAAGCTATTCATACTAATTTTATTATGTATAACACGTCAGCTAAGACCTTCAAATTTCTGTATAGAATATTTCTTTTAAAAGTGTATATTTTTCGAAATATTAAAAAGTATCAACACTTTTTCTATATATTCGTATAAAGTTGTATTTATTAAATCATAGCAAATACAAAGACGGTTTATATACATTATATATTCTACTCATTCTTCTTTTAATTAGTTGATTTTACTTTTATATTTTACATTGTATCTTGATATAATTGCTAAATTTAATCTGTCCTCGCACTATTAATGCCACATCTGCTCTGGTATTGTATTAAAGTTGAAGTTAGAATGTGGTTACAAATTTTGCAATTGAGACACAGTTGTGAACGCCATTCGGAATTTAACAGTAAGAAACAGTTGTGTAATTGTGGATAATTTTATTAAAAACAATTAATCGTTCTTACAAATAATAACCTATTATTTGTAATATATTATACATCTACATATTTGTAAGCGCTACCATAAAATTGGATCATTCATGACATCTTTGAAACATTTATTCAAACTTTTGTCTCATCCCAAACATTCCTAAACATACCGTACTACACACTTCAATCTATCTTAATATTCCCGTATATTTTCCAAACTGAAGATATACTTACAGAAAAATCTTCGCAGAGACTGTCGAGTTTGTCCTCTTCGTTTAGAAGCTATATTTCAACTGCTCGTTGAAAATGGCTATGCGGCTACAGATTCATTAATAATGAACCAAGTGCTCTACACATCTACCAGCAATTTTTCCTTCCGCAGGACTAACTTCTCTCTGCTTCAAGAGGAATTAGAAAGCCGTAGACATCCCACGCTTTTATAAAGTTTTAGCTATACCCCTAACTTGTGCTACATCATCGAATAAAAAATTTTAAAAATACGTGATCGTAACCAGTTACATATAAGCCTATATTGGCCAAGAGAAAAAGAACACGAAACAGTCTAAGCGATAAACTTCTTCGTTTGGCATTAAACGTTTTGTACGTTCTCACTGTCATAATTTAATTACTCACCCTTTTTGTCCTACAAAGCACGTCAATAAGACAGTAATACATCTCCGTGCGCTTCACGCATTTTCTGGTTACTGAAATAGTTACGACAGTGCAATCGAACTTTTGCTTTCGGAGAATTACGTCTCGAGTATGCGTTGTAATAACGTCTCATACAAGTCAGAATATTCTTCATGGGTGATAAACGACAATGTTCGTTTGACCTTAGACATGCAACGTTCGGACGGATATAACGGTGCCACATTCTGCTCTCAGTTCACAATTTTTTTAACTAGATCGGTTACCTTCCAATTTGAAACTACTATGTCATATTTCATGTTTTATTTATTTCTTTACTGATTAATCTCAAAATATGCGTTTGTGATTTCACATATGAATTTTATCGGTGTAACTCCATCGATAATATTGAGCACTGCAAGAAGTAATGATTAATTGATTCGTGTAATATCACAAAGATTATTATACGAACATGACGCCAATTTTTTAATACGAGAAATAATCTTTTATTTCTTTACTATTTTTAATTGAAGAATTAATTAGGAAATATTATTCGGATCACTTTCCGTTTTTCCAATACAAACGATATATTTTAGTTTAGTAGTTTTACATCCGAACAGCATATATAAATTATTGTTTCTATAACAAATAGAGATCCAAATAAAAGTTTTTGACGATAGATTTAAAATGGGCGATTGGTCTAAATCGACTCATGTTGAAAATCCCCGGTTTGTGGCCACCGGACAATCAAGATTCTCGTGAGCCTATAAAATCGAAAATTCGACTACTGTGCAGCATTATTCTGCTTCTCATACTGGCGATACCAACTTTCATATCATTGACAAGAGTATGGGGCGACATTATTCTAATGGTAGATAATTTGATATACAGTCTACCTTTGATGATTGCTATATTCAAAATTTGCGTTATTTGGTACAAACAAAAAGGTATATTTGACAAAATAGTATGATCTGAGAATTTGGCTTCTCATAATCTTTCACTCAATTAACAACACTTATGAAAGTAACGTACCAAAATATTAACGTATTACTGCACATTAAAGCTTTAGCGCCTCTGATTGATATGATCGCGACTGACTGGATAAAACCAAAGACGAAAGAGGAGCGGGACGTCATGCTAAGGCTTGCGAAAATCAGTCGCATGATCGCCATTTGTGGATGGCTACTGGCGTCCTTTCTAACGATAACTTTTTTCACCCTTCCATTTTTTGGAGTAACAACTAGACACGTGACGAACTTGACTGACCCGGGAAGACCCTTGGCGATACAAGCGTACTACTTTTACGACGTTTCCAAGAGTCCCCAGTTCGAGTTGACAGTTCTAGCGCAAGGAATCTCTATGTTCACGATGGGTATCACTTATTATGCAGTGGACCATTTCCTCGGGCTGTTAGTTTTACACGTATGCGGTCAAATGGAAAACCTGCATATTCGGTTGACACATATGGAAAGATACAAAGACTTTAATGCAATTTTGAAATACAATATCCAGGATCATATGCGCTTAATCAGGTACTCAAAATAGGTTTCGTGGTTGTTTGTCCAGTTGGAAATTGTGTGCACAATTATAAATTTTCGTGCGATGTAAAATTTATTGTACCTTATAAGTCAAAAAATATTGCAGATCCATCGAAATCATCGATGATTCATTCGATTTATTACTGCTTGGCATAATGTTATATTTCGGCATAGTATTCTGCCTGCTGGGGTTCCTCATAGTTAACGTAAGTAGAACATAATTGTGTACAAAATCCCACGATTAACGGGATTCTTACACAAAAAATTATCACTTAGTAGTTACATTCACTTGTGAACACTTTACCCTCCTTATAAACAATTTGCGCACTATAAGCCATTACTTAACAACTTTGTTGATAATTTTCTCCCAGCATAATGCATACTTTATATAATCCCGAGTTTCAGACTATATAAAATTAAAGCCTAAAAGAAGAGGCTACTCCCTTACAAGTTGTTACAAGTTGTTTTTCGAGGCAACTCGTAACGATTTATTTGACTCAAGCTGTACGATTTGTAATTATGATCATCTAGCTTCTTAATGACGATGGCCATTTGTCATTTATGCAATTAGTTTGGGCCGTCGCAGTGACTGTATGTATTTTATTGCACATGTGCCTTTACTGCGCCGTTGGCGAAACTCTTGTGACGCAAGTAAGTGAATCCGTAAGATAATACTTTCCAATAGCCTCTTTAATGACACTGCAGGCGGCATGATTCGACTCTTTTTATAATCAAGTATTATTTTTGTAATATTTTATGTATAATGTTGAGGACACAGTCGCCATTGTAATTTTGTCAAAAGACGATGTTATTTAAATATCTCGCTTAAATATTTCGGAAGATAGATATTATACGTTAGTCCTTACATGGGTTATTACATTTTTCCAGAGTGAAAAGATTCATAGCGCCACGTATGAATACGCGTGGTACACTCTGGATCCAAAAGCAGCAAAGAACATAGTGCTAATCATGCTACGTGCAAGGAAAACACTCCGCATCACGGCTGGGAAAATATTTCCCATGACGATGGCAACGTTTTGCAGCGTAAGTTCTGCGTGACAAAAATGATTACGTTATTATTCTTTACGTGCGTTACTTGGGATTCTTTTCATATTAATCAAATTTTCATTAATTCCTGTGATCATTCTACAAAGCAAATTTTATAAATATAAGATAATGCAACTATAAGTTTATAACAAACTCTAACACATATTACAGTTTCATTCAGTATGCGCGAATATTATTATATCTCTCTATTAACATATCATTAAAAAAAATTGTTGCAGTTATTGAAAACATCAACAGGTTATATATCTGTCTTACTTGCTAATCAAGATTGAAAAAGATTAAAGAAGAACGGCGATGTTATAAATTATGTGCTCAAGGTTAAGCAATTATTTAATAGTAGTATTTAATAATATCAATTAATACATTATTAATTGAATTGCACACACATATATAAACACACATATACATACACTATTTACGACAAAGCATACATATATATACAGCATTACCGATTTATTATATATCTCAAACAAAATAAGAAAATAAAGAAACCAAAAAATATGGGGTGTTGAAAACACATAAATTTTTTAAAGACTACTTAAAAGGGTAAATTTTGAAAAATTATGACATCTCTCACCCTCAGAACAAATATTCATACGACGCTATGCCTGCTTAAATATGAATACTGATAAAATGCAACAATTTAGATAGATGTCATGTGATAAAAATAGAGACCATATATCCCAATAATTATTTCTATGAAATGTAGATTCAATGTGTAAGCCGAATTAAATCTATATAAGTCGAACTGATCCTGAGCTGGAATCACAATACGAACCTTCCCATACAGCACAAAAGTTGCAGCAACATTGCTGCAATATCGCTGCAATATCGCATCATTGTCGCAACGTTATAGCAACGTTGCTGCAACTTTTTGTGCCGTATGAGTTAGGTTCAGCAGATATGTCGTCAAATCCGCTGGAATTTCTAGGGAGTCGTACTGTGCATTTGACACAAATCTATTGTCGGTCTGCTATTAACCAATTTTATAGCAGTTGCTGAATCAATCTGTCCTGGCATTGCCAAATCTGCCCTGATGTTGTATCCAACTTGAAATTATTAGGTAAATTGGAAAGTTCCGTCCACCTAGCGGCAAATAGCTATAGCTAGAACTGTCGTTAACTTCTAATATCTAAACGAAGCTTAATGGTTTGTTTTGACATCTGTCAATAACATTCAGTACATAAAGGTATACGTTTGTATCAATTTGCGCGAAGTGTTAATCTTTTGCTTCAATTGGAAGAAAACTGCAACTGAAGCTCATCGAATGCTTGTAGAAGTTTATGGTGATAATGCTCCTTCCGATAAAACACGCAGAGAATGGTTTCGACGCTTTAAAAATGGTGATTTTGATTTAGACAAAGAGCGTCCTGGATGGCCAAGAGTATTCGAAGACAAAGAATTGCAGGCATTGGTGGACGAAGACCCATATCAAACGTAAAAGCAACTTGCAGAAACATTAAATTGTGCTCAATCTGTCATTTCCGATCGTTTAAAAGCCTTAGGAAAGGTTTAAAAGAAGGAAAATGGATCCCATATGAACTGAAGTCAAGAGACATTAAAAGGCGAAAAAACACCTACGAAATTCTGTTTGTTAGGCAACAAAGAAAGGGGTTTTTACATCGTATCATCACTGGGGATGAAAAATGGATTTATTTTGACAACCCCAAACGTCGAAAAACTATTTGCGATCCCGGCCAACCTTCAACATCGACGCCAAAACGGAATATCCATGGAAAGAAGGCAATGCTCTGTATTTGGTGGGATCAGAAGTGTGTGCTATACCATGAGCTGTTGAAAAGTGATCAAACAGTCACAGGGGATCTCTACAGAGAGCAAATGATCCATTTGAGCCGAGCATTGCACGAAAAACGACTAGAATATGAAACAAGACAGCATAAAGTGATTTTACTTCATTTTGTTTCTTAAATAAAGCCATACGTTTTGCAAAAAGACGGAGGGAACTTTCCGATGGACCTAATAGGATGTAATCACAAACTTTGGCTGCAATTTAAATACAGTCGTAGGCACATTTCGGAATTTGGCAGTCTCGCTCAATAGGGAATTGTTTTCCCGTTGTAACAATCTGCAAGCAAATGGTTATCTAGGTAATTTTATTAAAAATTTTATTATTCATTTTTCCAAATAATAGCCCATTATTTTCAGCATACTATATATTTACGTATTTGTATATGCTACCATAAAATTGGACCAGTCATGGCACCTTTAAAAGATATCTATTCAAACTTTTGTATCATCCCATATATTGCAAGACACACGTTTCAATCTATTTCAATAGATTTTATCTTTCAAAGATTCCATTTAATTCCATTCTCATAGTTTTCATTATTGTTTTTATCTCGACATAAGTATTCACTTTCCGTACATTTTCCAAACTGAAGATGTAATTACCAAAAAATGTTTACAAGGTCGATCCTCCTCGTTCAATGTCCATACTTCAACTGCTCGTTGGAAATAGCTGTGGCTAGAGATTCATTAATAATGCATCAAGTGCTCTACACATCTGTTGGCAATTCCTACTTCCACTGGACTAACTTCTCTTTGCTGCAAAACAAATTACCAAGCTGCAGACGTTCTATGCTTTTACAAAGTTTCAGCCAACCCTTAACTCGTACTATAACGTCAAATAAAAAATTTTAGGTATGCGTGATCACAACTTGTCACATATAAGCCTATGTTGGCCAAGAGAAAAATAACACGAAACAGTAAAAGCGATGGACCCCTTCGTCGTTTTACATTAAACGTTTTGTACGTTCTTACTGTCATAATTTATTTACCCATCTCTTTATCCTACGGAATACGTCAGCAAGACGATAATACATCTCCGTGCGCTTCACGCACTTTCTGGTTACTGAAATAGTTACAACAATGCAATCGAACTTTTGCTTTTGAGAGAATTATATCTCGATTATGCATCGTAGTAACGCCTCGTACAAGGAACATTCTTCATGGATGATAAAAGACAGTGTTCGCTTGACCTTAGACATAAAACGTTCGGACGGATATAAGGGTACCACATTTGGCTATCAGTTCACTATTTTTTTAATTAGATCAGTTATCTTTCAACTTGAAGTTATGTTATATTTTATATTTTATTATATTTCTTCACCGATTGATCTTAAAATGAATGTTTATAATTTCACATGTGTATTTTATCGGTATAATTTGTTCGATGATATTGAGCATTGCAGAAATTAATAGCTAATTAATTCATGCAATTTCATGGGAATTATTATAGAAATATGTTGTTAATTTTGTAATGATGCTACTAGTTTACAATTTTGTTTAAATAAATCTCTGTTATCTGACTGTATTAAGTTGTTTTATTATATTTAATATTTTACATATTCTTTCTGTCCGATTAGTTCTTCTTTTTTAAATGCGCATTTGCAATATCGCGTAAGCATTTGATCAAAATAAATTGTTCGAAGAAATTAAGTACTGAAGGAAGTAATTAATTAACTAATTGTATCGAACAATATTAAAAGAATGATGTGCATGCTCTGAAGACATATTCTTAATCTTGTAAAATAAAATAATCCTCTATAACTTTATCACTTTCTTATTGATTAAATGCGGAGAATCTATTTTAATATAATCGTATCTATTTTATGTATATCCATGTATTTTTAGTATTTGCACTTAAATAGTATATATATTGTAGTATACATGTTGTATCTAAACTCCACCAACAAAGTCATAGAATAAATATTACATAAACAAATAAGTAAAAAATGCTTCGGAAACATATGATCTCAAATGTCTAGTTTCTGAGATATAGGTGACGCAATCTCAATTTAGAAAGTATATATTTGTTTGAATAAAATAAGTTATGGCAGAGCCCACGTACGCTGAGAAATACGAAGAAAAACCTCTTCAAATATTTGTGGCAGACTATTTAGCAGGAAATTAGTATATTCTTGTTTAGTATTCATGATATAAAGGAAAAATAATATGTTGTTTGACTTCACTCATACAGATATTAACAAAACATCAAAATCAAAGAATTTCTCGTTTAATATTAGAAATTATAAAAAATGACAAGTATCTTCTCCAAAAACAGATAATAAAAGCGTTACATTAGAATTCTTAATCATTCCGCGATGAACAGATGTTTATCGCGAAACATTTTCTTTCATTTTTGTTGTTTTCTGAAAGTTATATCAGAAACCAAGCATTTGCGGATATGTTTATTAAGGCTATTTTACTTGTTTTTCAACAAAAAACTATTTTATAAATAAAAAAAAAGTTAAATAAATAGGTAAATAAATAGTTAAAGTTCAAACACATCTTATATCATATATAAAATCATATTTCTAAAGATTGAACAACATATGAAAATTTCTATGAATAGATTTTAAACGGGCAATCGGTCTAAATAGGCTAATGTTGAAAATCGTTGGTTTGTGGCCACCAGACAATCGAGACGCTCATAAGATAGTAAAATCGAGATTTCGATTTGGTTACAACCTAATCACGTTACTTTTCATACTGACGATACCAGCTTTCGCAGCACTTGTAAGAGTATGGGGCGACATGATTCTAATGATAGATAATTTGATATATACTCTACCTCTGTCGATTATTGTTCTCAAAATATGCATTCTTTGGTACAAACAAGAAGGTACATGTCGTTTAGCAAATTACGTCTCACATAGTTTAATCTTTCATTCAATTCGCAATACTTATAAAAGTAACAATATATCAAAATATTAACGTATCACTATACATTAAAGCTTTAGCGTCTCTAATTGATATGATCGCAAAGGACTGGATGAAACCAAAGCTGAAAGAGGAACGAGACGTCATGCTGAAGCTTGCAAAGATTAGTCGCATAATCGCCATGTGCGGATGTTTCATAGTAATCATCCCAGTGACAATTAGTTTAGTTTGTCCATTGCTTGGAGTAACAAACAGGCACGTGACTAACCTAACCGACCCTGGTGACAAACCCATGGCACTACAAACGTACTACTTGCACGATGTTTCCAAGAGCCCGCAATTCGAGTTGACACTCTTGGCGCAAGGAATCACTATGTTCACTACAGGTATCTCATATTACGCAGTTGACCACTTCCTCGCGCTGCTAGTTTTGCACGTATGCGGTCAAATGGAGAACTTGCATGTACGGTTGACACACATGGGACGATATACTAACTTTGATGCAGTTTTGAAATACAACGTTCAGGATCACGTTCGCTTGATCAGGTACGCAAGACGGATCATCGTGCTTGTACGCCCTACTGAAAACTGTATGAACAATTGTAAACTTTCGTACAATGTGAAATTATATTGTTTATTTTGAGAGTGAGTAACACTGTTGCAGATCCGTCGAAATCATCGACGATTCATTCGATTTATTGTTGCTTGTCGTGGTAGTATACTTTGGCGTAACATTCTGCCTACAAGGCTTTCTCATACTTAACGTAAGTAGAAATTAATTGTGTATAAAATTATACGATTAGCGAAATTCTTACACAGATAATTATCGAAAAATCACATTCAACTGTGCATGATTTACAGAGCAATTTACGTGCTATAGGTCGTTATCTAACAACTTTGTTTGCAATTAATAGTTACATTAAATGACGCACAAATTGCAGTATGTGCGATATAGTTCGTCGTTTAATAATTTTAATGACAATTTTCCCGCCGCACGATAAATATTGGATATATCATGATGTGCCTCAATCGGTATAGAATTTTGAGTATATAATTTGCAATTATGATAATTTAGGTTCTTAACGACGAGGGTCAGTTATCAATCATTCAGTTAGTTTGGTTCTCCACAATAACTATATGCATTTTGATGCACATGGGCCTTTATTGTGCTGTAGGCGAAACTCTCGTGACGCAGGTAAATGAAACAGTAAAATAGTAATAGCATAGATTTAACGCTAATGTAAACTGCATGATTCTACTTTTATGACTAACAAGTAACACTACCCAACTGTCACTCACTGATTCCAATGAAATTTGGCTTGCACGTAGGTTTTTCAAATCCTACAATTTTTATTAGATTTTTTTTGGAAAATGCAATGGTTTTCGAAATATTGCGATGTCTAAATAAAAATGGGATACCTTGTATATGACAATCCTCGCATATATGTCATTTTCTTCAGTATGAAAAGGTCCATCGTGCCACGTATGAATACGCGTGGTATACTTTACATCCAAAATCAGCAAGAAACTTAATATTAATTATGCTGCGTGTAAACAAACCACTGTACATTACGGCTGGAAAAACATTTCCCATGACAATGGCAACGTTTTGCAACGTAAGTTATATTAATGACACAAGTGATGCGTTATTATATTTTATTCATTGAAATTCTTATTATAACAATTAGGTATAATTAATTCATGCTCGCTCTATAGTGTATTCTCATTTAATAAATATGAAAAAATGCTACAATGAGTTTACGACAAATCCTCAACGCTTATTACAGTTTTGTTTAGTGCGCATGAATAACATTATATCTATATGTATACGTCATTACAAAAATGTTACAGTTGTTGAAAACATCAGCAGGTTATATATCTGTCTTACTTGCCAATCAAGATTGACGACGATGTTATAAATTGTAAGCTCAAACTTACCGATTATTTAGTACCAGTGATTAGTAGTTAATAATTAATACAATATTGACAACTGAATTGCACACACATACACACACACACACATATGCATATTCTACGAAGAAACATGCGTGTAACGTATTTATGATTTACAATGTACATAAAATAGCGTAAGAATAAAAAAAATCATAATATGAAAAATGTATGAGTAATTTATTATAAATTTGAATAGCATACTCCCACATATGTAAATACATATACTGCTACAAACCATACATGCAGGTACAACTGATTTATTATGTACATAGAACAAAAGAAGGAAATGAAAAAAAGGAAGCGATAAAAATATTAAAAGGAATATTTAAAAAAAATCAGATATATATAAGCTGATGTTAGTACGACTTTAAATAAGCTAAATTACATATAAATATTAGGTGGCAACAAAGGATTTGGATTCCTAAATATAAAAATAGATTAAATAATTCTATTAAAAAGACTTATTCATATTCTGTCAAGTAATTGCCATTGTTCTGTATCATCTTTAGTATACTACAGATCTATAGATTTAAATACTACTACTAAAATACGTCATTCACGACTTATTTGAGACAACTAGTGACACTTTTGCACTTATTCAGTACATTCCGAGATATACCATGTTACAGATATACTCAGAATACTTTTCTTATGCCTACCGTTCAAAAGTTCCATTCCTTTATGGTATTTATCACAGTTTCCATCTCCATGTTAATGTCCATTTCTCTCACATATTTTCCGGGTTCAAAACGAATTTATAAAAAAAAATCTTTGCAGGGACATCGAGGTCATCTTTCTCGTCTAGTGGCTATATTTCAATTGCTCACTGAAGATGCCCATGTAGCTAAAGACTCATTAATAATGCACCAAGTGTTCTACCCCCATACTCTTATACCCGCAACTCCTTATACTAAACTAACTTTCCTTAGCTGTGAAAAGTACTCTACACTCGTCACAAAGTTTTCCCCCGTCTCCAATTCGTGCTATATCGTCAAATAAAAAATTTTACACATGCATGATCATAACCAGTCATGTATAAGCCTATGTTGGCAAGAGAAAAAGAACACGTCTTGTGTCAAATAGTCTAAGCGATGGACCCTCTCGTCGGTAGGCATTATACGTTTTGTATGTTCTCACTGTCATAATTTATTTCACTCACTACTTTATTCTACAGAGTATATCAACAAGATGATAATACATCTCCGTGCGCTTCACTTTCTGGCTACTGAAATAATTATAACAGTGCGATCAAACTTTTGCTTTTGAAGAATTATGTCTCGAGTATACGTATCGTAGTAACACCTCGTCGAAACATTCATCATGGATGATAAAAGACAGTGTCCGTTTGACCTTAGATATGGAACGTTCGGACGAATATAAAGGTACCACATTTGACAGTTCACTATATTTTAATTAGATCAGTTATCAACTTAAAGCTATATTACATTTTATGTTTTATTATATTTCTTTTCTGATTGATCTTAAAATAAATATTTATGATTTCATGTGTTTATTTTATCGGTATAATTTGTTCGATGATATTGAGCGCTGCAAAAATTAATGGCTACTTAATTCATGCAATTTCATGGAAATTATTATAGAGACATTGTACTTAATTTTGTAATAATGCCCTTCCCGGCTACTAGCTTATAATCTTTTTTAAATAAATCTCTGTTATCTGACTACATTAAATTATCATATTATATTATATTAATATATTATATTTAATATTTTACATATTCTTTCCGTCCGATTAGTTCTTCTTCTGTAGATGCGCATTTGCAATATTGCGTAAGCATTTGATTAAAATAAATTGTTCAAAGAAATTGAAATTACTAAAGGAAATAATTAATTAAGTAAGTGTACCGAGCAATATCAAAATAATGATCTGCACACTTTGAAGATATTTTCCTAATATTGTAAAATAAAATAATCCTTTATGATTTTATCACTTTTTTATTGAATAAATTCGGAGAATATAATCGTGTCTATTTTATGTGTATCCTACCATATATCTCTGATTTTTACACTTAAATAATATACATGTTGTATCTAAACTCCGCCAAGAAGGTCATAGAACAAATATTAGATAAACAAATGAGTAAAAAATGTTTCAAAAATATCGTTAGAGTTCAGACACATATATGTATAAGATATATAAGATCATATTTCTACTAAAAACTGAAGAACGTATGAAAATTTTTATTGACAGATTTCAAATGGGCAATCGGTCTAAATAGGTTAATGTTGAAAATCGTTGGTTTGTGGCCGCCAGACAATCGAGACGCTCATAAGATAGTAAAATCGAGATTTCGATTTGGTTACAACCTAATCACGTTGCTTTTCATACTGACGATACCAGCTTTCGCAGCACTTGTAAGAGTATGGGGCGACATGATTCTAATGATAGATAATTTAATATACACTCTACCTCTGTCGATTATTGTTCTCAAAATATGCATTCTTTGGTATAAACAAGAAGGTACATGTCGTTTAGCAAAATACATCTCACAACATGGTTTAATCTTTCACTCAATTAGCAACACTTATGAAAATAACAACATACCAAAATATTAACATATCACTGCACATTAAAGCTTTAGCGCCTCTAATTGATATGATCGCGAAAGACTGGATGAAACCGAAGCTGAAAGAGGAGCGGGAAGTCATGCTGAAGCTTGCAAAGATTAGTCGCATGATCGCCATGTGCGGATGTCTCATAATAATCATCCCAGTGACAATTAGTTTGATTTGTCCACTACTTGGAGTAACAAACAGGCACATGACTAATCTGACCGACCCTAGCAAACCTTTGGCGATACAAACGTACTACTTGCACGATGTTTCCAAGAGCCCGCAATTCGAGTTGACGCTCCTGGCGCAAGGAGTCACTATGTTCACAACGACTATTTCGTATTACGCGGTCGACCACTTCCTCGCGCTGCTAGTCTTGCACGTATGCGGTCAAATGGAGAACCTGCATGTGCGGCTGATACACATGAGACGATATATTAACTTTGATGCAGTTTTGAAATACAACATCCAGGATCACGTTCGCTTGATCAGGTACGCAAGACGGATCGTCGTGCTTGTACGTCCAACTGAAAACTGTATGAATAATTATAAGCTTTGGTACAGTGTGGAAATATATTGTATCTTGAGAATGAGTAACGGTTGCAGATCCATTGAAATCATCGACGATTCATTCGATTTATTGTTGCTTGTCGTGGTATTATACTTTGGCGTAACATTCTGCCTACAAGGGTTTCTCATACTTAACGTAAGTAGAAATTAATTGTATGTAAAATTGTACGATTAACGAGCTTCTTACACAGATAATTATCAGAAAATCGTCACATTCAACTGTGCATAATTTACAGTAATTATGAGCAATTTACGTCGTAATAGCTATATATAGCTATATATAGCTATACGTAGCTATAGGTCGTTATCTAACAATTTTGTTTGCAATTAATAGTTACATTAAGTAACGAGCAAATTGCAGTATGTGCGATATAGTTCGTCATTTAATAATTTTATTGACAATTTTCCCACCGCACGATAAATATTGGATATATCATGATGTGCCTCAATCGGTATAGAATTTTGAGTATATAATTTGCAATTGCGACAATTTAGGTTCTTAATGACGAGGGTCAATTATCAATTATTCAGTTAGTTTGGTTCTCTACAATAACTGTATGCATTTTGATGCACATGGGCCTTTATTGTGCCGTAGGCGAAACTCTCGTAACTCATGTAAGTGAAACAATAAGATAGTAACCAACTTAACGCCAATGTAAGCTGCGTGATTCTACTGTCATGAACAACTGTAGTTTTCCTAATTTTTTATATATAATAATGATCAGTCAATCACCATTGTTGAAACATTCGTTCATCATTGAAACATTTTGCTCAAATTATTCAAAAGATAAATTCTACAGGATGTTTTATTTTCACTTAAACACCAAAATATCTCGAAAAACAAGTATCTTCAAAAAAATATATTAAATAGAATTTGAAAAGTTCCAACAAGCTACTTAAATTTTGAATCGGAGAACAAGTCAATAAATCCTAGGTTAATTTTTTGATGGAAATCTTTTATTAAAGTGTCATATTCTATAAGAAAAAGTTAAAAAATTTTGTTGCTTGAAAATTCTCTTTAAATTTCTTCTAACAAAAGCAAAATAGCGCTTAAAGTTCTTATCTTAAGAGACATTTCAACAATGCAAACAAACCCAGCGGACGATATGTCCCTGGAGAAAACATTTGGAGATCTCTAAAAGATAATTTTATTTCTTCACTGTCAATAGCATTCATTGCTAATGTGTAAATATTTTATTCACACGTCATCGTCCGTCGGCCCTGTCTCCATTGATCAAAATGTGTTCCAATATAAAAAAATTTATGCGCTATTTCGCGCTTATTGGAAAAATTTACGTGAAAAATTATAAGCAACAAAATTACCTTATTTTTTCTGTAAAATACGAATTTGTAATAAAAAAAAGGAATTTCCATCGAAAATATCAACTTGGACCATATTGAGCTCAAAATAGTCCTCAGACCTAAAATCTAAATAATTCATCTGATGGTTCTCTTCAAGCTCTACAACTTTTATTTGAAACATTTTTTTTGGAAAATGCAATGGTTTTCGAAATATTGCGATGTCTAAATTAAAATGGGATACCCTGTATATGAGAGTCTTCGCATATATGTCATTTTCTTCAGTATGAAAAAGTTCATCGTGCTACGTATGAATACACGTGGTACACTTTAGATCCAAAAGTAGCAAGGAACTTAATACTAATCATGCTACGTGCAAGTAAACCACTGCATATCACGGCTGGAAAAACATTTCCCATGACAATGGCAACGTTTTGCAACGTAAGTTATATTAATGACACAAGTGATTATTATACACAAGTGACCTTATTATATTTTACTCATTACATGAAATAGTGACAATTAAGTATAGTTCATGATCGCTCTAGCGTATTCATGATTGCTCTGTAGTGTATTTTCATTTAATAAATACGAAAAACATACTGTAAAGATTTTACGACAAATCTTCAACTTATTACAGTTTTGTTTAGTACGTATATTACGTCTTTATTTATGCGTTATTAAAAAAATGTTACAGTTGTTGAAAACATCAGCAGGTTATATATCTGTTTTACTTGCCAATCAAGACTGACGGCGACGTTATAAACTGTGAGTTCAAACTTAGTTAATTATTTAGTAACAGCAATTAACAATTAATATAATATTGACAACTGAGTTACACACACACACACATACATACATACACACACACATATGCATATTCAAACAAACATACATGTACTATAGATATTTGTGATTTACAATGTACGTAAAATAAGATAAAAAATTAAAGATCAGTTGTAATATCAAAAATATGTGAGTTATTTATAAATATTTGAATAGATCTACAGATGTAAATGCTGTTACAAAAATGCGTCATTCACGACATATCTAAGACAATCAGCGACATTTTTGCATTCATACAGTACATTTCGAGATATGCCATGCTACAGATTTCAAAATACTTCTCTTACGCCTACCATTCAAAAGTTCGATGTGATTTCCTTTATAATATTTATCACAGTTTCCATCTTCACGTTAATGTCCATTTCTCTTACATATATTTTCTAAGTTCGAAACGAATTTATAAAACAATCTTCGCAGGGACCGTCGAGCTCATCTTCCTTGTTTAGTAGCTATATTTCAACTGTTCACTGAGAATGGCTATGCGGCTAAAGATTCATTAATAATGTATTAAGTGCTCTACACATCTGTCTTGCCAATTCCTTCTTCCACTGGACTAACTTTTTTCGGTTGGAAAACAATCAACAACCTGCGGACGTTTCTCGTTTTCACAAAGTTTTCTTCAGACTATAGATCGTGCTGTTTCGCAAAGTAAAAATTTTACCTAAAGGTAATTGCGACCAATATCATTTATAAACGCTTATAGGTGCGGTATCAAAAGGAAAAGAAACACGAATAGAAACAATAAAAGCGATGAACTCTCCTGTCGATGAGTGTGACACGTTTTGTACCTTTTCACAGTCATAACTTATTTATTCACCTCTTTGTCCAACGAAGCACTTAAATAAGGGGATAGCACATCCTCACGCACGTCATCCACTTTCTGGTTATTGAAATATTTACGACGGTATAGTAGAACTTTTACAATTCCATCTAGTACAATTCTGTCAAGAGCATGTGAATTAATAATCTCTCGTCAAAACAGGAACGTTTCTTCACGGTAAGAGACAGTGCAAATTTGATCTTTGACGATGGAATGTTCGGACGGACAAAATGGTGCCCCTTCCGACTACCAGTTCATACAATTTTTTAAATAAACCTCTCTTATTTTCTACTTTATATTATTATATTATATTTAATATTTCCAATTTAATATTTCCTTTTTCTTCAATTAGTTCTTTTTCTTAATGCGCGTTGCGATTTGCAATATCACGTATGAATTTGATAAAATTATTTGATAAATTATCCGAAGAAATTGAATACTACAGAAAATAGTAGCTAATTATATCAAGTCATATCAACAAAATTATCTAAATATGGAAATTATGGAAATATATTATTATTGTTGTAAAATAAATTATTCTTCTATTACACTTTCATTTTTTATTAGGGAAATTCGGAGAATACGATCGCGCCAATTTCTTATATATTCAATCACATGTTTTTGGTTTTTACACTCAAATAACATTGTATCTGAACTCCACCGACAAAGTCATAGGATAAATATTAAATAAAAAACATAAGTAAAAAATGCTTCGTAATGTAAAAAATGTAAAAAATATATTATATCAGCTCAATTTCTGAGATATAGGTGCTGCAATCTCAAATTAGAAAATTTATTTGAATAAATAAGCTATAGCGGAAATCACATATGCTGAGAAATATGAAGAAAAACTTCTTCGAATATTTGTAGCAGACTATTTTGCAAAAAATTAGTGTATTCTACTTTGGTATTCATGATGTAAAGGAAAAATAATATTATTGCGCATATCCGTCTCGCACGTACCGGGTCCGCGAAATGAACCAACACAGGATTGGAGGAAAAAAAAACTCCGCTTTACTTCCAATATATACAGACTCACGAAAATCCTCTTGTCTTAACAATATTAAAAAGAAACGTCTAAGTCACGTCTACTCGCGGTGACGGCTCATGACAAACTCTGCTGCTATTGTTTTTCAACAAACTCCCGTCGTCCAGACAAACATCCTTCAACTGTCAAAATCCATATGCCTAAGGCTCGCGGACAACGGACGTTTCCATACTCCTTGTGGCTCGTGCACAACAATATCTTATCTGATTTCACTTATACAAATATTAACAATACATCCAAATCAATATCAAAATCAAATAATTTTTCGTTTAATATTCAGAAATTATCAAAATTGGCAAGTGTCTTTTTCAAAAACAAATAATAAATATGTTGTATTAGCATTCTTAATCCGCTTATCGCGATATATCTTCTTTCTCCTTGTTCCCGTAGTTCCCGGAAGGCTATATTTAAAAAACCAAGCATTTGCACGCATACGTTTACTAAGGCTATTTTACTTATTTTTCAACAAAGACACTGTCCTGTGAATAAATCGTTAGAGTTTAGATACATCTTATGTATAAAATCATATTTCTAACTAAAAAGCGAACTACGTATGAAAATTTATTTTGGCAGATTTTAAACGGGCAATTGGTCTAAATAGAATAATGTTGAAAATTATTGGTTTGTGGCCGCCAGACAATCGAGACCATCGTAAGATAACGAAATCTAGATTTCGATTAGTGTATAACTTAACTACGATGTTTTTCATTCTAACGATACCAGCTTTCGCAGCACTTATAAGAGTATGGGGTGACATGATTCTGATGGTAGATAATTTGATATACAGTTTACCTATGACGATTTCTGTATTCAAAGTTTGCATTATTTGGTACAAACAAAAAGGTACATGTCGTTTAGCAAAATGTCTCCCAGAATTTGGCTTAAAATTCCACTCAATTAAGGAAACTCAGAAAAGTATCCACGAATCAAGATATTAACGTAACACTACACATTAAAGCTTTGGTGTCTCTAATTGATATGATCGCGAGAGACTGGATGAAACCAAAGCTGAAAGAGGAGCGGGACGTCATGATGAAACTTGCAAAGATTAGTCGCATCATTGTCATATGCGGTTGGCTTATGGTAATCTTGCCAACAATCATTAGTTTGGTTTGCTCATGTTTTGGAGTGACAACCAGATACATAACTAATCTGACCGATCCTGGAAAACCCTTGGCATTACAAACATACTACTTGCACGACGTCTCAAAAAGTCCGCAGTTTGAGTTGACGCTTCTGGCACAAGGAATCACTATGTTCACAACGGGTCTCTCTTATTCGGCGGTCGACCAATTCCTTGCGCTGCTAGTCTTGCATGTATGCGGCCAAATAGAGAACCTGCATTTGCGATTAATACATATGGGTCGTTATACTAATTTTGATGCAATTTTGAAATATAACGTCCAGGATCATGTCCGTTTAATCAGGTACTTAAAACATATCTTTAAGGTTGTATGTATAATTAGAAATTATACGAACAATTATAATTTTTCGTACAATGTAAAGTTACATTGCAGCTTAAGAATCAATTAATTGTTGCAGATCCATTGGAATCATTGATGATTCATTCGACTTATTGCTACTTGTCGTGATTGTATATTTTGGTATAACATTCTGCCTACAAGGGTTTCTCATAGTTAACGTAAGTAAAAAATTATCGTACACAAGATTAACGGGATTCTAACATGAATAGTTATCAACAAATCGTTACAGTTAGTGGTGAACAAATTACAGTGTATACATGGTGTCCGGTAATTAGCTGCCAACTCCGCGGCGAGCTGTGTGCGTCGAGGCTGAGTGGTTCGCGCTGGCCGTTACGCGGCATTAAAGCACCGAGACGCCATCGCGACGGTTAGTTCGAGACGCGCTTTCGCTCAGCTTTGACGCACACAACTCACCGCGGAGCATCTTCTATAGGCATGACAAACGCCAAACTTTAAGCGGTTATTACTATAAAACTATACGAGATATCGCTAAATGGAACAGGATTTTTTCGTTCCTCTCGCTTAGCTCTACGCCGCTATGAAGTTGGTGTGTTACAATTATGGGACACCCTGTATAATTTTGAGTAATATAATTTGCAATTGTGACAATCTAGGTTCTTAATAAAGAGGGTAAATTATCAATTATACAATTAGTTTGGTTTATCGCAGTGACTGTATGCATTCTATTACACGTGTATCTTTACTGTGCCGTTGGCGAAGCTCTCGCGACGCAAGTAAGTAAAACCGTAGAATAGTAGCCGATATAACACTGATATAAATTATGATTTTCCTATTTTCATGACCAAATATAATTTAAAAGAATACTCTTTTGCGTAGAGTAATAATTATCATTATTGTAATGTTCATCAATCATTATTGTATTGTCAAATACAAATATGTTGTATTGTCAATAATATTGTCAAAAGCTGATACTATTTAATCATCTCACTTAAGTTTATCAGAAGATAAATTCTACAAGCAAACCTATTTTATCTTAGACATCGAAATATCTTGAATGTAATATATTTTTGGAAAAATATTTTAAATAGAAATTGTAAAACTACAACTCTCTACAACTTTTATTTGAAATATTTTTGATTTCGAGATATTGCAGCGCCTAAGTTAAAATGAGACACCTTATATATGACAGTTTTCGCATATTTGTCGTTTTCTTCAGTATGAAAAAATTCATCGTGCCACATACGAATACGCGTGGTACACTTTAGATCCAAAAACAGCTAGGAATTTGATTTTAATAATGCTGCGTGCAAACAAACCACTCTACATCACAGCTGGAAAAACATTTCCCATGACGATGGCAACGTTTTGCAATGTAAGTTACGTCAATGACACAAGTGAAGCATTGTTATATTTTATTCATTACTTGAAATTCTTATTGTAACAATTAAGTATAATTAATTCATGATCGCTCTATAACGTATCCTCTTTTAATAAATACGAGAAAATGTTACAATGACTTTATGACAAATTCTCAACGCTTATTATACAGTTTTGTTTAGTGCGCATGAATAATATTACATCTTTATGTATACATCATTACAAAAATGTTACAGTTGTTGAAAACATCAGCAGGTTATATATCTGTCTTACTAGCCAATCAAGACTAACAGCGATATTATGAACTCTGAAGCCAAAGTTAAACAATTATATAGTAGGAGTAATTAATAATAACAATTGATATCTTAACAATTGAATTATTCACACATACACACGTACACACACACGCGCTCTTTTATTATAAAACATACACGTAAGTACGGTATTAATGTTTTGTTATATTCTTTGAACTAAATAAAAAAATATAAAATAAAAGATATTTTAGGATATTAAAAATATATTAGCTATTTAAAACCACCATTAAAAAGATATATTTACAGGTCATAAATCCAACCATATGAATAAAAATTAGTACAACGTAACGTTTATTTGGATATAAATATTAGGTGAGTGCAATATACATAGTTTGGATGGATTTCATACTAAAAAAGTGGACTAAATATCACAATAACAATTTCTATGAAGGCAAATATAAGTAATAAGGTATGTCTATTGAAAAGCTTACAGATTAGGAAATATTTTATATTGAAAATACGATAAGCACAATTGTCAAAGTCGTGTAAGGAATTAAAATTAAAAAATTTCATGATAACTCTTACATATAATCCTTATTTGATCAGCCATGATATCTTCGAGACACCCATCCAAACTCTTGCATCATCCCAAACATTCCGAGACGTATCATCCTATTCGTTTCAATTTATCCTAATAGTTGCTTATCGTTCAAAGATTCCATCTTCATGTTTTTTTACCATTATCTATATCTCAACATAAGTGTTCACTTCCTGTATATTTTCCAAACTTAAGATGTAATTACGAGAAAATCTTCGCAAGAACCGTCGAGGTTATCCCCCTCGTTTAGTAGCTATACGTCAACTGCTCACTGAAAATGGCTATGCTGCTAAAGATTCATTAATAATGTATCAAGTGCTCTACACATGTCTGTCCCGTCAATTCCTCCTTCCACTGGATTAACTTTCTTCGGTTGGAAAACAATAAACAACCTGCGGACGTTTCACGTTTTCATAAAGTTCTCTTCAGACTATAGATATAGATCATGCTGTTTCGAAAAGTAAAAATTTTACCTAAAGATGGTTACGACCACTATCATTTATAAGCGCTTATAGACGCGGTAGCAAAGGGAAAAAAACATGAAATAATAAAAGCGATGAGCCCTCCTGTCGCTAAGCGTTACACACTTTGTGCTTTTTCACAGTCATAACTTATTTATTCACCTCTTTGTCTAACGAACCACGTCAACAAGAGGATAATATATCCTCATGCGCGTCACGCATTTTCTAGTTACTGAAGTACTTGAATATAATACTTGGAGATAGTAGAACTTCTACGTTTGGAGAATTACATTGCTAATATGTGTCATAATAACACTCCGTAAAAATCGAAAGGCTTTTCATGGATAATAAGAGAGTACTCGTTTGATCTTGGACATGAAATGTTCGGACGAATATAATGGTGCTACTTTCAATCTGGCTATCAATTCACAGTGTCTTTTTTTTATTAGATCAGTTACCTTTTAATTTGAAGTTATGTTATATTTGATGATTTATTTCCGATTATCATATTATTATATTTTGTATATTATATACAATTGATCTTAAAATGCACGTTTATGGTTTCGCATATAAATTTAATAATCAATATAATATCGTTCAATGGAATTGAACATTGAACGAATTACATTAACATTACAATTATAATTAACAGCTAATTCGTGCAAAATCGCAGAAGTAATTATAAAAACATATTTAGTCAATTTTATAAGATGAAATAATTTCTTATTACTTCATTGTTTTTAATTTGGAAAAATTCGACACTTACGTTTGTATGCTCCATTTTTTGTTACTCCAATATTAAGTGACATATTTTTGTTTTCACATTCAAGCAGCGTGTATGAAATTATTGTTTTTATAATAAAGTGAAACTTAAATGACAGTTTCCTATGATAGATTTAGATTGGGCGATCGGTCTAAATCGGCTCATGTTGAAAATCGTCGGTTTGTGGCCACCGGATAATCGAGACTGTCATGAAAGCATGAAATCGAAAATTCGATTACTGTGCAGCATTATCATGATACTCTTCATATTAGCAATACCAACTTTCGTATCACTGATAAGAGTATGGGGCAATATGATTCTAATGATAGACAATTTGATATACAGTCTACCCGTGTTAATTGCTCTATTCAAAGTTTACATTATTTGGTACAAACAAGAAGGTATATTTGACAGAATAGTGTGCTCTGAGAATTTGTCTTAATCTTTCACTCAATTAGCAGAACTCGCAAAAATATCATTCATGTATCAAAATACTAATATATTACTGCACATTAAAGATTTGGTGCAATTGATTGATATGATTGCGAGAGACTGGATGAAACCAAAGATAAAAGAGGAGCGGGACGTTATGTTGAGGCTCGCAAAGATCAGCCGTATGATCGCCATTTGTGGCTGGCTCCTAGCATTCTTTCTAACGATAACTTTTTTCACCCTCCCATTTTTCGGACTGACTATCAGACACGTGACGAATTTGACCGACCCTGGAAAACCCTTGGCGATACAAACGTACTACTTGCATGACGTTTCCGAGAGTCCCCAGTTTGAGTTGACGGTTCTGGCGCAGGGAATCTCTATGTTTTTAACGAGTATTTCTTATTACGCGGTCGACCACTTTCTGGGATTGCTAGTCTTGCACGTATGCGGTCAAATGAATAACCTGCATTTGCGATTGACACATATGGGGCAATATACCAACTTCAATGCTATTTTGAAGTACAACGTCCAGGATCACATCCGCTTGATCAGGTACTCAAATTAATCATACAGTTTGTATGTCTAATTAGAAATTGTGCGGACAATATTATAAACTTTCGTACAATGTAAATTACAGTATACAAGGTGTTCGGTAATTAGCTGCCAACCCGAAGTGTGAAGGTAGATTGGGTTAAAACAAACATAAAAGTCCTATACCGTTTTGCGAGATTCGCAATAATTATCGAGTTATTCATTACAGAAATTTGACGAATGAGCGCGCGCTGAGATGGATGATTGGAGAAGGACAACACGCCGCTATTCGTTGTTTTATCTCGCTACACCTACGTCTCGCCGCACACAGTTGCTGGGTCGATTGGGCCGCGTTGTAACCCGAGAGGCTGTGATGCTTCTCCAATCATCTGTCGGCGCGCTCTCACTCTTCAGATTTCAGTCATTAATAACTCGATAATTATTGCAAATCTCGCAAAATGGTATAGGACTTTTGTGTTTGTCTTAACCCAATCTACTTTCACACTTTGGGTTGGCAACTAATTACCGGACACCCTGTATATTAAGTAACAATAACTGTTACAGGTCCATCGAAATCATTGATGATTCATTCGATTTATTATTGCTCATCCTAGTACTATATTTTGGTATAACATTCTGCCTACAGGGGTTTCTCATAGTTAACGTAAGTTGAGAATAATCAAATGTAAGATTACGCGATTACTGGAATTCTTATAGAAACGGTTGTTAATAATTTGTTATATCCATATATGAACAAGTTGCAGTATGTACACTCAGAGGCAGGTATAGTAACCCTCGGTGGCGTCGTATATGCCTGTAAAGCAATCGAAAGCGATGACTGGCATATAAAATTCAATTTTATAATAAATAATTAAAACGTTTATTCTTGTTATTTTTATATAATAAGACAGATATTATTGTATATGTGTCCATTATATTTTTGTCCTAAAAAATAATAAAAATATTAAAAATATTATAGAAATATTATAAAATATAATAATATATAATAATATAAAAAAAAATTGGCACTGCGAGGACTCGAACACTCCTTGGACGACAAAATACTAGTGCGCGCCTTAGCTACCACAGCTACTGCGCTTCACGCTTATTGATTCCAAGTTTACTACACTTAACATGTAGCTGTTTTTTTAATTGCAAATTTCTCGCAAACGAAGACCCATGCACGCAAACCTTTTTAGGATTTTTATGTACTCAACCCCTTCCCCATCCGAATAAAATATGATTCATTCAATTATCGATTTTACATGTCTTGCCATCTCCTTGTGAGTGTATAATGCAATCATAATTGAACATTTTTGTCGACAATATTCCTGCCGCACGATATATAGTAAATGTAGAACGCTAAAATTTAGATAATATAATTTTTTTGGATTTATAACTTGGAATTGTAACAATCCAGGTTTTTAATGACGATGGACAAGTGTCATTTATGCAATTACTTTGGTTTGTCGCAGTGACTATATGCGTTTTATTGCACATGGGCCTTTATTGCGCCGTTGGCGAAACTCTCGTGACGCAAGTAAATGAAACAATAAGATAGTAGTTTTAACAATAATTCAGATAGCATTATTCGTCTGTTTCCATGAACAAATAAAATTTTCGTAATTTTTTCACGTGCAATGCTTATTCAGTAATCATTGTAATGTTGTCGAAAATCGACATTATATAATCATTTCGGTTAAATTTATCAAAAGGTAATTGAAAAAACGTTGCTGCAACGTTGCAATGTTACAACAATATTGTTGCAACTTCTGTGCTGTATTGTACATTCTGTATGATTCGTCACATATAAATTACATTTCCTTAGGGTAAAAAAATTCATCGCGCCACGTACGAATATACGTGGTACACTATAAATCCAAAAGCGGCAAGGAACTTGATTTTAATAATGCTGCGTGCAAGTAAACCACTCTACATTACGGCTGGGAAGACATTTCCCATGACGATGGCAACGTTTTGCAATGTAAGTTACGCATGACATGAATAATCCCATACAGCACAGAAGTTGCAGCAATATTTCTGCAACGTTACTGCAACATTGCAACATTGTTGCAACATTGCAGCAACGTTTTTTCAACTTATGTGCTATATGGGATACGTTATTATATTTCACATGTTATTTGGAATTCTTATCTTAATAATTGAGTTTAATCATTTCCTGGTTCTTCTATCACTTGTAATATATTATAGTTTAAAAAATGTAAAGGACTGCAAAAATAAATGTTTAACAGATCCCCACATATTATACTTTTATTCAGCGCTAATAATATTAAATCTCCATTTATATGTCAAAAAAATGTTGCAGCTGTTGAAAACATCAGCAGGTTATATATCTGTATTACTTGCTAATCAAGATTAACGGCGATGTTATAAACTTTGAGCTCAAACTTAAACAATTATCTAGTAACATAATTAACAATAAGAATTGATCAACGAAGCATAAGTAAGCACGTAAGTACGATGTTACTGTCTTGTTATATTCTTTGAACCAAATAAAAAATATATATAAAGGGAAAAGTCATTCGGGATATTAAAAACGGGTATTAGCTTTTTAAAATGGTATTTTAAGAAAATCAACAATATTTATTCTAATTTTATTATGTGAAACGTATCGCTTAAAATCCTACAACTTTTGTATGGAATATTTCTTTGAAAATGTGTCTATTCGAGATATTATGAGATTTCAACACTTTTCATGTACACTTGTATAAAGCGCTGCATTTAGTAATTCATGGCGAATACAAAAAAGTTTATAAACATTAGATATTCTACTCATTCCTCTTAGTTGATTGATCTTACCTTTATATTTCATATTGTTCCTTGATATTTTTTTCTCAACACAAGGTAATTAAGTAAATATCAAGTAATTCACTTTTTGACTGACTTATCTTAATACTTTTACACATTTTGACGACAGAAATCATTTGGCGGTAATAATTTTTAGAGATTGTTGCATCAACGAATCTGCAAAATGTAATGGAATTTTGTTTAAGATTTCCCTATTTTTTTCTAACAATAATCGATTCCTCTCATTATTTTATGCATAAATGTATTAGATTAAAATCGTTGAGTACAGAATCGATTACGAAAATATTGTATATCTTATAAAAAGTATCAGGATATAATGTAAAACGAGATAGACTTTTTAATAATTTTACTCTGGCACTTTTACATACCGAGAAACAGTGTTAATCCAGCTAAATGAAATTATACACATGTAGTTAACTCAGTGCAAAATCCTGTTGAAATCTATATAATTCAAACTGATTCTTAGGTAGAATCACAACTGTGAATATAAACTTTAGGTTTAGCAGACATGTCGTCACCCTGCCGAAATTTATGCAGGGACATCTGCTGTGCATTTAGTACAAATTTGTTGTCGACTTATTATTAACAAACTTTACTTATATCGGTTGCTGTATCGATCTGTCTTCACACTATCACAGTATCAAATTTGCTCTGGTATTGTATCCAACTTGAAGTTAGGATGTGGTTACAAACTTTTTGATTGCAATTGGGACGCAGTTATGAACGCCACCGAGGATTTGACAATCTCGCTCCGAAAAAGAACAATCTCCTAGCTATCCGTAAGCAAATGGTTATCTGGAAAATTATATTAAACACGATTATTCAATCTCCCAAGTGATAGCCATTATTTTCTATTATTTTTGCTATATTATACATCTACATGTTTGTAAGCTCTGCCATAAAATTAGATCAATCATGACATTTTTAAGATACCCATTCAGACTTTCGCATCATCCCAAACATTCCAAGGCATACCGTGTTACATATTTCAACTTATTTCAATACAGCTTACCGTTCAAAGATTCCATTTGATTTTATTATTATAGTGTTTGCCATTGTCTTTATCTCAACGTAAGTATTCACTCCTCGTATATTTTGCGTAAACTGCAGATGCAATTACAGAAAAATCTTCGCAGAGACCGTCCTCCGAGTTCGTCCTCCTCGTTTAGTAGCTATACTTCAACTGTTCACTGAAAACGGCTAAAGATTCATTAATAATGTACCAAGTGCTCTACATATCTGTATCGTCAATTCCTTTTTCCACTGGATTAACTTTCTTCGGCTGGAAAACAATAAACAACTTACGGACGTTGCACGTTTTCACAAACTTTTTTTCAGACTACAGATCATGCCGTTTCGCGAAGTAACAATTTTACCTAAAGATGATTGCGACCAACATCATTTATAAGCGCTTATAGTTACGGTAGCAAAGGAAAAAAAACACAAAATAATAAAAGCGATGAACCCTCCTATCGATGAGCGTTACATGTTTGTTTTCTCACGGTCATAACTTATTTATTCACTTTTCTGTCCAACGAAGCACCCCAATCAACTAGAAGATAATACACCATCATGCGCGTCACGCATATTCTAGTTACTGAAGTATTTAGGACGATGTAATAAAACTTTTGCGTTCGGAGAATTACATCGCGAGCATGTATCGTAATAACGCCTCATCAAAATCGAAACATTTCTCATGGATGATAAGAAACAGTACTCGTTTGACCCTGAACATGAAACGTTCAGACGGATATAATGGTGCTCCTTTCGACTATCAATTCTTTAGTTTCGACTATGAGTTTCTTTAGATCAATTATTTAATTTATCAGTTTAATTAGATCGATTATCTTCTTATTCGATATTATTATGTCATATGTAATGTTTTATTTATATTTTCTATAATTGATTTTAGGACACATATCTTTGATTTAGCGTATGAATTTTATCAGTGTAATTCGTTTAGTGGAATTGAACACTGAAGGAGTATCATAAAAATTATTATAAAGACATATTGTTTATTTCGTAAGATGAAATAATTTTTTATTACTTGACTATTTCCAATTGGAGAAATTAGGAAGCTGCGTTCGAATATCCTACTTTCCTCCATTCCAATATTAATAATATATTTTAGTTTTTACATTCAAGCAGCATATATAGGGTGCACCTAAAATAAGCCCGAGTAATTTTGAAAATATGCAAGAAGAAAATGTTATACAGAAATGTAGAGTTTTAAGAAACGCATCATAGGAATGATGTTGAATAGCATCATCAAGGTTACAGGAAGTCACTTTGAATTTTTTATTAGAAACCCCGTTCTTTATTATATCATCTTTTTCTACCAATTAATTTGAGCAACTTTTGTCCGAAACATTTTTTTATTTATCTAATTTTTTTTTTAGATATTTAAGAAAAATTTGGAACTTTTTCAATATTTAGCTTACGATAACTCAATAACTATTTGTCGAAAGAAATAGAGTACTTTTTTAATCTATTTTGAGTCAAGAATATGCTGTTATAATAGTGTCTTAACTATTGTTAATATAATGATTTTGAAATTTCAAAGGTCATCAAGTTAATAAAAGTCAGGATATTATTGTATTAACAATATATTCTTGAGATCAAATGAAGTAAAAAAGTATGTAGTTTTTCTCCAGACAAATAGTTACCGAGATATCAAAAATAAATATTGAAAAAGTTACCAAGTTTTCCTTAAACATCTTAAAAAATATTGGGCAAATAAAGAAATGTTTCAAATAAAAGTTGTTCAAATTAATTGGTAGAAAAATATGATAAAATAAAAAAAGAGGATTTCCATTTAAAAAATTCATAGTGATTTTTCTTGACGACGCGGTTCAAGGTCACACTAATATTGCTATGTAATGCGTCACTTAAAATTCTGTAACTTCTATATTTGACATTTTTTTTTATCTGGCATATTTTTAGAAGTATTCAGGTTTTAGGTGTCTCACTCTGTATAAGATTATTGTTTCTATAATAATTTGAAACATAAATGAAAGCTTCTAATAATAGATTTAGAATGGGCCATTGGTCTGAATCGGCTTATGTTGAAAATCGTCGGTTTGTGGCCACCAGACAATCAAGACCCTCGACGGGCACTAAGATCAAAAATTCGGCTACTGTGCAGCTTTATTATGATGCTTTTCATACTGGCAATACCAACTTTCGTATCACTGATAAGAGTATGGGGCGACATGCTGCTAATAGTTGATAATCTAATATACACGTTACCTCTGTCGATTGCTCTATTCAAAGTTTGTATTATTTGGTACAAACAGGAAGGTATATTTAACAAAATAGTTTCTTCCCAAAACCTGGCTTATATAATCTTCTAATCCAAAAATATTACCACATACAAAAATTCTAACGTATCACTAAACATTAAAGCGTTAATGCCTCTGATTGATATGATCGCGAGGGACTGGATGAAACCAAAATTGAAAGAAGAGCGGGACGTTATGTTGAGGCTCGCAAAGACCGGTCGTATGATCGCTATTTGTGGATGGCCTATGGCAATCTTTCCAACGATAACTTGTTTTGTCCTTCCATATTTTGGACTGACTATCAGACATGTGACAAATCTGACCGACCCTGGCAAACCCTTGGCAATGCAAGCGTACTATTTGCACGATGTTTCCAAAAGTCCGCAGTTCGAGTTGACACTACTGGCGCAAGGAATCACTATGCTCACAACGGGTGTCTCTTATTATGCGATCGATCACTTTCTTGGGTTGTTAGTCTTGCACATGTGCGGTCAAATGAAGAACCTGCATATGCGACTAACACATATGGAACGATACACTAACTTTGACACAATTTTAAAATACAACATCCAGGATCACATCCGCTTAATCAGGTACTCAAGATGGATCACCAAGATTGTAATTGGAAATTGTGTGAAAAATTATAGATTTTTATATAATGTAAAATTATGTCGTACAACCTAAGAGACAATAACTGTTGCAGATCCATTGAAATCATCGATGATTCATTCGACCTGTTGATGCTTGGCATAATGCTGTACATTGGCCTGATATTTTGCCTACTTGGATTTCTCATAGTTCAGGTAAATTGAAACTAATCGCTAATAATTGCAAGATTAACAAGATTTACATAAATAGTTATCAGTAAATCCTTACTGATTATAGTCATTTTCAGTAAATCCTTACTAACCCGATACTTATTTTACATTGTGCATAATTTACAGTAGTTATGAACAATTTGCGCATTAAAATAACATAAATCGTTATTTAACAATTTTGTAGGTAATTTCCTTCCAATATAATACATATTTTATACAAAGCGAGTTTCAGACGGTATAGAATTAGAATTCACAGAATGGGCGTATTTACTCGTTACAAGTTGTTTTCCCCGAGACAACATCTCGTAACAAGTCATTTGACCCAACCTGTACAATTGCAATTATGACTATCTAGGTTCTTAATGATGACGGCCAATTGTCATTTATGCAATTAGTTTGGTTCGTTGCAGTGACTGTATGCGTTTTGTTGCATATGTGCCTTTACTGTGCCGTTGGCGAAACTCTCGTGACGCAAGTAAGTAAAATCTTAAGAAAATGCCCGTTAGCAATTGCGTTAGTAACCACTTTAACACCAATATGATTCGTCTGCTTTTGTAATCAAATATAATTTCCTTGAAACCTTACGTATAATAATGAATATTCAATCATTATCGTACTGTTGCCAAAAAACGATGTTACTTATATACCTCTCTTAAACTTTTCAAAAAGTATGCATTAGTCCTAATATATAAGAGCTATTGTATTTTTCCAGTGTGAAAACATTCATCGTGCCGCATACGAATACACATGGTACACTTTAGATCCAAAAACATCCAGGAGCTTAATTTTAATAATGCTGCGCGCAAGCAAGCCATTGTACATCACGGCTGGAAAAACATTTCCCATGACGATGGCAACGTTTTGCAATGTAAGTTTTTAGGGACAAAACTGACTTAATAATTAAGTTCAATTAATTCCTAGTCTTCCTACAAAGTATCGTCATGTAATGAGATCAAAGCAACATCACAATGATATTATAATAATGTCAAACACATATTATAATTTTATTTAACACACGCAAATAATTTTACATATATACGTGTATTAAATTTAAAATTGTTGCAGTTATTGAAAACATCAGCAGGTTATATATCTGTCTTGCTTGCCAATCAAGATTAAAGACGACATTAAGAATTCTGTGCTCAAATCTAAACGATTATTTAGCAAAATCAATTATCAATTAATAATCAATTTAGTAAAATCAATTATCAATTAATTATAAATCAATATGACAATTGCATAGACACACATATGTATTTTTCGACAATACATACATGTGTATTTATGACAGATTTATTGTAGAAATAGAAAAAATTAAGAAAATAAATAATAGAAAAAAGAAGTAGTCAGAATATTAAAAGATTCTGATTTCTTGACCAGCTGACGAATTTGTACACCAATATTAGTACAACGTTGTGTCCGAAGGTACATACAAATTCATATCAAGTGTCATACCATGGATTTTAGACTATTTCCATTGTGCCTGTCGTACAAAAATTCCATCTAAAGCCATCCATGGTTTATGATTGTTCTCATCTCAATGTAAGTGTCCCATTTTCGCATATTTTCCAAGTCAAAGAAGCAGAAAAGCAAAATTGTCCTGGGAACCACCAAGAGGAGTATATCCTCCTCGTTCAGTTGCCGCACTTCAACTGTCCGCTGGATCTTATCATACGACTAAAGAATCATTAATAATGCAAGCGCTGTACGTAGCCGATGACAACTTCATTGCCCACCTTCCACCGGACTAACTATTTCAACTGTAAAAAGTATCAACAAGCTCCACATGTCCCACGCTTACCACAAAGTTCTCTTGATCCCCTCTCTTATTCACAATGTGTCGTCGACCAAAAAAGTTTACAAATGCGTAAACGCAACCATGTATGAACATGTTGTGTCCAAAAGAAAAAGAATATGGACTGATAAAAGCGATGGACTCTCGATAACTGTTACACGTTCGCATGGTCATAATTTATTCACTCACACTTTTGCCCAACAAAGTTACGATGGCGATTATATATCCCAATACTCGACACGCACATTCTCATTCCTTCAATACGACGGTGCAATAACACTTTTATGTTCGGAGAATTACGTCGCGAACATGCGTCGTAACAATACCTCCTACAAGTCGGAACCTTCTTCATCGATGATAAGAGACAGTACTGGTTTAACCTTAGACAAGGAACCTTCGGATGAATGTATTGGTGTTTTTGGCTCTATCAATTCACAATTTCTTTAATTAGATCAGCTACTTATAAAATGTGGAATTATGTGATCTTTTATATTTTATATTATTTATATTTTATATTTCATTTCTTTATGTAATTAATCTTAAAATGCATGTTTTGTATTCCGCGTATGGATTATAATATAACGCATTCGATGGAGTTGCGCACTGGAGGAATTAATGATGGAGGCTAATTGATTCGTACCATATCACGAAAATTATTATAGAAACATGTTGTCAATTTTGTAAGGCAAAATATTTTATTACTCCACTGCGTTTAATTGAACAAATTTTGAAGTTGAAGGCTCGGTTATCTCAATATGAACATATATCTTGATTTTTACATTCAAGCAACATATTCAAGATTAATGTTAAAAAAGTAAGATGAGTCTCAAGTGAAAGTTTTTGATAATAGATTTAGAATGGGCAGTTGGTCCAAATCGGCTCATGTTGAAAATCATCGGTTTGTGGCCACCGGACAATCATGACCCTCATGAAGCCATAAAATCCAGATTTCGATTAATATGCAACTTAACCATGCTCCTTTTCGTACTGGCAATACCATCTTTCGCTTCATTAATAAGAGTATGGGGCGACATGATACTGATGATAGATAACATGATATATAGTCTACCAATGTTGATTTTTCTATTCAAAGTTTGCATTATTTGGTACAAACAAGAAGGTATATTCAATAGAATAATATGTTTGGTGAATTTGACTTAATTTTTCACTGAATTAGCAGAACTTGCAAAAGTATCATTCACGTATCAAAACACTAATATATTACTGCATATTAAAGATTTAGTACCACTGATTGATATGATGACGAGAGACTGGATGAAACCAAAGATGAAAGAGGAGCAGGACGTTATGCTGAAACACGCAAGGACCAGCCGCATGATCGCCATGAGCGGATGGTTCATAATAATCATTATTGTAATGATTAACTTAATTTATCCATGCTTTGGAACAACAACCAGGCACGTGACAAATCTAACCGACCCTGGAAAACCCTTACCGATGCAAACGTATTACTTGCACGACGTTTCCAAGAGTCCGCAGTTCGAGTTGACACTTCTGGCACAAAGAATCACTATAATCATATCGAGTATCTCTTATTATGCGACCGACCACTTTCTGGGACTGTTAGTTTTGCACGTATGCGGTCAAATGGAGAACCTGCATATACGATTGACACATATGGAGCAATATACAAACTTTAATGTAGTATTGAAATATAATGTCCAGGATCACATCCGTTTAATCAGGTACATAAAATTATCAAGACTGTATAATTGGAAATTGTGTGAACAATGATAAACTTTCGTATAGTGAAAAATTATATTGTTTTTTAAGAGTCAGTAATTGTTGCAGATCCATTGAAATAATTGACGATTCATTCGATTTGTTGCTGCTTGTCATAATATTATATTTCGGCATAATGTTCTGCCTACTAGGATTTCTCATAGTTAACGTAAATATAAAATATTCCTTTGCAAGAATATATGATTACCAAGATTCTTACACAAATAGTTATCTGCCGTTACCAACAGTTATCTAACTAAATTGTTAACAGTAAATCATTAGGTTCAATAGGACATAATTTATACCAGTTGTGAACAATTTGTGCTCTGTAGAAAGTTATTTAACAATTATGTCGGCAATTTTCTTCCAGCATCATACATTTTTTATATAACGCGAGTTTCCGTCAGTATAGAGTTAAAATGTGCAGAAAAGGCAAAAACGAAATGCACTCGTTACAAATTGTTCTTTCGAGACAACAGTTCGTAACGAGTCAATTGATCCATTTTGTACAATTTCCAATTATGACTATCTAGGTTCTTAATGATGGCCAATTGTCACTTATGCAATTAGTTTGGTTCATTGCAGTGACAATAACCATTTTATTACACATGTGCCTTTACTGTGCCGTTGGGGAAGCTCTCGTGAGACAAGTAAGTGAAATTTTGCAAAATTTTAAGAAATGCCCGTTAGTAGTTGCGTTAGTAACCTTTTTAACCTTAATGCGAACAGTGATTCTTTTATCTTTATGATCAAATATAATTTCCTTAACAACTTATGTATAATAATGAATATTATGTATCTCGATTAAACTTTTCTAAAAGTAAATGTGCATGAGTTCTGATATATATCTGATATAGCTATTGTATTTCTCCAGTGTGAAAAAATTCACCGTGCCACATACGAATACACATGGTACATTTTACATCCAAAAGCAGCGAGGAACTTAATTTTAATAATGCTGCGTGCAAATAAACCACTCTACATCACGGCTGGAAAAACATTTCCCATGACGATGGCAACATTTTGCAACGTAAGTTATAAGAGATAAAACTGACGTGTTATTATGTTTGACGTGGAATTCTTATCTAATAATTAGGTTCCGAAAAATAATTAATAATTTTTATAATTAATAATTAAGTTTCATTAATTCCAAGTGTGCACGCATGTGTGTGTGTGTGTCCGTGACAGAAGAGATAAGGACCCCGTGGTTCATCACTTCCACAGTATTTATTGACTCCAAACCCTCCCTTTTATGCACATGAGTGCGCGCGTGCGCTGTGTGTGTGTGTGTGTGTGTGTGTAAGTCTTCAATACTTGGCCCGAAGGTCAAAAACAACGATATTTTTGAAAGGCTGTAACTTTGCGAAAAAAAAATTGTAGCGACTTCTTTTTTTTCAAATTGAAGAAGATTTGAACTTTATGACGATGCAAACGGCGTCCCCGAAAAAAATTGTTCACGTCCGTGCATTCCGTCAAACTTTGCAATTTTCAGTATACCAAACAAATGTCCTCAGATGTCAGGGGTTACAGGGGTAGGAGTGCATCGCATGCAAAAAATGGAGATACGTTCTTAAAGTAGAGACTTCAAGCTTCATTTTGAAAAAAAATCATTAGTCTACAATAATTTTTCGCGAAGTAATCGCCAGTCAAAGTTGGCCAATTTTCGGCAATAAATTATCTGTGCCATAATTATTTTGAGCAGTGTATATTAAACTTAAAATGTTGCAGTTGTTGAAAACATCAGCAGGATATATATCTGTTCTGCTTGCCAATCAAGGAGAACGGCGATGTTATAAACAATGCGCTTAAACTTAAATAATCATTTAGTAAAATTAATTGTCAATTAATAGAATGTAATAATTAAATTTCATACACATACACAAACTCACACACACACACGCACGCATACACAACATCCTTTGACAAAATATACATATATATTTATTACTGATTTATTGTAAAAATAGAAAGAATTAAAAAAATACAAAATATGTAATAGTAGGATATTAAAATAGTTTGTATCCTTAATAAGGTCGCGAACCTAAAGACAAATATTAGATATACATATTAATTTAATATCTTCACACTTCGTACTTCATAATTCCGTTTTAAAATTTAATAATATCCCTTTGCCTTTTTGCCATTTATATCTGTGTACTACTAAGTTCTTAAAAACTATATGCTTTGGCGAAGGCGGCGACATAACTTCACGAAACAATGAGCAAGCAGTATAAAATACTGTAAAACTTTTGTAGGAAACATTTTTTCATATACCTCGTATTTACGAAGATATTCGCAAAAAAATGAAAATATTAGTGTTTTCGAGGGGTTGTTTCACCCTCTAAACCTTGAGATACTCACATAAAAAAATACGTGTCTAATAGTTTTTATTGCTCTACAACATATCCAAAGCCCATCAAAATCGGTGAAGCACAGTTCCGACTGTTTCCTTGTCAGTGTAAGTCCCGTTTCCGCATTTTTTTGGAAAGAAAGAAGCAAGAAAGCAAAATCGTTCTAGAAAACCACCAACTTTATCCTATTCGTTCAGTTGCCACACTTCAACTGCCCGCAGAAACTGATCATGCGACTAAAGAATCATTAATAATGCAAGGACTCTACACAACCTCTAGATGACAACTGTTCTTCATCCATTGGACTAACTTTCCTCAGCTATAAAAGATATCAACATGCTCCACATGTTTCACGTTTACCATAAAGTTTTCTCCCGTCTCCTGCACGTAATGTATCGTCGAACAAAAAAAGTTTTCATATGTGTGATCGCAACCATATATGAACGTGCGGTGCCAAAAAGAACACGAACTAATAAAAGCGACGAACCCTTAATGACCATTACACGTTCTCACTATCATAATTTATTTATTCACTCCTTTGTCTAGCAAAGTACAGCAACAAGATGATAATATATCCTCTTACACGTCATGCAAATTCTGGTTGCCGCAATATATACGACGATACGATGTAATAGAACTTTTGCGTTTGAAGAAATACGTCTCAGGCATGCATCGTAATAACACTTCGTACAGGTCGGATCGTCCTTCATGAGTGATAAGAGACAATACTCGTTTGACCTTAGACATGGAACGTCGGACGAATACAAAGGTGGCACTTTCAGTTCACATCAATTTACAGATTTTTTTAATTACATTAATTACCTTCCAAATTGAATTTACTATGTTATATTTTATGTTTTATTTATTGCTTTTCCAATTGATTCTGAAATGCATTTTCCTTTACTCCATTATGAATAATATATTTCGATTTTTATATTCAAACTATATATTTAAGATTATTATCAAAGAAAAAAGTGAGGTTCAAGTGAAAATTTTTGATGATAGATTTAGAATGGGCGATTGGTATAAATCGACTCATGTTGAAAATCATCGGTTTGTGGCCACCGGACAATCGAGACCCTCATGAGATTATAAAAACGAAATTTCGACTATTGTGCAGCACTATTATGGTGCTTTTCATATTGGCAATACCAGCTTTTATATCACTGATAAAAGTATGGGGCGATATGATCCTAATGGTAGATAATTTGATATACAGTCTATCCCTGTTCATTGCTCTATTCAAAGTTTTTACGATTTGGTATAAACGAAAAGGTATATTTAACAGAATACTATGCTCCGAAAATTTAACTTAATGTTATTCAATTAGCAAAATTAGCGAAAGTATCGTTCACATATCAAAACATCACTTACCATACATTAAAGATTTAGCATCTCTGATTGATATGATCGCGACAGACTGGATGAAACCAAAGACGAAAGAGGAACGAGACGTTATGCTAAAACTCGCAAAGATCAGTCGTATGATCGCTATATGTGGATGGCTCTTACCATGTATTCCGACGTTAACTTGTTTCGCACTTGCATATTTTGGATTGACTCTCAGATACGTGACGAATCTGACAGACCCTGGTAAACCCTTGATGATACAAACGCACTACTTCCACGACGTTTCCAAGAGTCCGCAGTTTGAGTTGACGTTTCTGGCCCAAGGAATTGCTGTGTTCATAACAAGTATCTCTTATTATGCGGTCGACCATTTCCTTGGGCTATTAGTCTTGCACGTATATGGCCAGATGGAGAACCTGCATATCCGACTGACACATATGGAGCGATATACAAACTTTGATACGGTATTAAAATACAATGTCCAGGATCATATCCGCTTAATCAGGTACATAAAATCATCAAGGCTGTATGTATAATTGGAAATTGTGTAGACAATAATATCAATTTTTATATAGTGTAAAATTATATTGTATCTTAACAGGCAATAATTGTTGCAGATCCATTGAAATCATCGATGATTCATTCGATTTGTTGTTGCTTGTCATAGTAGCACATTTCGGCATAATATTTTGCTTACTAGGATTTCTCATAGTTAATGTAAGTAGAAAATATTCCTGTGCAAAAGTATACCATTAACATGATTCTTATACAAAATGGTTCTATACCATTATCAACAGTTATCTTACTAAACTGTTAACAGTAAATCGTTACGTTCACTTGTCCATAACTTACACTAACTGTAAACAATTTGCATACTGTAGGACGTTATCTGTCGTTATCAATAGTTTTCTTACTAAATTATTAACAGTATCGTTACGTACATTTGTGCACAATTTACAGTAGTTATCAACAATTAATAACGCTGTCGGACGTTATTTGACAATTTTGTTGCCGATTTTCCTCTAGCGTTATACATACGTAACGTGAGTTTCAGACTATACAGAATGTCTGGTAATTAGCTGTCAATCTAAAGTGTGAAGGTAGATTGGGTTAAGACAAGCATAAAAGTCCCATGCCCTTTTGCGAAATTCATAATAATTATCGAGTTATTAATGACAGAAATCTGAGGAGTGGGAACGCGCCGACACAGATGATTGGAGAAGCGTTACAGCTGCTCAGACCACAACGTGGCCTAGTCCAGAAAATGTTGCCGGTACGCAGCGAGGGGAAAGACAACGCGCCGCTATTCGTTTTATTTCGCCGCACCTACGTCTCGCCGCACGTTGCCAATAGTTGCTGGGTTGACTGGCCCATACTATGGTCCTAGCGACATTCCTCCAATCATCCGTCGAGGGCGCGCGCTCATTCGTCAAATTTCTGTAATTAATAACTCGATAATTACCGCGAATCTCGCAAAACAGTATAGGACTTTTATGTTTACCTTAACCCAATCTACCTTCACACTTCGAGTTGACAGCTAATTACCGGATGCCCTGTATAGATTTAGAGCCTTCACAATGGTCTCATTTACTCGTTACAAGTTGTTATCTTCGAGACGACAGCTCGTAACGAATCGTTTGACTCAACGTGAACATGTTGTAATTGTGACCATTCAGGTTCTTAATGACGACGGCCAATTGTCATTTATGCAATTAGTTTGGTTCATTGCAATGACCATATCCGTTTTGCTGCATATGTGCCTTTACTGTGGCGTTGGCGAAATTCTCGTGACGCAAGTAAGTGAAATTCTGCGTAAAGATGTGCCTGCTAATACTTGCTTTAACGCCACTTGATTTACCTATTGAATTATGATCAAGTATAATTACCTTAACTGCTTACATACAGTAATGAGTATTCAATCACCATTGTAATAATGCCAAACACCGACGTTACTTATATACTTGCAGTATATAAGTTCGTTATCATATTCTCTCGTCTTCCTCTCTCAACTGTCCACTCCTCTTAATTCACCAAACCGCTCTCGTTCCCCCTCGACTAATCTTCTCCATATCCATTTTTCTCCAATTTTCTTACTTCTTTTTCCTTTCTTCTTTCTCTCCTGAGTATTTCCCTCACTCATACACATACAATGCATACATACAAATCTCGATATTCGATGTAAAGTTAAATCGCGTTCTTGTAAACCGCGCCGTTAATAAATCTTTATAGCAATTTCCCATTCTGTTTGCTACCCTAATTTTAATAAACATTGTTAATGATTTATTTTCCACAATTTATTTTAAAATCATGCCTATACCCCACTTTCCGAAAATCGATTCATGGTCTTATGCCCGGTAAAGGGATTCGTTATCCTGACCGAAAAACAGACCGCTCGTCGTATATCAGCGAGCAAGTAAAGGAACCCGTCGTATTGCTGACCCGCTCCCTGGCACGCGTGTACGAACGAGATTCGCCTTTTCTGCGAAAGGATAAGTTGCGCTCCTCCTCCAGGACGTAACACTGCTGTTAAATTTTCCGAAAAATGAATATTATGCATTACACCTCATACGTATAATAGCTATTGCATTTGTCCAGTGTGAAAAGATTCATCGTGCCGCATACGAATACACGTGGTACACTTTAGATCCAAAAGTAGCGAGGAACTTAATTCTAATAATGCTACGTGCAAGCAAACCACTGTACATCACGGCTGGGAAAACATTTCCCATGACGATGGCAACGTTTTGCAACGTAAGTTATAAGAGACAAAATTGAAATTAAACACCTTATTATGTTTTGCGTGTTACTTGTTTTGAAATTCTTATCTTAATAATTAAGTTTAATTAATTCTTAATCGTCGTACAAGTATCGACACATAATAAAACAATGCAATGTTACAATAAAATTATGACTAATGCCACACATATATCATAATATTTTCACGCTAATAATATTATATATATATTTATATGCTTTTTAAAAATGTTGCAGTTGTTAAAAACGTCAACAGGTTATATATCTGTCTTGCTTGCCAATCAAAATTAATAGTGATATTAAGAACATTGCGTTCCAACAATTGCAATCGTTTAGTACAATTAATTATCAAATAATAAAATATGACAATTGAATTGCACATACATATATGCATACTCTTTGACAAAATATATGTGTATCTATTACTGATTGATTGTAAAAATAGAAATAATTAAGGAAATAAAGAACAGGAATTAACGAGGGTATTAAAAGTGTTTGAGTTCCTGACAAGTTTACAAACCTAAAGACAAACACGTATCACAATTTTATTAGTTATCACCACAAACTTAAAGACAAACTAGTACGAGACCACAATTATAACATTCGTTTACATACAGATTCATACCAAGACTTATGGTTCCATTAATATTAAACTATTTTCATTGCGCTTATCATGTAAAAGTACTATCTCAAGCCATTCATGGTTTTCCATTATTTTCATCTCTATACAAGTGCCTTGTTTCCGTATATTTTTGGAATTAAAGAAGCAAGAAAGCGAAATTGTCCTAGAAAACCATCAACTTTATCCTCCTCGTTGAACTGCCGCACTTTAACTGCCCGCTGGAACTGATCATATGACTAAAGAATCATTAATAATGCAAAGGCTCTACACAACCGATGACAACTTGTTCTTCTTTCATTGGACTAACTTTTCCTCCGATATAAAAAATATCCACATACTCTACACATCTTACGCTTACCATAAAGTTCTCTTGGTCCCGTCCCTTTTTCGTAGTGTATTACCGAGCGAAAAAGTGTCAAAGAGAAAAAGCGCACGTACTAATAAAAACGACCGATCCTCGATCACCATTACACGTTCTCACTGTCATAATTTATTCACTGACCCCTTTGTCTGACAAAATGCATCAACAAGATGATAGTACCCCTCTTGCACATCACGCACATTCTGGTTCCCGCAATATGTACGATAATATAATAGAACTTTTGCGTTTGGAGAATTACGTCTCAGGCATGCATCGTAATAACACTTCGCACAAGTCGGATCGTCCTTCATGAGTGATAAGAGACAATACTCGTTTGGTCCTAGACATGGAACGTCGGACGGACACAAAGGTGGCACTTTCAATTCACATCAACTTACAGACTTTTTAATTACATTAATTACCTTCCAATTTGAATTTACTGTGTTATATTTTATGTTTTATTTATTGCTTTTCCAATTGATTCTGAAATGCATTTTCCTTTATTCCATTATGAATAATATATTTCGATTTTTATATTCAAACTATATATTTAAGATTATTATCAAAGAAAAAAGTGAGGTTCAAGTGAAAATTTTTGATGATAGATTTAAAGTGGGCGATTGGTATAAATCGACTCATGTTGAAAATCATCGGCTTGTGGCCATCGGACAATCGAAACCCTCATGAGATTATGAAATCGAAATTTCGACTATTGTGCAGCACTATTATGGTGCTTTTCATATTGGCAATACCAGCTTTTATATCACTGATAAAAATATGGAGCAATATGATCCTACTGGTAGATAATTTAGTATACAGCCTACCTGTGTCCATTGCTCTATTCAAAGTTTTTACGATTTGGTATAAACGAAAAGGTATATTTAACAGAATACTATGCTCCGAAAATTTAACTTAATGTTATTCAATTAATAAAACTAGCGAAAGTATCGTTCACGTATCAAAACATCACTTACCGTACATTAAAGATTTAGCATCTCTGATTGATATGATCGCGACAGACTGGATGAAACCAAAGACGAAAGAGGAACGAGATGTTATGCTAAAACTCGCAAAGATCAGTCGTATGATCGCTATATGTGGATGGCTCTTACCATGTATTCCGACGTTAACTTGTTTCGCACTTGCATATTTTGGATTGACTCTCAGATACGTGACGAATCTGACAGACCCTGGTAAACCCTTGATGATACAAACGCACTACTTCCACGACGTTTCCAAGAGTCCGCAGTTTGAGTTGACGTTTCTGGCCCAAGGAATTGCTGTGTTCATAACAAGTATCTCTTATTATGCGGTCGACCATTTCCTTGGGCTATTAGTCTTGCACGTATATGGCCAGATGGAGAACCTGCATATCCGACTGACACATATGGAGCGATATACAAACTTTGATACGGTATTAAAATACAATGTCCAGGATCACATCCGCTTAATCAGGTACATAAAATCATCAAGGCTGTATGTATAATTGGAAATTGTGTAGACAATGATATCAATTTTTATATAGTGTAAAATTATATTGTATCTTAACAGGCAATAATTGTTGCAGATCCATTGAAATCATCGATGATTCATTCCATTTGTTGCTACTTGTCATAGTAGTACATTTCGGCATAATATTTTGCTTACTAGGATTTCTCATAGTTAATGTAAGTAGAAAATATTCCTGTGCAAAAGTATACCATTAACATGATTCTTATACAAAATGGTTCTATGTCATTATCAACAGTTATCTTACTAAACTGTTAACAGTAAATCATTACGTTCACTTGTCTATAACTTACACTAACTGTAAACAATTTGCATACTGTAGGACGTTATCTGTCGTTATCAATAGTTTTCTTACTAAATTATTAACAGTATCGTTACGTACATTTATGCACAATTTACAGTAGTTATCAACAATTTACTGTGCTGTCGGACGTTATTTAACAATTTTGTTGCCGATTTTCCTCTAGCGTTATATATACGTAACGTGAGTTTCAGACTATACAGAATGTCTGGTAATTAGCTGCCGACCCAAAGTGTGAAGGTAGATTGGGTTAAGACAGGCATAAAAGTCCCATGCTGTTTTGCGAGATTCACAATAATTATCGAGTTATTAATGACAGAAATCTGAGGAGTGGGAACGCGCCGACACAGATGATTGGAGAAGCGTTACAGCTGCTCAGCCACAACGCGGCCCAGTCCAGAAATTGTTGCCGGTGCGCGGCGAGGGGAAAGATAACGCGCCGCTATTCGTTGTTTTATTTCGCCGCACCTACGTCTCGCCGCACGTTGCCAATAGTTGCTGGGTTGACTGGCCCATACTGGCCCTTGCGACATTCCTCCAATCATCCGTCGAAGGCACGCGCTCATTCATCAGATTTCTGTAATTAATAACTCAATAATTATCGCGAATCTCGCAAAATAGTATGGGATTTTTATGTTTATCTTAACCCAATCTACCTTCACACTTCGAGTTGACAGCTAATTACCGGACGCCCTATATAGAGTTAGAGCCTTCACAATGGACTCATTTACTCGTTACAAGTTGTTATCCTCGAGACGACAGCTCGTAACGAATCGTTTGACTCAACGTGAACATGTTGTAATTGTGACCATTCAGGTTCTTAATGACGACGGCCAATTGTCATTTATACAATTAGTTTGGTTTATTGCAATGACCATATCCATTTTGTTGCATATGTGTCTTTACTGTGCCGTTGGCGAAGTTCTCGTGACGCAAGTAAGTGAAATTGTGCCGTAAAAATGTACCTGCTAATACTTGCTTTAACGCCAATACTTGATTCGTCTATTGAATTATCATCAAATATAATGACCTTAACTGCTTACATATAGTAATGAGTATTTAATCACCATTGTAATAATGCCAAACACCGACGTTACTTATATACTTATATACTTGCAGTATATAAGTTCGTTATCATATTCTCCCGTCTTCCTCTCTCAACTTCTCTTAATTCACCAAACCGCTCTCGTTCCCCCTCGACTAATCTTCTCCATATCCATTTTTCTCCCATTTTCTTACTTCTTTTTCGTTTCTTCTTTCTCTCCTGAATATTTCCCTCACTCACACACATACAATGCATACATACAAATCTCGATATTCGATGTAAAGTTAAATCGCGTTCTTGCAAACCGCGCCGTTAATAAATCTCTATAGCAATTTCCCATTCTGTTTGCTACCCTAATTTTAATAAACGTTGTTAATAATGTATTTTCACATTTCCACAATTTATTTTAAAATCATGCCTATACCCCACTTTCCGACAATCGCCTCATGATCTTATGCCCGGTAAAGGGATTCGTTATCCTGACCGAAAAACAAACCGCTCGTCGTATATCAGCGAGCAAGTAAAGGAACCCGTCGTATTGCTGACCCGCTCCCTGGCACGCGTGTACGAACGAAGTTCGCCTTTTCTGCGAAAGGATAAGTTGCGCTCCTCCTCCAGGACGTAACACTGCTGTTAAATTTTCCGAAAAATGAATATTATGCATTACTCCTCATACGTATAATAGCTATTGCATTTGTCCAGTGTGAAAAGATTCATCGTGCCGCATACGAATACACGTGGTACACTTTAGATCCAAAAGTAGCGAGGAACTTAATTCTAATAATGCTACGTGCAAGCAAACCACTGTACATCACGGCTGGGAAAACATTTCCCATGACGATGGCAACGTTTTGCAACGTAAGTTATAAGAGACAAAACTGAAATTAAACGCCTTATGTTTTGCGTGTTACTTGTTTTGAAATTCTTATCTTAATAATTAAGTTTAATTAATTCTTAATCGTCGTACAAGTATCGACACATAATAAAACAATGCAATGTTACAATAAAATTATGACTAATGCCACACATATATCATAATATTTTCACGCTAATAATATTATATATATATTTATATGCTTTTTAAAAATGTTGCAGTTGTTAAAAACGTCAACAGGTTATATATCTGTCTTGCTTGCCAATCAAAATTAATAATGATATTAAGAACATTGCGTTCCAACAATTGCAATCGTTTAGTACAATTAATTATCAAATAATAAAATATGACAATTGAATTGCACATACATATATGCATACTCTTTGACAAAATATATGTGTATCTATTACTGATTGATTGTAAAAATAGAAATAATTAAGGAAATAAAGAACAGGAATTAACGAGGGTATTAAAAGTGTTTGAGTTCCTGACAAGTTTACAAACCTAAAGACAAACACGTATCACAATTTTATTAGTTATCACCACAAACTTAAAGACAAACTAGTACGAGACCACAATTATAACATTCGTTTACATACAGATTCATAGCAAGACTTATGGTCCCATTAATATTAAACTATTTTCATTGCGCTTATCATGTAAAAGTACTATCTCAAGCCATTCATGGTTTTCCATTATTTTCATCTCTATACAAGTGCCTTGTTTCCGTATATTTCTGGAATTAAAGAAGCAAGAAAGCGAAAGTGTCCTAGAAAACCATCAACTTTATCCTCCTCGTTGAACTGCCACACTTTAACTGTCCGCTGGAACTGATCATATGACTAAAGAATCATTAATAATGCAAAGGCTCTACACAACCGATGACAACTTGTTCTTCTTTCATTGGACTAACTTTTCCTCCGATATAAAAAATATCCACATACTCTACACATCTTACGCTTACCATAAAGTTCTCTTGGTCCCGTCCCTTTTTCGTAGTGTATTACCGAGCGAAAAAGTGTCAAAGAGAAAAAGCGCACATACTAATAAAAACGACCGATCCTTGATCACCATTACACGTTCTCACTGTCATAATTTATTCACTGACCCCTTTGTCTGACAAAATGCGTCAACAAGATGATAGTACCCCTCTTGCACGTCACGCACATTCTAGTTCCCGCAATATGTACGATAATACAATAGAACTTTTGTGTTTGAAGACTTACGTCTCAGGCATGCGTTGTAATAATCCTTCGTACAAGTCGGATAGTTCTTCATGGATGATAAGAGACAGTATTCGTTTGTCCCTGGACATGGAACGTTCGGACGGATATAATGGTGCCACTTTCAGCTATCAGTTCACAGTTTTTTTTAATTACATCGAATACCTTCCAATTAGAAATTACTATAATATATTTTATGTTTTATTTATTTCTTCTCCGGTAGATCTTAAAATGCACGTTTGTGTATCCATAAAATTTATCAATATAACTCGTTCGATGGAATTCAGCACTATAGCAATTAATGGCTAATTGATCCGTGCGATGTCACAGAAATTATTATAGAGATGTCTCTATTTTGTAAGACAAAAAATATGATCTTTTATTATATCGTTATTTTTAATTGGAACAATTTAATAATTACATTCGTGTGACTCATTTTCCTTTATTCCAATGTAAATAATATATTTTGGCTTTTATATGCAAACTGTATATTTAAGATCATTGTCAAAGAATAAAGTATGGCTCAAATAAAAGTTTTCGATGGTAGATTTAGAGTGGGCGATAGGTCTAAATCGGCTCATGTTGAAAATCATCGGTTTGTGGCCACCGGACAATCGAGATCCTCATGAGACATTAAAATCAAAAATTCGACTATTGTGCAGCATTATCACTTTACTTTTCATACTGGCAATACCATCTTTCCTATCATTGTTAAGAGTATGGGGCGACATAATACTAGTGGTAGACAACTTGATATACAGTCTACCTGTGTCGATTGCTATAATCAAAGTTTTCATCATTTGGTACAAACAAGAAGGTACATTTAACAGAATAGTATACTCCGAAAATTTGACTTAAAATTTGGCTTAATCACTCAATTAAAACCCGCAAAAGTATCATTCACGTATCAAAACACTAATTACTGCACATCAAAGATTTAGTGTCTTTGATTAAAATGATTGCGATAGACTGGATGAAACCAAAGATGAAAGAGGAACGGGACGTTATGCTAAAGTTCGCAAAGATCAGTCGTATAATCGCTATATGTGGATGTCTCCTGCCATTCATTCCAATGATAGTTTGTTTCGCTCTTATATATTTTGGACTGACTCTCAGACATGTGACGAATTTGACAGACTCTGGTAAACCTTTAATGGTACAAACATACTATTTACACAACGTTTCCAAGAGCCCGCAATTCGAATTGACGGTTGTGGCCCAAGGAGTTGCTTTGTTCATAACATGTGTCTCTTATTATGCAATCGACCATTTCCTCGGGCTATTAGTCTTGCATATATATGGCCAAATGGAGAACCTGCATACTCGATTGACACATATGGAGCGATATATTAACTTTGATTCAGTTTTGAAATACAATGTCCAGGATCACAACCGCTTAATCAGGTAGCTAAAATAAATTTTCGTGCTTATACGTTTAATTTGAAATTGTGCCAACAATTGTAAACCTTCATACAATTATATTATGTTTTATGAGTTAATAACTATTGCAGATCCATTGAAATTATCAACGATTCATTTGATCTAGTGCTACTTGTCATAATAATATATTTCGGCATAATATTCTGCCTACTAGGATTTCTCATAGTTAACGTAAGTAGATAATATTCTCTTACAAGATAATATTCTCTTGCAAGAAGACACGATTTACAAGATTCTTACACAAAATAGTTATCTATCGTTATCAACAGTTACCTTACTATACTGTTCACAGTAAATTATTATGTATACTTGTATTACAGTATTTACAGTAGTTGTGAACAATTTGCGCATTGTAGAACGTTACTTAACAATTTTGTTGACGATTTTCTCCCAGCGTTATATTAAGTGTATAAAATAATTCTTGGCCCTTACATTAAATCGACTACAGCATCTGTTCAAATTGAATTTTTTTCCCGCCTAACAGTCGTTTTAAAGCGCCATCTCTAGGCTTTAAAACGAGCTATAATAATTAATGGTACTATTGATATAACCTCAAAAAACAGCAGTAAAAGCAATGTCGTGCGAAAAGCCACACCTGAGGCACTGCCTCTTTTTCGGATTCCAACTTAAAAAATTGCTACAGAAGCACAAAAAATTATTTGTTCGGCCTTGAGCGAGAATACTGTGTCCTACAGCACGTGTAAAAAGTGGTTCCAGAAGTTCCAAGATAGAAATTTAGATCTCCAGGATGAAGAACGCCCTAGGCAACCACGAAAAATTGAAGATAAGGAATTAGAAGAATTACTCAACAAAAATCCTTGTTAAGCGCAAAAGGAGCTTGCTGAAGAACTGGGAGTCACTCAACCAGTTATTTCTATACATTTAAAGAAACTCGGAAAAGTACAGAAGAAAGGTCGTTGAATTCCTCACAACCTTATTCCTGAAAACAAAATTCGACATTGTGACACAACAATACCTCTGCTGTCACGATTTAAACAAAAGGACTGTGTGCATAAAATTGTGACTGGGGATGAAAAATGGGTATTGTATGACAACCCTAAGAGACAAAAGTCATAGGTTCATCCGGGTCAACCATCAACAAGCACTGCGAAACCAAACATTCACTTGAAAAAAATATTGTGTATTTGATGGGATTTTAAAGATGTTATTTATTATAAAATTCTCAAACCTAATGAAACTTCTAAACTTTAAACGTTACCAGGAGTAAATGATAAAATTAAGTGACGCGATTGACGAAAAGACTTTTTACCGGTAATGGAAATAGGCAGATGATTTTGTTGTACGACGACGCGCGGCCACGCACGAAGAAAGCGATGGAAATTATTTTCAACTTGGGTTGGAAAATTCTCTCTCATGCGGCATATTCTCCAGACTTCGCTCCTTCAGACTATTACCTTTTCCGGTCGCTACAGCATCACCTGGCCGATTCGCACTTTCGATCTCCCGAGAAAATCGAAAAAAGCATAGAGGACTTTATCCATATAGCACAAAAGATGCAGCAACATTGCCGCGATGTTGCTGCCACATTGCAATATTGTTGCAACGTTGCAGCAATGATGCTACAACTTTCTGTGCTGTATGAGTATTCGGTCCAAACCACCATCCTATGGTATTCAAAAGTTATCTGACAGATAGCGGAAATGCGTAGAAAGTGAGAGAGATTACCTTGAAGAGTAGGTAATTATTCGTTTTTTTTATAAATGAATATCAAAATTATGCCAAAAAAGCCGAGAATTATATTATACACCTAATATATGTTATGCAACGTGAGTTTCAGACGGTATAGAGTTAGAGTCTACACAATGGATCCATTTACTCGTTACAAGTTGTTATCTTCGAGACGATAGCTCGTAACGAATCAATTGACACAACCTGAACAAGTTGCAATTGTGACCATCTAGGTTCTTAATGACGACGGTCAAATGTCATTGATGCAATTAGGTTGGTACGTTGCAGCAACCATAACAATTTTGTTACATATGGGCCTTTACTGCGCCGTTGGCGAAACTCTTGTGACGCAAGTAAGAAAGTGTCTGTTAGTACTCGCTTTAATGCCAATGCAGATTTATCTACTTCTGTGATTAAATATAATTTCTTTAACACTTTATGCACAGTAATGAATATTCAATCATCATTGTAATGTTGCCAAAAACCAGTGTTACTTATATTATATTATATTAGGTTGTCTAAAAAGTATTAAGCCTTTGGAGATCAAAATTGAGAATACATTTATTGTTATTTGAAAATAACATTATGAAACCACATATACATCATTTTGTTCGATGACCTTTTTTTCCGGCAACACCATAATTCCATCGCTATAGAACTGCTGTGGTTTCTGGTCAAAAAATTGTGACACGTGGTTTTCACAGGCCTCTTTCGAAACTAACTTAACACCACTCAAGGAGTTCTGCAGATACCGAAACAAATAATAGTCTGACGGTGCCAGGCTATACAGTAGATGCATTAAAACCTCCCAGCCAAGTTCTCTCAATTTCTGACGGGTCGTTAAAGAAGTATGCGGTCTGATATTGTCAGCGTGGTATACGACACCCTTTCTATTGACCAGTTCTGGCCGTTTCTTTTGAATTGCTAGGTGCAATCGCGCTAATTGTCGACAGTATAGGTCCGAGTCTATCGTTCTGCCTGGCGGCAGCAGCTCGTGATGCACGTTGCCCTTCCAATCCCACCAAACACACAGCATAATCTTCCTGGGCGTCGGTGTGGGCTTTGCTACAGACTGTGGAGTTTCTCCTCGCTTCGACCACAATCTTTTTCGCAAATTGTTGTAGGTTATCCACTTTTCATCACTCGTGATCAACCGCTTTAGAAATGGCTCGATTTCGTTACGTTTCAGTAGAGATTCGCAAATAGAAATTCGATCGAGTAAATTTTTTTAAGTCAGATCATATGGCACCCAAACATCGAGCTTCTTTTTATAGCCAGCTCTCTCCAAATGGTTTAACACTGTTTGGTAATGTTTAGGTCACTGGCGATGTCGTGACTACTCACATGCCGGTCTTGCTCGACTTTTGCCAGAATATCATCCACTTCTTCTGTGATTGGTCTGCGAGGAGCATCTTGGACATCGAAATTTCCAGGACGAAAGCGACTGAATCATCTTTTGGCTGTTGCTTTTGATAACGTATCTTGCCCATAAACAGTACAAATTTCTTCACGGGCCTGCGCAGCATTTACGCCTTTATCGAAATAAAATTGTAAAATATAGCGCAGTTTTGCGGAAACTTCATTCATCTTTACGACACAATACGTCTGATTACGTCTGATTATAAGAATTCGAACACTTTTTGTACGTCTACTAGCTTCAACTATCAGCTATCAAAATGACATTAGGTCTAACCTGCTGCGACTCATATACCCTGAGATTTGGGACACTAACGCTATCTCGTGCGCAAAAAGCTCAGTACTTTTTAGACAATCTGATATATTTCGCTTAAATTTCTCAAAAAGTCTATATTATACATTACACCTAATATATTAGCAGTAAAGCACAATATACACTTTTTGAAAAATTTAAGCGAAATATATAAGTTATATTATATATAACAGCTGTTACATTTATCCACAGTGTAAAAAAATTCATCGTGCCACATACGACTACACGTGGTACACTTTAGATCCAAAAGCATCGAGGAACTTAATTTTAATAATGTTGCGTGCAAGCAAACCATTGTACATCACGGCTGGGAAAACATTTCCCATGACAATGGCAACGTTTTGTAACGTAAGTTAAAGAGACAAATCTAACGCGTTATTATGTTTGACGTGTCATTTTGAATTCTTGTCTTAATAATTAAGTCCAATTAATTCCTAATCGTCTTACAAAGTATCGTAATTTAATGAGAACAAAACAATATCACAACGATATTATAATAATGCCATACACGTATTACTATTTTATTCAGTGCACGCTAATAATTATGTAGCATACGAATGTATATTAAATTTAAAAATGTTGCAGTTGTTGAAAACATCAACAGGTTATATATCTGTATTGCTTGCCAAGCAAGATTAACAACAATATTAAGAACTCTGTGTTTAAATTTTAACAATTGTTTACTAAAATTTATTATCTAATAATAAAATGTGACAATTAAATTCCATATAAACATACACATATTTTTTGACAAAACATACATGTAATTATTACCAATTTATTGTAAAAATAGAAAAAAATTAAGAAAACAAAGAATAGGAATTAATAGGATATAAAAAAAGATTTTTGTGTTCTTGACACGATCATGAACCTAAAAATAAACTACTACAAGACTATAATATTACATTGTTTTACATACAAATACTGCGACCTATGGTACATCGGTTTTAGATCGATTTTAGACGGAACATAAGTGCCTAGTTTCCAAATTAAAGAAGCAGAAAAACGAAGAAAGCACCGTCCCAGAAAACCACCAACTTTATCCTTCTCCTTAAACTGCCGCAATTCAACTGCCCGCTGAAACTCATCACGCAACTAAAGAATCATTAATAATGCAAGGTCTCTACACAACCGATGACAACTTGTTCTTCTTCCATTGGACTAACTTTCCCCAGCTGTAAAAAATATCAATATGCTCCACACATCCCACATTTACCACAAATTTCTCTCCCGCCTTTCTCACGTAATGTATCGTCGTACAAAAATGTTGACACGTGTGATCCCAACCATATATGAATATGTGATACCAAAGAGAAAAGAAACAGACAGAAGCGACAGACCCTCGTTGATCATTACACGTTTTCACGATCATAACTTATTTATTTACCCCTTTGTCTGACAAAGTACGTCACCAAAATGATAGTACCTTCTGCAAGTCACGCACATTCTGGTTCCCGCAATATATACGATGATACGATAGAACTTTTACGTTTGGAGAATTACGTCTCAGGCATGCGTCATAATAATGCTACGTACAAGTGGGGCTACTCTTCATGGATGATAAGAAACAGAACTGGTTTAGCCCTGGACATGGAACGTTCGGTCGAATATAATGGTGCCACTTTCGGCTATTAATTCAGTTTTTTTTAATTAGATCGATTACCTTCCAATTTGAAATTACTATGTTTACTATTACTCATGTTTACTATTTACTATTACTACTAATACCAATTATCATTAGTATTATATTTTATGTTTTATTTATATCTTCTCGGACTGATATTAAAATGCTCATTTGTGTATCCACGTATAAACTTTATCAATATAACTTGTTCAATGGAATTCAGCACTATAGCAATTAATGGCTAATTGATTCGTGCAATGTCACAGAGACATCTCAATTTTGTAAGACAAAAAAGGACCTTTTATTACACCATTATTTTTAATTGGAATAATTTAATAATTACGTTCTCGTGACACTCATTTTCCTTTATACCAATATGAATAATATATTTTGGCATTTATATTCAAATTATATATTTAAGATTATTGTCAAAGAATAAAATGAGAATCAAGTGACAGTTTTCGATGATAGATTTAGAGTGGGCGATTGGTCTAAATCGACTTATGTTGAAACTCATCGGCTCGTGGCCACCGGATAATCGAGATCCTCATAAGACGTTAAAATCGAAAATTCGGCTACTGTGCAGCATTATCATTTTACTTTTCATACTGGCAATACCATCATTTCTATCATTGATAAGAGTATGGGGCGATATGATTCTAATGGTAGATAATTTAATATACAGCCTACCTGTGTCGATCGCTATACTAAAAGTTTGCATTATTTGGTACAAACAAGAAGGTACATTTAACAGAGTAGTATTCTCCGAGAATATGGTTTAATCTTACATTCAATTAAAACTTGCAAAAGTACCATTCAAGTATTAAAATACTAATTACTGCACATTCAAGATTTAGTGTCTCTGATTGACATGATCGCGACAGACTGGATGAAACCAAAGATGAAAGAGGAGCGGGACGTTATGCTAAGGCTCGCAAAGATCAGTCGTATGATCGCTATAGGTGGATGTTTCCTGCCATTCATTCCAATGATAGTTTGTTTCGCTCTTACATATTTTGGACTGACTCTCAGACACGTGACTAATCTGACAGACCTTGGTAAACCCTTGATGGTACAAACATACTATTTATACAACGTTTCCAAGAGTCCGCAGTTCGAATTGACGGTTTTCGCCCAAGGAATTGCTTTGTTCATAATGTGTATCTCTTTTTATGCGGTTGACCATTTCCTCGGGCTATTAGTCCTGCATGTATATGGCCAAATGGAGAACTTGCATATCCGATTGGCACGTATGGAGCGGTATGCTAACTTTGATTCAGTTTTGAAATATAATGTCCAGGATCACTGCCGCTTAATCAGGTACCTAAGATATATTTTTGAACTTGTACGTCTAATTGGAAATTGTGCGAATAACTGGTAACCTTCATACAATTACATTGCATTTTATGAGTCAATAACTGTTGCAGATCCATTGAAATCATCGACGATTCATTCGACCTGTTGCTACTTGTCATAGTAGTATATTTCGGCATAATATTCTGTCTATTAGGATTTCTTATAATTAACGTAAGTAGAAAATATTTCTGTACAAAAGTACATAATTAACAAGATCCTAATACAAACAATTATTAACAATTATCTCACTAAACTGTTAATAGTAAACCGTTACATATACCTGTGTATAATTTATAGTAGTTGTTAACAATTTGCGAGTTGTAGAACGTTACTTAACAATTTTGTTAGCGGTTTTCCCCTAATGTTATATATATATTATGTAACGTGGGTTTTAGACGATGTAAAATTAGAGTTTATGCAATAGACCCATTTACTCGTTACAAGCTGTTATCTTCGAGACGACAGCTCGTGACAAATCATTTGCCTGAACATCAACATATTCTTCTAACCTACATAAGTCAATCAACCTGTACAAATTGCAATTGTAACTATCTAGATTCTTAATGACAACGGTCAAATATCATTGATGCAATTAGGTTGGTTCGCTGTAGGAACCATAACAGTTTTGTTACATATGGGCCTTTACTGCGCCGTTGGCGAAACTCTCGTGATGCAAGTAAGAAAGTGCCCGTTAGTACTCGCTTTAATACCAATGCAGATTCGTTTACTTATAGGATCAAGTGTAATTTCTTTAATACCTTACGTATAGTAATAATGAGTGTTCAATCACTATTGTAATGTTACCAAAAACCGATGGTACTTATATATTACGCTTAAATTTCTCAAAAAGTGTATATTACGCATTATTCTTCATACATAATAGCTATTGTATTTGTCCAGTGTGAAAAGATTCATCGTGCCGCATACGATTACACATGGTACACTTTAGATCCAAAATCAGCGAGGAAATTGATTCTAATAATGCTGCGTGCAAGCAAACCACTGTACATCACGGCTGGGAAAACATTTCCCATGACGATGGCAACGTTTTGCAACGTAAGTTATAAGACACAAAACTGAAATTAACCACGTTATTATGTTTTACGTTTTACTTGTCTTGGAATTCTTGTCTTAATAATTAAATTTAATTAATTTTTAATTGTCTTGCAAAGTACCGACGCTTAATAAAAATAATGCAACGTCACAATAAAATTATGACTAATGTCAAACGCGTATTACAATTCACACAAATAATATTGCATATATATTTACATGTCTTTTAAAAAATGTTGCAGTTGTTGAAAACATCAACAGGTTATATATCTGTCTTGCTTGCCAATCAAGATTAGCAGCGACATTAAGATTTTTGTATTTAAATTTTGACAACAGTTTACTAAAATTAATTAAATAATGAAAGATGACAACTAAATTGCACATACACACGTACATATTCTTTGACAAAACATACATGTATTTATTACTAATTTATTGTAAAAAATAGGAGTAATTAGGAGAATAAAGAATCGAAGTTAATCAAGATACTAAAAAAAATTTGAATGTTTGACAAAGGTCATGAACCTAAAAACTAATTACTACAAGAATACAATATTACATTCTTTTACATACAAACTTATACCGAGACCTGTTGTTCCACCAATTTTAGACTATTTCTATTGTGCCTGTCATATAAAAGTTCTATCTCAAGCCATCCACGGTTTACGATTGTTTTCATCTCAATATAAGTGTCTCGATCCCATATAGTTTCCAAATTAAAGAAGCAGGAAAATGAAGTCGTCCTATAAAACCACCAACTTTATCCTCCTCCTTAAACTGCCGCATTTCAACTGCTCGCTGAAATGGATCATGCGACTAAAGAATCATTAATAATGCAAGCGCTTTACACAGTCGAAGACAACTTCCATTGTCCATCTTCCACTGGACTAACTTTCTTCATCTGTAAAAAATATCAACATGCTCCACATGTCCCACGCTTACCATAAAGTTCTCTTAGTCGCGCCTCGTTTTCATAATGTATCGTCGAGCATAAAAGTTTGCATATACGTGATGGCAAATTTTTATGAACGTGTAATACCAAAGAGAAAAAGAACACGAACTAATAAAAGCGACGAACTCTCAATGATCATTATTTGTTCTCACAACCCTAATTTATTTATTCACCGTTTTGTCTAACAAAGTACGTCAATAAGATGATAGCATTTTCTTTTGCACGTCACGCACATTCTGGTCCCCGCAATATTGGTATACGATAATACGATGGAACTTTCGCGTTTGGAAAATTAGATCTCAGGCATGCGTCGTACTAATGCTTCATACAAGACGGATCATTTTTCATGGATGATAAAAGACAATACCCATTTGGCCGTGGACATGGAACGTACAGACGGATATAATGGTGCCACTTTCGGCTAGCAATCCACAGTTTTTTTACACTAATTACCTTCCAATTTGAAATTATTATGTTATATTTTATATTTTATTTATTTCTTCTCCGATCGATCTTAAAATGCTCGTTTGTGAATCCGCATATGGACTTTATCGATATAAGTCGTTCGATGAAAATTAAGTTCAACCGTAATTAATAGCTAATTGATTCGTGCGATATCATCAAAAAAATTATACAAATATCCCAATTTTGCTAGAGGAAATGATCTTTTATTACTTCATTATTTTTAATCGGAAGAACATAACATTTACGTTCGTGTGATCCATTTTCCTTTTTTCCAATGTGAATAATATATTACAGTTCTTATATTCAAACTGTACATATAAGATTAGCGTTAAAAAATAAAGTGTAGCTCAAATGAAAGTTTTTGATGATAGATTTAGAGTGGGCAATTGGTCTAAATCGGCTCGTGTTGAAAATCATCGGATTATGGCCATCGGATAATCGAGGTTCTCATATGACCATGAAATCGAAAATTCAGCTATTGTGCAGCGTTATCATGTTACTTTTCGTACTGGCAATACCATCTTTTTTATCACTGATAAGAGTATGGGGCGACATGACTCTAGTGGTAGATAATTTGATATACAGCCTACCGGTGTCGATCGCTATATTAAAAGTTTGTATTCTTTGGTACAAACAAGAAGGTACATTTAACAGAATAGTATTCTCCGAGAATATGGTTTAATCTTTCACTCAATTAAAACTTGCGAAAGTAATATTCAAGTATCGAAAACACTAATTATTGCACATTCAAGATTTAGTGCTTCTGATTGATATGATCGCGACGGACTGGATGAAACCAAAGATGAAAGAAGAACGGGACGTTATGCTAAGGCTCGCAAAAATCAGTCGTATGGTCGCTATATATGGATGGCTCCCGCCGTTCATTTCAGGAATAATTTATTTCACCCCTACGTGTTTTGGACGGACTATCAGACACATTACAAATTTGACAGATCCTGGAAAACCGTTGATGGTACAAGCATACTATTTACACGACGTTTCCAAGAGCCCGCAATTCGAACTGACGCTTTTGGCCCAAGGAATTGCTCTTTTTATCACGGGTATCTCTTATTATGCGATCGACCACTTTTTCGGATTATTAGTCTTGCATGTATATGGCCAAATGGAGAATCTGCATATCCGATTGACACATATGGAGCGATATACTAACTTTGATTCAGTTTTGAAATATAATGTTCAGGATCACAGCCGCTTAATGAGGTACCTAAGATACATCTTCGTGCTTGTACGTCTGATTGGAAATTGTGCGGGTTATTGTAAACCCTCATACAATTAAAATGTATTTTATAAGTTCGTAACTGTTGCAGATTCATTGAAATCATCGACGATTCATTCGACCTGTTACTACTTGTCATAATACTATATTTTGGCATAATATTCTGTCTACTGGGATTTGTCATAATTAACGTAAGTAGAAAATATGGCAAGAGTGCACGATTTACAAAATCTTACAAATAATTATCTGTCATTATCAACAATTGTCTTACTAAACTGTAAATAGTTACATATATTTGTGCATAATTAACAGTAGTTACGAACAATTTGCGCACTATAGAATGTTACTTAACAATTTTGTAGGCAATTTTCTTCCAGCATCATACACATGTTATGTAACGTGTGATAACGTTCAGTCGATATAGAGTTAAGCGGGAAGCACACACTCTTACATAAAGACATGATGCACAACGCATAAGGAAATGGACCAATCAGAGTCTTTCATCTCAAGTGTGGCAATAGAAATGAGGATTCTGATTGGTTTATTTCCTCATGCGTTATGCATTATGCCTTTATGTAAGAGTGTGTGCTTCCCGCTTTAGAGTCTACAATAGATCCATTTATTTGTTACAAGTTGTTATCTTCGAGATGACAGTTCGTAACGAATCATTTGCCTTTTCATCAACCTGAACACGTTGCAATTATGACTATCTAGATTCTTAATGAGGATGGTCAATTGTCATTTATGCAAATAGTTTGGTTCGTTGGAGCAACCATATCATTTTTGTTGCACATGTACCTTTACTGCGTCGTTGGCGAAACTCTCGTGACGCAAGTAAGAAAGTGCCCTTTGATTCTCGTTTTAACACCAATGCAGATTCATCTATTTTTATGATCAAGTATAATTTCCTTAACTGCTTTTGTAAAGTAATAAATACTCAATCACCATTGTAATGTTGCCAAAAACCAACCTTACTTATATATCTCGCTTAAAATAAGAAAAAAATGGATATTATGTATTACTCCTTATATATAATAGCATTGCACTTGTTCAGTGTGAAAAGATTCACCGTGCCGCATACGAATATACGTGGTACACTTTAGATCCAAAAGCAGCGAGGAACTTAATTCTAATAATGCTGCGTGCAAGCAAACCAATGTACATCACGGCTGGGAAAACATTTCCTATGACGATGGCAACGTTTTGCAATGTAAGTTACACGAAAGCAAAGTGTTACTATATTTTACGCATTACTCGGAATTCTTAATAATTATATCTTAATCAATCTTAAACTTAATCAATTTCTAATCGTCTTACAAAGTATCGACACTTAATAAAAAGAATGTCATACTACAATAAAATTATGATTAATGCCAAACACATATCATAATCTTATTCACGCATCATATCAAAAGTACATTTATATGCCTTTTAAAACTGTTGCAGTTGTTGAAAACATCAACAGGTTATATATCAGTCTTGCTTGCCAATCAAGATCAACGGTGGTAATAAGAACTTTATGTTCAAACTTTAGCGAATGTTTAGTCAAATTAATTATCATATAATGATATATGACAATTGAATTGCACATACACACATACATATTCTTCGACAAAACATACATGTATTTATTACTAACTTATTGTAAAAATAGAAAAAATTAAGAAAATAAAGTAAGGAACGTAATCAGGATATCACAAGAGATTGAGTTCTTGACAAGGTCACGAACCTAAAGACAAACTAGTACGAAGCTACAATGTAAGTATTACATTTTTTTATAAATAGATTTATATGAAGATCTGTTGTTTCATCGCTTTTAGACTATTTCCAATGTCCCTGTCGTATAAAAGTTCTATCTCAATCCATTCATGGTTTACGATTATTTTCATCTCAATATAAATGTCCCGCTCCAGAATAGTTTTCAAATTAAAGAAGCAGGAAAACGAAGTTGTCTTAGAAAACCATCAACTTCATCCTTTTTCTCAAACTGCCTGAATTCAACTGCCCTCTGAAACTGATCATGCGACTAAAGAATCATTAATAATGCAAGAGCTCTACACAACCGATCACAACTTGTACGTCTTCCACTGGACTAACTTTCCTCAGTTGTAAAAAATATCAACAAACTACACACCTTCCACACTTACTACAAAGTTCTCTTAACGCCGTTCCTTTTTCGCAATGTATGGTCGAGCGAAAAACTTTGCACACACGTGATCGTAACCATAAATATATGTGAGATACTAAAGAGGAAAAGAACACGAACTAATAAAAGTGATAAACCTTCTATGACCAATTTATGTGTGCAGGACTTATTTATCCACCACTTTGCCTAACAAAGTGCGTCAACAAGATGATACCTCCTCTTGCACGTCACGCACATTCTGATTCCTACAATATGTATGATAATGCAATAGAACTTTTGGAGACTTACATCTCAGGCATACGTTGCAATAATGCTTCGTACAAGTCGGATCGTTTTTCATGGATGATAAAAGACAGTACCCATTTGGCCGTGGACATGGAACGTACAGACGAATATAATGGTGCCACTTTCGGCTAGCAATCCAGTTTTTTTACACTAATTACCTTCCAATTTGAAATTACTATATTATATTTTATATTTTATTTATTTCTTCTCCGATCGATCTTAAAATGCACGTCTGTCATACCGCGTATTATCAATACAACTCGTTCGAAGGAATTGAGCACTATAGAAATTAATTCGTGCGATATCACAGAAATTATTATAGAGACATTTCAATTTTGTAAAACGAAATGATCCTTTATTATTTCAAATTTTCCAATTGGAAAAATTTAATAATTACATGCGTGTAACCCATTTCTATTTATTCCAATATAAATAACATATTTTGGTTTTTATATTAAAACTGTGTTTGAGATTATTATTAAAGAATAAAGTGAAACTCAAGTGAAAGTTTTTGATGATAGATTTAAAGTGGGCGATTGGTCTAAATCGGTTCATGCTGAAAATCATCGGATTGTGGCCACCGGACAATCGGGATCCTCATGTCACCATAAAATCGAAAATTCGGCTACTGTGCAGCATTATCATAATGCTTTTCATACTGACAATACCAACTTTTGCGTCGCTAATAAAAATATGGGGCAACATGATGCTAATGATAGATAATTTGATATACAGCCTCTCACTGTTGATTGCTCTATTCAAAGTTTTCATTATTTGGTACAAACAAGAAGGTATATTTAACAGAACAATATACTCCGAGGTTTCTGCTTAATTTTTTGCCCAATTACTCGAACTCGCAAAAGTATCATTTATATATCTAAACATTAATTACACATTAAAGATTTAGTGCTTCTGATTGATATGATCGCGATAGACTGGATGAAACCAAAGATAAAAGAGGAGCGGGATATTATGTTAAAGCTTACAAATATCAGTCGTATGATTGCTATATATGGATGGTTCCTGCCGTTCATTTCAACAATGATTTGTATCACCCTTCCATGTTTTGGACGGACTATCAGATACGTAACAAATTTGACAGACCCTGGAAAACCGATGATGGTACAAACATACTATTTACACGACGTTTCCAAGAGCCCGCAGTTTGAATTGACGCTTTTGGCCCAAGGAATTGCTCTGTGCACAACGTGTATCTCTTATTATTCGATCGACCATTTCCTCGGACTATTAGTCTTGCATGTATATGGCCAAATGGAAAATCTGCATATCCGACTGACACATATGGAGCGATATACGAACTTTGATTCAGTTTTGAAATACAATGTCCAAGATCACAGCCGCTTAATTAGGTAGCTAAGATACATCTTCGTGCTTATACGTCTAATTTGAAAATTATGCAAAAAATCATAAATCTTCATACAATTACATTGTATTTTATATGTCAATAACTGTTGCAGATCCATTCAAATCATCGACGACTCATTCGATTTGTTATTGATTGCCATAGTATTATATTTCGATATAATATTCTGCCTACTAGGATTTTTCATAATTAACGTAAGTAGAAAATATTTCTGTACAAGCGTACACAATTAACGAGATTCTTACACGAGCTATTATCAGCCGCTGTCAACAGTTATCTTACTATTCTGTTAACAGTAAATCATTACGTATTCTTATTCATAATTTACAGTAGTGTGGGCAATTTGCGCTATAGAACGTTACTTAATAATTTTGTTGGCAATTTTCTACCAGCAACATATTATACATATGTTATGTAGCATAAGCTTCAGACGGTATAAAGTTAGAGTCTACACAATGGATCCATTTACTCGTTACAAGTTGTTATCCTCGAGACGACAGCGTAATGAATAATTTGTTTGATCATCAACCTGAATCAAACGACCAAAATATGTTGCAATTGTGACTATCTAGGTTCTTAATGACGACGGCCAATTGCCATTGATGCAATTAGTTTGCGTCGTTGGAGCCATCATATCCGTTTTGTTGCATATGTGTCTTTACTGCGTCGTTGGCGAAATTCTGGTTACGCAAGTAAGAAAGTGCCCGTTAATATTCGCGTTAATGTCATTATAGATTGTACTTCTACGGTCGAATATAATATCTTCAACACCTTATATATAGTAATGCGTATTCACTATAGGAATATAAACCAACCTTATTTATATATTTCGCTTAAATATTTCAAGAAATGAATAATACGCATTATTCTTCATATATAATAGCTATTTCTTTTATCCAGTGTGAAAAGATTCATCGTGCCGCATACGAATATGCGTGGTACACTTTAGATCCAAAAGCAGCGAGGAGCCTAATTTTAATAATGTTGCGCGCAAGCAAACCACTGTATATCACGGCTGGGAAGACATTTCCCATGACGATGGCAACGTTTTGCAACGTAAGTTATGCGAGACTAAAGTGATAAGTTATAATGTTTTGCGTGTTACATGGAATTCTTATCTTAAAGGTTACATTCAATTAATTACTAATCGTCTTATAAAGTATCGACATTTAATAAGAACAATGCAATGCTATAATAAAATTATGACTCGTATCAAATACGTATCACAATTTATTCACGTTAATAATATTGGATATTTATATTCCTTTTAAAACTGTTGCAGTTGTTGAAAACATCAGCAGGTTATATATCAGTCTTGCTTGCCAATCAAGATTAACGGTGATAATAAGAACCTTATGTTCAAACTTTAACAGTCGTTTACTAAAATAATTCTCAAATAATGAAATATCGCAAGTGAATTGCACATACATACATAGATATTCTTTGATAAAATATATATGTATTTATTATTGATTTATTATAAAAATAAAAAAATTAAGAAAATGAAGAACCACGATTAATCAAGATATCAAAAGAGCTTGAATTCTTGACACAAACCTAAAGAAAAACTACTACGAAACTACAGTATAACATTCTTTTATATACAAATTTATATTAAGACCTGTTGTCTCATCAGATTTAGATTATTTTCAATGTGCTTATCGTATAAAAGTTATATCTCAATTCATTCATGGCTTTACGATTGTTCTTATCTCAATATAAATGTCCCGTCCCAGCATAGTTTCCAAATTAAAGAAGCAGGAAAATGAAGTCGTCCTATAAAACTATCAACTTTTATCCTTCTCCTCAAACTGCCTGAATTCAACTGCCGGCTGGAACTGATCGTGCGACTAAAGAATCATTAATAATGCAAGGCCTCTACACAACTCTATCACAACTTTTTCATCCATTGGACTAACTTTCCTCAGTTGTAAAAAACATCCACAAACTTTACATGTCCCTTACCATAAAGTTCATTTAGTCCCGCACCTTTTTCGCAATATATCGTTGAAAGAGAAAGTCTATATGTACGTGATCGCAAACATATATGAACGTGTAATGCCAATTCTATGACCATTACACGTTTTTACGATCATAAATTATTTATCCACGCTTTTGTCGAACAAAGTACGTCAACAAGGTGATAGTACATCTTCTTGGACGTAACGAATATTTTAATTCCCACAATATACACGATAATATAATAGAACTTTTGCGTTTGGAGAATTATGTCTTATATATGCTTCGTACAAGTCAAATAGTCCTTCGTGGATAACATGAGACAGTACACATTTGGCCCTGGACATGGAACATTCAACCGGATACAATGGTGGCACTTTCGACTATCAAGTTTTTAATTACGTCGATTACCTTCAAATTTAAAATTACTATGTTATATGGCATATTTTATTTATTTCTTCTTCGGTATATATAATGCACGTTTGTAATATCGTGTTTGGATTTTGTCAATATACTCGTTCGATGGAATTAATGGCTAACTGTTTTGTGCAATATCGCAGAAATTATTATAGAGACACTTTAATTTGATAAGAAAGTGATTTTTTATTATTCCATTATTTTTAATTCGAAAAGTATGGCATTTACATTCGTGACCCATTGTCCTTTATTCTGATATAGATAACATATTTTTGTATTTATATTGAAAGTGTACATTTAAGATTATCGTTAAAGAATAAAATGAGGCTTAAGTGAAAGTTTTTGATGATAGATTTCGAGTGGGCGATTGGTCTAAATCGGCTCATGTTGAAAATCATCGGACTGTGGCCACCGGACAGTCGAGATCCTCATGAGACTATAAAATCGAAATTTCGGCTATTGTGCAGCATTATCATAATACTTTTCATACTGACAATACCAACTTTTGCGTCGCTAATAAAAATATGGGGCAACATGATGCTAATGATAGATAATTTGATATACAGCCTCTCTCTGTTGATTGCTCTATTCAAAGTTTTCATTATTTGGTACAAACAAGAAGGTATATTTAACAGAACAGTATACTCCGAGATTTCTGCTTAATTTTTTGCCCAATTACTCGAACTCGCAAAAGTATCATTCACATATCTAAACGTTAATTACTACACATTAAAGATTTAGTGCTTCTGATTGATATGATCGCGATAGACTGGATGAAACCAAAGATAAAAGAGGAGCGGGATGTTATGTTAAAGCTTACAAACATCAGTCGTATGATCGCTATATATGGATGGCTACTGCCGTTCATTGTAACAATGATTTGTATCACCCTTCCATGTTTTGGACGGACTATCAGATACATAACAAATTTGACAGACCCTGGAAAACCGATGATGGTACAAACGTACTATTTACACGGCGTTTCCAAGAGCCCGCAGTTCGAATTGACGCTTTTGGCCCAAGGAATTGCTCTGTGCACAACGTGTATCGCTTATTATTCGATCGACCATTTCCTCGGATTATTAGTCTTGCACGTATATGGCCAAATGGAGAATCTGCATATCCGACTGACACATATGGAGCGATATACGAACTTTGATTCAGTTTTGAAATACAACGTCCAAGATCACAGCCGCTTAATCAGGTAGCGAAGATAGATCTTCTTGCTTATACGTCTAATTTGAAAATTGTACAAATAATCGTAAATCTCCGTACAATTACATTGTATTTTATATGTCAATAACTGTTGCAGATCCATTCAAATCATCGACGACTCATTTGATTTGTTACTGATTGCCATAATATTATATTTCGATATAATATTCTGCCTACTAGGATTTTTCATAATTAACGTAAGTAGAAAATATTTCTGTACAAGAGTACACAATTAACGAGATTCTTACACGAGCTATTATCAGCCGCTGTCAACAGTTATCTTACTATTCTGTTAACAGTAAATCATTACGTATTCTTATTCATGATTTACAGTAGTTGTGGGCAATTCGCGCACTACATAACGTTACTTAACAATTTTGTTGACAATTTTCTACCAGCAACATATTATACATATGTTATGTCGCATAAGCTTCAGACGGTATAAAGTTAGAGTCTACACAATGGATCCATTTACTCGTTACAAGTTGTTATCCTCGAAACGACAGCTCGTAATGAATAATTTGTTTGATCATCAACCTGAATCAAACGACCAAAATATGTTGCAATTGTGACTATCTAGGTTCTTAATGACGACGGCCAATTACCATTTATGCAATTAGTTTGTGTCGTTGGAACTATCATATCCGTTTTGTTGCATATGTGTCTTTACTGCGTCGTTGGCGAAATTCTCGTTACGCAAGTAAGAAAGTGCCTATTAATATTCGCGTTAATGTCATTGTAGATTGTACTTCTACGGTCGAATATAATATCTTTAACACCTTATGTACCTTATGTACAGTAATGCGTATTCACTATAGGAATATAAACCAACCTAATTTATATATTTCGCTTAAATATTTCAAAAAATTGATATTATGCATTATTCTTCATATATAATAGCTATTTCTTTTATCTAGTGTGAAAAGATTCATCGTGCCGCATACGAATATGCATGGTACACTTTAGATCCAAAAGCAGCGAGGAACTTAATTTTAATAATGTTGCGCGCAAGCAAACCACTGTATATCACGGCTGGGAAGACATTTCCCATGACGATGGCAACGTTTTGCAACGTAAGTTATGCGAGACTAAAGTGATAAGTTATAATGTTTTGCGTGTTACATGGAATTCTTATCTTAAAGGTTACATTCAATTAATTACTAATCGTCTTATAAAGTATCGACATTTAATAAGAACAATGCAATGCTATAATAAAATTATGACTCATATCAAATCACGTATCACAATTTATTCACGTTAATAACATTGCATATATATTTATATTCCTTTTAAAACTGTTGCAGTTGTTGAAAACATCAGCAGGTTATATATCAGTCTTGCTTGCCAATCAAGATTAACGGTGATGATAAGAACCTTGTGTTCAAACTTTAACAGTCGTTTACTAAAATAATTCTCAAATAATGAAATATCACAAGTAAATTGCACATACATATATAGATATTCTTTGACAAAATATATATGTATTTATTATTGATTTATTATAAAAATAAAAGAATTAAGAAAATGGAGAACCACGATTAATCAAGATATCAAAAGAGCTTGAATTCTTGACACAAACCTAAAGAAAAACTACTACGAAACTACAGTATAACATTCTTTTATATACAAATTTATATTAAGACCTGTTGTCTCATCAGATTTAGATTATTTTCAATGTGCTTATCGTATAAAAGTTATATCTCAATTCATTCATGGCTTTACGATTGTTCTTATCTCAATATAATTGTCCGTCCCAGCATAGTTTCCAAATTAAAGAAGCAGGAAAATGAAGTCATCCTATAAAACTATCAACTTTTATCCTTCTCTAACTGCCTGAATTCAATTGCCGGCTGAAACTGATCATGCGACTAAAGAATCATTAATAATGCAAGGGCTCTACACAACCGATCACAACTTGTTCTTCTTCCACTGGACAAACTTCCCTCAGTTGTAAAAAATTCCACAAACTTCACATGTCCCTTACCGTAAAAGCTCTTTTAGTCCCGCCACTTTTTCGCAATCTATCATTGAGTGAGAAAGTTTATATGTGCGTGATCGTCAGCATATATGAACGCGTGATGCCGAAAGAAAAAAGAACACGAACTAATAAAACCGATGGACCTTCTATAACCATTACACATTTTCACGATCATACTTTATTTACCCATACTTTTGTCTAACAAAGTACGTCAACAAGATGATAGTACATCCTCTTGGACGTCACGCACATTTTGATTCCCACAATATATACGATAATGTAATAGAACTTTTGCGTTCGGAGAATTACGTCTTAGGCATGCATCGTAATAATGCTTCGTGCAAGCTTCGGATCGCTCTTTATGGCTGATAAGAGGCAGTACCCATTTGGCCATGGACATGGAACATTCAACTGGATACAATGGTGGAATTTTCGGCTACCAATCCACTGTTTTTAATTATGTCGATTACCTTCCAATTTGAAATTATTATGTTTATGTATTACTATGTATTACAATATATTATTTTATGTTGTATTTATTTCTTCTCCGATTGATTTTAAAATGCACGTTTGTTATTCCGTATGAATGTTATCAACACAACTCGTTCGATGGAATTGTGCACTACAAAAATTAATTGATTCGTGCAATATCACAGAAATTCTAATAGACATCTCAATTTTGTATGACGAAATAATCTCTTATTATTTCGTTATTTCATTATTATTTCATTATTTGTAATTGAAAAATTTAATAATTATGTTCGTATAACCCATTTTTTCTTGATTCCAATATGAATAATACATTTTAGTTCTTGTATTCAAAATTATTATTAACTACGTATATTTAAAATTATTATTAAAGCATAAAGTGAAACTCAAGTGAAAGTTTTGATGATAGATTTAGAATGGGCGATTGGTCTAAATCGGCTCATGTTGAAAATCATCGGATTATGGCCACCGGATAATCAAGACCCCCATGTAACGATAAAATCAAAAATTCGGCTAATGTGCAGCATTATCATAATGCTGTTTATACTGGCAATACCAACTTTTGCATCACTGATAAAAGTATGGGGAGATATGATTCTAATAGTAGATAATTTTATATACAGTCTAACTCTGGTGATTGCTCTATTCAAAGTCACCATGATTTGGTACAAACAAAAAGGTATATTTAACAAAATATTATGCTCCGAGAATTCTGCTTAATTTTTTGCCCAATTACTCGAACTCGCAAAAGTATCATTCACATATCAAAACTAATTACTGCACATTAAAGATTTAGTGCCTCTAATTGACATGATCGCGACAGACTGGATGAAACCAAAGACGAAAGAAGAAAGACACACCATGCTAAGAGTCGCAAAAATCAGTCGCATTATCGCAATATATGGATGGCTGCTGCCAATTATTTCAGTGATAGTTTGTTTTACTCTTGCATATTTTGGACTGAGTCTCAGACACGTGACGAATCTGACAGATCCTGGTAAACCCTTGGTGGTACAAACATATTACTTGCATGACGTTTCCAAGAGTCCGCAGTTCGAGATGACACTTTTGGCCCAAGGAATTGCTCTGTGCACAACGTGTATCTCTTATTATTCGATCGACCATTTCCTCGGACTATTAGTCTTGCACGTATATGGCCAAATGGAGAATTTGCATATTCGACTGACACATATGGAGCGATATACTAACTTTGACTCAGTTTTGAAATATAATGTCCAGGATCACAGCCGCTTAATCAGGTAGCGAAGATAGATCTTCTTGCTTATACGTCTAATTTGAAAATTGTGCGAATAATCGTAAATCTTCATACAATTACATTGTATTTTATGTGTCGGTAACTGTTGCAGATCCATTCAAATCATCGACGACTCATTCGATTTATTACTGATTGCCATAGTATTATATTTCGGTATAATATTCTGCTTACTAGGATTTTTCATAATTAATGTAAGTAGAAAATATTTCTATACAAGAGTACACAATTAACGAGATTCTTACATGAGCTATTATCAGCCGCTGTCAACAATTATCTTACTATGCTGTTAACAGTAAATCATTACATATACTTATTCATAATTTACAGTAATTATGGACAATTATGGACACTACATAACGTTACTTAACAATTTTGTTAGCAATTTTCTACCAGCAACGTATTATACATATGTTATGTCATATAAGCTTCAGACGATATAAAATTAGAGTCTACACAATGGACCCATTTACTCGTTACAAGTTGTTATCCTCGAGATGATAGCTCGTAACGAATCATTTATCTGATCATCAACCTGAATCAAACAACCAAAACATGTTGCAATTATGACTATATAGGTTCTTAATGATGACAGCCAATTGTCATTTATGCAATTAATTTGGTTTGGTGGAGCCGCCATATCCATTTTATTGCATATGTGCCTTTACTGCGCCGTTGGCGAAACTCTTGTGACGCAAGTAAAAAAATGCCCGTTAATACTTACGTTAATGCGATTGCGAATTCATCTACTTCTATGATCATAAAAATTTCTTAACACCTTGTGTATAGTAATGAGTATTCAATCACCATTGTAATGTTGTCAAATCCGACCTTGCTTATATATTTCGCTAAAGTTTTTCAAAAAGTGAATATTATGCATTATTCCTCATATGTAATGGATAATTGTATTTGTCCAGTGTGAAAAGATTCATCGTGCCGCATACGCATATGCGTGGTACACTTTAGATCCAAAAGCAGCGAGGAGCTTAATTTTAATAATGTTGCGCGCAAGCAAACCACTGTACATCACGGCTGGGAAGACATTTCCCATGACGATGGCAACGTTTTGCAACGTAAGTTATGCGAGACCAACGTGATAAGTTATCATGTTTTACGTGATATTTGGAATTCTTATCTTAGTGATTAAATTTAATTAATTACTAATTGTCTTACAAAGTATCGACATTTAATAAAAACAATGCAATGCTGCAATAAAATTGTCACTAATATTAAACACGTATCACAATTTTTTCACGCTAATAATATTATATATATATATTTGTATTCCTTTTAAAACTGTTACAGTTGTTGAAAACATCTGCAGGTTATATATCAGTCTTGCTTGCGAATCAAGATTAACAGTGATAATAAAAATTTTGTATTCAAATTCAACAATCATTTACTAAAATGATTATCAAATAATTAAATATGACAATTTATTTGCACATACATATATACATATTCTTTATCAAAATATACATGTATTTATTATTGACTTATTATAAAAATAGAAATAATTAAGAAAATAAAGTACAAGAATTAATGACAGGATATAAAAAAAAAAGATTGTGTTCTTGACAAGTGATAGATCACGAACCAGACGAAAAACTATTATGAAATTATAGTATTACATTCTATCATATACAGATTTATATAAAGACCAGTTGTTCCCTCAGTATTATATTATTTCCATTGTGCCTATCGTATAAAATTTTTTCATCTCAGAATTTTTGTACATTCGTGCTTTACGATTGTTTTCATCGCGATATAAATGTCTTATTTCCGCACAGTTTTCAAATTAAAGAAGCAGAAAAAGGAAGTTGTCATAGAAAACCACCAACTTTATCTTCCTCCTTAAACTGCCGCAATTCAACTGCCCGCGAGAACTGATCATGCGACTAAAGAATGATTAATAATGCAAGAGCTCTACACAACCGATGATAACTTGTTCTCCTTCCATTGGACTAACTTTTCCCCAAATGTAAAAAATATCCACATACTCCATATTTCTCACGCTTACCATAAAGTTCTCTTAGTGCCGTCCCTTTTTCGCAATGTATCGTTGAGTAAAAAAGTTTACATATACGTGATCACAACTATAAATGAATGTTGTGATGCTAAAGAGAAAAAGAACACGAACTAATAAAAGCGATGGACTTTCTGCGACCATTATACATTTTCATGATCATAATTTATTTACTCACCACTTTGCCTAACAAAGTACATCAACAAGATGAGAATGCATGCTCTTGCACGTCACACACATTTTGGTTCTCACAATATGTACGATAATGCAATAGAACTTTTGCGTTTGGAGAATTATGTCTTAGATATGCTTCGTACAAGTCAGATCGTCCTTCATGGATGATAAGAGACAGTACTCCTTTGGCCTTGGACATGGAACATTCAACCGGATACAATGGTGACACTTTCGGCTATCAATCCACAGTTTTTAATTTACGTCGATTACCTTCCAATTTAAAATTACTATGTTATATTTTATGTTTCATTTATTTCTTCTTCGATTGATCTGAAATGCACGTTTGTATAATTTCATGTATGAATTTTATCAATATAACTCGTTCGATGGAATTAAGCACAATAGGAATTAATGGCTAATTGTTTCATGCCCATATCACAGAAATTATTATAGAGACATCTCTTTTACAGATAAAGTGATTTTCTATTATTTTATTATTTTTAATTGGTAAAATATGGCATTTATGTTCGTGTGATCCATTTTCCTTTATTTCGATATGAATAACATATTTTCATATTTATATTGAAACTGTACATTTAAGATTATCGTTAGAGAATATTGTTAAAGAATAAAACGAGATTCAAGTGAAAGTTTTTGATGATAGATTTGGAGTGGGCGATTGGTCTAAATCGGCTCATGTTGAAAATCATCGGATTGTGGCCACCGGACAATCGAGATCCTCATGAGACCATAAAATCGAAATTTCGGCTATTGTGCAGCATTATCATAATGCTTTTCATACTGACAATACCAACTTTTGCATCGCTAATAAAAATATGGGGCAACATGATGCTAATGATAGATAATTTGATATACAGTCTAACCCTGCTCATTGCTCTATACAAAGTTTTTATTATAAGGTACAAACAAAAAGGTACATTTAACAGAATTTAATATACTCCGAGTATTTTGCTTAACCTTTCGCTCAATTATTCGAACTCTCGAAAGTATCATTGAAAACATTAATTATTGCACATTAAAGATTTAGCGCCTCTAATTGATATGATCGCGACAGACTGGATGAAACCAAAGATAAAAGAGGAGAGGAACGTTATGCTAAGGCTTGCAAAGATCAGTCGTATAATCGCTATATGTGGATGTCTCCTGCCATTCATTCCAATGATAGTTTGTTTCACTCTTATATATTTTGAACTGACTCTCAGACACGTGACGAATCTGACAGACTCTGGTAAACCTTTGATGGTACAAACATATTATTTACACAACGTTTCCAAAAGCCCGCAGTTCGAATTGACGGTTGTGGCCCAAGGAGTTGCTTTGTTCATAACATGTGTCTCCTATTATGCAATCGACCATTTTCTCGGGCTATTAGTCTTGCACATATATGGCCAGATGGAGAACCTGCATATCCGATTGACACATATGGAACGATATACAAACTTTGATTCAGTTTTTAAATACAATGTCCAGGATCACATCCGCTTAATCAGGTACACAAAATCATCAAGGCTATATGTATAATTGGAAATTGTGTAAACAATGGCAAACTTTCGTATAGTGTAAAATTACAATGTATTTTAAGAGTTAATAATTATTATAGATCCATCGAAATCATCAACGATTCATTCTATTTGTTGCTACTTGGCATGATATTACATTTCAGCATAATATTCTGCCTACTAGGATTCCTCATAGTTGACGTGAGTAGAAAATACTTATGTACAATAGTACACGATTAACCAGATACTTACACAAACAATTATCAGCAGTTATCTACAATTATCTTACTAAATGGTTATCAATAAATCATTAAATTCACTTCTGGGTAATTTACAGTATTGTAAGCAATTTGCATGGTACATGTCGTTATTAAATAATTTTGTTGACAATTTTTTTCCAGCATCATACATATTTTATGTAACGTGAGTTTCAGACACAGTATAGAGTTAGAGTCTACACAATGAACCCATTTACTCGTTACAAATTGTTATTATCGAAACGACATCTCGTAACCAATCACTTGACTCGACCAGTACAATTTGTAATTGTGACCTTAGTAATTGTGAATTTAGATTCTTAATGACGAGGGCCAATTGTCACTTATGCAATTAGTTTGGTTTGCTGCAATGACAATATTCGTTATGTTGCACATGTGCCTTTATTTGCTGGTGGCAATATTCGTTATGTTGCACATGTGCTGTAGTGCGAAATTCTGTACCAAGTAAGTGCAACCGTAAGAAAGTACCCGTTAATACTTGCTTTAACGCTAATGCAAATTCGTCTTATATGATTAAATATAAATTTCTTAACATCTTACAAGTGAGTAAAATTGTCAGATAATTCCCTTTGATTGCTTTAACAATGCAGATGGCAATTTATCCATGGCAGATTATCAAATGTTACTTTACGTATAATGTTAAGTATTCAATCATTATCATGATATTATCAAAAACCGACAGTATTTATATACACCTGGCTTAAATTTGTCGTGAAGAAAATATTATATATTAGTAGTCTTCATATATAAAAGCTATTATATTTCCCCAGTGTGAAAAGATTTATCGTGCTACATACGAATATACGTGGTACACTTTAGATCCAAAAGTAGCGAGGAACTTAATTTTTATCTTGCTGCGTGCAAACAAACCACTGTACATCATGGCTGGAAAAACATTTCCCATGACGATGGCAACGTTCTGCAACGTAAATTATGACAGAGTTAAGTTATAAGTTAAATTAAAAGAGAGTTATAAGAAACAAAACTGATGCGTTTTATTATGTTTTACATATCAAGAGGCATGGTAGTGTCTATATTACGCAAAACTGCGAGTTGAAACGAGATGAGATATTCATATCTCAGCAATGGCTAAACCGATCGAGGTTTTTTCAGTCCCAATCGATTCGGCCTTAAAAAATAGGAAGAAAAGTGTCCTAGTATTTTTTATGTCTCTCTTTCTCTCATATGGAATACTTGGAATTATTTTCTTAATAAATTCAATAATCAATTCCCTTTTGTGCTAAAAAGTATCATCACTTAAAAGGACAAATCAATACTACAATGAAATTATAACTATTGCCAAACGCGTACCATAATTTTATTCACGCACATAATGTTACATATGTATTTATGTCATTTAAAAATTGTTGCATTAAAAAATGTTGCAGTTGTTGAAAACATCAGCAGGTTACATATCTGTCTTGCTCGCCAATCAAGATTAATAGCGATGTTAAAAATTATATGTTCAAACTTAAACAATCTTTTAGTAAGATTAATTATCAATTAATTATCAATTTAATAAATTAATTAACAATCAATAGAATATGACTATTGAATTGCACACGCATACACGTATTTTTCGATAAAACATACACATGTATTTATTACTAATTTATTGTAAAAATAAAGAAATTAAAAAAAATAAAGAATCGGAGAAACTAACCTGGATATTAAAAAGTTTAAACTTTTGATAAAGTTACGAACATAAAATCAAACTACGATAAAGCTACGACATTACATTCTTTTTCGTGTAGATTTATACCAAAATGTCTCTCTCTCTCTCTCTCTCTCTCTCTCTCTCTCTCTCTCTCTCTCTCTTTCTCTCCCCCCTGTCTCTCACATTCCATCGATTTTATCCTTTTTCCATTGTGCCTGTCATATAAAAGATCCATCTGGAGCTATTTGATTTGGCCATGGTTTACAATTATTTTTATTTCAATATAAGTGTGTCCTGTTTCCCCATATTTTCCAAGTTATAGAAACAGGAAAACGGAATCGTCCGGGAGGACCACCGAGTAGTTTATCCTTCTCGTTATGTTGCCGCACTTCGACTACTCCCTGGAACTCACGCATCTAAAGAATCATTAATAATGCAAGGGCTCTACATAACCGTAGGTAACAACTCCTTCTTCTTTCACTGGACTAACTTTCCTCAGTTGTAAAAAATATCAACGATCTCCACACGTTTGTCACAAAGTTTTCTCCCGGCTCTTTCACGTAATGTCGTCGAAAAAGTTTACATATGTCTGATCGCAACCACATATGAACATGTGATACAAAAGAGAAAAAGAACGAATTAATAAAAAAGATGAAGCTTCTATGGCCATTATATTTTCACAGTTATAATTTATTTACTCACCCCTTTATCCAAGAGAGAACGCCAACAAGATGATAATACATCTTCTTGCTTGTCACGCACATTTTGCTTTCTGCAATATACACGACAATGCAATTTGCATTTGGAGACTTTCAAGAGCGTCTTGAGCATTGTATTAATGCCTCATACAAGTCGGATCGCTCTTCTAGATGATAAGAGACAGTGCTCATTTGTTCCTGGACATGGAATGTTCGAACGGATATAACGGTGCCACTTTTTCGACTGTCACTTCACAGTTTTTTTTTTATTACATTAAATACCTTCCAATTTGAAATTATTATGTTATATTTTATGTTTTATTTATTTTTTCTCCTATTGATATTAAAATACTCGTTTGTGAATCCGCGTATGAATTTTATCAATTCGATGGAATTGAGCCCTGCAGAAATTAATGGCTAATTGATTCCTGCGATATTTCGAAAATTATTATAGAAACATACTTAGTCAAATTTGTGACACGAAATAATTTTTTATTATTTCATTATTTTAATTGAAAAAATTTAATGGTTACGTTCATGATTTAATAATTACGCGTTCCTATTTTCCATTATTCCAATATGAATAATATATTTTGACTTTTATATTCAAACTGTATATTTAAAATTATATTTAAATAAAATGTGTGACTCAAGTGAAAACTTTTAATGATACGTAGATTTAGAATGGGCGATTGGTCTAAATCGTCTTATGTTGAAAATCATCGGTTTGTGGCCACCGGACAGTCGAGACCCTCATGAAACCATAAAATCGAAAATACGGTTACTGTGCAGCGTTGTCATCTTACTTTTCGTACTGGCAATACCAATTTTCTTATCATTGATAAAAGTGTGGGGAGATATGATTCTAATGGTAGATAATTTGATATACAATCTACCCGTGTCGATTGCTCTATTCAAAATTTACATTATATGGTACAAACAAGAAGGTATATTTAACAGAATAGTATGCTCAGAGAATTTAGCTTAAACTTTCACTTAATTAGCAGAACTTGCAAGAATACCTAGGTATCAAAATATTAACATATTAATATTAACATACTGTACATTAAAGCTTTAATGCCTTTGATTGATATGATCGCGAGAGACTGGATGAAACCAAAGATAAAAGAGGAGCGAAACGTTATGCTAAGGCTCGCAAGGATCAGTCGTATGATCGCTATTAGTGGATGGCTCGTGCCATTCTTTCTAGCGATAATTAGTTTCGTCCTTACATGTTTTGGAATAACTACCAGATCCGTGACGAATCTGACGGACCCTGGAAAACCCTTAATGGTACAAGCATATTATTTACACAACATCTCCAAGAGTCCGCAGTTCGAATTGATACTTCTGGCCCAAGGAATTGCTCTTTTTATCACGGGTATCTCTTATTATGCAATCGACCACTTTTTTGGATTATTAGTCTTGCATGTACATGGTCAAATGGAGAACCTGCACATCCGATTGGTACATATGGAACGATATACAAACTTTGATGCAGTTTTAAAATACAATATCCAGGACCACATCCGCTTAATCAGGTATTTAAAATAAATTATCAAAGCTGTATATCTAATTGTGTGAAATTGTGTGAATAATTGTAAACTTTCATTTACAATATATTTTGTAAATGTAAGATTATATTGTACCTTAAGAGTCAGTAAATGTTGCAGATCCATTGAAATGATCGATAATTCATTCCATTTATTGCTGCTTGGCATAATATTATATTTCGGCATAATATTCTGCCTACTAGGATTTTTCATAGTTAACGTAAGTAAAATGATTTCTGTGTAAGAGTACACAATTGACAAGATTCTTACAAACAGTCATCAGCAGTTACCAATAGTTATCTTACTAAACGCTTATCAATAAATGGTTATATTCAGTTGTGCTTAATTTCCAGTACGTGTGAACAATTTGCGCGTTACAGGCCGCTACTTAACAATTTTGTTGACAATTTTGTTCCAGCATAATATATATTTTACATACCGCGAGTTTAAGACGATATAGATTTAGAATCGACAGAAGGGGCTTCTTTACTCGTTACAAGTTGTTTTCTTCGAGACAATAGCTCGTAACGAGTCTTTTGAACCAACATGTACAATTTGCAACTATGACTATCCAGGTTCTTAATGATGACGGTCAATTGTCTGTTATGCAATTAATTTGGTTCGTTGCAGTGACTATATGCGTTTTGTTGCATATGTGCCTTTACTGTGCCGTTGGTGAAATTCTTGTGACACAAGTGAGTGAAATTGTCAGATAATTCCGTTTCGTCGCTTTAATGACAATGCAGATGGCAATGCAAATTCGGCTACTTTTATTAAATATCATTTTTGTAGTATTTCACATATAATGTTGAGTATTCAATCACCATCGTAATATTGTCAAAAATCGACATTATTCATATATCTCGCTTAATTCTCTCGAAAAATAAGTATTATGTCTTAGTCCTCATATGTAAGCTATTCTATTTCTCCAGTGTGAAAAGATTCATAGCGCCACATACGAATACACGTGGTACACTTTAGATCCAAAAGCGGCGAGGAACTTAATTTTTATCATGCTGCGTGCAAGCAAACCGCTTTACATCACGGCTGGAAAGATATTTCCAATGACAATGGCAACGTTTTGCAACGTAAGTTACGCATGATACAAGTAATGCGTTATTGTGTTTCATACATTACTTGGAATTCTTCTTTTAATTGAATTTAATTATTTCCTAGTCATTCTATAATATATCATAGGTTAGAAAATACGTATAATACAAAGAAATACCGCAATGTGTTTATGACGAAATCCGAGCAATTATTATTAATTAATTTCTTTTAGCGTACACGAATAATATTACATCTCCATTTATGTGTCATTAAAAAAATGTTGCAGTTATTGAAAACATCGGCAGGTTATATATCAGTCTTGCTTGCTAATCAAGATTAACGACAATGTTATGAACTCTGAGCTAAAACTTCAACAATCATTTAGTAAACTTAATTATCAATTAATGCAATAAGACAATTACATTACATATATACATATACATATTCTTCAACAAAACGTACATACGTATTCACCACTGATTTATTGTATTGTACAATAACATGTACAATAACATTGTACAATAACAATGAAAAAAATTACGAAAATAGCAAAATTAAAAAACAGGAATTAATGAAGATATTAAAAACTTTAAATTCTTGACAATATATTCTTGCAAACCTAAAAATAAATATTAATACTTCATTTTTACATCTTTGTACTTACTAATTCATATCAAGATGTGTCATGCTATCAGTTTTAGATTGTTTTCATTGCGTCTATCGTACAAAAAATCCACCTGAAGCCATTCATGATTGACAATTTTTTTCTCCTCAATGTAAGCATTCCATCTTTCACATATTCTCCAAGTTAAAGAAGCGGAGAAATTAAATCGTGAAAGACTTCGAAGATCGCCGAGTTTGCCCTCTTCGTTAAGTTGCCGCTCTTCAACTGCCCGAACTGATCATGCGACTAAAGAATCATTAATAATGCAAAGGCTCTACACAACAAATGACAACTTCTTCGTCCGTTGGGCCAACTTTCCTCAGCTGTGAAAATTATCAACAAACACCACACTTCCCATGCTTACCATAAAGTTCTCTCCCGTCTCTTACTCGTAAATAATGATGTTGAAGAAAGGAGTTGACATATGCGTGATCGCAACCATATATGAATGTGTGCTGCTAAAGAAAAAAAAACACGAACTAATAAAAGCGATAGACTTACGATGACCATTACACGTTCGCACGGTTATAATTTATTTACTCACCCTTTTGTCCAAACGAGCACGTTACGAAGACAATAATATATTTCCATGCTCGTCACGCACATTCTGGTTCCCTCAATATATTCGACGATGCAGTAAAACTTTTGAGAACTACATCGTGGACATGCGTCGTAATAATGCCGCGTACAAGTTCTGCATGGATAATAAGAGTGCTCGTTTTACCGTGAACATGGAAAGTTCAGACGGACATATTGGTGCTCGTTTCGGCTATTAATTCATATTTTCTTTAATTAAATTAATTACTTTCCAAATTACCCTTGAAATTATGTCATATATATTTTACTTTTTATATATATTTTTTCTCTAATTTATCTTATTATCTAAAATGCACGTTTATAATTCCGCATATGAATTTTTTCAATATAACTCGTTCAATGAAAATAAGTACTGCGGCAATTAATGGCTAATTCGTGCAATATTACGAAAATTATTATAGAAACATGTTTAGTCAATTTTCTCAGACGAAGCAATCTCTCATTATTTTATTATTAAGCAATCTTTCATTATTTTATTATCATTAATTGAAAAAAATTTAATAATAACCTCGTCTGACTCATTTTCCGTTATATGTAGAAAAAAAAATATATATATACTGCTCAAAAGAATTATGGCATAGATAATTATCTATTATTTTTTTTCAAATTAAAGGGGAAGATTTAAACTTTATGCGACGACGATGCAAACGTCCCCGAAAAAAAATTGTCCACATCCGTGCATTCCGTTAAACTTTTTACTATACCAAATATGCCCTCAGACGTTAGGGATTACAGGGTCAAGATTACAGGGGTAGGAGTGCATCGCATGCAAAAAATGGAGATACATTCTTAAAGTAGAGACTTCAAGCTTCATTTTGAAAAAAAAATCATTAGTCTACAATAATTTTTCGCGAAGTAATCGCCAGTCAAAGTTGGCCAATTTTCGGCAATAAATTATCTATGCCATAATTCTTTTGAGTAGTGTATATATATATATATAATTATTGTTATAAAGAATAAAATGAAGCTCAAGTGAAAGTTTTTGATGACAGATTTAGAATGGGCGATTGGTTTAAATCGCTTCATGTTGAAAATCATCGGTTTATGGCCGCCGGACAATCGAGACCCTCGTGAGGCCATAAAATCTAGATTTCGATTATTATACAACTTAATCACTCTTCTTTTCGTACTAGCAATACCATCTCTCGCTTCATTAATAAGAGTATGGGGTAATATGATACTAATGATTGATAATTTAATATACAGTCTACCTATATCGATTGCTGTATTCAAAGTCTGCATTTTTTGGTACAAACAAGAAGGTACATGTCGTTTGACAAAATAGCTTGCTCTTGGAATATCGCTTAATGTTTCAGTGAATTAGCAATATTCGCGAAATTATTCACGTAACAAAACACTAACACAGTACTGCATGTCAAAGCTTTAGCGCCTCTAATTGACATGATCGTGAGAGACTGGATAAAACCAAAATTGAAAGAAGAGCGGGACGTCATGCTGAGACTTGCAAAAATAAGTCGGATGATCGCCATGTGTGGATGTCTCATAGTTATTGTTCCAATGGTACTTAGTGTGATTTGTTCATTATTTGGAATAACGAATAGACACTTGACTAATCTGACCGACCCTGGTAAACCCTTGGCGATACAATCGTACTACTTGCACGACGTTTCGAAGAGCCCACAGTTCGAGTTGACGTTACTGGCGCAAGAAATCACTCTGATCACAACGGGTATTTCTTATTACTCGATCGACCACTTTTTGGGCCTTCTGGTCCTGCACGTATGCGGTCAAATGGAGAACCTGCATTTGCGATTGACAAATGTAAGAAAATGTACGGACTTTGATGTAACTTTAAAATACAATGTCCAAGATCACGTCCGCTTGATCAGGTATTCAAGATAAATCATAAATTTTGTACGTTCAAACGGAAATTGTATGGGCAAATTTAAACTTCCATACAATTAAGAGTAAGATTACATCATATGAGGGTCAACTGTTGTAGATCCGTCGAAATTATTGATGATTCGTTCTATATAATGATGCTGATTCTAGTGCTATATTTTGGTATAATATTCTGTCTACAAGGGTTTCTTATAATTAACGTAAGTTGAGAATAATATGTGCAAGATTATACATAAGAGCGATTCATATTGAATGTAACACGATGAGTCTTCGAAGATATAGAATGTAAAGCATCTAACTTGTAATTCTGACGATCTAGGTTCTTAATGACGACGGCCAATTGTCATTTATGCAGTTAGTTTGGTTCATCGCACTGACAACATGCGTTTTGGTGCACATGTGCCTTTATTGTGCCGTTGGTGAATCTCTCGTGACGCAAGTAAGTGAAATTGTAACATAGTATCTTTAACAGCAATGAAAGCAGTGATATTCGTCTGTTTTCATGAGCAAGAGCAATTTTCACAACTTTTTTTAGGACAGTTACAATAATGATTACTTAATTATCATTGTAACGCTGTCGAAAACCGGCATCATTTATTATATATCATCATTTATTATTCATCAAGATAAACATCTTGATTAAATTTATTAAAGGATAGATTCTATATAGGATGGCTCACAACTCAATACGTGGAATCCATGGAGACATAGAGAGCGGATTAAGACATAAAAGTCCTGTACTGCTTTTGTGATATTCGCAATAATTATCTAATTATTACTGACGGAAATCTGATGAATGAGCGCACACCGAGATGAATGATTGAAGAAACATTGCAACCACTCGGCAAGCGCGCAGCCAGTGGTGGGGGGTCGAGTATTTTCGCACACGCGCATTAAGCAAACGCTACGGTAGCCTCAATGCCGTATCTATTTTAGAGTATCGTAAGATCCCCGCCTGAAAGAAAATATGAAATTGTAAAAAGAGAGGAAAGTTTTTATAAAAGTAGCAGGATGCTGCATGAATATTAATAAATATATTATTTTATTTTGTAGCCGAAAAGGCAAATAGCAACGGACAGACGCCGGGTATTTTGCGCAGGTCCCCGTAAGAACTATTATGTTGCTTCTACAACCTTATTGGTTATTGCTTACATCGAGCTTCTACATCATTTCACGCATACGCAGAAAGACTCCTGTTGTGGAAAAATCTTACGAGCCCCCAGCACTGAACACCCAGTCGATTTAGCAACTTGTCAACGTGTGGCGAAGGAAAGGATAACGCGCTGCTATTCGTGTCTTATCTTGCCGTTTCTACGTCTTGCCGCATGTCGACAATAGTTGTTGGATCGACTGAGCCGCGTTAAGCCCGATTTTAAGGCCGATCTTTAAAATCATCTCGGCGCGCGCTCACTCATCAGATTTCTGTCATTAATAACTCGACAATTATCGCGAGTATCGCAAAAAGTATAGAACTATTATGTTTGTCTTAATCCGCTCTATATCTCCACGAATACTTTGTGCTGAGTTATGAAACACCCTGTACATCAGCCCCCGCATATAAGTCACTTTTCTGCAGTGTAAAAAAATTCATCGCGCCACATATGAATATGCGTGGTACAACATAAATCCAAAAGCAGCAAGAAACTTAATACTAATCATGCTGCGTGCAAGTAAACCAATTCATATCACGGCTGGAAAAATATTTCCCATGACGATGGCAACATTTTGCAACGTAAGTTATGCGTGACACGAGTAATGCAGTATTGTGTTTTATGTGTTACTTAAAAAATTCTTATCTTTACAATTAAGTTTCATTAATTTCTGATCATTCTACAAAATACCGTAACTTTATAAATACAAAGCAATTCAACCATAAGTTTATAATAAATCCGCATTGCATGCTAGTACGCGCGAATAATATCATATCTATATTTATATGTCATTAAGAAAAATGTTGCAGTTATTGAAAACATCAGCAAGTTATATATCCGTCTTATTTGCCAATCAAAATTGACAGCAATGTTATAAAATGTAAGTTCAAATTTAGTCAATTATTTAAACAATTTATTATTTATCAATTATTTATTATTTAAATTATTTAGTCAATTATTTAATAGTAATTAATAGATAACGATTAGTCTAATGTTGATAGTTTTGTTAATCATATTTCTCTCGCAATTAATATAATATTGACAATTCAATTGCACACACACATACATACATATTTTAAAACATAACACATGTTTAAATACTATATGGTTGATACTGGTTTGTTATTTACATAAAATAAAATAAAAAAAGAACAACCGGTATTCAGTATATTAAAAATGTGTGAATTATTTTAAAAAATTACGAGCTTAAAAACAGTAAGCTTAGCTTAAAAACAGTAAGCTTAGCTTAAAAACTTAGCTTAAAAACAGTAAGCAGTAAGAGTCATTGATAGTGTCGAAATATTCCATATATCCGATGGTGACTTTTACTTTCCTTGATTTAACTCTATAATGTCGTAAAAAAATTGTAAAGAAATTTGTAATCAAAATTTCTCTCTCTTGAAATTCAAATTCAAAGTCGCCATTTAGTTTTTTATGATCAATATAATGGCTGATAACATTTTTTAATTGATGCGTACTGCATTTGTGAAATTAGAGTTGATTAACATCTAAAATTGGAAATTTAGTCGCGAGATAATTTATTTTGATTTAAGAGAATATCATATGAATTATATCCTGTGTTAACGTTCTTCTATTACAAACACAAATACGCTTCCATCATTCAACCCATTCAATCTTCGCTTTTTAAAAAATTTAGAGAAGTATGCATCGAAAATGTGTCACTTAAAAGTTGTAGTCGATTAAAAATTGCGACCATTAAATTGCGACCATTAATTCATATTATGTTTCTCCTGTCTGTTCAGATTTTTGGAAGAGCTATCAAGGCTTAAAAAGACACTGCAAATGTTTTAATAATTTCCAACAAATCGATAAATTAGTCTTAAGACAATTTTATATAAATATATTTCAAGATATTCTAGCCAGATATCTACCAAATTTTCTTAATTATATTCATTGCGTAAACACACTAAACTGCTTATTTATTTATATTTTATTCCATTTATCACAAATGTGTCTGTCTTTCGTTACCGTCCAAATAAAAGACTTCGAAGTTGAATACTATTGAAAATGAACACTACTGCTAAACCGGCACCAATACCGTCCGCTTCGTTGCATAGTTACACCTCGACTGCTCGTTGATGATGATCCCGCGGCTAAAAATCATTAATAATGTACCGTCCAAATGCCTGTCTAATGGCAATTCTTTTTGCCAATGGCCAAACTTTAACAACGAGGTAAAATATGTCGACAACCTGCAACTGTTCCACACTTGTAAAATTTTCAGCGACCCGACTCACTTCGCATTATCCTTACCGAATTGCACCGCGTTCATGCTAACCCTTTATACACGAATCGCATCGTAGTAAAAAACGAGAAAAACACGAGAGAACAACGATAACAAGCGTAGTGTTCTACCAGTTGATGGACACGCTCTGCTCGTTTTATGCGCCCTCGCAATCGTAATTTATTCAGTCGTCTCTTTCGCGCCAGTTGAGCACGTTGGCAAAACGATATTCAAGGGATGATAATACACCGTGTTCGTCCCCGCGCTCGTCGTTCTGGCTGCTGAAATATTCACGACGGTGCAGCCGAACTCGTTCTGCGTTTCGACAATTCCGATTGAGACATGCGCAACAATGATCCGTCAAAGGAGGGGGTGATTTTTCGCCGACGATGGGAGACAGTGCCCTTTCAATCTTTGATATGGATCGTTCAGAAGGATATAATGGTGCACTTCTTTGCTATCAGCTAATTATTTCCAAAAAATAGACAGTTTTTCATAATTGTATAAGAATTTCAGTAATATGTTTATATCGTAGCACTCACACGTAACTATAGGTACTTCGATTAATATTTCCACGAAATTCCGTCGCGTGAAGTTAAATTATGTAAAGTAACATTTTCATGCTACAAGACGAGAAGATTACGTACAAGTGTTTCTAAAGTGCTCCAATTTGTACACTTATTTGCACAACAACAATTTTCACACTTTTTTGCCGATAACATTAGGAGAATATTAAATGTTCACAATTGTGGCATCTATTAAGTGAACCCAACATAAAAAGTCGAAATGGAAGCTATATCAGTATTGAGTGTTAATTAATGCTAGAGAGTTATACCAGAATTGAGTGTTAACTTGGTGTTGTAACCACTTTAATGCTCGAGCAGTTTAGCATGAATTCGTTTGAAAGTGAGGATGTTGTTTTACGTTTATCATTCCCATTTAAGAAACTAAATAAATCAATAAGTAGATACATCAAAATGAAGTGATTTTTAAGTGCTTACAAGTGCAACAAACACAATTGAGATTTTATCTTGAAAGATACGAATAGACAACAAAGACTTATACCCACATTTAAAATAAAATTACATTAATTACTAAAATTAATTAAAATTAATTAAAATTACATCAGATTAAAAATAAACTACCATGTAGAAATAACACGTCCAGTCACTTCTTGTCTTGAAATATTCCTTGATTTAGATACTCGCAAAACATGTAAAATCAAATTTTGGGATAAATGTGATCAGAGAACCACCACTAAAGTATTCTACCTATTCAGCCTTGATGTGTTTTTATCCAATAAATAAGGATATAATAAAGATACTTAGATTTTTTCTTAATTTTTTTTTACAGTAGTGATGTCAAAAATTTTTCATATATTGTACTTCAACTCCTGTCACAATTGATTATCCCACAAGTAATGGCTTGCAATTGTGATTGCATTGGACATATTCCTAACTTTATCGGAAAAAAATGTATAAAAATAACCATTGTGCAGAAAAATGTAAAAACTATGAAATCTAGATTTAGAATGGGCGATTGGTTTGAACCGCTACGTGTTGAAAATTATTGGCTTGTGGCCACCCGACAGCAACGATACACATGAATGCTTATCTTCGAGATTTCGACGGTTATTCAATATCATTATGCTAATTTTTGTACTTACGATACCGTCCTTGATGTCATTGATTAGAGTACTGAGAATACGGGGTGACATGTTACTGATAATAGACAATTTGCAATACACCTTACCCCTACTAATAACAATATTGAAAGTGTCCATCATGTGGGGCAAGAAAAAAGGTATAAATTACTCAAGAAGTTACTCTTTTCGGCTCTTGCTTCAGCGTTTATTAAAACGACATACATACAGGGTGAGGCAATAATTGGTAGCACTTTAAGTAAATATGCGTATTAAGAGACTAGTTTTCATGACTGACCTTCTTCCCCAGTATTTCCATAATGACTAAAGAAATTAATTTATATTAAAAGGATCATTATATATTATATAATCCCATTTAAAAAAAAATAATGTGACCTTTAGATCTTCGAAGCCACTTAAAAAAATAGCCCTCTGCTCTAAATAAAAAAAAAAGAGAACACTATTGCCATAAGACTTCTGTACGCGTAATTTCTAGTTCTGTCTAATTTCATTAGATAAATTCCCCTCTTACTATCATTTTGAAGGTATAAGATGTATAATTCTTGCCTCACCTTATACACGAATGCGAATTTGAAATACTGACACGTTACTGTTCCTTATAGCCTTAATGCCGCTAATCGACATGATCACGAGAGACTGGATAAAAACGAAGATAGATACAGAGCGAAACGTTATGCTGCGGCAAGCCAGAATCAGTCGCTCATTCTCCATGTGCGGTGGGCTCATGATACTCTCAACATTGATATTTGGCCTTATTCTGCCGTGTTTCGGTCTAACACTCAGGCACGTGACGAACCTGACCGATCCTGGGAAACCATTGCCGATACAATCGTACTACTTACATGACGTTTCCAAAAGTCCCCAGTTTGAGCTGACACTTCTGATACAAGGAGTCGGGCTAACCCTATCGGGTCTCACTTACACCGGGGTGGACACCTTCCTTGGACTGTTGATCTTGCACATATGTGGCCAGATGGAGAATCTGCATATGCGATTAACAAATTTGGGAAAGGACACGAATTACAAAGCGGCGGTGAAGAAAAATGTTAACGATCACGTCCGACTGATCAGGTTATCAAGTTAGATTCCTAAACATAAACTGGGTTCAAGTGCGCTTGAACTTGCAATGAATACGAAATATGGAATTGTATTATTTTCTGAGAACATTGTTATTACAGATCCATCCAAATAATTGATAAAACTTTTCATTTAATGCTGCTTGGTCTGTTCTTTTTATTTGGTATACTGTTTTGCCTTCATGGATTTCTAATAATTAATGTGAGTAACAAAGATCCCATGTTACGCGTTTTGGCGAAACATTCGTCTACGGTCCAGGGCCTTCGTTTGCAAATCACGAAATTTTGACAAATTGCCGTATCATCAACATTTCTCATATCGTAATTGTTACATATGGCACTGCAAATTCTGGAACGTCAGCTGCTCATTTTTGACAATCTAGGTTGTTAATCAAGACGGTCATTTATCATATACACAATTGTGTGGGTTCCTCGCCGCAAGTCTATGCGTTTTGTTGCACACATGTCTCTATTGTGCGGCCGGTGAATTTCTCGTGACACAAGTAAGTGTAATAATAATAATATACGTAGTAATGACTTTAACGACAACAATGTACATAGAATCAACCACTCCCCTCCACTGCTCAAAAAATTTTATACTTTTTTCTATAAACGGAGATAGATAATATTATTGTATCCCAATCAGAAAAAAATATTTAAAAAATGTTTTTAAAAATATTAACAAAGCATTTAAAAAACATTTTTAAAACATTAAACATAATTTTAAACGAGTTATTAATGTAAAATAAATATCAAATAAATATTAAATAAACGTTAAATATTTCTTCCTAATCATTATTTTAAATAAAGAATTAATGTAAAATAAATATTAAATAAACGTTAAATAAATATTTTTACGCAATAAATGGAAGAAATGTGAAAAAAATGTAAAATAAAATTTGTAAAACATTAAACAAATATTGTCTGCTGATTGAGATGGTCCTAATATACATTATTTAAATAACTTTTTATAATTTAAATGACTGCTATATAAACGTATTAAGAATTGAATTCTCTTCTTCTCTATGAAATGAACGTCTCAATTAACGTCAGTTTTCCAATTTGTGGCATTTGCGTAACTTAACACGCATATCATTAATTTACTAATTAATTTTTACAATGGGGTTCATTAGTTGCGTTCACCTTATGACTAAATCAATTTTTCGATAATCGGTCGCAATTAATAATGTGCATAAATCGTGTTTCCACAGTCTGAGAAAGTACATGGAGCCACATATAAATCCGTCTGGTATACTATCGAGCCGCAGATGGCAAGGGACTTGGCATTAATCATGCTACGTGCAAATAAGCCACTCTACATCACAGCAGGGAAAACGTTTCCTTTGACAATGGCTACGTTTTGCAACGTAAGTTAAGCAATAGTACATTGTTATGCTTCCTATATTGTTTTGAAAATTTCTTTTTAACGTTTATTTAATATTTATTTGATATTTATTTTACATTAATAACTCGTTTAAAATTATGTTTAATGTTTTAAAAATGTTTTTTAAATGCTTTATTAATATTTTTAAAAACATTTTTTAAATATTTTTTTCTGATTGGGATACAATAATATTATCTATCTCCGTTTATAGAAAAAACTTTCTTTAATCCCTAAATTTGATTGTTTCGATCATTTTATGATATGTTATAACGTAATATATGAACAAATATCTAATTAAAAATGCATACCAAAACACCATTAACCACTTTTCACTCATCACTACAATGTTGCAGTTATTGAAAACATCGGCAGGTTATATCTCCGTGTTACTCGCCAATCGAGATTGACGACAACGAAGTTATTCCAAAGTTTAGCCGATACTTTAGTATGACAATATAGTGAAACTAAAATGTAATTTCTTCACATATATGTATATATACATATATCATATATTTTGTACATATGTATATATATTGTATATTCAAACGCAGCTATACATACAGGGTGATTCAACTTGCTGTTCTTAAAATAACATGTTCTTCAACGAATTCTAAGACGATTTTTTCTCTCGCAAGATGTTATCTGAAGCTTAGTTTTCATGTTATATAAAGATAAATAGTTTCCCTATTACATTACAAGTCGGGTACAAGAGGTAGGCGGGGACGGCACAACTCACCATCAAACGCAGGCGCTCAGTTAAACGTTTGGAATGCTTGCGTAATCAAATATTTTATCTTCAAATGCTAAAACACTTCGTTTAATTATAATTAATTTAATTTTATATAATTAATTTATTATAATAATTAATGTAAAACATTTTATTCGCTATTATGATCGCATTAACTCTTGCTTGGCATTCACATTAATCCATTCATACTGGACAACATTGCCGTCTACTATTGCATTTTGCTGCGCAATCATATGCATTTGTGAAGAATAGAAACGCGTTGGCTTTGTAGATTTCCGTCACGGCACTCGATAGATGATTATTAATGGAAGTTGAAAAATGATGTGTGCAGTGTTGTTGCGTGCAACGATAAGCACACCGCATTAGGCGCTCAACGTAAGAACCTATGTCTGATGAATGATGAATTGTGCCGGCCCTGCCTCCTGTACCCGATCTGTAATAAGTACTACTTACTTTTATAACTCAAAAACTAAACTTCGAATAACATTCTGCAAGGAAGAAGATCGTCTCAGAATTCGCTCAAGAACATGTCATTTCAAGGACAGCAAGTTGTTCTGCATCATCCTGTATAAAAAGCATGAGATTATTGCATAAACTGAAAAATCAACTTTTTGTTGCAGTTTTTGAGGATGACATCAAAAGATCTCAAGATTAACTGTACCAATCTCAATAGGAATGGTCATGCAATCGAAAGCTCGCACCGATATTACATAAAAAAAATACTGTTTTTATCATGACTTTAGTTTGTGAATATTTTAACCTAAAGTTTGATTAACGTGAAAACTCCAGATTTATAAATTATCAATAATGACGCAACATTTTCATCACATAGTCGTATAGTCACACTAACCTGTCATCGATATAAGAGTTCCTTTGTCTAATTTATACCGTTTGATTTGTGGAAATAATAAAATAAAGTATTAACGTGTCAAAGTAACAAAATAAATAAAATAAAGTAAAAAGTATAAAAAGAGATCGCATGCAATATCACTTGATCAATACATTATTTGTCTATATTAATTACAGTAAAGTCATATGTAAGTCAGAAAATCAAATCGGACTCTTCGTCTGATCCAAGAACAAAGACGTATTTGGGAATGTAAGAAATTTAGTTTATCACAAGGTTGTTTCAAGTTGTAAATTCACTGTCCTTGTCGCAAAAGTGTGCCCGTTTTACACTCACTGTCCGAATTAGACACTTCTGTCGTCACTGGCGGCGTCTCTACCACCCTCCTCGTTGCGCGGCTACATCTCGACTGCCCGCTGAAAACGACCCACACTGCGGTTGAGAATTTGTTAATAATGCAGCGTTCAGATGCCTGTTGAATAGCAATTCTACCTTCCAATGTCTAAGTGTGTTTCAGCAAAACGTAAAAAGTGCCGACAAACTGCCGCCGTTCCACGTTTCTCCTAAAATTTTTAGCGGCCACCGGTTCGTGCCGCGTCCTCGCATAAAAAAAAAAGACATTTATGCTCTCGCAACCCTTCATTAGCGAATTGTTCAGCGGCGGAAAGAATAAGAAAAAGTCGGGGAGCGAAAACTGCGGTTCGTCCCCTGTCGACGAACAACGCTCTTACGATTATTATTTATTCACTCACCCCTTCCGCCAGTTGAACACATTAACAAGAGAATAATGCGATCCTCTCGAGTGCTCATCGTTAGAGCTGGCTGTTGCGATATTTATGATGGTGTGGTAGTTTCACTTTGTCTCTCGGGAATTTTCCGGACGATATGCGTGATAATGCATCTATCGAAGGTAGAGGTGATCTTTCGTCGGCTTTGAAATGGATCGCTCGAACGGATATAATGGTGCACTTCTTCACCATCAGCTAATAATTTCCGACGCGCGCACAGTAGTTAATTGAACAAGTATTTCATTTATTTATCATCGAATTTACACGCGATTCTATCTACCTCGGTTAACGATAACATCTTCACGGAATTTTGATACATAAATTTGAATTATGTAAGGTATTGCGGTGTAAAATGAGAAGATTACATAGAGATGTTTCCGAAGTGCTTCAACGTGTACAATCCGTGAAACCTAGATTCAGATTCGTTTGCTGTCGGTTGATAATTGATATAATTGTATAACAAAAATTTTAGTAAACTCTCTTCGTCTCGAGAGAGATATTGTCATTTGGACACAACTATGTGCCTCAGTTAGCTCGCATACGTATTCGTAACATTTCGACATGTAGAACGTTACGCGATATGTATAAAGTTAAATTTTGTGCCGTCACATAGATATTTCTGACGCACCCAAGTCTGATCAATTGATCATTCAGATCTAGAATGGGCGATCGGTCTAAATCGCCGCATGTTGAAAATTGTCGGCTTGTGGCCGCTCGAAAACAAAGATACGAATGTCGCCTTATTATCGAAGCTTCAGCTGCTATTCAACGTGGCTACTCTGATCTTTGTACTGATACCGGCTTTGTGGTCGCTGATAAGAGTATGGGGAGACATGATGCTGATGATAGACAATTTACAATATACCTTACCGCTGCTCATCACCGCATTGAAAGTGTCCATTCTTTGGAGCAAAAGAGAGGGTACGTGTCATATGGTGAATTGCTCTTTTCAAAGCATAATAGCGCACGTTCAAAAACCCAGTGAGCACCAATTAATAATAACATTACATCAATATTTCATTAATAATTCTAATGTCTTTTTCAGAGTGCAATATAAGTGTAATGTAATTTATATAATCGCAGACAAAAAAGTTGTGTGATATTTTTTATGTAAATTTCGGAATATATCCGCTTATCCAATTGAAAAATTCCTCTATTGGAAAACAAATTCTCCTATTGGACAAAGTGGATTTCGAGTATTCTGAAACTCACACAATGAGTAGACAACTTCTTTGTTCGCGAAGGTGTACATGATAATCGTTGAGTGAAGAATTATATAATTGAATGCGAAACATTAATCAGTGAAAAATTACAACACTGATGTGATATTACTGTTAGTTGATGTTTTCTGGATGCTGAAGACATACAAAACACATAAAAATATCTACGTATATTCCCTGGATAGCCAAACCTATCGAAACAGATTTCACGCAGCATCCGCTATAAATGTTGCCGGCAGCTTGCTGACAAAAATACAACAGGGTCTGCTAATAAGAAATGATGATACAGTAAAAATCAACCAACAGTAATATATCCCATCAATGCTATGAAACAAATAGCACAATTGACTGTTGATGAATCTGTTACCACTCTGATGGCATACAGCTAACATTTCGTTTATTAGCTTCATCAACACGTCACTAATACCTCCTTACAGTTTTGATGCCGCTGATTGATATGATCGCGAAAGACTGGATGAAGGCGAAGCTGGAAAAGGAGCGAAACGTTATGCTGAACCGCGCCAGGATCACTCGGGTGCTCGCCATGTGCGGAGGATTCATGATACTCCTGACGCTGCTAATCACCATTATTTTGCCATGTTTCGGTCTGACACTTAGGCACGTGACGAACCTGACCGATCCTGGAAAGCCTTTGCCGATACAATCGTATTACTTGTACGACGTGTCCAAGAGTCCGCAATTCGAGCTGATGCTTCTGATACAAGGAATCGGGCTGGGCCTGTCGGGTCTCTCTTACACCGGAGTGGACACCTTCCTTGGATTGTTGATCTTGCACATATGCGGCCAGCTGGAGAACCTGCACGTTCGGTTAACAAATTTGGGGGAGAGCTCGAATTATAAAGTGGCATTAAAGTACAACGTCAAGGATCACGTTCGCTTGATCAGGTTCTCGAGTTAGGTTCTTAAAAACGAATCGCGCGAGTCATTAGTTATATTTAATGTAATTAATAATTAATTTATGTATATATTTAACGACCACGATATTACATTACGTCATTGCCTGAGACAGCTGGATGCTGTTGCAGATCCATCCAAGTGATCGATGACACTTTCGATTTAATGTTGCTTGGTCTGGTATTCTTCTTCGGTGTGTTATTTTGCCTTCATGGATTCCTAATAATTAACGTAAGTACTACAAATCCCGAAATATATTCCTATATAGCACAGAAAGTTGCAGCAACATTGCTATAACGTTGCAATAATGTTGCAATATTGTAGCAATGTTGCTGCAACTTTTATGCTGTATGGATCCTTTGCTAAGACAGTCATCGATGAATCAGAACTGCTTGCGAATCGCTGAATGACTAGCGTAAATTTCACTGAGTTGCGTATCTTCTTACCATTTCTTTTTACGAACAATAAATTAGAAATATAATGGTACAAAATTTAGAGAATAAAAAGCTCGATTTGTGACGATCTAGGTTGTTAATCGAGGTAATGGATTGTCATTCATGCAATTATGTTGGTTCGTTTCCGCCAGTGTGTGCGTTTTGTTGCATATGTGTCTCTACTGTGCGGTCGGTGAATTCCTGGTGACGCAAGTAAGTAGAATAACAATGTGTGCTTAGTGCTTTTAAAGCACTAAGCACACATGACACACTGAACATAAGACAATGCTTATATTCAGCAGAAAAAGTTGCTTTACAACTGTAAAATTTGTGAATCGACGTATGCTCTTAAATTTGACTGAATCCAAGAGCATGCACCAATCAGATTCATGAGTTTCACAACAGTTGTAAACTCTCTGAACGTAGCCGATGTACACAATATAAATCGTCTATTTGCGTGGTCTGGGCTGTTATCTCTGATTTTAAACGATGATCGCGATACGAAACGATTCGAAATAGTATTTAAATGCTTAGCTTTTCAATTTACCGAATGATTTATTCTGTTTTCTCCATTTGATCAAGTTGATCATATTTTGATTACGCGTCACAAAGGAATAATTTACACAAGTCGTATCTTTTCAGTCTGAAAAAGTAAATTATGCCACATATCAATATGTATGGTACACTATGGAACCGAAAGCAGCAAGGAATTTAGTATTAATCATGCTTCGCGCAAAAAAACCACTTCACATTACGGCGGGAAAAACATTTCCCATGACAATGGCTACGTTTTGCAATGTAAGTTCTGTATAGAATTATGTGTTATCCTTATATTTTATATTTTATTCTGAATTCTCCTCATTGTAAAATTCAGTGATTTTGTTCATTTTTGCAACTCATATTTTATAAATGCAATTCTTTATACATCCCCAATACTTATTTCTAACTTCTACTTTCTATTTAAAACATTAACAACAATTGTTGCAGTTATTAAAAACGTCGGCAGGTTATATATCCGTGTTACTTGCCAATCGAGATTAATAACTATGCAATTAAGTCTTAATTGATACAATTTAGATAGCCAAAACCTGCAAAAGGAGATTTTGCACAGTGTTTGCTACTAGCAAGCTGCTGCTTTGTTAGCAGTTTACTAGTCAAAATATTAACAGGATCTGATGACAGAGTAGGATGACAAATTGACGATACAAAACCAAGCAGAATCTGTCATTCCAAAATATTATAAATGAAACATTGCAGATCTTCTGCTTGCTTTCCGCCAATTTGCTATCAAATTCTATCAGCAAATTCTGTTGACAGAACACAAATATAAATGTTTATAGATCTGCCGATAAACCCCGATTATATTTGTCGCCAATCTGTCGGCAAACTGTTAACAGATTGCTTACTTGCAATAATATATTGCAGTTAATATATGTTAAAGTATAATTATTAACTAATACCTGTTGCAATAGACACATAAATGTATATGTAAAATATTTTAAAAATGTATTTTCTTCGTGTCATACTTTTGGAAATATTTGATCATTCTTATATCTTAATTAAGATATATTGATTACGAGAGCAGAAGGATAACAATAAAAATGCATCACAAAAATATATTGGTATACAACACTTATTATTTAAATATACTGTTTGCTACTTACAAAATAGCTACGATTTTTTCTTATCTACTTGTTTTTTAAGTAATAGATCCCCCTTGGGTTTTAATTTATTGTCGAGAATTTGTTGTCTTCTTTGCTTTTCCTCTTCCTGCATTTTGGCATGCCTTTCAACAGCAGAATCTATCTCTCCTACCAATTGAATAATTCTTGTCTAGAAATCAATAAAATATAATGAATAAATAAAAATCAACAGTATAATTTTTATTTATTACATACTGCATATTCTTGTTGCTTTTCCATCCGTGCTTTCTGTCTTATTCCAAGTGGTGTAGGTTTTCCAGATTTAAATATATAATCTGGTAAATTTGTCAGTGGACCATAAGCATTTGGATTAGCTGTTAATCCACGCCTAAAAATATATATTATTAACACGTTGACTGCTACGGAATTTTTCACGATTCTGGTCTAAAGAGTCAGTTTGATTTAATCGTTATATTATTAAAAACTTTAATAATAGTACATAGTAATAATCAAAAAGCTTAAAAAAATTTTTTTTTTAAAAAACATTTTTTTTCTCTTTTCTGAGGCCATCTATTCATATTTACACTGTTATGCTACGAGTAGTTTCCTCGTAGCTAACAAATATGGCAAATAATGAAGGGACGAGATAACTCGTAGTTATGTATCCTGGGCAAGTGAACAACCTACGAGATATCTCGTGGTTGGCAGTCAACGTGTTAAACTGTTAATATAATTAAATTAATTATAATTATATATTAAATATTAATATTTAGTATACTAGTTATACTTCTTAGCCAATTTATAAAATATATCAAAGTCATATTTTCTATATGCTCATGAACTAGTATAAATATTTTCAGGAATCATACTTCTCTCTCCATCTTATATTTGAATGTCGTATATAAGATTGATGAAATCCATTAGCCATCATGTTATAAACTATAATAAACGATAAAGACAGTGATCTCGAAAAATTCTCACAATTTATATAAACAATTGTATCACAAAGAACATATATCTTAAATATATGTTAGAAATAATAATGAGAAAAAAACAAAATTTATAACCTTAAATTATGAAATCACAATTTTCTTTGATAATACATACTTGTATATCGTCCAATATGAAATGTAACTTTAGCTGTCGACATCATATTTAGTGACAACATTATATTAGATCAATTATAACGATTGCATTTAATATATCTTTTCTATGTTATGTTAAAAACATTAATCCGTTACACATATACTATAATGGAACCAACTCAACTCGACCCAACCCTGGCCATTTCGGAAGCACCCCAAACGTCTAAAACTTCCACTAATCTGCTACTTCCGCTATTTTTATAGGGATATTAAACTATTTTCGATATTTTTAAATTCCCTAGGGGCCGATTCCAATGTTCTTGGTAAGTTAATTGATAGTTAAATTATATGTTTATCTTTATTTTTCCTTCAATTTAAACAAAGACAGACATATGATTTAACTATCAGTTAACTTACCAAGAAGTTGGAACAACCTATCCTAAAAGTTATCCCTCTGCTGCCAACCTGCTTACTAGATTTAGTGACTAGACAGAATAAATATATGTATATATATATGTATATATATATATATATATTGTTGCGCTCACTCAACATTCGCGCCACGCACTCAGGAAAATGAGAACACCTGCTGGAGCAGTGTATGTCCGAGCTACAAGGTTTGTGGCAGCGTCCGTTGTCCGCGAGCATTAGGCATTTGATGTTGATTTTTACAATTGAACGAAGATTATCTGAACGACGGAAAATCGATAAGAAAACAACAGCTGACAGAGAGTGTATGAATGAGCGCAACAATATATATATATATCTGTGTGTGTGTGTGTATATATAGCGATTATATATAGGGTCAATACATTTGGATAGTCATCAAGCTAATTAAATTTCAATATAAGAAATACTCCACATCTCTAAATTAATACTACACTATTTAATATTTCATATTTTATTATAATACATTTTAACATGAAATACAAAATATTGTAACAATCAACTTCGTACACCTGGAACACGATAAAGAAATTCTCCATCATCGTCATAATAACAATCATTAATTCTATATGTCATTCCTGGTTTGTAGACATTTTTTGCAATCTTTATTGGGTTAAGGTAATTGCCTTCTGTATCTATTTTCTTTATCCATGCTTTGATATATGTGTCTGTCTGATTATGATGCACTTCAACATCTGAATCACAATCTTCATATTTAGAAATTGCTGAATTCTTTTCTGAGTTGATTACTTCATTGCGAGATGCTGTGGCAACCTCTATGGCTTGCTCTTCTCCACTAGTATTCACTTGTTCCTTATATACATCCAGCAATGTGGCACTTTCCTCTGGAGACATGTTGAAAGTATCATTTAGCCCTGCCTTTACAAATTCATTGAATGTAAATAACTTCTTCTTTATCTTATTATTTTTCTTAGCATCATTATATGACACTATACCATCCTTCTCTAAATCTGATTGCAACTTCAATGTGAGATCTTTTTTGCTATTTAATATTAATTGCTTAGAATTTCTAGCAGCTATAGACCTATCATCAGTTGTAGTATTTGCAGCAAGTAGATTCTGATGTCCATTTGAACTACTGGATACATCAGATATTCTATTTGACTCATCACTTTGTAACTGTGTATTGTCCTGTTGCTCATTTAGATAACCTTCTACAATACTAGAGAATAAATTTTTTGTTGGTTTCTTGAATTGCGGCTTAGGTGGGACAAATTTTTTTGCTAACAATTCTCTATCTGTCATAACAATCTGCCTGTCCTTAAATTTCATCAGATGTTGTCGTAACATGGGATTTACTGCCAGCTTTCCTGCACGAAACTTCTTCCAGTTTTCAAGTGCTATAGTATCATATTGTACAATACTATCTACAGATTTTGGCGACCATTTGGCACGCAAAATCTTCTTTATTGTCACTGGCAAAGCAGGAAAACTCTCACTAAGTTTTTCTACTGGCCACTTTTCAGGATCAGATTCATGTAATGTACAGATTTGTTCCTTCTCTTCAAATGTAAGAAAACGTGGCTCACTTTCTTTAAAGTACTTTCTGGCAACAATTTGTCGTTTAAGACGTTCTTTATTCATAACCATTTCTCTGAAAAATTACAGCATTCTACAATAGTATAATATATTGCTGTACACAAAAATAGGTATTTTTTTTATAATTTGATTTGTAATAAATAATACTAACCTAATGAAAACTAAATTAATAATCATATTCATAAAGCTAAATTAAAATTATGAATGGAAATATCAGATATTATAAATGTTGAAACTTGAAATAAAATACATATATCATAATGTTCCATATAAATATAATATATACCTTTCATACATCTTATGGCTCTCAGAAATATTCATAAAATCTGCTTCAAATTCACCTATATCATGTGCATCAAGTTCATCGAAGTCAGTTGATTTATCTTCTAATAATTTCAATTTGCTACGAATACCAGCGAGGCTGTTTGTTAAACGACGTTTCGAGCTAAACATTCTACGCAATACACCTGCCATTGTAACACCTTTATTTGTTACACTCACTATCGAGTTCAGCGTGTTTTCTAACTTCGTCGTTTTTAATCTAACCTAGCTATACACAAATTATGATCCTCCAAAAGTACGTCAAATTTGTTATTCGACTAAACCACACAAGAATGAAAAGAATTCTTCCAATCCATTGTAAGGTTCTAATCCATTGTGAAATATAAATTAAATATTTAAAAACGTCATTTGTTATCAAGTCGCACAAAGGTAATCGCACACAAATCGGGCGCATTCAATACTACATCGCTCGCTGAGTGTTCGTCAATGAATTCTCGGGTTTATATTCTATTGCTGAACTGGTTGCCTACCTTGTGGTCTCACTGAGGCCGCAGCTTTATTTTCTGCTGCTGAAATGGCTACCTACAGAGAAGAACGTGAGAGCGACCAACATAGCGTTTTCGGCGACACCGACTTTCCGCACTGGGAAAGGGCGCCATCTGCATCCATTTTGAGAGAGACTACGAGATACACTACATCCACTTTCAGGTTTCGGCGGTAAAACCTGCATGTGGTGGCAGTCCGTGCTACATCCACTTTCAGGCGGTTTATGTGCTATAACCGTGCTACAACCATAATAACATACTTGACAAGCACGGTCCCGCACATTGTTACGCGTTTATAATATGAATTAACATGTTAACATGTGCAAAAAAAGAATTGACATTGTGTATGATTAATATCACGAAGATCATACAAAGTGTCCGATAATTAGCTGCCAACCCGAAGTGTGAGGGTAGATTGGGTTGAGACAAACATAAGAATTCCATACCGTTTTGAGAGATTCGCAATAATTATCGAGTTATTAATGACAGAAATCTGAGGAGTAAGAGCGCGCCGACGTAAATGATTGGAGAAGCGTTGCAGCTGCTCTGGGTATGTACCTATTATGGAACTCGTCGGAATCGATTCCGATCGAATTTATTTCATTATTTCTTAAATTTCTATTGTCTTTTCTAGGGGAAACGGAATTATTCCGATCGGAATCGATTCCGATGAATTCCATGATAAGTACCCAGGCCAGCGATCATGAATCTTTTCCCTAGCGTGAACTAATGAAAAGTGAAAGACTTCTGTGAATTAGTGAAAAATGAAAAATTTTATATGAATTTGTGAAAATCGAAACATTTCACACGACAGCAGTTGAGTCGTTTAACATGGCAGTTGCGTTCTGGATAATTCTTAATGAATATCAAAGAAATCAAAATGATCGAAATAATGATGTCCGTGTAGTCCGAAGGACATTATGTGACACGCAAAATCCATTTCATATAATATCCAAAGAAAATGTTTCAAAATATATATGTTCAAAATACGTACCGGAAGATATCAAAGACTATTAATACAGAAAATAGGCCAAATATGTATGTATGTATGTCTCTTAGAATTGCAAGACGTGAGAAAATTTAGAATAATTTTTATTTTATAAATATATACACACGTTGGCATTCCTTAAATTAATAATTCGAAGTTGAAATAATACTAAAATTGCAATCAGAAACATATGTACAGAGTGTTTCACAAATTTCTCGCTCCTAGGAATTCATGAAGATATAGAACGGATTAAGATAAATATAAAATTCCCGTACCATTTTGCGATGTACGCAACCGAGCTATTAATTACAGAAATGTAATGAATGAACACGCGCCGAGATGGTATCGAAAAAGCAACGAAGCTACTCGAGCCAAATGCACCCCACATGATCTAACGACAGTTGCCAGCGTGCAAGAAGAAGAAGAAGAAGAAGAAGGACAACCCGCCGGCGAAGAAAAACATAAGTAACGATGAGGCACCCGGGCGAAAGAGACGGGGCTAGGCAACAGAACGACGGCTGACGAGAAATATAATCTAATCGGAAATTTCAAGGTAGTACTCGCTACATATCCCCGCTATGTCGTCGCTGTAAATTCGAGTGTGTTGTTTTTACACGCGTGAGAGTGTAATTAGCTCAAGCTTTCTTCACACGATTCTTGCGAAATTTGAAAGTGACAAAACTCGCCTCCAAAAAAAGCCTCAGCCAATCGCACGCTCATATACATATAAATAACACATTTGGATTTGCATCTCGAATCCAATGCACGATCAAGCACGAGTTATGAAGACCCAGTTTCCGCGAAGAAACTATAGTCGGGGACCGTTCGCAGCCGCGGTAGAATTTAACGCTCGCATTCGCAAGGGCCTAACATTCTACTCGCGAAGGGACGCCATCGTCCCTCTTTTCGGTGTCAACGATGTCGGATGTTTAACTCCTTTCTTCCTTATTTTCCGCGACAACGATACCGCGACGAGGCCCTAACAAGGCAAGTTCGCTTATAACTAGCGTTTATCTCAAGAGCGTTTCTCAAGAATATTCCGCTCAAAGGGTTAGTCCGCGATAGAAAGTTTCCTGCGACCGGAGACCGCTGTAGTTTAAAGTTAAATCGCAGCAACAGTATATCGGGCAGCCCTGAAACGGGCTGCTGGCATCCATTTGTGACGTCTACCGCGCGCCTTTGCGATTACCGGTAAATTCAATTTCCTCGATTGCTCGCGCGATTTCAAGTGGCCATAATATATGGCGAGAATACATGGCAATAATATATGGCAATAATATATGGCAACAATATATGGCAACAATATATGGCAATAATATATAGCAATAATATATGGCAAAAATTCATGGAATATATTTTTCGTTACAAAAGTCAATGCAAATTTGCGGCATGCACAATATAATAATAAAAGAGCTCTCTGCGAGCGTTAAGTCAAACGCTCACCGATGATGATATTGATGATGTCCCGTTGCATCCAACCGGATCCACCAATGTCCGTCCACGTCCGCTGTCGCTCTCCATATCGCGCAGCATCCATCTTGCAGCGCGTCCCACGTTGATTGCTACATTTTCACTACACTTCCGCGACGCGGTCGATACTTGTATTAGAGCGGCGATATTTGCGTCAATTAACGAACGTTTTACGTCGCCATCGGTGGAAACTTTTTGCGCGCTGCGAAACGGACTCTATAAACTCGATCGGCGAGGAGCAAGAACCGTATGAAAATTTATCGACTCGTCCAACGGATTTTTACGGCGCTTTTCGCGATCGCGCCTGAAAAGTCGCGAAAATGTGAGAGTATCGATATTTACGAGAATATTCGCGAATGTATGCGAGGAAAAATTAGACAATTAGAAACCGGTCATTCTGAGGGAGTGCAAAGAGAGAGAGCGGGGCAAAGTTTTCACGTATAATAGCTCCGTCACGACGAAGTTTACGTTCGCAATACTTTGGCGAAATGAAAATTTAAGATTTCTTTATTAGCAGCGCGGGTAAAAACGCGTATATTGATAACCGCGGTCGCGATATTCAAAGGCACGCGAGCGAGGATACCTCAAGCTCGGCGTGCGTTGGCGCAATTTCTGCGCGCATTATACGCTACTCGAGACAATAGGGATCGTGATGAATGGACAATATTGCCAAATAATTCTATAGCCTGTTTTGGAAATAAAAGAAAAGTAGCCAACGGTATCGGCATTTATGCGTATGAATATATTTCACACGGACAATTGAATATTGTCAAATAATTGTCGTTAAGTAATTCTGCGGCCCGCTTGAAAAATGAAAATAAAGCAACTGATGACGATATCGCGTTTGTAGATATGAATATCTTTTATTCAGTTGACTGAATATCAAAAGAGAATCATTCGGTATTTTAAATCTCGTACGTAATGCAGGCTATCGATCAAATAATCCCCTGATTGTTTCGAGCAATGTATTTTATTCACAAACACACATATGCAAAAATCTATTTGCAATTTGCATTGACTCGAACGACATTTTATCTCCCATAGTCCCACATCCGTCATGCGGAATTTTGTTTCTCTTTTCGTTTTGTATTTACTCACCGAAACGACTTGCAGTCAGAGCCGGCCACGTTCCGCTTCAACTCTGTAACAAAAAATTCACATTCGCTCGTTAGATTTGACCAACCAGTGCGGGCGAATAAAAGTAGTTTATCCTCTGCGATCATAATTCAAGTCGAGCCGGAAATTATATCCCAGCTCTAGATCGCCAAGGGTCAAACAGAGTACTATAGTAAACTTGTAAACTTACCTTCAAGCCGACTCTGCTTGGCCTGAATCGGATCCTCCGATGCGGCATCTGCATCTGTCGGATTGTTGTTACTTTCCGCAACAACTGAAACAGAAAAGTAATTTTCCCAGTTGATAATCTGCGGTAGAGAGAGAATATCTTTGATCGAAACGAATCGAAAATACGTAAATATTTTGATATGGGATTTTTATCTTTATATTTTTGTTCCAACATTGAAAATTTAAATGAGACATGAAGCTTTCAAGAGAGCTGATGAGGAACAAGTTGTAAAGGCGAAGATTGTAAAAGGTTGAACACAGATGTGTAGGAAACTTGTAAACTTTACCTTCCGACCGACTCTGCTTGGCCCGAACCGGATCCTCCGGTACGGCATCCACATCTGCCGGATTGTTGTTACTTTCCGCAACAACTGAAACAGAAAAGTAGTTTTCCCAGTTGATAATCTGCGGTAGAGAGAGAATATCTTTGATCGAGACGAATCGAAAATACGAAAATATTTTGATATGGGATTTTTATTTTTATATTTTTGTTCCGACATTGAAAATTTAAATGAAACATGAAGCTTTCAAGAGAGCTAATGAGGAACAAATTGCAAAGGCAAAGATTGTAAAGAATTGAACACAGATGTGTAGGAAACTTGTAAACTTTACCTTCTGGCCGACCCTGCTATGCCCGAACCGGATCCTCCGGTGCGGCATCCGCGTCCGCTGGACTTGCTTTCCGCAACGTCTGGAACAAAAATTTAGCATTCTTGGTTAGTAAGCTGCGGTAGAGAAAGAATGTTTGGTCGGGATGAGTGGAGAATATTCACTACGGTTTTTTTCTTTATTGACATTCAAAGTCTAGATAAGACTTTGAGCTCTTGAAAGAGCTGACGAAAAAAGATGACAACAAGAAGCGGAGACAACAGTTGGTGCTCTCGAAAATACTCTTTTACGAATGGACATTTAAATTTAGAACCCGTAACGAGAGTAAACAGACTTGAAAGAAGCGCTAACCGAAAACAAAAAGGTCGCAGTCTAAGATGCGGTATGACGTTGAATATCTTACACAAGACGGTATATTCATACAGTTCAGAATTATTCAGAATGTTTAATTGAGAACATAATGAATTAGAGATCCACGTTCACGTTCCGTCTCTGTCTGTATCAATATCTCTTGTATACAACAACGCAATAAATAGATAAACAGACAGAGATTGACGAGAGTAATTGCAGATTCATAAAGTCATGATTACTAGTCGGATATTGACGGATCATGAATGTCGAGCGCGAAATTCCGACTTCTTATTCCCGGAAAATTCGTTAAACGTCCGCTCTCGTTATCGGAGATTCCCGCATAATAAATGATTCCACATACCTGGAAACGTGACGTATCGCTGCCGGCGTCCTGCTTCCCGGCTGCTGGAGTCCTTCGGATTTCACTCGCTCACGCTTCTAATGCCGATACTCGTGATTCGACCGTACGGTTCATCAACGTGATACTGACGCGATGCTGATTGAGTATCTCGAGGACCGACGAGATACATTTCTTACAATTACACGAGACGGAAGTGACGAGCGCGTCGCGCACGGCTGCTGCTGATGGAATGAGGTCGAGTACGCGAGGCGCGCGAGTATTAATACGAAGGGCAAAAAGTGTCGTCGCTCACGAACCGATCAACACAATCGGCGCGATGTAAACATTGCGGGCCTCGGCGGCGGTTGAAACAAGAGAGACTTGCCCTTGGGCGTTTCTTCTTTTCTCGAAGGTTCCGAAACGACGAGGGGAATGCGAGGAGGCCTTTCAACTGTACGCGACATTGATTTACTACGTATTTATTGATTACTGAAAATAAAGAAAATTACTCTGTCGAAGCATCGGACATTTGTTAGCTTTATGTTAATTAAAGAGGAATGTGTACAATTAAAAAATGTGTCAGCAACTAATTGTACAGAGTGTCAAAGTTGTTGTGACGCCGTTTTCGGAGAATAATTTTAAAGGTCATGGTAGCGTTAAAGAGTGGAATTTCATCCCATGCAAATTTTGTCTCGTTCTTATTAAATGTTAGATTATCCGCTGCGGACAATAACTAATTCTACTTGTCATCTAATATTCAATGATGATAAATAACATTTAATTGCATTCATATATTGGGAGTGCTCACACAATTCTCTCAGAATATCGACAACCATTCGCGACGTTTTGCTTCTCCATGACAACGCGCCGCCTCATACAGCAACCTTAACCCGCGATAAACTCAGAGAAATGTACTGGACACCTCTTGAACATCCTCCTTACAGTCCCGATTTATCTCTTTCACATGTTTGGACCCCTGAAAGATCGGCTTTAGGAGGGGAAAGATTTAACGACGACGCAGCGGTTGAGCAGTACATGCGCAATTGACTGTTGGAGGTCCTTCTTCTTTTTTTGATGAAGGGATCAAAAAGTTAGCTATCCGACGGAGAAAATGCATTTCCGTTGAAGGGAACTATGTAGAAAAATAATATATCGCTTTTGTAATTTCATCTGTTATAAATAAATCTGTAAAAAAAATTATATTTGAATGGCCCTCGTATATATCTTTCTCTCTCACTTCCGGTCTTACCCCATGCGACGCGAACCAATCAGCAATCGTTCACCCATCGGCCGATCTCTGTTTAAGGATCTCTAATGCAAACCAGGCGCCTTTTGTGAACTTTTAAAATTGCATTCGATGTGCTCGTTGAGAGCTCAACCGCCGAAAGCTTCTTGAAAATTAGCGCAATGTGTTTAAAATAATAAAACAATTTATTGCGGGTACTTGCGGTTCTCCCTTCCAACATCGTCATTCCCTTGTAAAATCCCCCTCTCAGATTCTGCGCTTGGTGCTCGTGAAAATAATCGTGAACGATTGAAGAAAGGAGAGACAGAGAAAAGGGATCACATGACGGTGGGGCCCGATGACGATTATAGCTATGACCCTCGCTGAAACAATGACTCAACCTAACGTCACTGAGATTCTTGCAAGATTCCGTATCTTATTTCGCGTTACTCCAAATATACGCTCATAAATATAAGTTCAATACTTGGGGGCTATTACGCAAGTTTTGCGAACAAGCTTCGAACGAGCCAAATTCTAGTGAATTGTGAAAGAGTCGAGCATAGAACAGGTGGTCTGCTATTCTTTTTAGCTTCTCCACTAAACTAGTGCAATAAATTGGAGTGAGACAACTATATTGTTCTCACTCTAGCTTATCGCACCAGTTGAACAGTGCAACTAATGATCTGTTCTTTTTAGCTGCACTGCTGAACTGGTGCAATAAATTATAGTTGTCTCATTCTAACTTATTGCGCGAGTTCAGCAATGCAGCCAAAAGGAACAGATCCAGGAACAAACCCGCAGCCCCTCTTCGACAAGTAGAGTACTCTGTGGAGGCGTATCGTAAACCCGCAGGCCGAAACATGGCGGATGTTTTGTTTGTGTGCGCAAGGATGGTTACGCGCGGTGTGCGCGATTGCGTTTTTATTACGGTGAACGATAACGCCGCGTCGGTGGTGCAAAAAGTCGCATGAGCCCGGCGGCACGGAGTGAGTCGGGCGCTAAGCGAAGCGACACGGACGATGAACGCGACGAGCCTGTACGTGTCGACGTGTCGGCTGGTACTGCAGGCGGACGTCGACGACCTCAACTCTTGGACGGACCTTTATAGGCTAGTCCCGTATCTGCGTCAGAGCCTCAGTTGCACTGTGTGCTCTAACCTGCTGATTGAGCCGCACACCCCGACCGAGACCAACTGTCAACACCACGTATGTCGCGGCTGCCGCGGCGGTCGCAAGAAGCTCAAGCCGTCGTGCGGCTGGTGCAAGGACTACGAGAAGTACGTGGAGAATGTGCAGCTGCGAATACTGCTGCAGTGTTACAAGAAACTGTGCGAGTACCTCACCAGCACTGGTATCTACCGCAGCTTACTGCACTCCGTGTCGGCGAGTGGTGCAACCAATGGCGCCTCCACCATCGGCGCCAGCAGCCTCATGGAGCTTATCCAGGAAGGTGCAGGTTTCAAGGATGAGTTCAAGAGCAACGCTGGCCTGTCAAAGTCAGCATACAGTATCTTACCGTGTGTCTACACCAGCACAACTTCTACTCAGACTCAGGCTAATAGTGTACAGACCAGCGAGGCGATGTCCCAAAGCATACCTGGTGTGTAGGACAAGATAGCTTGGTCAAAACCAAATATATCGATGAGTTCCTGTGAATAAGCAAAGAAATGATGAATGAATATGACTAAAGATAATAAGGAGAATTAAAGAATAATAATAATAAGGAACAAACATAGAGGATATATAAATAAAACAAAATATAGCTAAAGATAATGAGAAGAATTGGTGAATAATAATAATAATAAGAAATAAACGTAGAGGATATATGAATAAGATGAAAGAAAGATGTGGTTTGTGAATAGTATGTAAATAATCACTATTGTGTATTGTTCAATTAGAATCGCCAACAATCCGGACTGTGTCGAATGGGTCCTCAATATATTCCGTGATGTATGCTGGATCCGGCAACAAGATTACAATAAAACGTAAAGCAGCAGCTACAGAGGATATGGAGACAGGACAGCAGGAGACGGACGGCAGTCAGCACAGCTCTGTAGGAGGGGTAAAATGCATTCCGTCTTCCCACCTTAAATATGGGACCGCCTCTCAGAAAAAATCTTCAAAGGGCAGCAAAGTAATTCCAATAGATATTCGGTTAATCTTACACCTCGCAGAACTTACATGGTACTGCAATCTTTATTTAAATGCTTAAAGATGTCTGTCCTTGTGTTAACATCTCTTGCAAAGTATACAAATAATTTTTCCGACTTGTATCAATTAACAATCACAGCCGAGCGTGTATTTCTGATTAACATTTATTGTACATATATATGTATATTTTTTTTATATCGCTCTCTTATTTCCATACTAATACTAGTTTTAGAAAAGTCTCGAGTTGCGAGTTCTTCTAGGTCCCATAAGAAAGATTAATGCAGATGTTGTTGCCTCTCGTTTTATCCATCGTCTCACTCAGAGTGATGTTTGATTGTAACATTTGACTCGCTCACTTCTGCATTGATCTGTGATATCTGTTCGTATGATTACCAGCAATAATACGATCGCTCTGTTATAAGCAGTCCTCAGGCAGTTTTAAAAAGCCACGATCGAGCTCAGCCAGGAGTAAAAGGAAAGGGTGCAGATGCGGCAACGCCACCGCGATACCCGGAAAACTCACCTGTTGCGGACAACGGTGTCCCTGTTACGTCGAAAGTAAACCCTGTGTAGAATGTAGATGTAGAGGTTGCAGGAATCCTCATACAGCAGATGGATTGAAGGTATTGTATCAATGTCAGCTATTGTATTCGAGTCTGTGTTACGTATACGTATTCTTATTTTTATGTATATGTGTAACTTCGTGTGTGATTTATAGAAAACCGCAAAAGCGGCGAGTGTCTGCGCATATCTGTCGAAATGCTTCGCATAACGTTCTCGTGTACTTTCAGATCCGTCCACACATACCTGAACTTCACAATTTACAACTGCAATTGTCCACTTCTCTGGATTGCGACGCGCTTAGTGGGGACCCTCTCGGAACCGTGCCGCAGTGTCTTTCAACATCTCCCACAACGATACAAGTCTTGAACGTCTACTCCACTCCGAGACTAGACATTGACAATGTACCGCAGAACTTACCCGCCGCGCTCTTAGTGGGCGAGGACGCTATGGTCAGTACTGAAAGTGAGGCGGAAGACAGCGATATACAGATCGATGTGTGACAAAGTAGTTAAATGCACAATTATCGCGGTTAGTCGCGCGTAATCGTGCCGAAGAGAACGACAAGTGAAAATGTGTAAATAGCGGAAGAAAACTGAGTGCGTCTGAAAATCTCGACCGAGCATGTGTTGAGAGACAGAGAGAGAAGCAGGAACATAAAAATCAAAAATATATATTAGAAAAGGGCTCTATGATAAATAATTACTGTAAGAAGAGAGAATCTGATTATATGCGTTTGTACATTTGTAATCGAGATTGGAAAGGTTATTTCTGTCTCATTTTTTTCTTCTCAATCTCTTGGAATAAGGAATATTGCTATGTATAATTGGCACATAGACATTAGGATTTATTAACATCCTATACATGTTAATATTTAAATCATTCCTGTTGAAAAAAATTGCTTTTAGATCAGCAAGATATCCGTTAAATGTGCTGAGTAATATTATAAGCAGTGGTTGTATTTATATTTAAATTTTATTTCTTTCGTTCTACCAACGAAAAACAACAGCATTACTGAGTTGCTGAAAGAAGGTAACGTCTAACTTACTCAACAGTGCTTATGATTTCACTTTCAAGTTGTAATCGGCTCTTCTCTTCTTACTTAAAAAAATGATATATATATATATATATATTTACAAATTTACAATGTTAAATTGATTTAGAAAAGCATTATTATATCATACATGAGAACCAAGTGGAAATCATATATGATTTATTACCTGAATATTTGTAAATATTTGCGTCGTGATACGAAAAAATGCAAATTTAGTTAGATGTTAAATCACTAACGATTAATTTGTGTTTCTAAGAACAAATGATGTGATTTAGCATCTGTTATTAGTTTTATTTATTATCTTAATTCTTGAAGTTACGCGAAGGCTCGTATCCTCCATTAAAAGCTGTTTAATTAATTGTACAGTATAAAAGGCAAGAGTTTCATGAAATATAAAAATGCTTCTCGCGTTTATATTCTGCGTGTATGGAACGAAGTTCATGCAACTCTATTCATCTCAAATATCTCCGCAAAATTATTACTAAAATGAATGAATTGAAATTTCGTAGATCAAAGGAAGGAGACAGTATAACTATGCCGAAATCGCTTCTAGTATTTAAAAACATTATCTAACCTTTTTAACACGAGATACTATTTTTATGATATATTATAAGATTATTTTATATTTATTCGTTATCTGATTATTTTATATTGTTTTCTTTTTTTTTTGCACAAATTGGTATATTTCTAGTCATTTTACACATAAGAGTATTAAAAGAACGTTAATGAAAAATTAATATCTTACAGAGTATTATGTCTTTTATGTCAGAAAACAGCAGAATGCAAAATCTACGTAGTTTATCTCCCGAGGTAAATGAAGAGAATAAATATGAAATATTTTATTTTTCATAGCATTAATATGAAACGCATGCCATCTCTCGCAAAATATCTATTTCACCGCCATATTTTTATACGGAAAAATAAGAAAATATATATTAACCTGAGGAACTGCATTTTTTACAAGTGCACAGGTGCATCTGCAACGTGCGATTGCACTTTTTGAAATGAATATAATACAATATTCTATGTGATTTATTGTTTTATACATACTGTTCTATATAACGGTGTTGAATTTGTCGAGAAGTGCGAGCAAAGTTATACTGACCACAAAATGAAACTCTTGAGACGGAATATTCTTAATCCAAGATGCATTTCTCAGTAATCAGTTTTTCAAAGGCGAGATGAGCAGATGTATTGCTTCGTTTCGTATGCATCAATCGCACAATCTTGCGCGTCTTGTGCGTGTGCATTTATATACATGGAACAGATTTTTTCTTTAATGTGTGTGTATACACACGCATGTGGCATTATACACACATATCTGTGTATAGGCATATGACATTATATACATGAAACAGATTTTTTCCTTTGATGTATGTATGCCGACACATACACACGCATCGTGAATCGTGTCTGTTCTGTAACTAATAATTTTTATGAGTATCAACGCCTGTGCTGACAATGCGCGTATGATGAAGCCTCTGTAAGGATGAGTTGAACAATTAGCGCATTAAATTTAAATGTACAAGCCGGCGAATGTTACATTTGTATGTCAGAAGGTATCTCGTTGATAACTTGCCAGTTGTACATACAATAACACGAGAGGCGTTGTCTATTTTGCATACTGGTTTTTTACAACCCCCACGATTAGGAAACTGAATGTGCAGCGGCAGCCTGTTACATTTTCGTACAGTTTAAAAATGCATCGAAATAAGCGAGCACCGGTAGGGAGAGTAGCCTAAATAACGAGCGAAAGATGAAAGATGGTCTATACGTAATCCAAATTGTAGGAACTTTTACGTTTTCCCTCTTAAGATAGGAGAAGAAATCGAGGAAAAGAGAGAAACCATTTTAGACAGACGCAAGTTTTTACTCGCCTGACGCAAACGTCATTTGGCATTAGTAGCGAATTCGCATAATTTAGCTAATGTTTAGGTGTAACGTTATTGTACATCCGGTGAGGAGAAGACGGACCGATAAAAGCGGAAGTGTCGGTAAAGCCGCCACTCCTGTGCAGTGCACGTGATAAAATATTCTATCACCAAATCTGAAATTTTATCACGCAGCCGCACAATATTCAGGCTCGCATCGGGCCATCTCCTCTTCGCCTAGATTGTTCATCTAAGAGCCTTTAATTCAATTTCCGCCGTACGTGTTATTAAAAGCGGATTATATATGTATATATATGTATATATATATATATGTATATATATATATATGTATATATATAGATATATAACGACGTCTTACATCCGAGACTCTCAAGCTGTATTTTTTAGAGATAGTTCTGTTAAATTTTTTGTAGCATAGATGATACGACAAGCGTAACACGAATTACACGATATTCTATTTACGTGAGTATAATTATTAAGTGTGTTAATCATTTCCTGTAAGCGTGCGAAGTATTGGTACAAAATTACTGAATATACGTAGTTGTCTCTTAATTTTGCACACGAGATCGTTCTTGTGGAGCGTCTTATGGAGTCCATCAACAGTTGTTTATATAATGCGTGCTTGGGTGCAAATAGTATACGCTAATCCCCCCTTCAATAGTCGAGACACAGATATATTCTCACAGTACGTAAATGATCTCATAGTTATCCGACGGTAATCCTCAATAAGGAAAGATGAAGGATACTAATCGAGCGTGGGAGGAGACATTGATAGACAAGTGCACATGCATTATATAGGCCGGAACTGGTTACGCGCTCGCTGGCGGTCGCTTCACCCTGCTTCTTTCACTCTTTTCGTGAAAAGAAGAAAAGAAGAGAAGACTGAGAGAAACGCACAGCGTTCGTTCGCGAGTGCCTAATTAGGCAGCTCTGATATATACATGTAGGTTAATATTTCTTTTTAAATCGGCAAAGTGAAAAAAACAGTCGATACGTGACTGTGGGCCGGTTGTTCCAACTTCTTGATGAGTTAACTGATAGTTAAATCATACGTTTATTTGTGTTTTTTTTTCTTCAATTCAGACAAAGACAGACGTATGATTTAACTATCAGTTAACTTACCAAGAAGTTGAAACAACCGGCCCCGTATGCATTATGTAAAAATGTGGAAGGTATCATACAACTTGCATGAAAGAGAGAGAGAGAGAGAGAGAGAGAAGCTCAACATAAGATAAAATTAATAAGATAAATGCTTGTATTTTTATATGTGAAAGTTAATATTGTCTGATTGCGTGTAACCGTGCTATTTTCACTCAATTGAGAACGTAATGTATAATTTCGGGAATTAGACGTGCGGATGTGCGAGTAGTGAACGAAAAGTCTCACCTCCTCGTTCGTTAATTTTGTCTTATGTAAAGCTAGCGGACGAACCGGTCGGGCGGGACTGCCGAGCGTCGCGAAGATGGTGTCTTTGAGTTTGATTTGTAGTTAAGAGAGCGTCAGAACCGGCGAATTTTTGCGGAAGCGATCGTGTCAGTTGCTTTATGATGCGTTGCATTTTAACCGACATTGCGCACTGTATTTACTATGTTTCATATGTATATAACACGTTAAGAATAAGATATAAAAAAACAGCAGTGGGACCTAGTTATAGCGTAAATAACGATACATTCAAACGTGGTTGAGGAGTGACCTTTCAAGCGTGCCGACTCACGCCGCAATAACGCGTGTCATAACGAACAGACGTTTACGACGGACGTAATAAAAATAATAATAATTATAATAATAATGATAAACGACGCGGGGAAAGAAAGCGCAAAATGTAGTTTGCACATTCCAACGCAGCAGATATCAACACCGGACGGAAATATCGCGTCAATGTTATAACCCATACAGCATAAAAATTGCAGCAACGTTTTTTAACTTTGTGTGCTGTATGGAAATTTCCTGTTCAGCAATGCAACGTAATAATACACATACGCGTGACAATCGCGCATCGCTGAAGAAGAAATTGTAACATCGACGTAATATTTCTTAATACTTACAAGGAAACATAGAGTACGCGGAAATTCAAAAAATTCTGAAGCTCTGTGTGGAAGTAAAGTAGTTCAAAAGTCATCCATAATGCAAACCTATTTTTGTGCGAAATTCCAGTCTGAAGGGGTGAAACCACCCTTCGAAAAAAAAATCATTTTCATTTTTAACATATATCTTTTAAAATACGAGGCGTATACAAAAATGGTTTACATGAAAGTTGTATTCCATGCTCTTTGCGACTGTGTATTCAGATTTTGCAAAATTGAAGGACGGAGGGGGTTTCAAAAATTTTTCAATTTTGCAAAATCTCAGTACACAGTTGCAAAAAGTATGAAATACACTACAACTTTCATATAAACCATTTTTGCATATGCCTCGTATTTTAAAAGATATACGCTAAAAATGAAAATGGTTTTTTTCCGAAGGGTGGTTTCACTCCCTCAGACTAGAATTTCACACGAACAAAAAAATAGTTTTGCATTATAGATGAACTACTTTATTTCCACACAAAGTTTCAGAATTTCTTGAATTTCCGCGTTCCCCAGGTTTCCTTGTTAGAATGTTTCTTATTGCCCGTAACATTTGATATCACACCCTTTTCACCACGTCTCGAGCGCATTTCCCCGCACCAGTCGCGCAAGCCGTCGAAATATCGTTGAAGGCGTAACAACTGTAAATACAGAGAGCCAATTGGAAAGTCACTCCTCAATGGAAGATCAATTACTCGTGATACAACTCGGTGAGATGACGAAGGCGAGTGCGAATAACGAATTCTTCGAGGGTGAATCTCTCCGTCGCGGCCGTGATACGTGAGCCACCCTGTCGTACCGTCGAAGCATGTGGGTACGCTACTTGTTCGCATATCACGGCTTCCGATTCCCGGATATACCGTCTCGTGTATGTAGCGTATACACATATATAATATTCGTTATGACATCTTTTGTTACTCACGAACGATCAACCTGTATCGCGAAGTCGCGGGCTTCGCGTGGTCGTTTCGATCGTAACTTGTCAAATTACGTTGGATCTGGTGTCGCAGGAGGCAAGGAGAGACAGAGAAAGAAAGAGAGAGAGAGAAAACATGCGAATTGCACATTGTCATGACATATAAAGCTAAATAGAATAAAACTATTTTACATACACACGATTTGTATCATTTGACGAAGAGGACACGCGGGGACATGCGTGTCTATTTTGTTCGTACGATTGAACGACAGTCGAGCGAGGAAGAGGAGAGAGAGAGAAAGAGAGAACTCTTTCGGGTATACGTTTATAAAATGCATTATTTAAAATAAAACTTTTGTACATAATAATTACACATTAATGCGCCTGTTATCACAAGACGGTCCCCCCCCCAGTCCCCAGGCGAGGCAAAGTCATAACATCACATTATCGTCCTTACATTATGGAGACGCGATGCTACTTCCCGTTTTTCGCCAATAGACTGTACAGCTCTTTTCTGTGCTCGCCGAGGATCTGATACAATTCGTCGAAGAATCGCTTGCCGGCTTCCTCGAGGAACGTCATCCTTCGAACGACCGCGTCAAGTTTCTCCTGCGCCTCTTTTATCTCAAGTTCAATCGCTTGGTCATCCGGTATCATGTCCTGAATCTCCTTGATCTCGTTCTTACGCGCCTCTATCTGTTCCATCAACTCGGCCTTCTCCCTCTTCGCGTTTGCCTTTATCTTGTCCACGTGCGATTTCTCCTCGCTTAACTGGTTGTCGTTCGCCAGAGATTTCATCCTCTCCTGCAAGTTTTCCAGCTCCATAGTACTCGAGGAAATCAGCGATGTCGTTTCGTCGCATTGTTTCTTCAGTGACTCCTTGAGGCTCCTCACCAGAGCGATCTTCTCCTCCAGCACCTCCATTATACGTGGGTCCAACAGTCCTTTCTCCGGCAACCTCAGCTCGTTGAAGTCCATACCGACGTCGTTGTCGACGTACATGAAGACCTCCTTGTTGTACGCTAACACCATTTTATTGAGATTATTGTTGATGGACGCCAACTTAATGTCCAAAGTATACAACTCCTTTTGGTAATCTTTGAGGTGCTCGTCGAAGCCGTGTATGAAATTCTGTACCTCTGTGCACTTCTGCACAATTTTCTCTTTCTCGGCCTTAGACATAGGCTGATCCTTCACGATTGTCAGCAACTCTTTCTGCTGCTTATTCAGCTGTTGAACCTGGTTGTTTAACATCTTGTGCTCAGTATCCAGCTGATCTGTCTCGGCGGTCAGCTGCTTTATATACTTCTCTTTTGTCGCAATATCATTCACTTGCTTCGATTCCTTAGCCTGTAAAGAAGACAACATCGTCTGCAAACGCTCAATCTCCTCATCAACTTCCATCGACTCCCTCTCGACCGTCTGTAATTTTCGAGTCTCTTCTTCCAGCTCTCTGCGTGCCAGCGCAACGTCTTTCTCACTGATGCCCCATTGAGCCTCGATATCTCGCAGATATTTCTCCAATAATTCAGTTTCCTCATCGAGTTTCTCCTCATTCCACATTTCATAGCACTCCAATAACGCCAGAAACTCCATCCTGCTGCTCTGCATCTGTTGTTCTGTTCCCACAAAGGGCAGCGACTCCAACTGTCGGAACCTGTCGAAAGCAACTTCTTGCACTTGGCATGCTTCTACCAGCCAGCCGATCCAGCCGAGAACGGAAGGCCACGAATGCATCGCATTAGCAGTTTTCAGCCATGACTTGGTCATCACTCCAGGATAATGCAACTGCTTCGCGATTCGTGGTAGTTCCTCAACATAGTTCAAGATTGTGAGCTCCTGCTTGATCTTAAAGAATTTCAGGAGATGATTAGAAGCCTCTACAAATATCTTCAATGTAATTGGCTTTAAACTACCACTTCTGTCCAGTATATCTGAGCATTCATTCGTGTGGAAAAAATTGTCTATGTTGGCAAGCAATGTTGCCTGATAAGACTTGTCCGTCAAGGGTCTCGTGTCCTTTTTAGGAACCTTGACTCCCATATTGCCAGCACGCTCAGCGGATGGTGACCGACCAGTTGGTAATGCATGAAGTCTACCTGAGCACGAAGCTGCTGAGGTTGACAGATTAGGCTTGATAGAGGTTCTCGCAGGTGTAACCGGAGTTGTTGGTTGATGCAGTGGAGTTTTGCCTGCATATGTACATATTTTATTATCTTATTAATATATTTCATTATTTTACCAACTAAAGCAGAGCTTTTATCTCAGCATATTTTGTGTGCATGTATGCACATATTAATATTGTCAAGTTTTATAAGAATATCAATATAGTACGTGCTTTCACCTGTAATTTTTAAATAAGATGCCCTGCCGCTCGCTCGGTCGCTCGAGAAACTTCGAACACGAGGCCTAGGAATGTGAGAAACCTCGCCTATCGACATTCCCTTCGACTTCGTTTGCGTCTTCCGCCGGTCGTTCCACGCCGAGTTCTTGTCCTCCCTGTCGAGCATGGATATTCGCACGGGATTAGTGGACGATCTACGCCCGGTTGAGTTCGGATTCATGTTCTTAGATTTCGTAGAAGTCTTAGATTTCGAGGCATTCGAGGTCTCGGCCAGTAAGACGGGGCCAAAGATCGCGAGCTTCCAAATTTCTTCCTCCGCTCAGGGGTACGTTTCAAAATCTAACCTTGGTTACCATAATTCGTTCCGAAAGTATATGCACTGAGTGGTTATCCAATGATAGCCGTTCCAAAAGTCGCAGTTGGTCGACCACGAAGGTAACTTTCTTAAGCCAGCGGCACACGGTGCTTGTTTTCGTGCTGGATTGCTTACTGGATGAAAATATTGCGTTGTGATTGGTACATTTCCGAAGATGGATGGAAATGCACCAATCAGAACGCAGTATTTTCATCCAGCAAGCAATCCAGCACGAAAACAAGCACCGTGTGCAGCTGGCTTTACCTCATAAAATGTAGAGGTTGTTTGGGTTACCACTGCTAAAGCGCGGGAAAATACAAAATGAAAGTATTCAACTGTTTATTCTTAATTGTACATTAGCTTCCCTTGATTAAAATAAAATTTTAAGCAGTGCAGCATCATAGCTAACAATGATGTTATACTTGTAAAAGGACATTTTTTAGTGTTCGATTCTCAGCAAGAAATTGAAAGAGGAGAGAATGGTGGAATCTTAGTTACAGATAAAATTAGTAAGTATTTCAGTGATATAGGTTAGAACTGAGATAGATTAAATCACTTCTAAGTTTTATATCTTAGATACCCGATTCGACTCATATGTAAATATTTCAGACATCGGAATCTCCCCTTTAATAGTGAAAAAGCTCGTTCAATAACCTGTCTACCTTTTATAAGACACTGGTTGAATCTTTGTTGTGCCTAAAAACGAAAGAAAAGTATGATTAATAAAATGACGAATTTAAGATTTTTAATATTATTTTTATCTCTTTACCCTTGTAAGATGACCATTATCTTTATATGGAGGCAAACACCATCCTAAAATAGGGTAAGCTTTGTCGCCAATGATATATTCTTCATGTGGAAAGAAATTATTCCTGTTCCTATTGACAGCATGCCACAAGTCGCTATTCCTAAATACTCTCAAATCGCCAACCGATACAGGATATCCAGTGAAACAATCAATGAATCGTAAGTCAATATCACATACTGCTTGTAAAACAATCGCATATCTGCATTTACGTGTATTGTAAAACTCTGAATCAACCTAGGAATTAAAATTAACTTTTTCAATTACTGAACATACTAAGCCAATAACTTATGTAAAGAATCAACATACTTCTGGAGCAGGTATTTCAATATGTGTACCATCTATGGCTCCAACAACATTAGTCAATTTGGAAATCTTCTGAAATTTGGCTTTTGTACTTAATAAATGATCCTCTCTTGGCCAGGATATAACTTGTGATGCGATTAAATTTAGAGCTCTTACCACTCTCCTGACACAATGGTTGAGTGATGACTTTGCTAAATCAAATTTTATTCCTACAGATCTGAAACAATATAAGAATAATGAAAGATTTATACAGATATAAAATATTAGAAAATGAAGTAAAATGTGATAGTAAAATTTATCAACAGTACTTACCTGTAGGAATCAGATGTAGCCAATAACCATAAAGTAGCTAGCAATTGCTTTCACACGGGTAATGTTAAGCGACCTGTTGCTACTTATCTTGATAGTAAATTTCCTAATCTATTTTCCAAATTGTCGTAAACTGTTGCACTTATTCTAAAGTGTTCTTTAAATTGTTTTCCGGAAAACCTTGGTATGATATGTTCAACGTAACCTTCAATACAGACTGCTTTCCTCAGGCTGCCACGTATTGCTACATTTTTTTCTATATTTATTAGGCGTTGCATTAATTCTTCGTCATTTTCATTATCACTATCACAAACTATTTCGATAATACTATTTAAGAAATATCTACTTGCAGCAAATGCACTGAATGTTATTATGCGTCTTCTATTTACTTCTGCTGCCATAATTGCATATGATCTATTCTTTTTATAGCTGTATCAGTTCAGTAGTGTAGCTAACAGCCTACTCGTTCCAAAACAACTTCTACGGTAGAAGTACCTCAAGTAACCTATACTCCTACCACTCTTTTAACCTCCGAAGTTAACCAAGGTTGATTTTGGAACGTACCCCAGCAAGACGGGAAGAGCCCTCAACCTGCAAAACGAGTTTCACGCTGCAATACTTTCACTCCGCGACCGGATAAAAACTCACTCGTTTTTCCTCTCGAAGTGACGACCGGTGGACAATCGCACTTCCAGCGAGCTCGTGTCCTTCCGACATGTAAACACCCGGGACAGAATTCAAATTTACGTCTACGGTTAAACTCAGCGTCGCCAACCCACGTGACCGAGATCTCGGTAAACCAGGAAATTAGCCGAGCGAGGCTCGAACCGCGAGTTCGATTATCGAAACGCCGCTTACCAAGGACTCCACAGCCAGCGACACCTTCGTCTCTAGGAGACAGGTCTCTCCCATTGGACACCGGCTCCGGAAGCAACGTGATAAACATACAGCCGCAATCGGGGACCGGATGTCAGCTCCGCTCGAGAGAGGCGATCGTGAGGTGCGAGAGGCGACCGCGCGCGAGAAACTGGATGCGCAGCAGGTGCTGGCGGCACTAGCGGGTTTCCCGCCAACATGGCAAAGATGTCGGCGCTCGTGTCGTTTCCCGCCAAGCCCCCACGGCAACCTCGCACGGCGCAGCCGAGTTTTTGTATGGCGGTATAAGAGAGTTTACGCCGCCGTTTTTCGCGTGGACTTTTCGCTGGAAATTGAGCGCCGAGATGGGGCAGTCGGACGATATCGAGGACTCGACCTACAGCCGGCACCAGGATCTCTGCCAGAAGCTAAATATGGATGCGGTAGCCGCGTCCGAGGCTTGGAAATCTTACGAAACTATACGGCAGAACTACACTCTCGAGGCGAGTATTTATTCTCTCTCCTGCCTCCCTCTCCTCCCCCCTCTCTCTCTCGCTCGCTCTCCTCTCTCTTTCTCTCTCTGTCTCTTTCTCTCTCTCTCTCTCTCTCTCTCTCTCTCTCTCTCTCTCTCTCTCTCCGTAACGTAGCCGTCGCGACGACAGGAGCCGTTCACGCGGACGTAGTGTCCCTGACGCCGCGAGGCACCGTGACGCCCCGGGGTTTGCGTCGTCGTGTGCTGCTTTGAATCGCCGACATTCCGCGCGAGAACGAGACGTGTCCGGGACGATTTTCCGCCGCGCGTTCGTCACGGATCGTTCAAAGCGCGACTGCCGCGGCTTTGGCGCGTCGATCTCGAAAGGATCGCACGCTCGATGGGATAATGTTTGTTCAGGATTTTCACCCTCTCACGATATTCCTTGGTGGGACAGTCAACGTTGCTGCTGAATCTCTTGCCGTCGTTACTTTTCCCTCGCTTTTTGCTGCTTCTTCCCTACACATTTGCTCTCCCACTTGTCTTCCAACATATTCACCATGGTCAGGAGCTAAAATGATTTTCTAATACACTTGCAGGGTGATCAGCTGCATTGGATAGGATGTGCGCTGTATGTAGCCTGTAGGAAGTCCTCCATACCTACAGTGGGCAGGACCGGTGCCAATGTGGAGGGCAATTATGTGTCGTTGACACGTCTACTGCAATTGTGTAATCTCCCGCTGATAGAGTTCTTTAGAAAGAGCAAATCATGGGCAGATATGGCCAATATGCCGCAAGACTTCCGCATCAAGATAGAGAAGCTAGAGGGGAATTTCTCCGTCTCTATGGTTATATTTAAGAAATACCAACCAATATTCACCGATATATTCAAGGATCCGAGGGAAGACGTCTCGAGACCACCTAGATCCAGAAGACACAAGGCGGTACCCTGCACACCTGCTAGAGTCTTTGAATTTTGTTGGACATTGTTTATATACATAAAGGGGGCAATTCCCGATATCTCGGATGATCTTGTTAACTCTTATCATCTTCTGTTGGTCTGCTGTGATCTCATCTATAGCAATGCTCTGGTAGCTAATAGGAAAGACTTGCTTAATCCTAATTTTCCTGGTAAGTATTTCCATGTTAATCAGTAACTGGCACATTTCTAATTTATCAATTGATGTCTGACTTGATGTTTTGTATTTTTTCATTTCTCGTTATGCGACAGGCTTGCCGGAAAATTTTAACGACGAGGATTACTCTCCGCCGCAGACAGCTGACTGTATTGTCAGTTTGCTGTGCGAACGTCACGACGCGATTCCCGTCGAAGCTAAAGTTATAAAGGAATATTGTATGAAGAATTACATCAACAAACTCTTCAACAGAACCTGGTAAATCGGTGATCAAACTTCTCTGGCATATTGGAAGCATTGAACTTCGATGGTAACAGCAAAGCCATTAACAAGGCTTACGAGCAACGCGTCTTGAGCGTCGGGGATTTTGACGAGAGAATTTTTCTAGGTAAAATTTTCATCTGATGATTGTATGTTAGAAACAAAAATTTTTTCTTCATGAATATATATCGTGTAATTGTGCTGTATAATTAGTACCAACGCAAGAAACGTGTACGCAATGCGATAAGCTTATGTTGCAATCTTGCATGCTTCTGCCAGCCTATTTTGCTTCTGCAATTATTAATAGAAACAACCAGACGGAAATCATCGTCATGCAAAACGACCGTTCACAACTTCACTCACATTGTTTTGGAAAGTCGTATTCAATATCTCGATCTTTCGTTTTCTTTCCTCTCCTTTTATCATCTGTTAAGTTTCTAAAACATATATTTATCTTCTTTATATTTCACTTGTATAAAATTTTTTTCATTCACAGAATAGCTCGTATTTATTGTTAGAATAATATGTCTGTGCAGGTGTTGCAAACACCCTGTACATATACATCACAATGAAGATACCTGAACTTGTGGATATGAGCGATTTTTCAGATGGAAAAAAAAAGAATAATTTTAAAGAAGAGAGACCATTAATTTTATTGTAATAACCTCTCGATTTAGTTTATTGAGTTGTTTTTCTTCTCTTAAATTTGTGTTTGTGCTTTGCCGCAATTGTGCTTTGCAGCAGAGTGGAGGAGAATAAGACTGAAAAGCATATCGAGTTCGGGTGTATTTGGCCAAAACGTCGCTAAGCATGACCAGTTTGCTAAGCATGTAATCTTACAAGGTGGGTTTGTAACAATTTGTGAGGGTTTGTTTTTTCTACTTATCAATCGCACTTTTTTTTTATTACTAAATAAAATCGCAATTTTCCTCTGCGTACTATATAAGATAAAACATCGTGTTATCGCATTCATTTTTATCTGACTTCTCGCTGTATGTATTCGTTTTTCCGTCAGTCTGATAATTTTACGCTTGATGCTTTGATTGTAATGAATACACCTTATAAAGCGCACAGAATGTATGTGATCGTAATTACGTGTCACAAGTCACGAATAAGAATTTTAATGTCGGTTTGCGATTCTTATTTCAGGTCACGACGCTAGCGAGAACATCGGTTCGCCCACGCAGATGATGAACATCGACGACTTTCACGAGCAGCTGCAGATGAAAAAGGAACAGCACACTGGGGTAAGTTTCAGAGAATGCTACATCCGCTTGGAAACTAAAATGCTCAAAACTATATAAACGATGTAATAGATATTCCTTTTTCCTCTTTTCTCTGTGCAAATTGCCGAGTACGTAACTAAAAATTTTTTGTAGCAGATACAATATCTAGCACCTCCTACGCCACTGACCGGTCGCAGGTACCTTCGATCCAAGGATATGTCGAATATAATAACGCCAGTGTCCACGGCGACGCAGAGCGTCATCAAGTTGCAGGCTTTGATAGCTGGGCAGTCCGCGCCGAGTGAAGGTCTATTACAAATGCTCAACAATTGCTCGCAAGACGTCAAGTCTTTAGTCGAGACGAAGGTCAAGCAACTCGGTGAGCTGTTCTGCGCGAACTATAACAGCAACGCGAACGCCACCACGAATGACAGCTCCAGGTCGGACTTCGGCAAGAAACGTCTTCTCATGGGTCAGACTCTGTTCTACAAACTGTTGGAAATGATCTTGAACGACGAGAAGCGTAAGAAGCCGAATTACGATGTGACCGTAAGTTTATGGACGATTCGAAATGTGGAAGGACGGATGAAGAGGTGACGACTTTTCATCTCACGCTGTGCTTGTTGTCTGTTGCAGAATCTCCTGTCGAATGAACTTTTTATTCAGTGCCTGTTCGCCTGCTGCCTCGAGATAGTTATATATTCGTACAAGAGCAACGACAAGATATTCCCGTGGATACTGAACGCTCTGAATCTCGACGCTTACTACTTTTACAAGGTCATAGAAATTATAGTGAGAACTGAGGATCAGTTGTCACGGGAAGTTGTCAAGCATTTGAATCAAATCGAGGAGAAGATACTGGAGTCGCTCGCTTGGCAAAGCGACAGTCCTCTCTGGCAGACCATCGAGTCCTTGGCGGACGGCGTGCCAAGCTGCGAGGAAGTGTCCTTACCTGGAACCTTGGAGGCAGTCGATCCGAACACGCCTGGGCAACCTGTGCTGAGACGAATCGCTCTGGATCGCGGTACTCACCACGACGTTCAGCAGAGTCCAATCTCGTCCGCTTCGGAAAGGTATAATTCGATTCGCTGCGATATGAAGACAATGTGGTCTCTTCAGCCGAGCTAGTGCCGCACTTTGAAACTCAGTCCCTTTTTTCTTCAACGCTAAACTTACGCGCTTATTTTACTACAGAGACAAAAAGTGCGACCTAGCTGAGAACAAAGCTGATGATCGAGACGCAATTTCCATTTCCGGCAAAAAGAGAAAAATTTCGAACGCTATTTTTCTCGTTTCGCTTATTCCGATTTCGCGGGAACTCTTTGCGGAGCAATCAAGGTCAGAGCAACTCTAGCATGAACGTACCCTTTAGATTTCAGTCTCCCATCGCAGCGTCGGGCATAGTGAAGAAGCGGCTGTTTCCCGATAACAGAGCCACCGGCCAAAGTGTTCTACGAGTCGGGCAGAGCGTGTTGTCGTCCAAAGTCGTGATAGACAGTAACCAAAGGATACTGTTTGTGCCCGATCAGATCACGGTCTCGAAAGCATCGGTCACGCAAGGATTAAGCAGCGGTGTGCAAGCCGTGCAAGCGGCGAATCGAGACGCTGCCAAGCCGAAGAGAACCGGCTCCGTCGCGCTGTTCTTCCGGAAGTTCTACAATCTCGCTTGCGTACGTATGCAGGATCTGTGCAATTCGTTGGAGATATCCGAGGAGGAGGACAAGAAGAAGATCTGGACGATCTTTGAATACTCAATCAAGGAGCGTACCGAGTTGATGAAAGACCGGCACCTCGATCAGATATTAATGTGTGCAATCTACGTAATATGTAAGCTCGTGAAGATGGAGAAGAACTCGTTCACCGAGATCATGCGGTGTTACCGCCTACAGCCACAGGCGGAGTCGCACATATATAGGTCAGTACTCATCGAGAAGATATCCGTTAACGAGGCGAAAATCCTCGCCAGCGGTAACGAGAAATCGGAGGGCAACGGTACGATAGCGGACAAGAACGCGACCCCGCCGACGCCGACGAACATGATAGGAACGTCGCAGAACTTCGACGGCGAGACACGCGGCGATCTCATCAAGTTCTACAACACGGTGTACGTGCCGGAAGTGAAGGAGTTCGCGAACCGATTTGGATCGTCGCGCGGCAGCGTCATGAATCTCTCGCTGAGCCCCTTGCCGAAGGGAAAGCCGCCCGCCAGTTCGCCCGTGAGACGCGTCACCAGCAGCATTATGACGCGCACCCTAGACCCGAAGGCTATCAGCGCGTCGCCGGCGCCGCAATTAAGTTATTGCTTCAGTCGTAGCCCCGCCAAGGTAAAACTAAAACTCAAACTTTGCTACATCCAATTAAACGCGACTTGCTTTTTAGATGTTTCATGAGCTTACACATCCGCAAATCTATCTCATTAGTTCGCCACAAATATTAACCATTTACTCAAAATATATTCTGAATCCTAATGAAATCGAGATTATTAAATGAAACATGAAAATTAATTTTGCTTTCTCTATATGTAAATATGTGCCTTATTATATTCCTTGAGTATATAATAGCGAGCTTTTCACAAAATGTGCTGAATAAATTTACAAGAAAACATTTTTCATAGATAACCACTTAAAAATAAGACTCTCTTAATTAACTCTTTGGGATAAAAAGTGTCCTATCTTTTTAACGTTCATATATGCACAGGAATATTTTTCGTCCCACCTTGAGATATTAAAGTATCTCAAAGTGCAACGGTTTATAACTCATCGTTTGTAAATAAAACAAACCTATTTTGTTGTATTTTTTGAATGAAACTTTTGTTGTAATTAGAGTCTTTTTTTCTTTTTTCTTAAAATCTCGTGCCTCAAAAAGTTAAGAAAAATTATTTCTTATTTAAAAATACCAGATTTTTAAGTAAGAAAGTAAATTGAGCGAATAATCACTTCCCTTAATAGTAGAATAATATTTTTTCTATGATATTATCTATGCATAATGTTATTCAATGATTCAGAGAATTTGCATATAAAAAATATCGTTACACATATTAAGCAAAATTTAAAATTCTTTGGTAGTTGTTAAACATTACATCCTGTACATTTAAAATGATCTCAGTTTTCACCCGATTGTTTCTGCATAAATGTATGCAGAAGTATAATTTCATGTTCTCTTTTTTTATTTTTCAGGACTTGGAGGCCATCAATAAAATGATGATCTCCGTAGACGCAAGGAAAGGCGTAGGTAAGCGATTACTTTCGGACGACACTGACGTAGAAATGACCGAGGCTACATCTCCTACCAAAAAGACAACGACTTTCGTCGCGCGGAAGTTAGAAAATATTATCGGCGAACGACGAACGCAAAATCAATAAGCGAAATGTGGTAAAACATTAAAGCTATTCGTAACTTACGAAGACAGGAAGCACTTCTGATCTGCTTTTCACTTGCACTCGATTGGCTTGCGAAAGAAGAAGCTACCTACGGAAAGACTAGGTATAAACCTATTTCTCGGTTGTGTAGCTTGTAAACGTGAATGAAACGTTTCTCAGGTATAGTCATTCTAGCAAATCGAGAGAAGGCCCCGTCTTTCGCGTTACATAAGAATACTATAATGTTGTTTGTAATTATACTTAGTGTAAAGTCAGAATTCAATTTCCAGTATTCTTTTCGTTGACTTTTATCCTACCAGAGAGTAGACTAGCTTTTGTTAATTTATAGTTTACTGAACCAAACTGTCTTTCAACACATCCAAACACAAATTCCGAATACGGAGACATTAGGATTACAGTGGGTGCGTTGCGCACGTATTGACACTTTTCCGTCAATCATTTCGCACACGCGATACACTCACACATATATACATACGTACACTGTTGAACGTAGTTCGTAAAACGTGATTTCCTAATGCATGCATTGTTTTTTCCTTTTTTTTTTCTTTTTCTTTTTTTATCATTATTGTTGCGCAAATTATACGCAGCTCGGTTGTGTAAGTTTACATAATTTTGTCGCAACGTATACATATATATGCGTACTATAAGTCAATAAATAAAATTATTAATTTATGTACGCATATGTATACTCGAATAGGAAATACGGAAGAGCATAAAAATTAAAAAAAAAAGAACGCAGTATGGTTAATAGCATCATCGTGACAGTAAATTGTAATTCATATTATGATATACAAGTTGGTTCACCGTCATCGAAAAGTATTTCAATGATAGATTCTTCGATGAAAACGAGATTTATTTTTACCTAATATAAAATCTATATCATCTGTCATTAAAATATTCTCCGGTGAAACACCTTGTATACGATTAAATTTATAAAATAAAAGCTAAATAAAATAATGGTTAATTATGAACATCTCTTATTTTCTGTTGTAATCGATTCTCGTTGACTACATTTTCTCTCACAACTTATACAACTTTATCGATATTCACGAGGCGTCCTTTGGTACGTATCTGAAAATCACACTGGAAATTGTTCTGGCTATTCCAAGAGAGCGCATTGTCAATCCTAAAATGAGATAAATTACCATACTTTTTATTACGATCGAAGCCTGTATAATGTCTATAGTGTATAATGTAAAAAGAAGTTTCAGCCACACTTGGTAAAAAGCAGTAATACTTCTAACGATAGATTTAAGCTCAAATAAAGCAACGAGTACTCGTAACAAATACCACTTTGGTAGTATTCAATTTGACATCTACTTTGAAAAAAGAAAAAAATCAAGAAAGTAAATATAACAAATCCAAGATAAAGTTACAGCTGCATTTATCAGAAGCGTATATTCTATCTAAAAAAGTGTTATAAATTATTTTTATCTTTTGAAATTTAAGTTATCTAAGATCAAGAGAGAAAGAGAGAGAGACTATTGGTAGGAAGTGTAAATATTTCTAAATTCAACATCATGATCTCATTAATCTGTCATTAATTATCGAACAATGTGTATAAAATGAAGGCTGTAAAATTAAGGATGAAAGACAATTATTGTATTTATCGTGTTACTCGAAGAACCTCGTTATCGCGTTTTATTGCTTCTATCAATTACAGCGATATTATACGCTACTTTGCTCGATGATCTTTATCGCCTGCTTTTACTGTTTAAATTAATTTATATTGTATTATCGAGATACTTGATTTAGGACTGAATTAAGAGGAAGGATATATATACAGTTCTTGCGAGACCATCTCTCGCTATACAATTTGCGTTTATTTGCAACTACTTGTTAAAAATATGCAGCTTCCTTTGTGTAATGTAAAAAGTTATCGATATACATGATGAGAGAATTGCTATTAATATCTTTTATGTACATAGTACTGTAACACAGGAAATGAACCGGCGATACAATAAAAGAAATTTCAACCTTATTCCAGAATTTGTAACACCACTACAATTAAATTTTATAAGCACTTTTTATGGGACTTGTATTAGTATGTGTTATTCAATTCTAGCAAATAAGTAAAGTTAAATTATTAAAAACAGAAATGAATTTATAATATGAAATAAAAGAATAAAATATTTACAATTACTTTTTTTACTTCAGTTCTGTTTTATATATTAGATCTCAAGTATATAGTGCATAATCCTGAACTTTCATTTTAAGTACAGAAAGTGTAGCACGGCAGAACATATTTTTGTGACTTTATAATAGTGTAGCGTTCTGATTTTTGTCATCATGGTAAGTTAAATAATAAATAAATAGATTCACGTTAATTGAATTTAGTTAATAATTGAATATTTTCTTTTCCAAGGCATCAACATTAATCATGAGCACGATAGAAGAGCGCGACGAACGGAGCCTAAGACTCAAGATTTATGTTTATTGGTTAAGGTAATAATGATTTCTACTTTTCGTGTGATTTGTTGGTAAACATTAAAATGTCTTAACATTTATTTGAAATTAATCTATAAACAAATTCTTTAATATCCTTGCGCGATTATTAGCTTATCAAGATTGATAGTTAAATGGTAAAACGTTGTCTTTTTTTTTCATCCAATTTTTAGAAATATTAATTTTATTTAATTATTTAATATTTTATACACACACATTTATGTATGTATATCGAAGCTTGATAATTAAAAACTTTTACGAAATTGGCAGATAATATAATAGGCAGATAATATTTTAATCTGACTAGATACACGTATATTAGTCATTTGTATATATTATACATTTGTCTGATTAGTAATCTGCATAAGTGCACAGAGATACAATTTTATATAAGAATTTTATCAGTACTTGAAAGAAATATCTGATGTCATGAAAATTATGATAATATTCTAGCAATATTCTGAAGCTGTCAAACTTGTTATATGTTTTGCTGGAAAAAGAACATAATAAATTCAAAATTATTATAGAAAGATTTTGATTAAAATTATGGTGTAATAAATAGATATTTCTTAAAATAAATATATCTTGAAATAGTACTGTTAAAATATCGTCATAAAGTATACATTAAATGTTTTATATATTATATTAGATATGTTCTGTCACACACAATCTGAGAAAAGAATAAAATTTAAGAATTATTGATACATTAAGACATAATGATCACAACTTTACTTCAGCTTTACAGATTCTCAGTTAGAAGAACAAAACTCCAAGTTTGATAAGATATTATTGAAAAGGCTTTATGAATAAAATAAACAAGCCACATATTTCTCTCGTACATGTTGCATGACAAATGAACAAACCAAACTGTGATAACTGCATGGCAGTTGTTGTTGGTACAGCCACGGATAATTCCAGGATTTATGAAGTCCCAAAATTGATGGTAAATTATATGTATATATAAAATTGTCTCACGAGAATCTCAAAATTTTACTTTCTACTTAAAAAGTACCAGGAATTGCTCATTTAAATGACACATTTATATTTCAAAATCCTTTTGTAGTCAAGTTGATACCATTGTACTTAACTTCTATACAGAATTAGAGTGCAATCTGTCAATTAGTTTGTTCATGGCAGCTGTTTATGTTAGTCGACTTCAGTATGAACTTGAGACCATACCAAAATCAGCTTATGAAAAGTGTTTTGAAGATTGAATTAGGCGTTGGCATATATGTGTTGCACAGAATGGAAATTGTTTTGAAGACGACAAAATAGATTTATCTGAATAATTGAATATTTTGTGTTTTATTGCCCGTTTCCGGGTATTTTTTTAGCAGAAGGTATATACATTTTTTTTTAATTTTTATGAGATAAGAATAAGTATACTATTTATATGATAGCTTATTTTTTTATAAAAGTGACATATCAAGTATATAATATATTAATATATTAATTCGATAATATACAATATATTTATTCCGTCATTGCAAATAATATTGCAGGTGTGTGCATATTAAGAACTGACTGAAAAAACTAGAAGTCGCATACTGAAGCCGGATGTGAGCTGATAACATTTAACCAGCTCGTATTACGCGCACCAATTGACAAACGCACAACATTGATACAAGTCATGAAAGGCGTGCGAGACTCAAAAGCATTTTGGACCAGCTCCTGGCGTGCCACATTCGCATACAAAATCACTGATGCGATTTAAGGACCGAAAATTCGAACGGCCAAGAAGCCGCAGGCATAGCTGCATATTACAAGAAATAAGATCAAACTGAACGCCTTGTTTCGTAAACGTATATATCTTTTGAACATGCTTCGTCTTGTGAAAATCGTGCAGTAAAATTATTATTGTAAGATTAAGATTCCGTCGTGTTTTCTTGTTGCTCTTCCAGTTCTTCAGGTTTTTCCTCGTCGTCCGACTGCGTTTCCTCTACAGCTGTAACGTCTGGGAAGTACAGTTTCGACTCCTCTATAGCCTTCTCCGAGTTTTCGCTCACGTGGAAGGGGCCGATCCCGGCGAAGCCAAGAAATGCTTCGCAACCTACTTTCTTTACCGTGCAGACGAATATTTCGTAACTGAGAAACGAAGCAGTAATTCAGTGTATGAATAAAGTGAGTCTCAAACTATTCCGAAATATAACAGAAACTCAAGAATTCGTTGCAACATAGATGCGATCGATTGTTGAGGCAGTACATTCAGTTTCTTTAACGTTAACATTGATTCTCTTTTACGTTCTAAGTTTTTAGATTCCAGACTGCATTTTTTCAAATTCCTGCGAGAAGGTTACATCGTTGTTGCAATGAACATTTTTATTAGAACGAAATACAAAATACCCTGTCTTCTCTTCCGTACTCATCTCAAATGCCTCTATACTTTTGGCGATCATCTTAGCCTCAGGTGGCTTGTCATACTCGAACACACCAAATTCTATAATGTCGTCATTGAACATTTCCAGCACCATCTTTAAATCATTTTTACGCGTATAGTCGTATTTGAAGACGATTATCGGTACATTCGCCATTTTATCTTCATACTGTGAATATGCGTATATATGTATATATGTCACTTATCTAATTAAATTACGATTAGATAAGAGCAATATATAAAATTAGAAAAAATATAATTGTGATCATTATTTAAATTATAATTGTCTACTATTTACCGGGTATGTCGTGTTAGTATAAACGTTGAATATCGTACGAAAAACAACGGCCTTATTTCTTGGATTCGGAGGTGACCAAATGAAAGGAAATTTTTTATTTTCTTTATCAGGGACTTCAAAGGCTGGACAATGCCTTCCGGCGTAACTATGCAAAATAAGAGTTAATTTTAACGGCGTATAAATTATACGCTCTAATTGCAAATTCATATCAGTCGGGTACATTAAAGGCAGATTGCTTACCAATCTTCACTTGGATCGTCTTCCGACTCCGGTAACATCGGTTGGTTGAACAAAAGACTGAAAAGATAATTATGAACGTCGAGATCTTCCCTGGTCTCTACGATCTTCAGTCGCATGAACATGCATTTGCCATCGAGCAACAGCTGCTTGACGTATTCCGAAAAACTGTACGTTGACTGTATATTTCGAATGAAAAAAGAATATATTTTTACCGTCGACACATCGAGATCAACGTTTACTACCGATGCGATCTTATAGTAAATGACAGAGAAGAAGAATACCTCGTCGAGCATCTGATGGAGCAGATCCTCATTTAGCCGCTTACGCAGTTCTTGCTCCACCGTATAATGCTCCGGCAATAATTCTTCAACTAGTTCCACGTACGGTGGACTTGACTTCTTGTCTCTCCTACGTCCTTCTTCGTCTTTGAATATCCATGGGAACAACAGTAGACAAGTTTCATTGCACAACGACGTTGTCAGATGCAGCATCTCTGCCTCATATCTCGCTTTAGCTTCAGCCTCTGTATGACAAGATTTTTGTTGCATTAGCATGTGATTGACGCAAATCGCGACGCAATCCTCAGTTTGAATATTACCTTTTCGAGACCGCCTCGCTGTCTCTTTGGCTATCCTCGCCTCCTCGTGGATCTTCAATCGTATTACTTCTTCTGGACTCCTCTCCGATACGTCTATTGAGAATCTGTAGCGAGACTAAATTCAATTGCACTAGCCAGTGTGTGTAGGAAGCTTATTGATAAATTTAATCAGATAATATTAATTTAATATAATTAATATAATATATATGATACAATAATCAGATAATTTAGATAAATTTAACGTGTTCCTTAAAAAACACTTCTTAATTCACACAGATACACATATACTGATATCACACACAAGAGGTTTGTTTTTTATTGCTGAACTGACTGCACTAACTTGCACTTATTCTCTTCTCTCCCTTTCACTAACTCATAGATGTCTATTGCTTTTTATGTTCCCTGAGTGTATACTAGTTTAGCGATAAAAAACAGACCTAAGGTAAAAACATACTCATGTTCATCACCGTGTTGAACTCTCTCGAGCTCGGTTGTTAACATTTGTACGAGTTGCGGACAGTGTGCCCCAAACATTAAATTTATCATTCGTCCTTCCTACCAAAAGATAGAAACTAATGTAATTATCATCTTTACGTATATTCACACGTTGCACAATATACTTACGTGAATGAACATCCACGTTGGCTCGCTCTTGCCTTGAAACCTCTGCAAGTCGGTAACGCGATCGCAGCTTGCCTGGAAATTCCAAGCACCAGAAACTCACTTTGTGTATATATGTGTATATGTGTATTTAATGAAATTCAACTTTAAATTTTCTCCAGCAGTTACCGTAGCATAACTCAGTGCGTCACCTCCGATCTCCATCTTGATCTTTTTCAAGGTGCTCACCATACCTGTACAAGGACCGCTCCAATCCGAGTACACATCCACGACTAAAAAACATCATGAATAATATCAAAAGTTACTTCACTCCGTCTCTCGAGAAGATGGAAATGAACGAGAAAGGGAATAAGAGTTCTACAAACAAGAATTTGTGGTGATTATATAGAAAAGTTTAGATATAAATAACATAGTCTCGGGTTTCTTCGATATATGTCATAAAAGTTGGAGTTCTTCGCAATTATGTGAGGGTCATATTAAAATCTTCCATTATTATTTGCATGTTTAATAGTCATGTTAAATTTTTTAATGATTCGATTCAATTTCATTCGATTCGATTCGAATTCGAGTGAAATTTCATAGATTCGATTCGAATCTGAATTTAAAAAACGAGACTCGATTCGATTCGGTTTAACATAAAAATTCTTGATTCGCACATCTCTATAGTTTAAAATACAGATGATTCAGAAGTTCATTCTTTCTAATATATGAAATTAAAATCAAAGAAATCCGAGATATATATGTTTTTCTATACCTTAGCGAATTTTCTCTTTAGTAATTCATGAAAATTCATTAGAATCTCACCAACTAATCCTTTCCGTTTTAATATCTTCCCCCATTCTTCATCATTCAAAACCTCCGTCTGCAATGTCGCCGGCACCGTCTTCTTTGCCATTCTTTTCGGTGCTTTTCCTACACCCTGAAACAAGAAATTGGTCGGTTAGTCGTAAATGAATATTTATTTTTTCATTTTATTTTCACAATTTATCTCCACAATAAATTTCCCATAAAACCAAAACACAATCGAAAAATCATAAAAGAGACAGTTAATAGAGTCAAAGAGACATCCAAATCTCTCAGATGTTCTTCAGATATTCTTGAGATGTTCCATTGTCTTCCCTCACATTATTTGTCGTAAGAATTTATTATAATTATACAATGTTTCTTGTCCCTAATATTTCATTTCAAGGAATTCAGTTCTATATTCTATGTTTCTACCCTCTTGCGACGCAACATCTTCGTAACTCCGGCGCTAGTCGCGAGTAGGAGCGGCGGATTTTCTTCGCCGAGGGGTAAAAATTCAATTCCGGAATCAGGATTGATCTATCTTCGGCGAAGTGAAGTAGAATACTGCATTAATCGCGCGTTTTCTGCCGGCTTACATAGGGCCGCCTTCGTTCGCCTTTCTCGTCTTGGGGACATCGGCGACATGGAAGGCACGCGATATAATGTAATGATTAACGAGCTCGCGATACAAATACACGCACAGGTAATTACGGTGCAGGGAATCGAGGGTTCCGTGAACTAAGTTCTCCGACATTATGGCCTGTCAGGAGATACTAACCCGGATATGCTTACTAATAACTTCAAGGAGGTATCTCGCAAGGTACGGTCGCGACCTTACAAAATAAATTCAGTCGCATTTGCTTGCATTGCGCCGTAAAATGTGCAATTTTCCTAGCAGTAAATACAGTTGCTCGGTATTGCAATATATTGCGATGTTTATAGATTTCTCGTTCCATCGGCAAACTATAAATATTCTCACCAATTGCACAAAACTACTCGATACTGGTGTATCAAGTTAAATTAAATTGGAGCATCGGATCTTCGTTACTTTATATTATATCGAATTGTTCATCTTGATGCACGGAAATATAAGCAATTTTTTCGTAAATATACCACACATTTTATTGTTTAGAAAACTGTTCGGAAAAGAAGAATGTATTGGATAAATGTAAAAGTTTTCTTATAAATTTTTCAAAATGCGTCGTAACCCTGATAGCATATGTTCTCCTGGAGACGTTCTAAGAACGTCCTGAGGATGAAGAAACATCCGCAGGACGTCCTCAAGACGTACTCTGGACGTCCTTTGGACATCTGTGCTATTAGAGAACTAATCCAATTTTATGACAACATCTACAAATATGGTAAGTGTATATAACAGAAAATAATGGCGATTATTTGGTGGAATGAATAAATTTTTTTCAATAAGGTTACTCAGTCCATTTCTTTCCATCAGAAGATCCGTCAAAACTTTTGCACTTATCTAATATTATACTGTCACGTTTTAAAAATAGATTCATTGTTATGAAACAAAAAATAAAGCCACTTTAGCGAGTTATATTTTATTTGGTTCATATAAACGCGATGCATTCTTTATATTATAATTTTTAATTGTCTGTCATCTTGTACGTTCTTTAATGAGGCATATTATCAAAATAATTATAATTACGTCATGTGCAAAAGATTTTACGATTTTATCAGTGAAAAATCGGCCAATTCACCGGTCAAGTGATTCAACGGTGGGACACATTGCACCGTGTTTGAAAAGTTCTGCGTAAGATTGATCGCATGTCACGAGCGATTATCTCTCGACAATTAGAGCGAGAATCTTTTAACAATTAATTGCGCGACTTACACGTCAATAAATAGCCGCCATTCTTGTTGATTTCTACCTGCCTCGTTGCTACGTACAATATTATAGAATCCATCGACATTTTGTGCGATCATTTACCTGTGTAGGTACATTTCAATCTTGTGAGGAAACAACGGTGAAGATGGTAATAATAATTTTTTCTCGCCATACAATATTGTTTTCTGTTCTCTCATCATCTCCCCAACATTTTATATCTCAGTTTTCGCATTAACATGTCGAAATTTATCGCCTCATGTTTTGTCTACTCTGTCAGAAATCTCGCGATTTTCACGATGTCGAGAAGGCAACGAGACATTAATACGTGCATCGATTTATCACCGCTAGATGGGTCTGTGTGTATTTAGAATGCCTAGTGAAATGTAAGTTAAAGCCATTGAAAGTTTATTTCGTCTTTTACTTTCTTCGTCTTTACAGATGATTCCAGATGAATTACTCGGTGATGTCACAAGTTGTGTCCGTATTGATGAAATCGTATATTTTAAAGGATCGCTGAATTGTGATTGTCGATTCTTTCAGAACACAAATAATTATTTAAACCAATGATCGAAATTGATGAATAATGTTAATTGTTGAATTTGATAACTTGTAAATACACAAAAACGCGCGCGATCAAGATTGTGCTTGTCAATAATATTATTCTATTCCCAGTATGTATCGAGAAGTGAATGTACAAATTTAAAGGTTAGTTTTTTGCCATAATGTGTTTATTTTGACGCGTGCTCACAGCTAGTTGTGTGACACACATAGTGAACATTTAAATTTGGGTGAAATTCTGAATCATAACTTTTGTGTACGTACATGTGGTTGTGTAGTTTTTGTATATAAAGAATAGAGGGTCAAAATAACAAACAGCAGAAAATATAAAAATTTATAATAAATATATTTATTAAATTAAAGATACATTTGTAACAAAAATCTCTACGAACAATTATCTCGAATTTTTACAAACATGTTTGGCAAAGAAGCTGTCAAACTCATAACAGAGCTCGATATGTATGAAGACATCCGTCCATTTAATGTAAGTACCAGAAGAATATTCTAGCAACATTTTTCTTAATATTTTATTCTTATTAGTATCATCTTATGAATACTCTAAATAAATTCTTGATAATTCATAGGAGCAGCTACTGCGACAAGTTTTGGAAGAGATGCAAATGCTGTACGAAGCAAACTTGGTAGACAGGTAAGTCTCCTAAGTAGCGATAACTTTATCTTTTATCCTCCACAGCATAAAGAGTTTGTTTATCAAAAAATTTGCTCTTGAATCAGCTATATACAATCAAAAGATTGTCGGGGGTTCATGGAATGTTAGAAAAGAATTAAAGTGAAATTATTACAAGAATTCTCGCATGAAGGTACAATCAATCTCTGATAAATTAAAGCGATAAAATATTACTCAAACAGCCCAACATAGCAGCGAGTGCCGATACAGAATGACACTGATGATTGATTAAAAAGAAACTGGACAACAATATCGACTCTCAAGCTGGATTGTCAAGCCTGGTTTTCCCTGAAGACTTTCCGTGATTTCAGCAACACGATACAGAACGAAGGAAACAACGCATTGTTGCCCTCCGTACACTTTCGACACACGGCTCTGCTAAGGAACAAAAGATGCGTCCTGGCGTATCTATATCACCGTGTCATGCGATTACGTCAGATGCGTTGGGATTTGGGCAGTATTCTGCCGACCGAGATAACGAGCAATCTACTGAATGCGGAGCTGCAGTGGTTCCAAAACTACAACAAATCTTTAGCCACGTACATGAGATCGATTGGAGACGATCACGGATTAAATTTAACCGTGAACATGAGCCCGCCGAAAACGCTCTATGTCGAGGTAAACAAGTAGTGACGTCATCTTCCTTTATTAGTAACAGTAACGCGATTACATCTTTTTGTAATAAACACGGCAATATAAATATTACTCTCATCGTTACTCTGTAAACAAAATACATGAGTACGGAAAAAGAAGCGAATTTTGAAAAAAATATTCCGACTACCTGGTGAAAAAGAGTAACGAAAGTTATAACAGTTTCATTACTTCTTCAACGACCAAGTCACTTTTCCAAAGGGACTTTCTAACCTTGTAAATAAGAGCTGTCAGGCCTCAGGAGGGACCGAGCTTTTTGAATAATCAGCGTTTTAGTTTATCCGACGCCTCAGTTTATCCGACGCCTCAGTTTATCTGACGCGAGAAATAACGCATGAACAACTCTGAGTGATGACGCGCGATTTCTGTTCCAGGTAAAGTGCTTGACCGACTTCGGCAAGTTAGAGCTCGACGACGGCGAGGTAGTCACGCTCAAGAAGAACACGTATCACCTGCTGCCGAGGGCCACGTGCGAGCCGTTGATCAGACAAGGCGTACTCGAGCATCACAATGCATAGCGAGCAATATTTGCGCGTAATATCGCAACCTGCGCAGGAAACAATCAGGTCTCATTGTTTCTATCGTTTTTGCGTCGCGCCCGCCAAATTCCAGCGCGATATCTCACGTTTATCGATTCTGCCCACATTTTGGTGGTTTGCTTTCAGATGATCTTTTTTACGGTCTCTGGATGTAACAATAAAAATTCATTTTGTCAGACGACGGCGGTCAAACTCAGTCCGACCTTTCCTCCGATATTGTCCGATATCGCAGAAAGACCTTCTGCTGCGACAAAAAAAAAGAAACCTCGGGAGCCAACGTGCTTTTATCTATACTTACGGCACAGGGCTTTCCCAAGTGTAGTAGCTTCGTGGCAGCAATGCGAAGCAGTGTCGTGCTCAACAGCGCTCGGTACAGTTCGTGCTCGATTCGCCGGCAGCGCGGGGAATTTCCGTTTCATTGTGCACACTTGTATAGCTTCTTTCTCGGTAAGGGCCGGCGTAGTCGACTGTCCGCTATTTCAAGTTACGGCCGTTTTCAAGTGTTTCCTTCTACAGAGAGAAAAAGATAGAGAGGAGGGGGAGAGAGAAGCGACGACGACAGACAAGTGCGCGATTTGAAATTTCGTAGAAAGAAGAAAGCGGCCGGCACACTTCACAGTGGCTGATCAGTGCGGGAACTTCGGTGCAGCGGGACTGATGATCAATAGTGGCCATGCGATTCAGAGTTGCGATGTCTCGTAACAACGGGTAAGGCATTGAGCGATTATTTATTCTTGCGAGATCGAGAGAGAGAGAGAGAGAGAGAGAGAGAGAGAGAAAAGAATTTAAAAATCTGACTGCGAACACCAGATTTTCAATTCTACATTCACAGCAGCGAGTCAAATTTGCTCGCTCATTATATTATTTATTATATCATTTATATTATTTCGTCGGGAACAAAATTTATTATTTACATTATTTCGCTGTTGACGTTTGAATTAAAGATGCGAAAATGAATTTTGCTCTCTTATCGCTTAGTGAAATTAAATGATCCTGAAAATAAATTAAAAAATTGATAGTGTACATGTTAAGCTCCAAGTGCATAAAATTGATTGTTGAAAAGCTTGAACATTTGGTATTTCAATTGTACTATATTTTTCCAGTTTATTTTAATTTGCTTATAATATTTCCTCAGAGGTGATTAAAGTACCATTTAATGACACGACAGTTTAATTTTGAGAAAGTTAGGGAATATACAAATTGCAAGGATCGAACAAAATTAAATTCAAATGCCGAAAATTTGGTGCGCCTGATTGGAAAAAAGAAATCACGAGACGTAATTAAATTATCTCCCGAAGTACAGACGTTCAAACATTTGATATTTACTCAGAGTTGGGAAAGTTACTTTGTAAAAATATCTAGTTAGTTTTTTCACTTGAAAAAGTAACTAGTTACAATTACAAGTTACTGACCTTTAAAAATAACTTGTTACAGTTATAGTTATTTAAAAAGTAACGAGTCGTTACTCTTCAGTTACTTTTTTACAATAATTGCGCTATTTTTAATTTCGCAATTGTTTAAATTCTTTCAATTTTATATAAAAGTGGTTTGTTAGTTATTATATTCTTCATATTATATATAATTTTTACAAATTAGATTCATTAATTTAAATAAGCAATTCATATTTATTCTTTAAGACTATTAATAACAATTATAAGAAAGTGAATGAATTTGATGAGGATAATAAATACTGAAAATGCTAAAAATAATCTTAACATCAAAAATTAGGTTTTTTCACTAAAAAATATATTGGTATTTTACAAATGAAGACTTACACTCATATGTTTTCTTAAATTCGCAGTTGAAGTTCTACTTGCATGAATAATTTTTTGTGTCAGCGCAAATTTTGCAGGGAAATGCCTAGTTATTCTCATTTCCAAATTTTTGTTGTAACTTGAATATTTTTGCTGGGCATGGCATTTTACAATCTTTCTCTGAAGATTGAGATGTTTTATCCATTGCTTGAATTTTTTATATAACTGAAACCACACAATGCACTTCACGCTGGACGCAGGTTACGTTAATAAATAAGGACTGGCGACGTGCGGATTAGATGGAAATGTCCAATAGGTGTGCAATATTTCTGAAAGAAATACAGGTTGCGTTCGGAGAAGAGACTATCAGCGCTATCGCATCATTTTATCCTTGTTTTACATCTAATGAACAATAAAGATAGATGACGCAATAGCAGCACGTATTCCAAATACAGCCAGAATAATTGTATGTTTATTGGATATCAAGCATCGTACGTCGCGTTATCGTGCTGGTCTGCCAAAAACTTAAGTTTGAAATACATAAAGCAACTATTAAATTAGTTACTAGTTATCAAACGAATGTAACTAAGTTAAGTTACAGTTGTAGATGGAAAAAACGGAACGAAGTTAAATTATAATTACCAAAAGAAATAACTATAACCGTAACTTCGTTACAAGTAACGAGTTACTTCCCAACTTGTATTTACTGTCAACTTCCAAGATGTCGGCGAGTCATTGCTCGAACTGACACGCCGTCAGCATCTATGAATATGATACTCCAGCATTTACTATGGTCTTTAATTTTATTTGAAACTTGTCACCATCGATGACACCATCGATGTATAATTTAGAGCAAGAATAAATGTTTAGCGTAAATGTGAACTATTAGCTAATTTACTAAAAGAAACGAATATAATTCTCTCTCACTAATTGGAACGCTCACCTTGCTCAATATTCTACGAACGCGAACCAGGAACACGATCACGAACTATGAGCAGCTGTTTTTCAGACGCAATCACAAGCGTCATCGTTTACGCTGTTTTCCGAGGCGTTCGTTTATCCCTGTCGCAAAAGTAGCGTTACCCGTTATTATGGCTATAATGTGGCGTGCGTCACTGTTGTTTTCTTCGGTTTTTCTGAAGCTATGCTACGAGGAATTATGCACGATATTCATTCCTAATTTCGATATTCAATAATCTTCTGACGCATTTTGGGAGATGCGAGATAATTTAATACATCTCGTGTGGTCTTTTTTTTTCAGTTGCGTGCACAAAAATCTCCGATGCCTGAATTTATTCGCGGATTACGCAATGAATAATATAAACAGCTAATTTGGTTCCATAAATTTCTGTGATAGCGACGTCATGTGTGACATATAGTATAACGCGTATTTTGGACAAAATATTAAAATTATATTCCTCCTTACAATATTTTTTTATAACAGGGCATTCAGGTAGCAACAATATTGTGCGGAGTAATAGATCAAACGCGCACGATATCGTTAAGCAAATGCGTAGCGATTTCGTTAATATTTTTATATGGCTCGCGAGATTCAAGTTTGCCGTAATATTCATTACAACGAAAAATTGGTTGCAATTCTCAGTGCGATTCGGAAGAAAGTTTGCGGACGAGCGCCGAAAATATCGGGAAGGCGAGCGCAACGGCTGACCGTAATTCAAAATTCAAATAAAGTCGACGTTGCGAGTCAGCGTACTTTCCTGGCTTATCTAAATAATAATGCCATTCGCCTCTCAAAGACCGAGTGTCTAATGAATATTAAGGCGATTTGTACGGTATTATTCGGGGGCTGCACCTGCGTGTGCAATTTGCACGTGCGATTCCACATGCGACGCTTATCGCGCATGCATACCATCGCACGCACCCGCACGCACACGCATACTTATATCGTATCGGCGTTTCATTGATAGGTAAACACACAGAAGAAAAGTGACGAGCTCGACGTTGTATGAGTGACCATTTTGCGATGATTACAAGAGGTCAATTTAGCTGATCGTTCCTCGAGACGACGCTTTCTAGTGCCCACAATGAAACTGTTCGGAGCAATCGATGGCCCTATTTTTAGCGTAAACTCGTGAAAGGTGAAAAGTTTTGGAAAAATTTGGGAACATTTGGGAATGTTTACACCGTAGAAAAAAATTAGTGATCACCTCCTGACGTTGAGCAAACGTTAAGTCTCTTGGTACTTTCCGGAGACGGCATCTCAATTGCGACGTCAGAAGCGAAAGAATGACGCGCTGAAAATTCTCTTGTTCTTGTCAAATTTCAAATGAAAAAGATACTTGTATGAAAGAATACTTTAAATCGCTAAAATTTAGTTTTAAAATGCTCCGAAAACCATACTTCCAAAAATTCTTGCAAAATATGTTGAAATAAATAAGTGATAAGGTTCACAAAATGATACTTGCGATTTGATCGAGCAGATCTCTCAAAATAGTCCAAATACTTTCTTATTGCTCTAAAAATCAACAAATAACTATAAGAAATTCACAAAATTGGGAGAGCAGATACGTGTTGCATCAACTTTAAGGTAATTTATAATTTATAATATTGACAAGTAATACTATATATATATTTCCAACTATCACTCACCAATCGGAATGAAACTGTATTCTCTTATAAAGCACTGAAAAATATTGAAAATCCGTTTTATTTTTCCTCAAAACGCTTTTTAACCCCTTGACTGTCGGAGGCAAATTGTACCTTGTGGGACAAAAATGCGTTGACACAAAGTAACTCTGATGGTCATAAAATTCGGTATTCTAAAGTTTTTCGGGTCGCTAAATCTGAATATATCAAAATTTTTAAATTCGAAACGGCGGACACCAATTTAAAAAATCAACATATTTTCATAAAACTCGGTATCCTAAAATTCTTTGGGTCGCTGAATCCGAATATGATATCAAAATTAGGATACTGAGTTTTATAAAAATATGATGATTTTTCGAAATTGGTGTCAGCTACGTTGGACCCGCCATTTTCAATTTTGAAATTTTGATATATTCGGATTCAACAATCCAAAAAACCTTAGAATACCAAGTTTTATGAACAGAATTATTTTGTACCAACGCATTTTTGATCTATAAGATACAATTTTCCTCCGACAGTCAAGGGGTTAAAAAACGTTTTAAGGAAAAATAAAAAAACGAATTTTCAATATTTTTCAATGCTTTATAAGAGTGCAAAGTTTCATTCCGATTGATGAGTGATAGTTGGGTAGTGTTACTTGTGAGTCAGTGCAAAAGGAAAGTGAAGCATATTTCACGGATGTGATCAGTCGATCGATCACAAATGTCATTTTATGAAAATATCTTTTCATCTCGTCGTATTTCGCAGGAAGCAAAATTTTGTATCTCGAAGCGTCTTCTCGTCTCTGAGTTTTTCGTCAGGAATTTTCTCGTCGTGAATC